GCCCAAGACCTGGTTATGCAGCATATTTTCATAGGATAAAACTTGCTGTGTATCGAGACTTCCGGGGGAGGCGCCTCCAGCAATGGCAGAATTCCCCTGACCAGGAGGAATCTGCTCCATGGAAATCTGGGTCTGGCCGCCACGACGAAGGCGGAGACCCGTTAAAATCACAGGCGGGAGAAGCCTGTGAACGTGGGATTCGGCGGGCACCTTTTGCGCCTCCCCCACTCGCGGGGAACCCCGGTTTTTGGGGCTCCGGAGCAACGTGGGGTGAGTGGCGCGGTGCATCGAATCGTCTGCTTCTTCCACGGAGCAAAGCCGCATAGCTGTTGCCAGAGAGTGCTGACCTTTTCCTGTGGACAATTTGACTTTAAAGTAATTACCCGTGAGTAGAGCTGAAACGGAATAATTGGATCTCTAAACGTTTAATTTGGTATCGTAACGTGGAGGGTCAAAACAGGAAGTCCGCCTTCCCTTTTTGTAAATAGACTGAGGCAGCGAAGTTGCAAGCTGGAGTCCTGGAAGGTCTTTTGTAAAAGATCAAATTTCCAACGGTAAAGAACATTAAACCCCCTCTTGGAGGCAGGAGAAGAGAGGGGGAAGTTGCGGATTGAGTATGCCTGCGGGAGAGAGCGAAGAGGCTTAAAACACTGCCGCTCTGACCCTGGAAACGGGCTGCTAGTAAGACTGATGTTTTTGGGGTTTTTTGTTGTTGTTTTTTGGAATGTTCATTGACAGCGCTTAGAACGTTCATTGACAGCTAGCTAAATAAGAGAAATACATTGTTTCTATTGTTTCCGCTTGTTTTTAAAAAAGGAGGAAAGTAACTGAAAATTGAAACTAACTTCAGATTATTGAAACTGTGTTTAAAAGAGGACATATTGACCGATACAAATACAACCTGTTTTCCCCTAGTGGAAGCTTTTGAAATTGGTTACTTTATAGGAGCTGGGCTAAGGGAATTTCCAGCTGCAAGATAAGAAAAGTGTGAGACTTTGGAATTGACCTTGAATCTCTTAAGTGTTATGGCAAACGGAAAGGAAAAAACAGACGGGATGTCGACAGAGGAGGCCTTAGTGGCTGCATTATTGAAAATAAACGATTCGCTGGAACAACTCCATAAGAAAACAGATGCGATAAATGTGAAATTGGATGTTGCAAATATTGAAACTGATTTAATTGTAGAAAGTTTAAATAATTTGGGACAAAAGGTGAATACCAATTCAGAAACCACCCAGAAACTGATACAGGAATCTACTCTGATACGGCAAACTGCAGATGAAGTCAGGGAAAAAACCCTTGCTGCTGAATTTAAAGTAATACAACTGGAGAGGAGAGTCCCATCCATACAAAGACAACTTGATGAACATAAGCTGACATTCGTTATGATTGAACTTAAAGAAGAACGGATGAATTTGAGGACCAGAGCCCTATCTGAATTGGAAAAGGAAAGCCTGACAGAGTTTCAGGAGGCGACAGGACTAACATTGGTTGAGAAAGAGAGGTATTTGGGGGTTAGTATGACCGCCAAAAATGTGAATCTGCTTAAGGACAACTGTGAAGGATGTTGGATTGAAGAGAAGGGGGATTTGGAAATATGGACAAATCAGAAGTTGTTACTGTTGGGCCGAGTCATTGTGGTGGGGATGAGGGCTGCTGTGTTGCTGGGGATGTTGCTTTTGTTTCAAACATTGCAAGCTCTGGATGGGATGGAGGGTCTCAGGAGGTGGCAGAGGGATGCTCCTAGAGTTGTTTGGCAGGGCAGGAAGCCTCGAGTTAAGCTTAAGATATTGATGGATGCTAAAGAAGGAGGTGGACCTGCCCTGCCAGACCTTTAAACTTCGTTGTGAACCATCTGCCTTTTGCTGGTTGAGAGAATGGTTGCTTCTTGAAAACACTGAAGTGTTGGACAATGGCAGACGAAGTTGATGGACTATAGGGAATTGGCGGAAATGACTGGCAAGATCCGAGACCAGGGTGAAGAGTCGGTGGAAGAAGATTGGAAAAAGTTTAAAGACTATTTATAGAAATATTGTAAAATTAAGGAATGTTAGAAAAATGTTGGAATGAAATTACATGGCTTTAGTAGAAATGTCATAAGGAATTAAGTATAAATAGATTAATAGAAAATTAAAGGAAAAGTATGGCAAGAATGTGTTAAGATAATTATAGAACAGAAAACAGAGTAAGATGGAAAGGAATTGCTGAAACAAATAATAGAAGTGGAATACAAAAAGGGAGGTGTGAGGAAGTCGCTGGAAATAAGTGAATGAAATATAAGATATTGAAAATGTTTGAGGTGTTTTTAAATTGTTTTTGTTTGTTTTTGCTTGATTTGTTAGTCCATGTAGCATTTTTGTATTGTATTCGTATTGTTTTTTCTTTTTTTTTTCTTTTTTTTCTTTTTCTCTTTGTTTGTAGTGCTGTGTTGGAAATTTTGAAAAAGTAATAAATATCATTTAAAAAAAAAACTTGCTGTGTATCACTAAAATTATGTAGTTGGTCAGTTGTTGTTGTTGTTTAGTCGTTTAGTCGTGTCCGACTCTTCGTGACCCCATGGACCAGAGCACGCCAGGCACTTCTGGCACCTCCACTGCCTCCCAACATAAAAAACAAACCTTATATTCCATTGGTGGGTCAGCAAAATATCAGATTCTCCTTTTCCCAATGTAATTATCTAAGATGCATGTGACTTCTTTGCATGATCTTAGTTGAGCAATCCCATTACATTTTGCTCAGGAAATAAACTGTTATCCCTGGGAGATGCATATAACTGCAATTATTAGACACACTATGAATTATTTACAATAAAACAGAGGAGTTTCTAGGAACAAATGAAAATGTTCAGTCTTTCTATTATTGTGTGTAGACAGTGTCATCATATAGTTTAATCCCCAGGTGGTACTTTATTTAAATGTACTTGGAGGAATCAGGAGTTTGCTGTTGCTGTTCTGCATTGTAGAGACAATGAAGTTCATGTTGAGTTTTCTGACTGGTGTATGCTCTAACCCTTCCATGACATATGGAACACAATAAAATATGTGCCCTGTTTCCTGGATTTTGTTACTATGGTGGCCAAAGGCACTTGTGTATTCTATAACATTCATTTGTAACCCCATGCCCCTGATTTTAGTTCATCTCCTGCTTGGAAGTGGATCTTCCAGGATCTTCTGGGGACAAGAAATGCTCACACAAAAATATCAATTTTGCTCTGGGGCCCATTTAGCACAAGTCAGGCCACCTAGTGTCAGATTTGCCCCGTGCCATTGCATCATTCTGATGTTAAAGATGTGTATATGGGTTTGTCACTGTTTGAACTTAGGCTTTGGAGTCAAGAAGACAAATATGTCCCCTTGCCCTGGAATAGTTATGTTTCTTGAGGTGGGGGGAGCACAGCTTACTCACCCGTCCCCCAAGTCTTTCTCATTTATTTTAATCTGACCTATACCCGCCCTGTGGAACGACCTCCCACCAGATGTCAAAGAGAAAAATAACTACCAAACTTTTAGAAGACATCTGAAGGCAGCCCTGTTTAGGGAAGCTTTTAATGTTTAATAGGTTATTGTATTTTAGTGTTTTGTTGGAAGCTGCCCAGAGTGGTTGGGGAAACACAGCCAGATGGGCGGGGTATAAATAATAAATTATTATTATTATTATTATTATTATTATACCAGGGGTTGACAACATTTTTGGGCCAGTGGACACATAATGACTTTTGAGAGGGTGCTGGGGACAAAATGGCTGCTATGGGGCTGGCATGGCATAACACAAAACCGCTGCAGTGAGGAATGTGGAATAACACACGATTAGAGAGACAACGATCCCTGACCACGTAAGGCCCTATACAGCTCAGGACCAGCTTCCTTAAGACTGCCTTATACCTTACACACCCAGAGTACCTGGCACTGATAGTAAATAGCAAGTGTTCCAAGCAGGGCTGGGTGGCCACCTATTAAATTTCCCACTGTGCTGCAAAGTGATACTACATCACATTCCCAACGCGGAAAATGAAAAGGCTAGTTAGGATATAGCTGCTTCTTGGAAGATCAAGCGAGAAAGGGGAGCAGCACAGCAGGTGGCTTCATTAATGAAGTACTGTACGGAATAAATATCGACAGCCCGAGGCCAACGCTAGGTGTTTCTACTCAGAGGAAAGTCTCTGCTCACTCAGTTCAATAGGACATAGTCCCAGATGGGTATAGCTGTGCAGCCTCAGGGAGTCAGTACCCCTGAAATCAAAAGGACTCGCTTCTGAGCATGCCTGAATGGCAAGGCTGCACTCCGAGGAACATACAGTTCAGGGACCAAGGGCCCCCGCTGGATACAAAAGGACAACAAAATGACTTGGCTGGGATTTATTCCAATTTTGCATTCTCCAGTGACGTTATCAAGCGAAGAGGGCCGCATTTAAAGGCTCACCAGCAACTGCCTTCTAATAAATTGTAAGTGTTTGAGGTGCCACAAGAATGCAGTTTTGACTGAAAGCACAGATACCGCCCACTACGCTCAAGGGAGGAGAGGGGAAAACCTCCACAGGCGAAGCCTTTCTTTTAAAAATATATCAGCCAATGGTATGTGTTAGGAGCTTGCTTTTTTTTTTTTTTTTTGCGCTGAGGAAAGTTTCCCGCCCTCAACAGGGGCTCTGCTGAATTCTCCTCCCACTTGAGTGGCAAGACCAAAAGCTAGGTGACGTCATCGCCTTCCTGACGCTAACTGCATTTCACTTCGATGAGAGCGAAAACTTCCGGTATACCCCTGGATTGGTTTCCCCTCCCCTCCAATGCAAAGCGGACATTTATCATAGAGCTGCCACAGGCTGGAGCGGCACAGTTACACCACAGCGTGACGGCTTTCAATGGCCACCGGAAGTGCAGGCTGTGTTGCCGCTCCAGGAATGGCCGAGCTTCACTTCTCTCTCCCGTTCTATGTGCCCCTCCCCCCCGCACGCGCCCCGAGAGCATTGTGGGAGGTTCCTTGAGGAAGGTCTTCTTCCGCTTCCTGCTTCCCTTCTTCCTTTCACGTGGTGAGTAGCGGGGAGCAGGGTTTAAAAGGAGCGAATAAGTTCAAGCAGGCGCGCGATCATTTTTTTGGTGAGAGTCTTTCTGTTTCTGTTTGTGAAATAAAATATGTGTTTACAGTTCTAGACAGAATTAACGTATTGGGTTGAAACAGTAAATGAGTAAGAAGCTTGTGTACCTATAATTAATCGAGACTAGAGTCACATCTTGATGTCTTCAGTCGTTGTGGTGTGCTATAGTACTCGGAGAGAAAAACTAATCTTTATTCACTGACTTTGTTGTTCTGTAGCAAAGTCAGTCACCAGGTTAGTGACAGACCTACACCTGAATTCCAGTGAACTTTCTGAAAATTGGGGGAGGCAGAGTGCTGATTAAAGTGACTAAAGAGTTTCAAGGGAAGAGATTTGTAAGTAAAAATGAGCCACACAGCAACATTGCATTGTTTTTTTCCTTTGTAGCCATTCAGTTTATTTGGAAAAGTTGTTACGAGACCTTACTGCTTGAAGGGGGGGAAACTATGCACCAGATCAACTCTGCGTGCTAAGTGGATGAGCCCCCAAACCACGCTGGATTAAGAGTACCTGCTGATTTTGTAGTCTTGGTAAGTTTGTGAGGAGCAAATACAGACTTTAGATTACAGGCATCTTCAACCTTTTCAGGCCCAGGACCCGCTTTTAACCCAAACATGAATTTGGCAACCCATTTCTTACTCTTTTACCATATATTTGCATGGTGATACTGCTCCTGTTGCAAACCACCTTGGATCAGGCTACTTACCTACCTTACTTCCTACCTACCTACCTACTTACCTACCTACCTAACTACCTTACCTACCGGTTTAAGAATAGTGTTCTACATGTTAAAATTTCAATTCTGTTCATGGCTGGGGAGCCCATCACAGTTCCAGTTTGGCCTGCTTAACCCAAACCACACCCATCTGTCACATTGGGTGTGGTGGCTTCTGGCTTGAACTGAAGCGTCCAGTTCTCGCTCTTAACTTTAAAGTGGAAAATAATGCTGGTTATTTGTAATCCTTTTGAGAAGTCTAAATTATCAAGTACCAAAAATGCTTGTTTACATCTATGTTATAGTCAGAGACCATTGCTTTGGGTGTACTGGTAGTGATTTGGAAGCTGCCTTCTGTTACAAAACTCTTAAAACTGCAAATACATTTAACTGAAGCAAGTTGTTCTCCATCAACCTTACATTCGGCCAGCACAACTTTCTAATCTCAATCTGGGTATGTCATTCCACCAATGTTTCAGTAAACTTGTTTCTGTCACTCTGCATCCAGTCTGAGGGTTCTGCACATCTGATATGTTGCTAATGCCACTTAAGTTTGTATTGCAATTCTTAAATAGTTCTGAATAGGCTTGAGTTTATATTGAGGGAATACTTCCATTTTTTAAGTATTTTATTATTTTTTAATAAAAAGTTTGCATAAAAGCTGAAGTTGTTTGGTTTTTGTTTGTTACATGAGGATATAATTTTGAGGAACGCGTTCCAGTGGGTGTGTCTCCAGTGAATGTTCATAGGACTAACAACATCAAAATTGCACAAAGTAATCACACAGATTGGTGTTGGAGGGACTTTCTTGATCCTCCTTTATGGCCCAGGCCCACTTTGAAAAACAAAATTAGCTGGTGGAACATGTAGGATCCAAAACAGGTTGTAGCCAGCTTATCCTGGTAAAGTACTGCCTTTTTACAATGTCCAGGTATGTCCCTTATGAGCATCTTTCTCCATATTAGTCCTCACTGATGGGCACCATGAGAATGCTTTTTCAGTGTTGGCACAGCCACTAATACACCACTTAACTTATGCACAAGCCTTTAGCTTAACCAATAGTTATTTCTGCTTTGTCCTCCCACGTTCCTGTGTAATATTAAAGTACAGAGGATTTTTCACCAGTTTTTTTCTGAAAAGTTGCTCTAGAACCTTTAAGACTGTAGATAGAGGGGGCTCAGTGAAAATCCCCTCTCCTCCCTGATACACGAAAAGGACATTTCCTGCATCCAGTAGTCTGCTGGAGAATGCCAGTGGTGACTATCCCATTAAAGAAGTTTGAAGAGAAGTTTGAGTGGTATGGTAATGCCACTGGTTCCTGGGTGTACACTGGAATTTGTGAGCTACCTTTAAGAGTCCTGGTATATGTTTTTTAACAAATTATGTCCTGCATAGGGAATCATTCAATTCTGAAGAAAAACCATTTCAATTTAAATAGATGCCTAAATTTGTAAAATGTTTTTGCTTTTCCTTAAAAATAATATATAGCTAGTTTGTTCTTGTTCACATCTGCTGGTGTGAACTGCACATAGTTTACTACCTAAAAAACATATGTATTAAACAGCAGAATAATGCGAACATGGTCACCTTAAGACTATGGCATACAATCAAAATTCTGGGCAACCACAACCAATTGGCACAGAAAGACACGTTCCCAGTAGGGGACAAAAGCCACTGGTATCATGGTCTGAATTGCTCGTGTGCAGGTGCTCTCTCACATGTAGAACACTCCAAACACATTCAATTTCACAAAACAAGGTTCATGTGTTTAAGCCTATCTTTACAATAAGAAGGGCTGAAACGGAAATTCTGACTCCTGTGCCACTTTTGTGCTCGTACATTGAAATAGCTGCAAGAAAACATTTTGAACAAAAAAGTACTCTCTTGGTGGACCTTCCCCCCCAAAAAAAATCAAGTTAGGAGTATTAGAATTGGCAATGAGATACTTTTCAAATTTTAAGCTTATGAATACACAGCTGAAATTGTGTTTATTGAAGTCTGGATACAAAGAAAAATCCTTTATGCCACTAACACGCAGGCACCACCAACTTCTTTGATTTTCTCTTCTGCCTTTCTGCTGAAGAATTTTGCTTTCACGATTACAGGCTGTTTGGGCAGTTTCCCCTTGCCCAGGACTTTGTAGTAACCCTGGAAAGATAAGAAGATTTAGCGAAAACTCTTAAGTCCAAATATAAGGTACACAAAGCCTCTTGCAGTCACTACCAGCTGAACCAATTTCCATACAAATCAAAAGCAAAATATTTCAACGTACTGTATGTAACAATGACATTGTAACAAATGACCTTTAGAAAAAGTTTTGCCAAACATTTACCAATTACAAAATATAAGTCACCATGCATATTCAGTATTTTCTCACTTTGTCTTCTTGGTTTAAAAATACTTTGGCAGACAGAACAATTTGATATTCTAGAAAGGGTTGTCAGAAAACTAATATGCTATGTTGAAATGTCATTTTGTCCTCTCGGCCTGAGCACATACCATGAAAGGTTTGTATACGTACTTGGATCCTACGTTTGTTCCCACCAGGAACTCTTTAGTATATTTTTCTTCCCCGTGATCAGTATTCTACAGTGGATCAAAGCGCACTTAGGAATAAAGCCAATGTCAAGAATGCAGTGTGCACAATGCAGTCTCAACACAAACACTGGGTGGCCATACATATTAAGAGCAAAATCAAGTGTTAAATATACAGTATAACTATACTGAAATCCTAATTATGACAATAGCTTTATTAGGCCAATGAAAATGCTACAAAATAGCACATAAGCTTTTCAGTTCTCCACAACTCTTCATCAGGCTTGATGGTAAAGAAGCCGCCAAAGTTTGAGGCAGAGAAAGAATGGGAGCGAACGCCATCTATGTCTACATCTGGGAGACAGACCTAGGGAACAGCTGGTTTTGTATTTTCAGAGATAGGCAATTGGCAACTGTGTTTCCTGCACCCTAAAACCTGCACAGCACCTAACAAAGCCTCATTTGAACATCTGCACTCTAGACACTCACCAGATGCAGACTTGGTCAGCTTTACCACCAGTCAAATTCTCCCTAACTTTATTTAGTATCTATCCCGAAGAAGAGTTCTGGAGAACTTGAAAACTTGTACATTGTTTTGAGACATTTTTGTTGGAATAGTTTCATCTTGGCCTAAGAGAACTCACTCCAGGGTGGCTCACCTAGCACCTTCATTACATAATTTTAGGTGCCAGACAAAAACATTCCCCTTTGGTTAATTAAACTATAGCCTTTTAAGCTAGTGGGTGGTATTTTATTGTGTTGTGTATTTTGTGCTTTTATACTGTAAACAACCCTGTGATCCTTATTAGGCTGCACTCCTAACTGTGTCTACGCAAATGTTAGTCCAACTGAATTCAATGGGCCTTACTTTCAAGTAAGGGGTGTTAAAAGTTCAGCTTTTAGGACTTACCATACTACACAAATGAACTAGCTTCACACACATTTTATATTATCAAAATAAACTTACCGAGCGTACAACATCAATAACTGGAGCTAATCCCGCCTGATTTTTGGCATAGTTGAGTCTTGTTTGCTCACTAACAAGTGTCCAGAGTTTATCCAGGTTCACTGTAGGACAGAAGTGCTGGTTTTTCTTCAAGTGGTAATGTCTCATACCAACTTTTCCAAAATAACCAGGATGACTGGCAAGAAATCACAGGCAGAATACAGTCAATGTGTAACTCATTTTGAAATGCATGTGCATCATTACCTAGCTAGAGAACATACAAAGTATATAACATTAAATGCATAGCCTACTGAATGAGAAATTGTCTTCATTTAAATTTCTCTAGCCAGGTTTGTCAGGTTTTTTTATGCTTAAAACCATTGCAAGGTATATCTAGTCTACTAGTACCCAGCTTATTTCCCTCACACACACCTCAATGACATTGTCTCCTAGCCACTTTCAGACTGAGTTAATGTGGTCCACAGAGGTGAAGAACAAGAAAATACAGAGTTGTAAGGAGTATTTATTGTCCGAAGTAATAACTTATTTAGTTCCAGGTAATCAACTAGAGCAAAAATCAAACTAATCAGATGGGAAAAAACCCTGTCTATTTCTGTGTCCTTACACAGTTGTCCCAGTATTTCACTGCCTGGTGCCCAAAGTACCATAAAACATGACATTACACACACCGCTGTACACAAACCACCCTAAATTTATAATTTGCCAGGAGGGTGTTCTGCACTACAGGTAACTTTTATGCCCAAATATTCTGTGACAGAAGACAAGCTACAGCAACTTCAAAAAAATATGTTGTTCTAAAGGAAAGGGAAAGCTGTAATTGATCCAACAATAAATATTTGCCTTAACTGTGGCTACAATGGGAGGTCCTCCAAGCTCTTGCTTTTTATATGAAAGCAGTCAAAGACACACAGTTCTATTTGTTTCCTTGCAGCAACTCCAGCAATTCACCAAACACTTTTGGAAAATCAGAGCATTGACTCAGCATTACAAAGACATGCAGAATGATGATACCGATCCTCCTGGTGGCCCCACACCTCCCAGTTTGGGATATGAGTTTTCTGTTACTAACCTGGTGACTGACTGAACTATGAATAGGGCAGTCAGTGAATAAAGGTCAGTTATTGCTCTTCGAGTACTATAGCACACCATGATAACTGAGAATATCTAGATGTGACTCTAGTCTCGATTGCTGTAGATCAGTAGCAGCCCATGTGATGGGTTTGAGCTGCCCTTCCGACATTGGCATGGTTGCAGTCTGGGCTGTGGACACATTCTGGTGCTCCTGGTCATACACACACACAGTCCCAACCTCACTGTCACCCTATCCAGGTAAACTGCAGCACTGTAGCAACTTCACCCCACCAAACAGGCCACTTCTGGTATAGATAAGTAGCTTTGCATACCTAATTCAAAATTAAACCTGAAATCCTCCGCTTGTTTACTGGGACAAAAGTCCACCAGAAACAGTGTAATGGACTGCCTCATGGCCCTAAGCAAGAGTAGGTTATGATTACACTTCAGCCTATATTTAACAAAATTAACATCTACAGGGTGGTAAAGGTTATTTTGGTACCTATTATGGGTTTGTTCTTTGCATTATATAATCAAATGCTTGAGAAGGAACAAAAAATGCTTACTATTTGTCAAAATTAATTCTGTGGTGGTGCAAACCCCCAGCATTACCACGGCCTCCAGGATGCTTCCTGTGTTTGCCTATAATAGAAATGAAGAACAGATTAAAACCTTGAATTCAACTTCAATTTCTAGGTATTTACATGCCTTTCCCAACCTCACTATAACCATCATCATTTTCCCCTGCACTCTGGTTTTATTTCAGTCAAGGTTGTGAAATAAATAGCCAAACCTTAAAATAACTAAGTATTAAAAATGAAGCTTACAAGTACTACTAATGTTATCCTCTACATGACTTAGTCTAGTAATAAAGCAGAAGATATCCTGAAACCATGAATGAGCACAAACCAACAAAGTAAATAATCCTCTACACTTACCGATACGGCCGTGGCCATGGCTAACATGACCCCTCAGTTTCCTGGTCTTCCTCAGTCTGGAAGGCTTAAAAGATTAGACTTGTGTAAAATATATATATATGAGAACAACATACACAACAATGCTTGACGTAAAAGGGCTATCAACCCCTACCAGACCACACTACTTCAGATGAAACAATTTAAGCACAACCCCCTTTCCCCACTAATGGTTTGAACACAATTTTTTGGCTCCTCCTTTCATGAACTGTTTAGTTATAAAAACTCTGTAACTAAGAACTAACACATCTGCTTTCTTCCAATATCTCTCCTAATCCCTTTTGTATCATATTTTTCACTTGTAAGCTTGAGAGCAGGGGCTGTTTCATTACTGATTTTTGTAAGCTACTATAGGCAGCTTTTAGGCTGAAGAGCAGGCTTAAAAAGAGAAGTGTTAAATATATAAATATCTGTGGGTTTTTTTAATGCATGTTACATTTTGTGGCATTGATATGGTTCTTTATGTTTATGCTTATAGGGGTGGACAGAAGGTAGATCATATTCCATAGGTAGACCTCTGACCAGTTGCTGGCAGATAACCTGGTACCTCTTGGCTGCTGGGATTCTAATTCTAATCAGATCCAGCAAGGCACTTCTTAGGCTCTTAAGATTTAACACTGCCCAGTTATGCTTTAAATTAAAATGTCCTGAATAGCCACACTTGCATTGCAAATTTAATATAAACTGGATCTAGCAAAAACAAAAAAACAACCGACTGAAGTCAGCCCACCCCTACACTAATATACTCTTAGCCATCTTGAGCCTGTGCAACAAGATTTGAGTAAGTGAAACAAATACACTACCATGCTGTTTTAATTTTATATACTGTACACTGCCTTGGCATTTCAATGAGGGGGCAGTGTATAAATACTTTAAATAAAATAGGGAGGAAAACGCTTCTGCTGTGTGGTCTTTCTAGCCGGGAAGAATATATCGCTTTTTTATTATTACTATTAATATTCTGTTGGGAGCAGCCCAGAGTGGCTGGGGAAACCCAGCCAGATGGGCAGGGTATTATTATTATTAGGCCCTGCTCCCCCCCCCCCAAAAAAAGTACTATGTACTCTGGAGAAGAGCTTCTACAGGCCATGTGCTCTGCAGTGAGGAACCTTCCTCTTCCAAAAGGGGTGTCCAAGAGCCGTCTCTTGCATACAGGGTTCCCACATTCCTCCCCCCGCCCCGCCGGGCAGAGATGCACGTGGCCCATTTCGGAATTATTTGCAGAAATTAAAGGGGGGGGGACAAAAACGGGGCGCAGTCCTGGGGATGCGGCTGCCACGTCCCGCTCCAGGGAATTCCACGAGGCTCTGGACAGAGGAGGAAGGGCTCCCTTTTTCCGCCTCCCTCCGACTGCAGGACGAAGCAGAAGGAGGGAGAAGGAGGAAGGCCCCGGCCCAGGCCTCAAGCCAGAAGCCGCCCTCCTCACACGCTGCGCGGAGAGGCGCCGGAGAAGCCCCGCAAAACCGCCTCTGCCGAGCACGCCGCATCGCTACCTACCATCTTGCTGGGCCAGAGTCAGAGGGAAAGAGAGAGAGGCCTCTCTCGCGAGCTTTCACAAAAGAACCGGGGGAAGCGCGCTCTTCTCGCGATGTCTCGCGCGGCGGGGGTGGGGGTGGGGAATGGGTCAACGAGGCTCAAAGCGCAGTTTCCGCCGCTCACGATCACGCATTCATGCCTCACTTCCGGTTCTGAGTAAGCCTCCTCCATGTGCGGGGCAAGAGGGGCGGAAGTAGAGGTGGCCGATGCAAAAGTTTAGCCAGGGAGCGCAGCCAGAGGCTTCCTTTCATTGCGTTGTTCTGAAATGATCTTAGAGAAGAGTCTTGTTGCTCGTTGTAGGAGTAACGTTGGTTATTGGAAGAGAACGCTTAAGGGTTTTAAAAGTGGGGGGACGGGGACGGGACACAATTTTGGCTGTTAAAAAGAGATTGAAGAAAGGTTAAAAGCTGGTGTGCAGTGCATGGGTTTAGTTTGCTTTCTTGATGAGTAAGAGCAATAAGAATAAGAACCCCAGTGGGTCCTACATCCCTGTGTTTCTGTGAGAAAATAAATACTGGAAGTGTTATCAGTGAGAATCTCAGTATGGTGCTTGGTGTGTGTCTGGGATATCGGTGGGGTGTGGAGTTCCGTAGGGGGCTGTGTGAGGTAGAACGCATAGAAGGGTTTAAGTGTGGGATTTAATGTGGAGCAGGCTATGGCGGATTCAGTGAGCACTTGACTTTAACACTCATATTGAGGAGATGGTGCATGCAAGGTTATGGGATTTGATCTCTTAAGAGGTGCCCATAGCGCACGCCCCCCAGCCAATGGATGATTCTTCATTTAACCACTGCACCACATTGATATTTCATAACCAAAGGAACAGGCATTGTGCAGAGCATCCACTAGTACTGATGGTGGTATGGAACCTTAAACAGTAAGGTTTGAAGGAAAGGAAATGCAGAAAAATACAGTGTGATAATTGCATTATTAATAGTGGCCATTTTCACGCACACAAATCCAACTGGGTTAATCATGACATCAGTATGCCAATTAACACATGTAGTGTGATTTATTTATTTTTAATCCCATTGGTAACATTGACACCCTTGATCAATTGTAGTTCACCAGTTTTATGTTGCAGTCTCCCTTTAAAGTGCCATTGATCCATTAACGGGGCATTTTTTTATATGCAGAAAGTCATTGTGAACAATGAAAAATGACCTGATGAACAAACATTTACTTTGAAGTTTTTGCTTTTAAGTAGACCAATTGTCTATGACGTTCTCAACCCATCTAAGCTAATAGTCGCTGCTACATTTTTTAATACAGGGATAGGAAACGTGGTGCTTCAGGTGTTATTGGGACTGACCACTGGCCATGCTCTCTGGGGCTCATGGGAGTTGAATAACATTGGAGGGCCACAGGTTCCCTGACCCTCTTTAAATACCGGTATATTCCATAAATGCACTGGGTAATGTCTGCTTAAAAAGCAATGCCAATAGATTCCACTGGATGACCAGGAATTCTAGCTTTTTAAAGAAATAAGCCTAAAGGAACAAATCACTCAGCCCTCAGGAGTTGCACAAGTCCCACTCTGCAAGTGGAATGCCTAGGATTTTCAGGATACAGTTAGTAAATTCTATTAGTTTGAGTGTTACTTTGCCAAGATGCAGAGGTCAGCTTCTAACAAGGTTTAAAACAATGGTTTAGTACTTTGGGCTGTCAAGCCCAGTCCTATGAATATCTACTTGGGGGGAAATCCCACTGTGTTCCTAAGGGATTTACAGCACAAGTTATACAACTTCAAAGTAAATCTAGTTATTCATTTAGTATTGAGGCAGCAGCCAACATCAGAAGAATTCTAATGAATGACATTTGACACAAGTATTTACACAATTTATTAGAAATCATACATACATTAGAAAAAGATGGACTGTACCTCACCATTTGCAGCCTGTGTGTCAAAAGGCCAGAGATTTCTCCATGTTTAGCAATCATAGTGCAGAACGCATTATAATTTACTGACCATCATTTAAAACAAAGCAGATAATCTGTGATTGTGAATCAAGTACCTTATTACAGAATAACTTGTTATTCTTTTTCTTGAAAAATTAATTAGAAGAAACACTAGAGAAAAATATAAACTCTGTCATATAAAAAATCAGACCTCTTTCATATACCCCCACCCCCAAATTCCCACACTGGAGTTCATTCGCTTCCACAGTACACCATGTAGCTCTCACAAATATCTGATGAAGTCAGTGGTTCCGCTGAGACAGTCGGCTGCACATAATTAGCTATTCAGTTTGCACCAAGCATAACTCAGTTTGCACTAAAGAAAGAAGCACCTGTTATTTTCAGGAATATACAAATATTACCACAGTTGTCCGTGCTCGTGACAATTTTTGTTTGTTTGTTAAGGACGCTTACAGCACATCATTTACAAATACCTATCCAAATACATTATTATTATTATTATTATTGCTGATGCACAGTGAAACATCATTTGCAGTCACTTAAACTTGTGACCAGCTAATTTTGTCCCCTCCATCATCAGAATCGGAAAAAAAGATGTAGGTGGTGATCTGTGCCGGCATCATAAATAGTCTTTGGATCCATAATTCAGTAGAAATGAATTAATTCTTCTTGTGAAGGAACCTCATTTTATTTCCTGAAATAACACAAATGAGATATCATACAGATATTAATATACATTTTAAACCATCAAGAATTCAAAACAGCACAACTTCTTTTTGGTAAAGAGGTCACAGCATACAATGAAATCTATATCTTGGTGGTGTCTCAGACATTTAGTTTGAAAAGCAGCATAGAATTCACTACTACCACAATCCTGGTTTATGTACATGAGATGAAACACAATGATGAAACACTCTCATTTTACAGTGGTACCTTGGGTTATAGACGCTTCAGGTTACAGACTCCGCTACCCCAAAAAAAGTACCTTGGGTTAAGAACTTTGCTTCAGGATGAGAACAGAAATTGTGGTCCAGTGCTGCGGCAGCAGCAGGAGGGCCCATTAGCTAAAGTGGTACCTCAGGTTAAGAACAGTTTCAGGTTAAGAACGGACCTCCAGAACAAATTAAGTTCTTAACCCAAGGTACCACTGTATTTCTTAAAATTTATTTTCATGCTCAAACATTATAATAAAATTAATTAGCAGAGGAAAACTGTCTGACACATACATGTAGTGTGTGTGCACAGGTAACAATTTCTGTGTACAAAGAGGAATGACGTCTTCCTTATCACTACTGTACAATTGTACTGGGTTGACAAGCTTACTGTCTCTGTTTTTTAAAGTCCTCACCACAGCCTCCTCTCCACATCCCATTTAAGGACATATTGTTAAAGTATATTGTTATATCTTTGCCCTCCCTTGATTCTTTTGAAAAGCATGAGCTTTACATTATATGAACTTTACGTTATATGCAATGAATGAATGAAACAAAGTCCCATTTTTTCCCCCAAAAATAAAGAGACTGCAATTTTAAGTGTGTGTTTGGAGGGCAGGTCCTTGACCCTTTTCTGCTTTTCATCTACATGTATAGTTTCCCCCCTCAGTCTAGAGTCTCACATATACTCTAAAGCAGGGATGGGGCATCCTACAGATGTTATTGGACTCCCACTCTCATCATCCCCACAAACACAAACATTTCAACAATCTAGAAGCCAAAGAGCTAAATCAATTCTTTCTTTTTTTAAAAGAAGCACACCTTCCCTTCCTATATTAAAACGAAAACAGTACTATGAACTGCATTTTGTTTTGCTTATCAGATACAATATATTATAATTTCATTTGATCAACTGAGGCCCTTCTAAAGAATTATCAGTTGTTGTACGCATTGGATCATGAAGCAAAGCGTGTTACCAGGACTGTTAAATAGGTCAGCACTTTCTGCAGAAGCTAAGCTCTTCCATTACTTGTTAATAAATGTTGCCTTCTCTTGCATATCTACCAGATGCTACAATGAAGAAGCCTCCAGGAACGAAATGTGCTTTATAATAGGGCCTTTTCTTAGCATTTTTTCAACATGATGCACATGTTTCAATATTTCAAAGCCTCTGTTTTAAGTTCCTTACCAAGGCCTCGCAGAAACTTATTTACTCCACTTTGTTCAGTGTCTGGAAGCTCTTCCAAATACTGTTCAACCCTCTGTTCAAAGAGACCTGTGGGAAATGGATGAAAGAGAAATATTGGTCTTTTTCCAAGAGAAAGGAGGATCAAGACCTAGTGCTCTTACTTTTGTGGCAGCAAGAGACCCTCTCTCTCTCTCTCACACACACACACACACCATTTGTTTTCTGAAGGGTATTTCAAAAGCCTTATTTTAAAACGTTCCATGTCTTCATTCATCCCAGCATTCATCAGCCTTTCTCCTGTTAGGAGATGGTGGGTGGGATTGCCAAAGTCTTTTTTCCTAGACACCCGCTCCCTTTAAAAATAAATGCCAAGTGCATAAGCTGAATGCACACAAGCTAAATGCTTGTAATTTGCGAATTATGAGTACTACAATACATTAATAAATGAAAAGGCCATCTCACAGTTGAGAGAACAGGCCTTACCTTTTGCCCTGCATTTTCGGAGTTCTCTATCTTGGATAAACCCAGCAAACATCTGAGATTCCATAAAGACCTCTAAGAAACGGCGGATGCTCTTTGAAGCCACAGATTTGCGGAAAGCCTCTCTTTGGAAGACTCGCTCGGCCTTTTCATTTTGAGTGAGGAAAAGGGAATAGTGTCCGATCGTCTCCACAAAGAAACGGATGAACACTTCTGATACTAATCCATTCAGAGTATTACACTCTGCAAGAAAGAGGAAACAGTATATAGTAGAACCCACACAATATGAACTAGATGTCTCCTCCCCCAACTCCTGAATACCATTGTGTGTGTCCCTGCAGCTCCCTGTCACTGTAATTGCACATAAATATTATTAGGATATTAGAATAGGATGTTCATTATCAGACTATTGTTTAAAATGTCTAAGTGGTGTACAACAGATTAGCCAACAAGTGCAAGAGAAAAAATGTTGTATTCAACAGGACATCGCCAAGAGACTGTCCAGCAGCTAGAAGCATCACTCCCACCCCCCAAAATCATTTGATATACATTTAAAATTCATTTGACGTAAAGACAGCATGCTAGTTTCCTCAATTCTCATAACCACAGGCTGTACGAATACCAACAAATGGGTTTCACTCATCCTTGGTTGGGTCTTCTGGAGCAGGTTTTTTGAAGACCTTCACTTTGTTCTTCAAACATTATATTCTGGGCATTTTCCTCATTTATCAGAATACCAATGGGTTTAGAGTATATACCACAATTATACCAGGAGCCAAGCAAAATGTTTGTTTCCAAACAGCCTTTGCAAGATCCTTTTCCCTTTAATGAGGATGCCTTTGAATCTCATGGAGAAACTATTTTGTTTAACTAAGAAAGAAACTGTGAAGGAATGGTCAAACATTAGTATGAAAGGAGCAGCCAGCAGCAAAGGCAGAATTGTTGCCACTCTCAGACTCCAGTAAGTACAAAGCACACCAAGAGGCTCCTGCCAAGTTTCTATAAACTGATCCCCCCCCCAAAGGCTCAGATCAATATCTGCCCATCTCATGTGGCTAGGTCAGCCAATTGACTGTGGAATGTCTCTTGTCTTGTAACGTGGACACTTTAAGTTGATTTAAATTCCTCCCTTTAATTTGTAAATAAACAAGTAAGAGACCTTTTCTTCCCTTTCCCTAGTCATAGGATAACTAGTATTATTAAATTGATTAAAAAGCCATTTGTATCCTTAAAAAAAAAAGGCCAAATGACAGGGCACTTTTGCAAGGATGCATGTAGCACAATCCCACGGACATTCATGTAACAAATCAAAATGAGTATCGAGCTCTGCAAAGCCAAGCGTGTGGAACTCAGCCATTCAGAAACTAAGAAATATTAAAATAGTTCTAAAGTCTCTTTAAGGGCTACCAAACACTTCAACACAGATGCATCAGTTGTTTTCCGAGGGAAGTCACAATGACTCAGATCAACACAGCAAGCTGCTCTGAACCAACTGTGGCTCCTGTTTCGCTTCCATTGGGAATAGCACAGCATCCAGGCTTGTAATTAAATTCTTACAAACACAATAAGTGAACCAAAAAAAAGAAAGGAAAAACAGTCATGGAAGTCACTCTCCAGAATAGCTAGCTATAGTCAATCAAACGGTTAGCAATGCGTGACAGTGTTGTGGAAAAAAATGTGTGCCATCGTTAAATACTGAATGGTTTACTGTTGTGAAGTTCATTTTTTGAAGTTGTTTTTCTTAAAGGATTTTCATAGTTAACAGAGGTACATAAAACGTCTTTGTTTTCAATTCATAGAGTCCTTTCTACAGGTCAGTTACATTCAGCGTGAGAATGTAATGGTGTGTTGTGAAGTACACTTTAAATGTTGAAAAATATTTTTTTTTGTAGTTCGCTGATCAGTTTACATACAACATTCTTGTTTCCCTCTTTAGCTTCCAATAACATATTATTCCCCATCCCACAAAGATTCGGCTGTAAACAGGACTTGTTCCCAGCCTCTCTTACCCTCATCTGATTCGCTGTCTGAATCTTGGTTTATTAAATCACTCTTCCTCTCTAGAGCCTGCTCCAGAGCTGCTTGCAATTTCCTAGGCAAAAGTGTGTCTTCATCATCCATCTGAAGGAGGAAAACAATGAGCAGGCTTATTTCCAATCAAACTTTTTCAGGATTCAGAACTGAGAAACATATCTGATATTTCACACCATGTTGTAAATAAAGCATTAAACTCTTACACTGTGAGAAGAGAAAGCAGGCCAAAGCCAGATTTGGCAGTGATGTTGCAGCACCTTGCCCAGGATTTTGAGGAGAGATGAGGTGTATTGAACATCTGAATTTATGTTGTTGGTTGTTCTATTTGTAATTGAAGTTTTTATTTTGTTTTATGCTGTTTGAATGTTATTGATTCATTTTGGCTTAGATTGTGTATATCTCTGCCCTGGGACCTTTAGGTGAAGGTTTATTGTTTATTGTGAGGTTGACACACCCACCATGTTTTCTCATTCTTAACTGATGGGACAACCTCACAACTCGGCCTGTTAACTCTATTTATGTTTTTCTAATGGGCTATGAAGTTGTTTTGCATATTTCAAGACACACATAAAAAACACACAGTACCTGTCTGATGAAACGATCAGATCCAAGGTTCACCATCAAAGCCTAAAAGGTAATCAACAGAGAAAAGTTTTATCGTGGTGCCTGGAGACATGTTATTGTCTTTACAAGAAAGGGGAGATCTAAATACAAGTTTGACCACCAAATTGAACTTCTAGTGCCATCCAGTGGCTTCAGAGTGTTTGGTATGCACCAATAATGTATAAAGCAGGAACCCAAGCTTGTGGTGTGTGTAGTGTACTGAACATCCACTTCTATGAGAATTAAGCTGAGCGTCTTACATCAGCATTGTGCCCTCCATATGCTATGGACTAAAACGCTCATGATCCCTGATGATTTGGCACTCTGGCTGGGGCTGATAGGGATTGTTTGAGCCTTCCTTTATTCAAGAAGACACAGTTCCACTAGTATCTGAGAAGGTATTCATATAAACCAGGGGTGGGGAACATTTTTGGCTCCAAATGCCAGATCCTTATTAGGATCAATCAGCCTTGTGAGCCAACTTTGACAGGTGGATGGGCCAACTCTTGAGCTATATGGACCAATGGTCTGACTCAGTATAAGGCAGCTTCCTCAGTTCCTGTGACATGGGCCTTCGTATGTTCCTATTATATGGGAAGAAACTATGTCATTCCGTTTACTCAGACATTACCAGAACAGTAACAGATCCAGACACTCAGAAGCAATTCTTATGACTCTCTGATACTGAGTGAAGCTACCCTTGTATATATAAATAGCAATATAATAAGAAATTTGAGAGAGGAGGAGGAGGAGGAGGAGGAGGAGGAGGAGGAGAAGGAGCAGAAGCAGCAGCAGCAGAAGAAGAAGAAGAAGAAGAAGAGGAGGAGGAGGAGGAGGAGGAGGAGGAGGAGGAGGAGGAGGAGGAGGAGGAGGAAGAAGAAGAAAGAAACCTGCTTTGCACATGTCACAAATAGGGGCTCAGAATCAGCCCTATCAAAACACCTCTTCCCCTGCTTTCATGACCCATTGAAATAGAACAATGATACCATCAGGTATGCAGTTGTCCTTAATATTTTCTGGACTGATGCCAATTACCAATGTAATATCTTCCTCATCCTCTGCTCTCATGTTTGCCATGTTTACACCACAGGAAATTAGTTCTCACATTGAGCTAATTTCATGATGGATGAAAGTATGTAAAGGAGAATGAATGAACTCAGAATTCAGCTCAGAACAGAATAGTTGTGGGCAACAGCACTTCGACCACATTGCTCCTTAAGCAACAAGCTGCCAATATACCTTCCTAGAATGGTCTGTGTAAATTTACCACTCAATTCTAATGCTCATGATAATTGGTAAGAGCCTATGTATTGAAAGTTGCTTCTCCACTCCCATGCATTTGGTAGAAAATACCCAGATATGTCATAAGAGTTCGATTCAGGCGTGCTCCTCATATGTAAAGCTCACATGGGAGCAAGGTGAGCAGAAATGAGAGGGCTACACCCATCGCCTTCCACCTCAGGGAGTACAACTATGTGAAGTGGAGGGTTCTGAATTGTGCAAAGAGCTTCCATGAGTAGAGGAGGTCCCTTGCTCTACAGGACCATCCTCCATGAGTTGGAAGACGACGGGAATAGTGACACAATGGCACAGCTTAGCATGCTCAACTGCTTGAATTGTAGGGTTTGTATATGAGCAGAATGCCCAAATAGAACTAAGATTCTACATCTGTCCTGGACAAACTTGCTTCTTTTAAAATGGTCTGTTTCTCTACTGTAGTCCATTTTTGCAGGTGTTACAGGCAGAAATACAATTAAAAAATGAGTGCATCCACCTCATAAGGATGTAAGAATACAAGCTTATCGAAATCAATGAGTTGCAATTCTGATCATCTATCCCAAAATTGGCATTTCAGTGTTATGCTCACTCTAGCAGAGTTGGGGAACCTCAAGCTCAGTAGCCAAATGTGTCCTCTATGCCTCTGTATCTGGCCTCTGTAACACCACCCTGTTCCCAGGCCAATCCCCCCTACCCGCCCTGCTTTGCACCCCAATGAGTGTTTTTGCGTACCTAGAATGTAGCCTTGAACTCTCATCTTGTCTTTTGCTTACCTGGATAGAGTGGTGTATGTGGAAACTAGCCTACTAGAAAAGGTGAGATTCACTGCTTGGCACACTTTTGCCTCTGGCCCTACATACCCCTGGCATGTGGCCCTCAGAAGGTTGTCCAGAAGGGAATATGGTCCATAGGCTGAAAATTGTTTCCCTGTCCCTGCGGTACTGCTTGCACATCAATGAGGAGGAAACCTTTCAGAGAGGTAATGGCATTGTTTCCCATCAGTTGCAAGTAAGGATTGAAGCACAAAGGTTTGTTAAATCTATTGCAGAGTTCTTTCCTGGGAATTTCACCTACAATGAACTATGGACTCCATTCCTACCTCTTCTACCGGTAGCTCCTTTAATTTAGGCAGTGAGTTGGAAAGCAATCCGACCAGAAACGGAGTAGGGCAGCAGACAATGTCAATCATGGAAGAAGGCAGGACAGGAATGAATGTGTGTTGCCAGGAGAAGGGGTACAGCAAAGCCACCACAGCATGAGAGCAGCTGGACAAGGTGCTGAGGACAAAACAGAATGGATATTAGCATGTGCTTTAACAAACGAACAAAACTTTCTGCTTGCTTCTTAATAAAAGTCGGGACACTTCCAGTTTGTCACTATATTCAGACGGGGTTAAATCTCATACCAGCAAATTCAGGTTGTACACTTCCCCAAAAGATGTGACTTTCTACAATAAGGAAAGGGACCAGAAAATGCACTGGAAAATATGGGATAGCATTTGCTTTTGTGCAATGTCATCTAACCTCCCCACAAACAAATCAGAATGAGTGCTCATTAAATAGCTGGTGTCACTGAATCTCCCTGCAAACAAGTCTGGATGAACACTCAATAAACCAGTTGTCTGGAAGCACACTCAATAAACCAGTTGTCTGGAAGCACACTCAAAGCAAAGAGAACACCCTACATTCACGCACCACAAAATGGTCTTCAGGATGATTTTGCACATTATCCAAATCCAATCTTTCCTGCTGAGTCAAAAGTCATCACCAGCCACCGATTTATGGAAGCCCACCTGGTGTAAACCTTGCCACAGTTTTAACCCCTGGCAACAATGATATTGTTTTCCTAGACAATTGGACAGCCCCAGTGATATGATATATTGTCCTGCTAATCTGCTTCTAATAGGCTTATATGATTTTATTATTGTATTTTTAAACTTTTATTGCAAATTATTTCAGGACTTCTTTTTTAACCAGGAAACAATGTATAAATTTTAAGAAACCTAACCAGTAATACAGCAAAAGAGTAAAAGAAAAAGGGAGGCACAGTTCAAAATATATCATTGAAACACTTTAACAGCATACTATATTCTAAGAATCACTTTCACTAGTTCAGGATCCTTTATAGTGTATCCAGATTCAGCTACAGAAAATGCTGGCCAAACAATAAGAGATTGGACAAATTTTGTTTTCGAAAAGTAAGTCAATTAATTACATATACACTTTAACATTTTTCAGGGAAAAGCAATGGCACAATTACTGTATTAAGCACAGCTTTGGGTTAATATGGCACTGTAAAGGAGTGAACCCATTCAAAATCAGTACCTGAGAACAAGATTCTAGCTACCAGATGGTTTGCCAGCCTCCCTGTTACGAGCGGAAACTAATCTGCCAAAGTTGGCAGCTCTAGTAAATGACAGGATGATTGTTTTCCTACTGGATTAAATTACGGTATCCTACGGAAATAGTCTGAAGCTTTCAAAGTTAGCACTGATTAGTATCCCGAATAGGTTAAATCAGTCACTAAGCTGATAGCCATGATAGGATTTTTTGTCTAGTCTTGATAGGATTTTGTTGTTGTTTGGGAGTGAAGAAAGCATTGGACATGTTACCCATAAATGAGGGGGAAAGAAGCATGAACCTCACCTCCAGTATAACGTGTAGATGGAGAAATTGCACATCTCCCCAGAATGAGATGTGTGTGCTTCCAGAAGTGGAGCAGCCCATATATCTTAATACATGAATTGCCTGTTGATCTTAAACCAAAAGTGCAAAGAAGTCTTTGCTATCCCCACATGCTCTCACATAACACATCACTGAGGTCCATCCCCGAGGGCCTTCTGACGATTCCCTCGCTGCGAGAAGCCAAGTTACAGGGAACCAGGCAGAGGGCCTTCTCAGTAGTGGCACCCACCCTGTGGAACGCCCTCCCACCAGATGTCAAAGAGAAAAACAACTACCAGACTTTTAGAAGACATCTGAAGGCAGCCCTGTTTAGGGAAGCTTTTAATGTTTAATAGGTTATTGTATTTTAATATTCTGTTGGAAGCCGCCCAGAGTGGCTGGGGAAATTTATTATAAATAATAAATCATCATCATCATCATCATCATCATCAACAATTCATTCAGCTAGAGGTTTGTCAAAGACAATTGCCACTAAGAACATTGAGAGGAGGGTTCCTATTGCCCTGCTTCCAGCAGGGTCACCTGCCACCTTCAACAGCTAGCCTGACAAGCCTTTTCCCAGTTTGAAGATGCAATGAACGGGGAAATTATGCCTGTTGAATTTCTGCCTGCCATGCAGATGACAAAGGAATCCTACCAAGGATAAACAGTGGGTAATCAAGGCTCTTATTGGTTTAACGGCTGATGCTTTCTATTTCAAATTGTGCAGCAATTTTCATTATTTCCCCATTCAACTAGCCTCCTCTTCATACAAATCCATATGCTGTATATTCCTGCTTACATTTTTCACACCATCTGTAAGCAATGGAAGAACACCTTGTCCTTGACCAGCACAGCACAGTCTGAGAACTGGAAAGCCACAGTTCCTGCTGCCCTTGACTTTGTGGGCAGTTTCATTTGTTCTCAAGTTCTTCCATCTGCAGGATATGCTCCATCTTCAGAGCACTTTCCAATGAAAGGCACTTCAGAAACCTCTGTGCACTCAAAAAACACCCTCGCTGCTATGCTTTGCTATCACATTCTTTGGAAATCCCCTGCTAACAACATGCTTTGACCCAGAGTGCCTTCCCAGTAGTCTTCTTTGGAAGGCTACAATAAAATAGCCTTTTTTGTCCAATCTGCTTTAGGATAACAAAAAAAAGGAAAGGACTTTTATTTCAAGAACCGCCACTTTAACTTGTGATGCTTTGTGCAGAGGTGAGGGTGGGGATTTTTTCTTCCCGAAGTTAAGACAGCAACACTCGTGCCAATATCTGAGCAACTTACGATAATTTTTAGTCACAGTTAAAACTTGTTTAAGCAAATATGCTTGAACAAGTTTTAACTGTGATGAAGGTTAGCTCAAATGTCATGGTCTGGATTGAATTCCAAGTGTGTTGTTACCTTAAGTTTGTGAAGAAAGTCCCTCACAAAGCTTTCTTCCACAATAATACTTTTCATTTCAGAGAGTTATGAATTCACTAAACGAGTTTTTACATGAAAATGCTGTGTGGTCAATTAACCATCTGTTTATTGGCATGCAAGGCCTTTTCAAGACCCTAGATGGCATCAAACCTCTGTTTGCAGACTCCTTTGCCAACTCTCTAAGTAAAAACCATCTAAAAGACCACACAAGACCATTTGCTCAGCAATAGCAACTGGAGCTATGTGCCGACAGGAGAGAAGCTTCTGTGTGCTAGGCTATAAACTATGGAATGTCACAGTAGAACTCTTAGGGGCACATATGTCAGATTTCTCCAGCAATCATAGTGCTTTTGCAGACCACAAAGGCACTGGCGTGCCATGCGCTCATGAACCAGATGAGAACTGTGCTGATCCAATGTATTTAAGGGAAATCAGTGGAGAAATATAGTGGGAGGACAGCTACTATTACTAGTTCCTGATGGGAAATGCCCTGTCAGAATCGTGTGCAGCTTCCAGCAAAAGATGCCAGCAACTAGTTATCTAGCAATGATAAAATGACTTTTGATCCAGCTCTTGGTCAGGATGGGAGGACTCTTAGCTCAGTGGTAGTAGAGGTTAAGCCTGTGTGGAATGAGGTTGCACTTCTCTTGGCAGAGCAGGGACATGGTTTGAGGGTACTCCTGTTCCTGCATTCCCAGGTGTTGTCCAAGAGTGCTTTTGCCCAGCTCTGGCAGGTGTATCAACTGCTCTTGTTTTGGGAGAAGACAGACTTGGTCTCTGTACACAAGCCCGCTGTGAGGCCTGAGGTGGGAGTCTTGTTAGAATAACGTTATGAACTCAAACAAACATGCAGCCAGTCCCTGGCAGGGACCCCCAGCCAGCTTAGCCCCCCAAGGCCTGGGGCAAGTGTACCTGTCTCCCCCCGCCCTCCAGCATGGGCCTGTCTCTCCACAGGCCTGACTACACTACTGCAAGATGCTCTATCTTCAGGTAGCTCAAAATGCAGCTGACCAGGGGGGTTGGTAGAGCATGTGACTCCTTTATTACCTCAGCTACAGTGGCAGCCTGTCTGTTTCTAGACACAATCCAAAGTGCTGGCTATTGACTTTAAAGCCATTTAAAGCTGGAGTCAGGTTACCAGGAAAGGCGCTCTTGGTGCTCCACTCCCATTCCAAGCACACCTGGCTGGGACACATGTGAGGAGTTTCTCAGTAGTGACACCCACTTTCTGGAATTCTCTGCCTTGGGGGACCCACTTGGTTCCTTCTCCAGTAGCATTTCAACACCTCCTGAAAACATTTCTGTTTAGGGAGCCTTTGGCCTACACTTTTTGTTAATTTTGCCAGACCTCTTCTTTCCCATGCCCTTGGTTTTGCTCTTTTTTCCTCCTGCTCATTTGTTAGCTTCTCAGTTTGTTCTTCTGAGCCTTGTTACATGTTTTAAGCAGCCTGAGTGGTTCAGTTTTGAACTGACAAGTAGAATACGAATATTCTTAACAAAAACAGTCTTGTTGCGAGGATGGAATGGGGAGGGGGAAATCCATATACACCACTTTGAATCCCTTGGGGAAAATAAATACAACAAATAAATATAATGTAAGATCTAGCAATCCCTCATTAACCTGGGAACACCCTTGCCCAATGGATTTTCCCAATCTGCTTTAGTAAAAAAGGCAGATCCGTCTCTACTGAAATGGATTTGGTACCACACAGGGCTCCAGGTGAAGGCAACTGACTTTCATGACCTTGCCTACCTACACAAAGATTAATGCTGCCTTCTTAGCAAACATTTCCCTCCTAGTACTGTTATCCAACATGTGATGTGCTAGCCTTGACTCTTATCTTGCTGAATAGTGTATTTGATTTAAAAACAAACAAAACACCACCATCTGATTCAGGAAAAGAAAATGTGGAGCATGCTTCACAGGCTTCCAGGCATAATCCTTTAACTCGCTTTTAATGACTGTGGAAGTTTCAAGTGTAACTGGTCAAGTCAATAAGCAAATGGAACTAAAGTGAGAACCATGTTAATCTAAAAGCAGGAACACAAACATTCCTTAGTGTTCAGCACATACTCCTTGCTTTCTATAGAATGCCCTTTTGTAACCTGCCCTCCTCTTGAAGGCAGGGCTGTGATGTAAATCAGAAACAACATCCTCTCTCTCATGGGCAATTCCCACGCTTGGGGAACTTTTTGCTTTGGGCCACTTCACTAGATTCCCCCCCTCCCCCATGAATTGTCCAATGCACAGAGCCACTGTGAGACAACTGGGTAGTAAACATGCGATCCAAGGCAGTTTTATACATGCATGACAACTTTTTTTCTTTTCTTTTTTTACTTCCAGAGGAGTAGTTGCATTATTCGACTGCAACAAAATGAACAAAGACTTACATCTTAAAGATCAACAGATTTATTGCAGCATAAATTGTTGTAGGCTGGAGCTTACGAATGGAGAAATGGATTTTGGTTCATGAAAGGTTCGACACAATAGAAATGTGAGCCTTTAACTTGCCAGAAGATATGCTGTTGCTTTCTTTGTTTTTGGTTTGATAAGAAAAGAGGTTAGCTAGATTGGAATATTCAGATCTGAGTAGCTTTGCAGATGGTTTTGTACAAATCCAAGATTTGTACTCTTTGGGCACATCTGCCTGGGAGCCTTCGAAACTGGTTAGCCTAGTACTTAGTACTAAACCAAAAAGTAGCAAGAAAAGAAAAAGGTACTCTGTTGTACAGGTTCTGCACATTCCTTTATGTTGATTGTGCCACCCAGACAGACAGCCTGGCAACAGTTCTCCAGCCAATATTGCCGCCAACTGCAGAGTCCTCTCCTTTTACTTATTGGTTGATTATGGAAATAACCTTGCTGCATTGGCATCTTTTACACATATCATTAAAAAAACAGGGCTGGTAGGCTGAATTGTAACTTTGTATGCTTGTATGCCTCTTTAGCATATCTCGTAGTGAGTACCTGGACTGAATGTCTTTTTGAATGGAGAACAAAGATCTTTTTGTAGTGTATAAAACTGGAGACATTTGAAACTCCATTAACTTGGACAATTTAACTTATCATGATACTTAGCTATACTTGGTTGTTTATATTGTAAGCCTAGAAGTCATGGGGCAGTTAAGAAGGGGGGGTGTACAGGTGCCTCATGCTGGCATAGTCATGGAATAAACATCTAGCCCAGATGTGGTCCAATTTATATGCGCAAACTGAGATGTGGTTGGAGCCTGAACTGCCAGCGTGCATTACAACTCACTGTCAGGCCACTTTTTCACCAAAAGCTGAACTAGGGCTCTTCTCAGCAGGTCATTATATGCCAATTGCCATTTTGCAAACCACCAAAGGCCTTCCTAAAGTGGGCTGAATGATGGGATATAAAATCATGGTCTATGGTTGTGATGAACTGCTCCCACTGCTTCTTCACCACAAGTACATTTTGAACTGCAGTTGAAAACAAGCAGTTTCCAAGTAGGCTCACCAGGGATGCAATTGGTCTTCAAGTATGGGTCTTTCACATGAAAATTCAAGGCCTTGCAATGAGCAAGAATTTGTTTACAACTGTAGTCCAAAGGGGATGCCAGCTCAGGCGATCTATAATCCGCAAGCCACTTAAAACCATGGTAAGATGGTCAGCATCAGTTCAGTGCCCTGAAGTTATGTCCAATTTCAACTTAAGGCAGACATACTGTAGGTCTAACTTCTAATTCTGGTCCCATGGGACACCAGATTAGAAGCATGAGACCCATTGTTGTTTCTTTCTGTACTCAAATTGTAAAAATGACATGCCATACATATTTTGTTTAAAAAAATGCTTCCCCTTGAAAATATCAAAATAAGAGCATGAGTCATTGTTGCTACCCATCAAAGAAAAAATGCCAGTTAAAAAATGCTGAGTGAATAGCTGTAACCGTGAGAAAAGTCCCCAAGTTACAGAATATGCTAACACATGCATTCAGGGACAATGGTGATATTCAAAGTCAAAGAACTGAATGCACAGATTAGGAGAAAACCACAACAGAAGATGATGGGACGGCATTTACAGGAATCTAGGATACTGGGGGATATTTAATGGATAATGTTTCAGATACGGGGTGCGAGAGGAAACAAAAGCTGAATATTTCACAACACAAAAGGATTTTTAAGAGCAACTAATTGTCATGCGATATGTCCCAGGATATAATGCAAGCACGTGTTGTAGGCCACTTCATCATCCTGGGTGTTGTTGATTAGGGCTCTACTTCTGAGTTTTGTTTCAATTAAGTTATTCCCTTGCTGAATAGTCGCAATAATCTGGACAGGCTACATCTGCACACTACAGCCTGCCAGCCACATGGTCTCCTTAGTGCTTACCGAGTTCACCATTTCTACAATTCTAGATGGGCAAAACAGGTAGTTTTATCGTGCTGCTGGTGACCTGATGAACATGGCTGGTGGGCTGCATTCCACTTGGTGGATTACAAATTTTGCATCCAGCAGTGAATTGCAAAGGGGACTCTAAGATCTAATTTGCATATTTTATCTGAGAATTACTTTTTATTTTGTGTAATAAGAAATTTTGGTGGATTTGACCATGGTTTTACTGCATATAGTGTATGTAGCAACTGCTCTTTCTTTCTTTCTTTCTTTCTTTCGTCTTCCTTCTTTGGATGTTGCCATGGACTTCGGCTAGCACAATAAAAAATTTTTTTTTGAAAAAGTTGTGCATCCCCTGCCAATATGTTTTTCTAAGGATTTTTGTTCATTTGATTTTTACAAAACAGGGAATATATGAAAAATGCAATCTTTCATATAGACAGAGGAGAAGCTATGGCCATTGTCACTGTATACTGGGTATGGATACCAGGTGTTGGCCGGGCCAAGGTCTTGAAGATCCTGGCTACATTATACTGAGACTTAGGGCAATTCTACAAAAAGGTCATGATCCTAAATTCACAAACAAACCTCTATGCCAGGGGTCGGCAAAGTTTTTGTGGCTTGGGTTAGTTCATGGTCCCGCAGACACCGCAGTGGGCTGGAGTGCACCCGCATGTGCAAACACTATTTCCGACGCTCCTTCTGGCGAGGAGGAGGCGTGCACAGCTTCCCATTGGCTGCAGGAGCTTCCTGCAGCCAATGGGAAGCTGGCCAGCATGGCAGAAGGCGGTCCCCGCTCTGCTCCGCGCCGGTTTAGTGTGGCGCACGGGAGCCGACTGAGCAGGTGGCGGGGGTCCATGGGCCGGTTAAACAACCCCCATGGGCCTTAGGTTGCCGACCCCTGCTCTGTGCTGTCAAAAACTCCTCATCCCCACTCAGCCTTAATATTATTAATCAGGTCTTTTCCCCAATCTTCACTGAGTGGCTGGAAGTGGGGAAGTAGAAAAAAGTCCTCCTTCCATTCTGCAAACAAGGAAACATCTGCGTTCACACACCCATTCCATGCCACCTTAACCAAACAGAATGCAAGCAGCAGCAGCCCATCTGGCAGTCAGACAGCAGCAGATTTGCTCTGCATTTTGCTTTGCTTTTTGGATGGCCTGGGGATTGGGTGCATCCAAATTCACTCAACAAAATATGTGGGATGGGTTCCAGTTGAGGGCAACGTCATGTGAACAACACCTATAAATTCTGGACTCAAACAGCCTCAAACTCATGATAAAGTCTAGTGAGGACAAGCCCTGATACAACCACCAGCAGAAACATTGCTGGAGTTTAACCAGGCGTATGCTAAGATTCCCTCAGTAAATGATTTTGAGCAAAACTGAATGCTTGCAGGGCAGGCTGAAGTGGTCTCACATGAACTGGTATGCTGGCTTGATTGCAGGGAATGAGCTTCATGTGACAAACTGCAGAGCACAAAGGTTTGGATGATAAAGCTGGGGTAGGGGGCATGGAATGAGGAGCAAGTACATACTTTCCGCATCACATCAGCCAATTATCAACTATCCCCTTGTACAAAACGGTTTTAACTATGGCTACAATGTAAAGAATAAACTCTCAGCTCCTTCATCCTGCTACTAAGTATTTCCCCCCCATGAATGTAAGCCAACATAAACTTCACGTTGAAAAGACATGAGTCATGTATAAGGATTTATCTTGTTGGGCATTGTGCACAAAGGATTTAACAAAATCAAATGTGCTGTCATGCTTGGTGAGAACTGTAGACTTCACACTATAATAATAATGATCTCTGAAATTTCTGTTATGGTTCTCTGTCATCATGTAACAGAGCTTCTCTACTGGGTTACATATGCTATTAACAATGTCCTGTATAGACTTTCATCACTGATCTGCAAAGACACCAGCAATAATGAGATTATTTATGAGGAATTTATGAAACAATTGCTGGCTCTTTGCAACCTAGAGTACCGTATTTTTCGCACCATAGGACGCACTGGACAGTAGGACGCACCTTGTTTTAGAGGGGGGAGAACAAGAAAAAAAAGATCTCCCCCTCTCTGCCCAGCGCCCCTTCAGCGAAGCGGCAGGAGGCGCTGCGCAGAGAGAGGGAGAATTTTCCCCCTCTTGTTTTCCCGCTCTAAAACAAGGTGCCGTTTAAGGTGCATTCAGGCGGTTACCTTGGAAGCCTGGAGAGCGAGAGGGGTCGGTGCACACCGACCCCTCTTGCTCTCCAGGCTTCAGGTTCCTTTCGACCTGCTCTTTGGGGCTGGCGGGGGTCGCGGGGGGCTGCTTTAGCCCCGCACGCGCTCTCCCAGCTGGAGAGGTGACGTGTGGCTATAGAGGCTCCTGCCATAGCCGCGCATCACCTCTCCAGCTGGGAGAGGGTCGCGGGGCTATGGCGTCTTTGCTCCATAGGACGCACACACATTTCCCCTTCATTTTTGAAGGGGAAAACGTGCTTCCTATAGAGTGAAAAATACGGTATATTGTGAAGAATACACAAGTACTGGTATAACAAAATGAATTTTGTGAAGCATTCCCACACAAACAGCGACCAGGTAATGACAAATGAGGGGACCAGAATCCAACACAGTGGCTGCACAGGTGTGAACCAATGATGTCACCAGCATGGAATCTTAATTGCCTTTGTGCAGGTAGAACATTGCAGCATTCTTGTCACCGTTCAGCAGTAGCAGCTGGTAAATACACGACTTATCTTTTGGTCTGTCTAGCTCAGTACTGTCTACACTAACTGGTGGTATCTCTCCAAGGTTTCAGACCACTGTAGCAGAGAGCATTACTCTAGTCCAGGGGTAGGCAACCTAAGGCCCGGGGGCCGGATGCGGCCCAATCGCCTTCTCAATCTGGCCAGCGGATGGTCCAGGAATCAGCGTGTTTTTCATGAGTAGAATGTGTCATTTTATTTTAAAAGCATCTCTTGGGTTATTTGTGGGGCCTGCCTGGTGTTTTTACATGAGTAGAATGTGTGCTTTTATTTAAAATGCATCTCTGGGTTATTTGTGGGGCATAGGAATTCGTTCATTATTTTTTTTCAAAATATAGTCCGGTCCCCCACAAGGTCTGAGGGACAGTGGACAAGCCCATGACTGAAAAAGGTTGCTGACCCCTGCTCTAGTCCTTAAAATAGCCTGGTGGCATTTTCCATCTTCTTCCACTGCATTAGCGCCCTCATGCCCATACATACGTTTTGAAATGATTTATCTTTTCCTCCCTGTTTCATTTAGCTCTCTGCACTTTTGCTTTCCAGTACAGTACTAGAGTGCACATCACTGACGTAAAGTGAAAAGAGAAGCATGTGCATTTCCCCCTGACCAATACATCGATCTATTACACTGGGAGAGCATACTTCTTTCCCCTTGTTGAATCTAATTCAAACACCCATGGAAAAGCATTAATGGGACACAGAGCACTTCCACAGGGCCATTTATTGTGAGCTCAATGAAGCTCACGCACACACATTTTTCACAACATCCTCATGACGTTGTCCGCACCCAAATGCTATTCCATATTTTTTCCTCTTTTAATCTGGATTGACTATCTTGCCCTGTTTCCTTTAACAGCAGAATTTTTGTAGAAACAGTAAATCCATATTAAATAGAAAAATAAAATGGGGTGTTTTGATGAGAATGACATGTGAACACTCCACAAAACTTGCATGTGTAAGCAGCACCAAGTCCACAACTGCCTTGTGGAAGTGTTCTCAATAAGAGTTGTCCCCGTCCCCCGTCCCCCAATTACTGGTTAATAACCACACCTCTACGTAGAATGAACCAGTTCATGCAAGCAAAAATGTGTTGTGCTGAAGCTATTCAATTCCTTTTCACTTCTTCAACTTCAGAGGATAGCTATAAATAAGTCATAGATCTTTATAACAAAAAGGGGGGGGACCCTATGAAAATCACATAGACAAATTTTGTGCTCTACAGCACCAACTGGTGTTGCATCTTTACAATGGCGTTACAACGATATAACTGACTGAGTGTAGCTGAGTCCTCAAGTTTCACACCTTAGACCAGTGCTTCCCAAAAGTTTTTCTCCCACAGACCACTTGGAAATTGCTGGGGGTCTTTGCATGCCATTTAATATTTTTTTCTGCCTGCTGTAGCAATTGAATGGGCTGTGCTAGGCGCTGTATAATTTTCACTTGTATTTTTATTGTATGTTTTGTTTTTTTATATTGTATTTTACTGTATCAGAATTGTAACTGTTTTTCACAGACACACTGTGAACCACCTGAATGAAGCTCAGTCTGTAGACCTCAATTTGGGAATCCCTAGCTTTGGGTAACACATAACGCGTAGCATAGTATTACAGGTTTATTACTTTATAAAATGATGTGAAAGCACTCAGTAAAAGTGTAACCTGAAGTCAATTCCATTTTATTTTTTTTAATGAGAAGGGAGACAGGATGACTGGCAGTATTCCCAGCTAGCTTTAATGAATGGTTGTACAGTGAGCAGCACTATGCTCATAGCATTATATTTAATTTTCAGCCTTATATTTAATTTTCATCAGGGAAGTTCTTGTGTGACTTACCTGAGTTTATCTGCTATGAAGATCACTCGACGTTCCAACAGGAGGGAGGCAAAGATTCTGATGATTTGTCGTATACTCAGACACTTGAAAAGACACTCAAAGTCCACATGTTCCAGGCGAGAGTCCATTGGCCTTCGGAGTTCTATCACCTGAATGCATTCCACAAACACAAGTCATGTTCTAACTGGCTTGATTATAATATGGACATTATGCCAATCTTGCATCCTGACTTTGGTTAATTATTACGTGGAATTTGAAAGTAACAAAACATTTCTTGGATTGTCTGCCCGGTTTGGTAGCCTTGAGAATTCATGTCACCTTTTATGGTATTTTCCACAGGAAACGTTACTTTCCTCAATATGCAGAGAAGGAGAAAGTGCGTATTTTGCCTAATGTATGCTTGACATGAAGCTGATGTTGGTATTGGTTTACTATTATTTATTATAATTTATTTTATTACTTATTAGATCTCTGTACTGTCCTTCATCCAAAGATCACAGGATGGTTTACAATATAAAAGCACAAAAAGCCAAGTACATAGAGTGAAACTGACACCATTCCATCATTCATACACTACAACGTAAAAAGGATTAGCTCACATACAGTATGTTATGAATGCAGGAATTATCTCTTGCTTGGCTAGCTTCATGACAAAAGTGCAATGACACTAATTTGTAGGCTGAACTATGTAGCCTTTTAATGACCAAATATAGAGAAAATCGTGACCTACTTATATACGGTACTAAACTGTTACAACATGCTGGTTATAATTTTCAATCCTTGCCTGTGGTGACTTGTAGCTTCCTGACTTAACCACTAGGGATTAGTCAACAAGAGTAAACACCTTGAGACTACTCTGACGGCTAGCTTGCTGACCTTGTGATAAAGCCTGCTGATGTCATAATTTTCATAGATAAAACCAAGACGCCCTACAACATAGAATCTGTTAAACAAATATAAATTAGATTCCTGAAGCAGTTACGCACATACACACACCAAAGTAAATTGCCTAATGAAGCAGCTTCCCAAAAGAAATTTATTTTAAAAAATAAATCCACAATACATGTAACTTCCAGAGCTGTGATAGCTCTCTGTGTTCTACTTTCTTTCTCTCTATTTTACTGTTTCAGAGAGAGAAATATGTGTGTTAGGGTTTTACTTGAAAGTTTAAGGTTTCTTTTTACCTCATTTCCAGCTCCAGGCAGGAAAGTCTTGACTTTGATTGTCTTTCCAGGTGCAGGAAAAGGAGACTCCATCAGACTTCTCATAAATGGATAAACCAGGGCAGCAGATATTCCTCTTCTCCTTTCAACTTCATCCAGTATCTGATCCATCACAGTCAAATGCAGAATAAAAGAGAAGCTGTGCCTTAATGACAACTTACACATGTATGCAATATTGACTCTACTCAACCAAAACGCTAGTAAATAGGAAATTTTGTGTTTTGTCCAGTTATTTAAAACAAAAACAAAAACAAGCAATATCCAACTTTCTTTTTCCAGAAATGTCATTTCTAGGACTGAAGCCTTCCAGTTGAGTATGGACTCGATCTAAACGTACTTCTTTGAGAAGGACTATCACTAACATTCCATCTAAACAAGGAATCTCTCAATGACACCAACGCTTGAAAGATAACCTGGAACTACAGGACATTGGCTGCATTGCAGCACCACACAGATAATGGTCAAACAGAGGGACTGTAGCTAATCAGCACAGCTGGACTGTCAGGGAACTGACATCGGAGCTAGAGGTGGAGGGAAGGCTCTCTGATGATGCTGGAGAAGGGCCCAGCAGGGAGAGAGGCAGCTCAGCAGATGGGGAAGCAATTCAGTGCAACACCAGGAATAAGGAGGGGCAGATGGGGGAATCGGCGAGAGGGCTCCCAGACTCTTCACCGGACACCAGCGGGGAGAGCACTGGTCCTCCGCTACCCATGCCCCCCTGCGCAGAAGACTTCCGCGCAGAGAAAGTAGGAGGAGACTGGGTGTCAAACAACTTTTATGTTGGAAAAGGGTTAAGAAACGCCCACTGACAGATTCTGCTAGCGACTGAGGCAGCCACGAATTGAAGGGCTGTCCAGACAGAAAGGTTTAACAAGGCAACATAGCCAAGAGAGGCGGCAACTTACGCACGAGCAACCCCATACCATTATATGGACCAAGTAATGTGGGGAGACAATAGGGGTCATAGAGGTCATAAGCTGTAGCCAATGTTTGTTCCTTGGCTTACCACTTGTTCATTGTCTGGCAGAAATAAACCATGTGCCCAGGTTCAGGTGCAACACTGAGCAGAACCTTGGCAAAAAAAACACCCAGTGTGAAGATGCAGGGCCAGAGGAGGAAAAAAGCAGTCACAAATTTCTCTCCAGTACTTTGCACATTCACATTAAGCCATAGTCTCTTAGGAGCAGACAGTAACAGCACAAGAGAGTTCAAATTCCCTTTGAGTAACCACCATCAAAGTTTGAAAGCTTTCTATATCTGAGAACCCTTATAGAAAGGAGAATGATGCTTGTGATAATATAAATGAAGAAGCAGTTTGCTGGGCTTCTATCAAAAAGTTCCGGCTTTACCTTCTGGCATTTAAATAGCTCAGGTAAGTCATTTACAGTTTCCATTAATAGCTGAACTGCAAACAGGAAGTTTTTTTTGCAAAACCTATCCATTTTTGAGGCAATTTGATGTTGATGTATAATGCTGCCTGATATAGTCAGACCACTACTGTCTACTGGCAGCTGCTCTGCAGCAGAAGTCTTTTTTAGCCTTGCTTCCTGAGATTATTTTATCGGAGATACCAGGGCATGAATGCAATGCCTTCTGCATGCCGTTGACACTGCTATTTAGATAACTCTCATTAACACATTTTAAACTTTCTTTGATGACAGAAAACAGCATAGCCTAACAGAATTCACCCATGCAATGATCTTGATATGAAGTTATCTTTTATCTACAGGTGCATATGCATCCTGAACTTCCAAGTTTCAGCAACTTTTGGTGAAACAGGCCTTGGGGATGGGAAGCAGAAAGTAGGTATAATATGGACTGGGAGATTATCAAGTCTGGCATCAGTATTTTGGGTGTGCAGGCGGATTAATGCAGACTGAATACAGGGGCATGTGGGCAATGAGGATTAGATATCCATTGAATGCACACCCAACCACAATTTTAAAGAAACAAAACGGTTCTGGAGGTATTCCCTGTATTTGGCAGTAAACAGATACTGGGTTAGTGTTATACTAGCTGATCATTTCAGATAAGTGTGCCAAGAATTACAGCTTGGCCAAAAGTGGCTTTAGAATACAATGGACTGAGAGGGAGAGTGCCAATACCGACAGACACAGATGTTTTTCAAATTGAGATGCACTTCAGGCACAGAGGTAATAAAGCATTCTTTAATAAAGTCAATAACAGAGATGAACTGTCCAGCACAGTAATTCTAAAATACTGTTATCGCCAATCAAACAAAAAATTCCTCTTCTTGACTCATTAAGTGTGAAAGTTTTCTGTGAGCAGCTAATCCAACAGCAGTGCTTAAAAAAACCTCCAGCTTACCTTGGAAAATAAGTCAAAGCAACCCAGGCGGCTGATCACACAATATACTTCAGGTAGGCGTGGACCTTTTCCACTTGGCTGACAACAATAGTAAAAGAAAGAAAGAAAGCAGGTTTAATTGCATTTTAAGCCACTGATAGGATTGTGCCATTAGCCACTATTCTAAACATGAATCTTTCCTTTCATCACCAAAGTGGTCAAACTTGGGAAATCACCTTATTTTCCCAAAGGCTGGAACGGAACCTCAAGATACATTTATCCATTCTGGCAACTGCTGTGCAATGGACACATCATCATACCAAATCAAAGTTTTGTTTTATTTTAAAGAAACCTCCAGCACATTTAGCAATTTCTGCCATTGATGTCGTTTTTCTATCGTATATGAACTGAAGCCACCAAGATCACTTATGAGAAAATTTGGGAGTGAGGGCCATTGAGAATGTGACCACTAGGGCCAGCCCAATACATATTGCTGCCTGAGATGAAGGACAAGATGGTGCCGTATTCCATGTACTGAATGAAGCCAAGTTGACTGGCAGTTGAATCCTGTCAACAGGATAGCGTTTTCCACAGCACCCAAGGCCTCAGACTAGATTATGGGGCCATGGTAAGGCTATGTGACAACAAAGATGAATGATTGGCTGGGGTGGGGGTCAGTATACAGATAATCAAGTAATGTTGCTGCTGCTCCCATTTCCAGTACCCAGTGCCTTTTTTTCAGGGGGTACTCAAGGGTACGCAGTAGTGGCACATCTTTTTGTTGTTGTTAAAAAGTGTGGCACTTCACACTCTGCCCACCAAGGAAATGTAATAAGCGAATAGAAAGAGAACCTACCCAGTTGATGCTGACAAAAAAAACCCTACATGGACACTATATAAAAGAACATAAGTTTCATCACACCTCTCCCCCCCTTTCTTCCCCGACCCTATGCCGTATACAATACTAATGTCCAAATGTAACTGATTTATAGAAAGGACTTCACAATCTGAAAAAAAGAGACAATGCACGTAACTGTTGTAAACCAAGAAAACTTTTAATTAAAAAAAATTTTTTTTAAAAGTGTGGCACTTACTGTAACAACTTCATGGTTGAAAAAAGTACTGCCAGTACCTAGGGTCTGAGGTGGTTACACCTCACTCCGCCAAATAGTAGGACTGGCGATGGCAACCACAAATCTTCCCACATGAGTTTGCTTGCTACATCCATTGGGTGCCTTGCAAATAGAAAGCAATCAGGAAACTAGCCATGACCTAGGTGGTTTGACAGTGTCCTCCATAATCATGTAGACATTCCTTCATTATGAGTGTTAAAAGGCAGTTAATTTGCAGTTGTGCTGATGGTGTGAGCACATGCTCCATTTTAAGGACAAAACAGCAGTGCCAATTCTGTGTACCTAAGGTACACTAGCTCCTTCCATTTACAATCAAACCAAAGGAGATGGCAACATTTAAAAATCCTGGTTTTTAACCCTATTTTTATGAGGCTTTCAAAATATTTTCTGCAGTTAACACTTTGCTGTTGAGCTGTTTGCAGGAAACTGCAGATTAATGTTCTAATCAGAGAATGACTGGGCTGGTCAGCAGGTGCGTGTGCTTCTGCAGTTAAAATCGTGAAGATGCAGTGCAGTTAAGTGAACACAGATGAGTCTATTTCTGGATCAAGACCTGCTGCTCAGCAGACGTCACATTTCTGAAAAGGCAGAATCCTTCTTTGTCCATATTAGGTATAAAAACGCCTTCTAAAAGCATCAAGTGATTATATCTAGCATGTGGGATTTGGGTTAAAATCATTGTGTCAAATCTGCAGGAATGCTGTAGCCATGCCAGGCGTCCTGGACAGCTACCAGCTAAAAGCTGTCTTGCTGGCTGCCAGTAAAAACACTGCATTCCTGGGTCATATATAATAGCAGGAACAATAACGGCTCACAGTTTAGTCAAAAGCTCCGGCCTTGTGAAATATTACTCCTGGGTTTTTTTGCTGCTTTTTTAATAACCCTTAAAGGCTACAGTGTCACCAAGTTTTAAAAAAAAATTGAGCATCTTCACTTTCCAAACCTCTCTTGCTTCATGTCCTTTATTTCAGATTTCCCTTTTCTTTTTACCAGCAGCAGTGACTTCCTTTGTGCTAACAGATCGCAGCAATAAAAAAGGAGCCCCTCAGAGGTGGAAAGTTTTTAAGTGACTGGAACCCCTCTTTCTATCAACTCTTTCACTGGTGTGTGCATGCACCAAACTGCATAACCTTTCAATTTCCTTCAAACCTCTAATTATGAAAAAAGCCCCAGTGTTAGTACAAAGCATTTTACATTTGTGGCAGTATTCACATTTGAAATAAAAATCATTGAATTTTGAAATTGTTTTCTAATATACTGTAGCGTGCAATTTTAAGTAATAGCTCGAATTTTAAAGATTCCTGTTTATTTTCCATTAGACTGTGTGTGTGTGTTGATTAGTGGAAGATGGAATCAAGCAATACCGGGAGGGCCACAGGTTGCCCAACTTTGTTCTATATGAATGGGTAAATCAGAGGTGGATTTAGGGGAGCACCACTGGCTTGGTTGCACTCGGCACAGAGCCTTGGGGGCACAGCAGCTACGATGTAGAATGGAAGATGCGAAGCGAGGAAAGTTCCGATTTTTTTGTGTTACACAGGGCATCGCTGAAATTTGAGGCCCCAAGGTCCACCACTGACTAAATGCCCCAGGAGCAGGTTGTCTCAGTGCTACTGGCTGTTATGCAAAATTGTAAAGATCAGAAATTACCTATCATCAAAGCCAGTTTCATCTCCCTGTGAACCTCAACCTCACTGTAGATTTGTGAGTCTGAAGGCAGTCTTAAAAAACAAATCTCCCCAAGTATTCAAGTATTCAAGAAGACTAAAGGTTGTCAGCCCAGCATACACATCTATAATACAGAACTCTGAAAAGAGAACAAAAGGCTTATTTGGGCCTCAAAACACTTAGGAATAGCTCTTAGGTGATGTTTGCCACTGTTTTCAATTTTCGTGCATCAGTGAATTATTTCCCACTCCTTTTGAATATCAACATAGGAGTTCTGATAAAAGAGTTTCAGATTTAGCCACATATAAGGGCATTTGAATGTAATTTCTAATAATCCCAAAGGGGGACATCTAGAATTCAAACTTCAGTTTATGGAAGACATTAATGCCAGTGATCAAAATGCACTTATAATATAATACTTTTTTAAGTGAAAGAAACTGTGGATATAGCAATGTAATGTGAACATACTGTACATATTAATAGTCATGGAAGCCTGACAACTGTACTTGTCCAACTTTATTGTTTTGAAAATGAAACAATCACAATCTTTAAGCCAAAATTGGACTGGAAGCAGCATCTGACAGTGCCAGGAGATCCTGTCCCACACTATCAACATTACTTTAGATTACAGCTTTTGAATAGGTTTTTCTGAATAGTAAAGTCTGTGTTCTGTAAGTCAGGGTTGTGTTGCATGTGTTATGCAGATGATTTACAAGGTCTGCAGTTTTGCACACCCAACCCTTTTCCATCCTCAAAGCAATCAAACAGGAGTACCAGCTATCCTGCCAGGAATATTCTTTGGTATCTTCCTCTCCACCATCCAACCCAGGCCATTAGCAGCACCTGCTGCTGAAAAGTTAAGCTTTCTAAAAAAGAAAAGAAAAATCTAACAGCAGGTAGTCCCTTCAGAAGTGGGAGTATCTGCTTTTCCAAAACAAGGTTCCATCTTAATGTGCTGCTCCCTCACAAATTACAGTGGTACCTTGGCTCTCAAACTTAATCCGTTCTGGAAGTCTGTTTCATAACCAAAGCATTCCAAAACCAAGGCACACTTTCCCATAGAAAGTAATGCAAAATGGATTAATCCATTCCAGACTTTTAAAAACAACCCCTAAAACAGCAATTTAACATTAATTTTACTATCTAACGAGACCACTGATCCATAAAATGAAAGCAATAAACAGTGTACTGCAGTCACACAATCAATCAATCAGTAGCTGAACTGGGTTCCACACAGTCACAAAACAAAACAAAAAAGCCGCCAAAAAAAAGCAAAATAAAGAGCAAAAACAGACAGACCTCAGTGTAACACTCAAAACGGAAGTGTGGTAATCAAATCGGAAGCATAACACTCAAATCGGAAGTGTGGAACTCAAAAAGGAAGTGTGGCACTCAAATCAATACATAAACACTCAAAACACAACACATTCGGCTTCCGAAAAAAGTTCGCAAACCAGAACACTTACTTCCAGGTTTGCAGTGTTTGGGTTCCAAATTTTTTGTGTACTAAGGCGTTTGAGAACCAAGGTACCACTGTACTTGTTTGAACCAAAGCCAAGGTCAGTGTTGCAGTGTCAGCACAGAGTAAGCGGTCAACAGTAATGTTGACCTTTGGTTGTCATATATCATATTTTTCCTATTTCTGGTCACACATCCCCTATTATTCTTAATATTCTGTTATTGTTGATTATTTACTATCATCATTGTCTCACAGACAGGGGAATTGCCATATTGGCTCCCTGATTCGTGTCCCTGCAATTAAAAAACTCCCCAAGTAAAACAATTTGCCACATCAATTAAAGTATTTCAAAAATACATGCTCTTTCTGGCATGAGCATCAATCTCGTGGAGAAAACATAAAGTGGGCAGAGGCTTTCATTATATGAATGGTTGCATTTGATCATCCTCAATTCAGCAAGGTGTAATCCACATTCAGGAACAGATTCTCCTGAATGGATTGCCTCACTATATTGTACATGCCAGAGACTGCTGTAGGATAACATTAGTACTGCTAGCAATGGCCTAAGGAGACATGATAGCAGAAATACTAGGTGCTTAATCATGGATCTGCCCCGATCATCAAAGAGGGGAGTGAGTGCAAAAGGAGACGACAGATGAGGGGTACTGTATCTTCCCTTGCTTCTATATTACTGCCCTACATCTTACTCCCACATGTGTTTTACTCCCTTGTGAAACTCTAATAGTAGAAGCATCCTTAACTGCTAGAAAGGTGGTTGGGAGATGGGATGCAGAAAGGTAAGTGACAACCAGGGACAGGGGTGTTCAGCACTCCTTTCCTGTATGCATCTTCTTGCTGTTAAAACTAGAGCCTGCACAACCCATTTCTGTGTGTCTGGGGGCAGACTTGTGTTTAAGCACATAGATCACCTACCACCACATCTAAATTGGCCCTGAGTGGAAATCAAAGAATGACCTCGACCCAGTTTCCCAATAATGTAATGTCTACAAAAGGGAAGATGGGCAGGGCATGAGAAAATGCAGCTTACTGGCCTCTGTTTGGCACTACAACACAATCTCATGAAAAACATATGAGTGGGATAGGAAGCAATAAAATGTAGGTAGAAAAAAAAAGTTCCCCAATGTTAGCTTTGGGCTTATCCACACTTAGCTTTCCTCCGCTCCTTCCAGGGACAGCCTGTGCTTTAAATCTCTGTTTCTATGTGCCCTTTTCTCTCTCTCCAGAGCTTTCCCCATAAAAATCTGCTCTTTAAAGTTCAATCAGAACAAACAGCAATCCACAGAAACCCTTAATTGACATTGAAATGACATTTGCTGCAACCGAGCATTAAAAAGCAGTTTTTTTTCCAGGGAAAGCTCTGGGGCAAAACAAAAACAAAAAAACACTTGGACAAGAAGCTTTTAAGTGTGGACCTGTGCCTGGAAAGAGTGAGGCAATAGGTAAGTGTGCATAAACCCTTTAGCAGTTCTAGTGACCTGTACATTAGTTTGCTGGTGTGCTAGGCATCTGTAGTCCAGCATGCACTATGCAGCTAATACTAGCTACTACATCTAGTCCAAATGTACTCATGGGATCACCATGGGGAAAGAATCAACTGTCATGAATGCCAGTAGCTCTGTATCCTCTTCATAACAGGTAACATTTCTATCAGATGCATCCTGTTTTACTTCTAGTAAGCTCTTCTCTGGAAATGCCCAATTTGGGTGTAGGTAAGTATGGATTTTCCAAGTAGAATAAACAATTGAGAGTGGGCTTGGTTTTAAAAAATGGAATTCCCTGCCATAAACACTGAAACATGTAAAATACAGTAACTCCTAGATTCCCTGGAATATGAACATGGATTTGATTTGATTTTCTATAGAAAAAGCTCTATTTCCCTTAAGACCACAAGAGATTAATTTTCTTCTTGCATTTGTCCGCAGCCCCAAAAGTGACACATTCAGCTCTCAAAATATGTCACATTCTTAGCATAGTGTACGTTGAAAAAAGTTGATGTACTTACTAGTAATCTTCTGCAGTAACCAAACCTTCTGCTGCCATCTTCTCCCGTCAGCATAAAAGAGAATGTTTCACTGTAACAAAGATTACCACAGATGTTATTGTGCTGCCAAAAAGCAGGTCTTAAGATTCCTTTCGATTAATATTTTGACATGTTTTGAGATATCTTCCAGACAGATAAATCTTGTGGTTTTATCTCATAGTCTTGGTGAGGCTTTGAGACTAACCAAAGGATTTGTACTCATTCTATCCATGTGTAAATGATTACATAACACAAGAAGCAACGGAGAACCAGATATTCTATTGTGAAATTGGTTGGTTTCTTTTGCCTCACAGTTGTAAGACAGAATACTCCACTTATAGTGGTCAACTAGCATATGGTTTACACAGTAGCTTATGCTGTAGGAGGAAAGAAACACACCATCCCAATTAAGTCTGAATGGAATATATTCAAATTAAGCAATGAATTCCAATTCAGCTATTTCAAGCTGGAGCCTCCCTTTCCATTTATTTCATTCATATCCCACTTTTTCTCCAAGGACTTCATGCCAGCATACATAGTTCCCTCCATCCCATTTTATCCTCACAAGCTTGTTCGGTAGGTTAGGCTGAGAGCTATTTCTTTAAGTATGGAGACTTTGAGGTGAGCAGAAAAATCTCCCCAAAGACTGACATCTCTTGTTCTTTTCTTAGCTGTCTGACTGCTATCAGAACCAGTGGTAATAGCACCAGGGAGAAGGGAGCAGAGAGATCTAGCCCTCTAGCCACCCACCCCCGGCTGCCGCCACTCATTGCCCAGACATCAGGAGTGGTAGTGGGAGCAGCCACAGCAGGGTGCAGGGTAGCTAGAGGCCAATCACTTCCCCTTCTCTGTCATGGCAGCCCTTCTTTTCCAAGGCCTTCCATGCCCTTCCTCCTAGGAAGCTGTTATGCAGCACTCCAAGGCCATAAGTTATAGCCCTCTGCTCACAAAATTATCCATTTGATGTGTTGGAGAGGGGCAATTTGCATCTCCATTAGAGTGCAAGGCTGTGCCCACCCCAATGCTATGCCTGCTTGATCGTTTTTCTCTTTTTGGTGCCAAACTCATTGGGTATTAGGGTGGAGAGAGAGAAAGAGAGAGAGATTGAGCAGCCAGATCACACCCCCTGAGTTGTGGGTTAGCCACCCCTGCTCTACTTGGTAACAGAAAACCTAAACAGGGCTTTTGTGATACTCAGAAGTGAGCTCTCCCTTCTCTAACCCCAGAGAGCCCAGAAAGGCCAGCAATCAAGCTGCTATGAGCAATTTCACCGATTATCTTCCTCAATACTGTGCAAAGGGCGTTAGCAGGAGCAGCAAAAAGAGGAAAGAACTAGGTGTGGTGCACCAGCAGAACATAACTAGAGTTCCAAAGGAGAGAAAAATGTCATCTACATTCAACAACAAGCAAAGGACACAGATTTATGTGTGTTTTGTCAATCCATGAATCCGGTCTTGCAACTATCAACAGGATAGTTTACCTGTTGTATTCTGACACTGGGTTCCAGTCCTTGGCATCTGGGAAGCAGAACTGTGGGATGGCCTTGAGACGTTCTTCTGCTTCGCGAACTTGCTTTGTGGGTCTTTCTAGCTGTGGTTGAATAAGTTAACATCAGCAGAGTCTAGAACAGACTCAAATCAGGCTTTTAAAATCAACATAGGGAACAGATATCCTTCTACAAACATCTCTTAAGGATGCAATCCTAAACCCACCTTACCTGGGAGAGCAAGCCCCATTGAACCCAATAGGGCTTACTTCTAAGGAGACATGGTTAAGGACTGAGCTGTTACTCAACCAATTAACTAAATGAGAAAAACTATATTCTATCCCCCAAAGCCATAGATATATATGTAGCCATAGAAACATATGTAGAAAGCAAAAATGTGCCTTTTGAATTTAAACTACTGACTTTTTGGTTCAAGAGAAGACAAATGACAAAATAGATAAGCTGGGTATTATTATTATTGATATCAGAGCCTCATTGATATCTTTCTCCTCCCCACAATCACAGAAACCCACTCAGGATCCTGTTTTTGTTGCTGCTGTTCCATTGTTGTCTTTGCCTGATTCCATTAGCCTTATGAGATCTTGACTCTAGGCAAAGAAAACTACAAACTCTGAGAAGACTGACTTTATGGGTCGTATTCAACTGACTTAGAGTAAACCCAGTGATATTAATAAACATAAGTTTATCAAGGCTATTCATTTCAATAGGCCAATTTTGAGAAAAAGTCAGTGGGTTGTATCCAACGAAAGGACAAGTTAAGGGGTTGCCTATTGCAAGGGAGTTCCACGCTGCTGCCTCCCTACCATGGTGCTCCACACCCTCCCAAAATCCTATCCTGAGGGCAGAACGATTTCTACAGAATAGAAAGGAACTGTGGCAATTCCTTCTTCCCTAGATCAAGCTGTAACACCATCACCGTACTATCTACAGTGTGTTACATTCTCCCATAACATTGAGCCAGGGATTGCAATTCGTTGTTTCAGCTTGTGCTAAGAGAGGAGTGAAGCGATCTCCCATGTTCACAGAAAAACCATTTACTATAGTTTGCCACATTGTGTGAATGCAGCCACCCTATTTACTTACTACTTACTTACTTACTCACTTACTTACTTACTTACTTACTTACTTACTTACCTGCCTACCTACTTACTTAAAATAATTTATAGGCTGCCCTTTGTTTGAAAATATGACCTCACAGCAGTTTAGAAAAGAAAAAAACAACAACACAGCAGCAGTAGCATTCCAATAAAAAGTCTCATCAAAACATCCACAACATAAACAAGGGCAATAAAAACTGGCATCATTTTAAATTTTGTTTGTAAACCACCTAGAGAATATTTATTGATGGATGACTATATAAATTTAATGTGAAATATAAAATAATAATGTCCACCCATCTATACTAATATTTCTTAAAATTGGACATGTGTCTATTTTTAAGTTATGCATGTGCCTAACAGTGTCCCATATATGCGACAACAGCAGTCAACAGCTACAATAACAATAATGACGGCAATCCAATAAAGTTGTTGCTTTACCTTTGGAAACTGATATGTGACTTCAGGGAGGTAAGTATTTTTAGAGGGCTTCTTCTTAAGAGAAACTACCACAAAATACTCAAACAATTCACGTTCCTGCCATTCAATCAGCTCCAGTTCCAAAGTCCGGTAACTAGGAGCTCTCTTCAGCATTGACTGGATGTGGACAAGGCGCTGGGTATGAGCTAATGTTAGAAAAGAAGCAAGAAGTATTACTTGGCAGCTTCTGAGATGCTAAGCCCAAGCACATTCACTTTTAATTCTGCATGTCTTTATTTCCTACATAAATGAAAGCCTTTTCAAATACAGAAGCGATAAAAGTTATTGAAAAGAAACTTGAGGAATACAACCTACTCAAGCTTTACGAAGTCAGCTGACTGCATAGCATCAAATGCAACAGGCTGTAAACCATAAGGATCCCTATACTTTATTAACAAACAAGTATACATAAAATAGCTCCTCACATCACTTTAGAATCAGGTCTATGTTGCCAAAGATGTTTCAACCTTGATGTGATAAAGTCCTCTGGGTGGGATTCAACTAAGGATTCCTGGCAGCGGAAGCCCTACACGAGAACTTCTGCTTGCACAACAAAACTTTCCCTTCTCTCTTCTCCCCCCACACCCCCCATGTAGATATGGGGGGGGGGCTGATTTGAACGAAGGTGTGTGTAAGGGGGACATTTAACCCTTTGCCCCCTGCAATGGTTCCAATCTAGATCAGGGACTAGACTGATGATCGCATTGCTTTTTAAAAAGCAGAAATAAAGGAAGCTCCTCTTGGAGTGAATGCCCCCAGGTAATATAAGAGCATTACCTTTTGGGAAAAATACAATAACAAATATATAATACTAATTTTAAGGCCCCACAGAAGGAGCAGCAACAAGCTGCAGTTTCAACCATCCGTTTCTGCTGCACCTCAGATTACCACAGTAATCTGTATCAACCTAAAGCCAGGAAATTCACTGGAATAAAAGCAGATTCTGGCACTAGCTGGGAAATAAGTCCATAAAAACAGATTTACTGGCCAGACAAAGACTGAGATGCACCAGACTGCTAGAAAGCAAAAGCAGCAAAAACGGCTAAGGAGAAGAGAAACTGTGCCCAGCAATTTCACAATCATTTCATCATCATCATTATTATTGTCTTTAAAGGATTGTTAAGTGATAGTCATATCAACCATTTTTCTTCTTCTTCTTTTTTAAAAACCCATTCCTTTATATGAAGTTTTGCATTTAGTGCATCTTAATTAATTTGCTCCACGCTCAAAAAAAACTGTAAAAAGAAGATAAACTGCAGAAAATGCTGGTTCTGAGCTGGTGCTCCAAGCTGGGAAGAACTGTATTGGGTAGCTTTCACCTTAAATGCCTACTGCCGCCAATCTATAATAGGGTGATGACAGTACTGGCATATTATATAGGCTTGCTATAGATCAGTGTTTCCCAACCTTGGGCCTCCAGCTGTTTTCGAACTACAATTCCCATCATCCCTGACCACTGGTCTTGATAGCTGAGGATTATGGGAGTTGTAGTCCAAAAACAGCTGGAGGCCCAAGGTTGGGAAATGCTGCTAGAGATAATGATTACTGATATAACATATCTACAAAGTGCTTTAAGCATTTAGGAAACGTAGTGTTACAATTGTCCATCACAATGACCACCACTTATTATATTCTTATTGGCTACATGCAGGGATTGGGAAACCCGTGGCCCTACAGATGACGTTGGGCTCAAACTCCCATCATCCTCAGCTAACATGGCCAATGGTCAGGAATGACAGGAGTTGGAGTTCAAGACTATCATGGAAGGCTGGAAGTTACCAATCCTTGGTACAAGGCCTTGCATGAGAATAATTACTTTAGTCAAATGCAAACATCCCAAGGACAATGAAACGGCTTTCCTGCTTCTTCCTTACTGCACCCCCACTGTACCTCTCCAAAGGCCAATTCTTAGGCTCAGGGGACCCTCAGAGACCAACAGCATCGTTTGTGATGATGCTCAGCCAGCAGCAACAGGAGCACTATGGCAATAGCACAGTCCGGAGAGCTCCAAGTTGGCAGTAGCAGCCAGGATGCACCTATAGAATGCAGCTGCCATTCCCTGACCTTGCGGCCATCCTGTCCCATCCAAGTGAACACAGTGCTGCCAGCACCTAGTGGCATAGGTAAGCAAACTAAGGCCCGGGGGCCGGATCCGGCCCAATCGCCTTCTAAATCCAGCCCGCAGACAGTCTGGGAATCAGTGTGTTTTTACATGAGTAGAATGTGTTCTTTTATTTAAGTTGCAGCTCTTGGTTATTTGTGGGGCATAGGAATTCGTTCATTCCCCCACAAAAAAATATAGTCCAGCCCCCCACAAGGTCTGAGGGACAGTGGTCCGGCCCCCTGCTGAAAAAGTTTGCTGACCCCTGATCACATGCCACTGCTGCTCCATCGCCACCCTCACGTGCCTCTGCTGTCAGAGATGAAATGGGATGTGGTAAGGGGGAACTGTAGTTCTATCACCTTGTCTCCCATTTAATTTCATTGGATTGTAAAGCAACTACAAGATAAGGAATGCTGAGCCTCTCACCTTTAAACCTGTCATCTGAATCACTCTCACTCTCACTATTTTCATCTGAAAAGAGAGAGAAGGATTCTATTATCAGAAGGAAACTTCAGGTTTGCTCTTAAAGTTAGCAAAATAATAATAAAAATAATGTGTGTCCTTATGTCCTGCAATGAAAATACATGGCCAAGCAATGTTTCATGATTATGGAAATCTTTAAGAAAAAAGTAATTTCCAGGCTTCTTCAGGAAGCATTTTGAAAACTAGTTCGACACTTTCCCATTCAAATTCTTTTTAATGAAAAGAGATTGTAACACCTCAGAGAAGTCAAGGGGGACACTTTAAAAGCTTAAGTAGTCAGAAATCTGTATGAATAACATGAATTAATTCTGTGATGAATGCCCACTTGGGTAACTGAGCATACTGGTAGCTAGGCTGGCGACGCATTCACATGATGTGGCTGCTCTTAAGCAGGCCAACAGCGATGTGTCAAGGGCAGGGAGCAGCTACAACTGAGCCAGCAGCAAGCAGTAGCAAGGCTAAGTTCAGATCTAGATATAAGGGAAGGGCCGTAGGTCGGTGGAAAGGCATCTGCGTTGTATGCAGAAGGTCGCAGGTTCAGTCTCCCACATCTCCCTGTCTGAAACCCCGGACTGCTGCTGCCAGTCAATGTGAGTGGACCAATGGCTTCACTTAGTACAAGACAACTTCCTAAGCCCTCTATGTTTTCATGTCTTGGCGTCGGAGTGGTACATCTCATAGGGCAGGACCATTAGGAACTCTCATTACTTCTGCTACACTGGCACACACACACACTGGCATACATGATCACATGCACATACAAAGATGCACATGAGATGCGCAGACCATAGCAAATGTTAAAAACATTCATTTGGAAAGAATATGCACACAGGATCCAGTTTTATTCATTGGTTTTACTTTCACATTGTTGCATATGCAACAAGTTGACAGAAATAAATCAGTGGCCGATGTGGCTTCACCATGAGCACATTTGTGCACTTCAGTTCTGCAGAAATTAGCTGGCACCTTCCAGGAAATATTGAGAGCCGCTTCACACTTTATATAGCAATCAGGTTTGCTGCTGCTATGGCCACATTTCCCTAGTATCTCTTGCACTAAATGTGCAAAGTGTGAAAGGCAGATGGGCATTCCTAAATGCTGAAGGATGCACACCAGGGACCCCTAATTGGCTGCAATTCCCTAGTTTGTGCTTAGGAACAAGCACCTGACCATGCAGCTTTATCTGTTTATTTATTATACAATACATCAGTGTAAAAGTGACTTCTGTAATGAAAGATGGGCGCTAAAACGGATTTCATGATATACCTCTCAGTGATGCTGTTTCAATATTGGACATTGAAAGCTTCTTCAATCTTTTTTTCCCTCTCTTTGCACTATAGATAGAATTGATCCTTTGTACAAGCTGTAAAAGAAGAGGAGAACCATTAGCCTCCATCAAATCAGCACTTGAACTCTAATAAGGATGGAGAATAAAAAAGGTGTGTGGGTGAGGGCAGCATGCAATGCACAGGATGTGTTAGCACACCCTCGGCCCTCTCCAAATCTGCTCCAAATGGTTTGGGAGAAACCCAGAACAGGGAGAAGAGAGGGAGGGGATGTTCTGTTAAGAACGTACTAAACACAACTGCATAGGAAAGAGTCAAACATATAAGGAAAATGCTACATTTACCATTATAAATAAATATGCTATTGTTCATTCTAACTGCTCATACTACCAGATAATTATCCCGTCTCCTTCTTAGATTTGTAAGTTTTTTACCAAGTTGCAAGAGCTTAACTTTAATTGAGGCTTGTTTCAAATCTGCCATGACGCAGCTATCTGAATTGCACAGATATAAACAATAGGACCCAAGTTGGATCAGTTGCGATTTCCTTGGGAACCACCATGACAAACAAAAAACTTTAGGCACAAACCATGGATTATAAATAGCAGCAGGTCAACTGCTACTCACATTATAATTTAAGCAAAACAGAGCAATGCACCAGTTTGCAGAGATTAAGGGAAAGCGTGTAACTGCCCCTTTTCATACATGCACCTAAAAAGTCTTTTCCAGAAATGGAGTGGTGAAGGCAGACACCCACTGTGCCAACAACATAACTTGCGGCTCAGATGTCTTTGTGGATATTTCATGCAGTTGTTTTCCCTTTATTGAGAGCTAGAAAGCCACATGGCCACGGCAGGTGTTACATGGATATACATGTGCTTCATACCACATGTGTATGCAATGCCTGTTTTAGTGCTTTTACCTTTCAGTCTGAAGTTGGTTGCTGCAGCACAAAAAAAACAACCACCCCCCACAACCCAGGTATTCCCATATGCATTGTTGTGCATAGAGATAGATGATAGATAGATAGATAGATAGATAGATAGATAGATAGATGATAGAGAAGGGAAGGAACGATAGATAGATAGATAGATAAATAAATAAATATATGATAGATAGATGATAGATAGATAGATAGATAGATGATAGAGAAGGGAAGGAACGATAGATAGATAGATAAATAAATAAATAAATATATGATAGATAGATGATAGATAGATAGATAGATAGATAGATAGATAGATAGATAGATGATAGATAGATAGATGATAGATAGATGATAGATAGATAGATGATAGATAGATAGATAGATAGATAGATAGATAGATAGATAGATAGATAGGTAGATAGATAGATAGATAGATAGATAGATAGATAGATAGATAGATATAGATAGATGATAGATAGATAGATGATAGATAGATAGTGATAGATGATAGATAGATGATAGACAGGATCCCATCTTTCTCACAGTAAGAACATAAGAAGAGCTCTGCTAGATCAGGACTATGGGGAAACAAAAAACACGACCCGAGAGCAATAGCACTTTGTCCAGTTGTGAATCTCAGCAACTGGCATTCAGGGGCACACTGCCTCCAGCAACAATACTTAATTTTGTACTGAATTTGGGATATTACACCAAGGGTAAGAAAAAGCAACATCATGACCGATTCGTCGTAGTTACCTTTGGCACCCTCCGGGCTCTGCGTGTGGAAAGAAGTTCACTGGTAGTACTCAAACTGTCTTCATTCAGGCTGGATGGAGAGGAGGGAATGCCAAGCTGGGCCAGCAGCAGCATGTCATCATGACTGTGTCTCTTGGGTAACCGTGGTACACGATGGCTTCTCCTTTCTGACCAGTTTCCGATTCTTAGTGACTGGCTGCTGGGCTTGGAAGGTAGCTAAGAAGTAAGCATAAGAAAGTAAGAAGAGCCCTGTGGGATCAGACCAAAGGCTTATCTAATCCAGCATTGCGTTTCACACATTGGCCAACCAGGTGCCTATGAGAAGACCATAAGCAGGACATGACAGCAGTAGTACTGGCCTGCTCATAATCTCCAGGCACAGGTATTCAGGGTTACCCTGCCTCTGATCTTGGAAATGGTGTGTAGCCATTTTGTCTAGTACCCAATGATAGCCTTATGTTCCTTTTTGAAGCCATCCGTAGGTGGCCATCACCACATCCTGTTGAAGTGATTTCCATAGTTTAACTATGTGCTTTATGAAGAAGTACTTACTTTTGTCAGTCTTGAATTGCCTACCATTTCGCTTAACTGGATGACTCTGGGCTCCAGAATTTTGACTGATGGAGAAATACTTCCGTCTGTCCACTTTCTCTACTCCATGCATAATGTTACACACTTCTATCATGCTCCCCCTTACCGCCCCCCTTTAAAAAAAATTCAGTAGCCTCCAAATATTGTAAGCTTCATTTGTTGTGAGTTACTCTATCCCCCTGATCATTTTGGCTGCCTTTTTGCACACCTTTTCCAGCTCTACAATATCATTTTGGAGGAAAAACAAAATCCACCCATAGAAACACAGTTATTCCGGCAAAGTCCAGCCATGCCGGGCCTTGACTGAATTTTTAATATAATTAGCAGAAAGACCTCAAATGAGCTTCAGTGAACAGTAAATAAGGAGAGATTGTTAGTCAGAGAGACAAAATTGCCCTTTTCATTGAAAAAGGCTACATTCTGCCATTAGTATAATGAGCTGCCTTATACCAGCTCAGAACATTAGCCCTTCTAGTCCCATCACTCTCTTGGCTTGCAATCTTTAACTGGGGATGTCTTCCACAGAACTCTCAGTACTTGGCAATTGACTGCTCTAGGCTGCAATTCTATGAACACCTGCATGGAAATCCCACTGAACACTGTGGGGCTTACTTCACAGTAAATATGGTCAGGATTGCACAGCTAGAATAATATTTCATTTCTTCCTTTTTAGATATGACAATACAGAGTCTTTCTTCCCTCCCACTAAACATATATTAATAATTCGTGTGAAGAGTACTCCCTTTTGTATATCATAATCTCCCACCATTCATGAGCCCAGGTTGTGTTATAAGAGGAAGAGGAAGAGGAAGAGAAACCTCTCTCTATCAACTTTTGTCACACCATGCATAATTTTATAAACCTGTATCATGCCCCCACTTTACTCATCTTTCTCCTAAACTGGCTGTAAACAAAACATTTCCTTAGAGTGGAGCTACCCTACACTCCTGATCATTTGCCCTTTTCTATGCCATATTTTTTTTAGGTCCAGTGACTAGACTCCTACACAGTGTGGTTGCACCATAAAAAAGGTAAAGGACCCCTGACAGTTAAGTCACAAACGACTCTGGGGTTGTGGTGCTCATCTCGCTTTACTGGCTGAGGGAGCCGACGTTTGTCCGCAGACAGTTTTTCTGGGTCATGTGGCCAGCATGACTAAGCCGCTTCTGGCGAAACCGGAGCAGCGCACGGAAACGCCATTTACCTTCCCGCCGGAGTGGTACCTATTTATCTACTTGCACTTTGATGTCCTTTCGAACTGCTAGGTTGGCATAGATATGTATAAAATGTTCTAATTTGTTGCTAGGAGAGCATTTTGGCTCTGTGCCTCAGCTATGTATATATACATCAATGCAGGTGTTTCTCTTTTTTACTTGTCTGGCTCAACTTTGTCCCAGTGAGCCTCCCCAATCAAGAAATAAAAATTGAACACCCCCTCCAATGTTTACAGCAAATTTAATAAACAAAATCAGAAAATGGCACGTGAATGCAAGGGGATATTCCACACAACTGTAATAGAAGTGATTATCATCAGGGGAGATACTGCGCTTTTGAGTGGTCAGGAACTGCAATATCATTCCATTAAAATGTTTCCTTGAGGAAAGATCTGGGGACTGCACTCAGACTGATGCAAAAATACATTCCACATGTCCCTGTCATCTGAGGTTAGGAAGATAGTTACTGTGGGAAGTCTACTTGCTTAACACAATCACTTTGGGGGAAGCTGGTAACAAGTTTTTTTTTGGAAAGCATTTGCAATTTGCTAAAAGTTACTGATTTTATTCTGTCCAGTGGTGAAGTTTGTTTCTGTCTCTGATCGTTTTTATGGTATTGTACATTATATATTGCATTCTAATAATCTGTAAGCGCCAAGGGAGGAACTATGGGCTAGCAGGTAGATGGAAATTTTCAAACGCCCATTTGTCATACAAAAGAGGATCTGTGTAAAAAGGTCTTATGTCTTCTGCTCTTTTGTGTGAGATACAAATAATAAGTTTATGTAGTTGTTTAATAATAACCCACTCGATTCGTTTGCTTCAGCACAAACACAAGTTCTAGATTCCTAATACAGTATTGGAAAGAACTCAGTTGATCATGTAATCCAATCAGCACTCAGAAACTCACACACATAATATCTTTAACAACAGTAATCCAATTTCATGAGAGATGGTGTTCATTTTAATAAAACAAATTTTTATAAAACAAAATCAGACATTTAAAAATCTATTTTAAACAAAACAAATACACAAGCCCATTTATAATCAATAAGTGAATTCAGAACTAAAGCCCACTGATACAAAATTAATTTGACATTCCACATACGTCAAGGTTTTTACTGTAGGCTATTATGTCATAAACATTACAAACCCTTACATAATTTTATCAAAGGCATTTGGAAATAATGTCCTCTGATTTCAGCTTTTTTTTTTCTAGAAAAAAAATACAGGACCAGCATGACTGTCATATAAGAGGCAACATTGGTTTGGGAGATGAGGAGCTAAAGCAGTTATCCGTCTAAGGAAAATCTTGCTGTGCCTTGCCATTTTCCCATCTAATGAAACATTCATTGTTTGAACACTATTTTTAGTAGATTAGATATAAAGCCTGGGTTGACAATTCATAATAATTTAGGTTAAAAAAACAACAACACCCAGAGCTTTGCCTATCTTCTGTTGAAACTGACAGAACATACAGTGACTCATTCTGGGAGTTACTAACTTTAGCAAAGGGTAACAAACTTTATAACTGTATAAAGTATCAAATAGCATCACAGAATTTAAGTGCATGTTTACAGCAAATGTATATAAACTTAAAACTTCCTTTTTTCTACAGCAAACATCTAAAAGGATTTTACTTCCTTTCCAATAACCTTTTTTGGTTTCATCAAGTTCATTTACAGTTAGTATCCCTTTTCCTAGCTCTGCTCCTGTGGCTAGTTCTTTTGCAAACAAACAAATAAAACACGTTCACATCTAAACACAAGGTCTGAGCATAGCCCAGCCCACTTTTGGACATGCTGTATTACCTGTGGAGGTGTTGTGTACTTCCTGTCCTGCGGAGTCCACATCCTGTGCAAAGTATCTAGGGAACTTTCTGAGAACTGCTGGGATTTTCGGCCTGCATTACGGGCTTTTAGTTCCACATCCTCGTACGGATTTTCCTTGGGTGAATCTCCTTAACAAATTTTTTTTAAGGAAAGAAAAACAGATAGGAATGTAAAATAAAAAAAAATCATGTGAACTAAGCAAAAGGCTCGTAGAAAACCTCCTTCGCTTCCAGCGTGACTCATCCTTCCAAGTGCAGCTGGAAGTACTTGGAGGAAATTCTGGCTACGAAAGACTGTGTGGTGTTTTTTTTTCTCTTCCCTGTAGCGATTTCACAAGACTGCTTTCTGAGTCCCTACAGGCTCTGTCAAGCTTTATTCATGAATGTAAAAGGAAGCGTTACACACAGCTACTTTCAGAAGAACCAGGCAGATTACTAACAGTTCAGTCCTCTGTGTGTTTACTCAGGAGTAGGGATGCCATCAGGGCAGGGCTTGGGGGGATGTGTCCAGGGCCCCTACTCAGCAGAATGAGCAAAATGGCCCCAAACACAGCAGGGCTGGCTCACCACATTTTGAAATGAAGGAACACATGTTGCTATCTACCGTGGGAGTGTGTGTGTGTGTGTGAAGATTATTAAATCCAGAGTCAAAAATTACCTAACTGCACCACTGCTCAGAAATCCTACTGAGTTCAATGAGACAATGTCCCTTGTAAAATGTGTTTGTAGAATTGCAAATCAGAGAGTTACAATTGACTCTCATAATAAAAATAATGGAAGAGGTTTTTGTTTTGTTTTGCAACCGCCTTAAGCACACTCAGGCTTGGTTTGCATGTCAATTTAATTATTGTTACACAAAACAATGGCTATGAACACACTCCCATTTACTCTGAATCCAGTGCGCTCCCACTGTTGGTTTAGGAAGCAATGTACACACGTCAGCCACAACCCAAATCCATCTATATCCTCTTGTTTCTTAGGAAATACTACATTTTGACACGCTTTCCCCAAAACCTGCTTCAATCTGAATTAATAAAAAGAATGGCCTAGCTGCAGTTTAAGCTGGAAAGCTGAATAGTGTCTGAGTTTTAAAGGTGAATGTGGAGCATTTTCCTGTGCACTGCTGAAATTATGGGTGCTTTGTTATTCTCTCACTCCTGCTCCTGTCATGCTGCTAGGAGCTAAACCATTGTAAGCCTTAGGGTTACATTTAAACCGAGGCTTCTGATTTGTTTTCCCCCTGCCCAAACAAACCATGAGCAGTAAGCCAAGAACAGATCTTGGTTACTATTGTTATCACTCATAGTTTGGAGAAACCACAAGCCCCAGTTTAGATACAGCAGCTAAGGAGAAGTGAGGAAGGAGTCAAGAGCACCCACAATTTGAGCAGCAGGCACCAGCACACTGCATGATCACCTTTCAAACCACAGTTTGGTTTAAGTAGGCTTTAAGCCCTCCAGATGTCGCTGGACTACAACCCCCATCATCCCAGGCTATTGGCCATGCTTGCTAGGACTGATGGGAGTTGAAGTTAAAAAAAATATCTGGAGGGCCAACGGTTCCACGTCCTTGGTTTAAAGCATCATGTGAACCAGGCATGTGCATAGAAAAGCAGGATACAGATTATTGTAATAAATGAATGGTAAAAAAAAAAAATGTCATTGTCCTATCACAGGCTTTAGTAAATCTATCATCTGTCACCTTATAGCACAGGAGTTAAAGGCGCAAATTATCTTTTTGCAAAATAGGGGGAAATGCATAGGTATAGTCATGATGAACTCAAGGAGAAGCTGTGACCTCACACCAACATTCATGTAACATTCTCACTTCCAATTTCTATAAACGTTTACAATATCTAAAGGAAATGCTACTCCTACATAAAAATAAATATTGGGTAACCTCCATATGAAACACAAAGCAGGCCACTCAACTAGGTAAGAAATATCCAAAAGCTTGATGGGTCAATAAAACAAAACCATAAAGAAAAACTGACCTTAGGTCTGATTGCAGGCATGCCCCCCATTTTTATCTTTTTGTAATGAATTCAATAATTTTGAAAGTTAGGCTTTAGTCAACGATTAAATAAGGGTGGTCCAACTTTGACACAGAACATGCAGGCTGCACACTGCCTTGATGTGCGGGGGTGGAGAAGAGCAAGGCCAAAATGTGATGCCCCCTCAGCCCTCATGCTACCTCCCCAAAGTTGGATATGCGAGGGGTTGGGCTTTGGAAAGGAGTTGTGAGGCTCACATTCTTCCCAAAGTTGGGAAAGCACTAACTAGGCCAGGGGTCAGCAAACTTTTTCAGCAGGGGGCTGGTCCACTGTCCCTCAGACCTTGTGGTGGGCTGGACTATATTATGGGGGGCAAATGAACGAATTCCTATGTCCCACAAATAACCCGGAGATGCATTTAAATAAAAGCACACATTCTACTCATGTAAAAACTCCAGGCAGGCCCCAGAAATAACCCAGAGATGCATTTTAAATAAAAGGACACATTCTACTCATGTAAAAACATGCTGATTCCTGGACCGTCCGCAATTGGGCCAGATCCGGCCCCCGGGTCTTAGTTTGCCTACCCATTAACTGGGCTTTGGGAAGGAGAATGGAGGACTCTAGGACCCTGTCAGAGCTCTCACTCCTCCTGCCCAAAGCCAGCGCCTTGCTTACCCAGCTTTGGAAAGGCAGTGCGAGGGCTGTGGGGGTGGGAGTCAAATGCTGCTGCTGAGGACCACCAAAAAGGCATTGAGGGCTTCATTGAGAGCCAGTGTGGTGTAGTGGTTAAGAGCGGTATTTGCTTCTGAGTAAACATGCATAGGATTAGGCTATACAGTTAATTGGCTTCTATATATGTAAAAACAAAACCAGAAATATCTTTCCTGCTTCCTACTGTATCTGTGTGGTGTAGTGGTTAAAAGCGGTAGTCTCGTAATCTGGGGAACCGGGTTCACGTCTCCGCTCCTCCACATGCAGCGGCTGGGTGACCTTGGGCCAGTCACACTTCTTTGAAGTCTCTCAGCCCCACTCACCTCACAGAGTGTTTGTTGTGGGGGAGGAAGGGAAAGGAGAATGTTAGCCGCTTTGAGACTCCTTTGGGTAATGAAAAAGCGGGATATCAAATCCAAACTCTTCTCTTCTCTTCTTCTCAGGCCAGGTGTTGGACAGCCCTGGTTTAAATAATTCCTCCAGGCTCAACTATACAGGAGATGTGTTGGTACCAGCAACTATATGAACACAGAAGTCCTTCTAGGCCAAATCAAGGGTCCACAATCCTGTTCCCAACAGCAGCCAGCCAAATGTTTCCAGCAGTTCACAAATAAGGGCCTGATGGCAACCACCTGCCTCTGTTGCTTTCACTATGTCACTTAGCTATCATGTCAATTTTTTAAACCAACCCCCCTCCATTAATTTGTCTAATCATGATGGACAACCCGCCCATGAGGTGGGCTGGGGCAGCCACCTTGGGTGGCAGACAGCTGCGGGGGCGCCATGCCTACCCCTGCAGCCAACTGGGTCCTGCTGCAGCGGCTTCTTCTGGCAATATCTTGGAAGAAAGCATTGCAGCCATGTGCAGGGGAGGAGTAGAGGCACCTTCCAGCTTCACCTCCGCCAGCAAAGCAGGACAGGCTGCCCCTGCTAATCATTTTCTAAAGTCATCTAAGTTAGTGGCCAAAACTACCTTTTGTGGCAGGAAATTCCAAGTGTTGCGTGGGGGGAAATTCCAAGTGTTGTGGGGGGAAATTCCAAGTGTTGCGTGGGGAAGTTCTTCCTTTTGCCTGTCCTGAATCGACTGTCTATTGGTGTAACTGGATGATTCCCCACCCCACCCAGTAGCCAATTTGGTGCCCTCCGCATGTTGAGGGACTCCAACTCCCATCAGCCACAGCTGGCATGGCCAACAGTCAGGTATGATGGAAGCTGCAGTCCAATAACATCTGGAGGACATACTGACTCGTGTGTGCAGGTGTGAATTAATACAAGAGAAAGAAAGGTGCAGTGCCTTTGCGTGCAAGTCTAGCCAGACTGATAAATTAACAGAGGGGGATAAAGAATGGAACTTAAATGAAAAATTCTGGCCAGTGGCAGAGAAATGAAATAATTATAGATCTTCCTCAGTGTTTATTCATTTAGAATAAACTAACCTACAGATATTATTATTTTTTAATTAAGGTATGCTACTTTCACTATCTAAAGTGTAAGTAGTGCCTTAAAGGACACTGCACACAAACCAAAATTTTTGGATTGTTTTAATGACAAACCTTGAGCAGCTGCTGCAATAGAAAATGGTTCAATTGGCAGTCCTTGATCATTATCTCAGTAGTATGGAATGCAAATCTATAGAATGCACTGGAACTCACAAACCCTGGAGTCAAGATACCTCCCAGCTCAGATGAAGAATAATTTAGAAACTTATTTGGCTATTTTCAGCAAATAAATTTTAATGGAATTTCAGTCTTTTTGGAGTATAAATATGAAGCCATAAATTCTACGGTGGTACCTTGAAGAGACTGCCCAGAGAAAAAATAAGGACAACGAGCTAGTGTTTCACAATCATTCTGAAAAATGAGAAATTCAAAACGTAACAAGTGCAAAAAAAATAGTAACTTGAAGGAGATCAAAGGAATTTGGAAATATCGGCAGAGGTCAGTTACTCTAACTGACACAAAGTCAGGAGACTGAAGTCAGCTCAGGACATTAGCTGTGATTTGCATTTAACAAGCAGGTTTTTAAAACAGCATCAGCTGGAAATAGAAGGAAGGAAATGTAACCCTCTCCTTGACTGGTAAAAGTAAAGGGACCCCTGACCATTAGGTCCAGTCGTGGCCGACTCTGGGGTTGTGGCGCTCATCTCGCTTTATTGGCCGAGGGAGCTGGTGTACAGCTTCCGGGTCATGTGGCCAGCATGACTAAGCTGCTTCTGGTGAACCAGAGTAGCGCACGGAAATGCCATTTACCTTCCCACCGGACTGGTACCTATTTATCTACTTGCACTTTGACATGCTTTCGAACTGCTAGGTTGGCAGGAGCAGGGACCAAGCAACAGGAGCTCACCCTGTCGCGGGGATTCGAACCGCCGACCTTCTGATTGGCAAGTCCTAGGCTTTGTGGTTTAACCCACACTAAGGCGCTACAGGAAATCCCTCATCTGAAAGTGTTATATGCTTTGGTGAAATGGCACCAATACAACATTTTCTCCTAAAGCAAATAGCAGCTTAAGATGGCAGATTTTTCTCGGAACACAGCAAGGGGGAAAGGGGTTAAATGCAGTAAAGACTGGAGATTGGTTTAACAGTTCAGTGCTGTGGGTGCAAGCATTAAAAGCTATAACTTTGACACCTGAAGACTTAGGAACAGTATATAAATAAATAACATGAGAATATAAAATTCTAAACTGTTGGAAAGGTAAAACCCATTCTGCTATATTGATGCCAAGCAGACATTTCATAGACACTGAAAACTGTTGTAGAGATTTTTTGAGTTAACATTCAAGATCCATTCTTTAATATAATTAAATGAGCCTCCCTTTCTATGACGAATCATTTCATCATATTATTTATCTATTGCATTTATTTATCTTCCCCATAATGAATGGGTTACAAAAAAGTTAGAAACACAGAAGTCCCCTGCAGAAAAAGCCACATAACAGCACACTATGAAACCACCACAAACAACATAGCAGAGATGAAAAGAAATTCAGTCATAATCATAAAATCAAAATGAGGAGAGCTAGAAAATCATCTTAACAGGGCTAAACCATATCATGAGATCATTGCGAAAGCTTTGGAGCCATTTACAAAGGCCTGGGGAAAGAAGGGTGCCAAAAGGATATTAAAGGTGGCACCAGGTGAGCCTCTCCGGGGAGGGCATTCCACAACTGGAGAGATGCCATCAAAAATGTCCTCTCCTTCATGGCCATTCCCTGCTGCTCAGACTGTGGGAGCACTTGGAAGAGGGCCTCAACTAATGGCCTCATGGCCTGGGTAGGGACAGAGGAGAAGAGGCTATCTTTCAAGTAATGAAGTCTCAAGGCTTGAATCACTCTCCCACAGGTGTTGAAGGAAAAGAACAGACTTTACTTCAGCTTAAGACCACATCTCTTAAATCCAGCATTTTGCAATATGAGAATTCTAACCACAGGTCCTTAATGGAGGTCAACTGTCTTTAAAAAAATATTTTTATTTTTTTTGCTTTCCTAGATTCCTGAATCTACCGCTTCCAGTGCATCTATCTGCAGAATAGTTTTGTTGGCAACGTGGTGCAACATTTTGTCCAAAGTAAGAGCAAATGAAAGCCATGGTAAAATAATCAACACACTTTGGGGGAAATAAAGAATAATGTGCTGGGGAGTTGAAGCCCTGATGAGTTGTTTGTGATGGTTGCACTCCTTCAATGTGCAGCTCCAAGGAATGTCTTGCCACACTGGCTGTCAAGCGTGGCAGATGGGAAGCCAAGTCTAGGCAAAGCTAAGTGAGCCAACAATGAAGTGAGGCAAGAATGAAAAATGGCACCAAGAAAAAGAAAAACTGAATTCCTCAAATAATTATCTGGAGTAGTATGTTTCCTTTGCACTCTGAAAGCAGGGATTTATCAAAGGGAATTTCATGTAGCACATAAAGCATTTCTGCCCGTTAGTCTATAACTAAGAGAACAGATTTGCAACTAAAAAAAAAATCTGTCTTTAGAGGCATTTTCTAGGCAACACAAATAGCGATTCTCAAAGCAGGTGTGAGCTTGCAGACAGGCTTGAACAATCTGCTGCTCCTTCAAAACCACAATCCTGGCTGATTTGGGACTGACACTGGCAAGCAGACTGGAAACAGGGAAGATGAATCATTGTTGAAGCTAGTGAGCAGACAACGGTGGCGACTTTCAGTTCCCTAGGTTCAAGAGATTGCATTCTTAGGGACAGAGAAGAGCCTGCGTCACCTTGAAAGACAGGTTACAGATTTCCGGAGAACTTTGTATTTTAAAGAGTGTTCCATGTATGTGTATACTTATGCTCAGATGAACACTGACATACATGAAAATTGGGCCTAAATATTAATAAAGCATGTTTCCAAGAGCATAATTGATTTAAGATACCATTGAGAATTCCCAGAATGACACGTTACAGGGCCAGTGGTGCCAAGGATACAACAAATAACTCTGTATAAGAAGACTGCAGGCTCAAAGTCTTGCCAGTCTCAAGGCCACAGGAGCTGCCTTGGGAATGGCCATAGGTTAGTAGAAAACCACTTGCTTGGCATGCACCCAGGTTTAGTTCACTGCATGTCTGGAGGGGGCAAGAAAAGGCTCCTCCCTGAAACTGTGGGCAGCTGCTGCCAAGCAGTAGAAACCACAAAGAGCTGGATGGATCAATAGTCTGACTCAGTATAAGGGAACTTCCTATATTCTAAGGACAAACTCAGTCATCTCTTACCACCCCACAAGGAAGTCAGGGGCAGAGCAAGCAGACATGGTCTCACCTGCTCCCAATACATATATTCCCTGAACATGGATGTGCTGTGTGAACTGGCCTACAAACAATGGGTTTTAGCATTTTTCTCTAGAATAATTCAGTATTTGCAGATGCATATCCATAGTCAAAACTTTGAAAATTCAATCATGATAATCAAGGATTTAAAAATATGAAAGTAAAATACTTTCAGCCCATATTCATAATAATATAGGACTTATTTTTAAAATGTGGCAAAATTATGATAGGTCAATGAAGGTCTGCTTTATTGTTATTGAGTAGTTTTCAAGATGGCATTCATAAGAATTGAATACCATGGTTGGGTCAAGTAACTTCCAGAAGAGTCATTTAGGAAAGCTTTACTTGTACTGCGTATAGAGCTGTCACCCTATTAAATAAATTTTAATTGATTAATTTTATGAGTTTTAGTTTATTAATCAATTGATTGAATCTGCACAAATTAGAATGTCAGTAAAGCAATACTACTGAGGTAGAAGGAAGCATTATTTCTTCTTCTTTCAAACTCGCTTTCAGACATCAGTTGAATGATGGTGGGTTTTTAATGCCGCTCGTTTATTCTGTTCACTTGCTGAGTTTCCAGAAAATCATCATATGCAGCTATCACCTTTTATTTCAAGCTAATCTTAAAACAATAAGAAGTTCTCAATTAATTTAGTATATAATTCGAGCTCTTCTCAGACTCCAGAGAAAACCTCTAGTTAACCTCATAAATTACTACTGAGCATCTAACAAAAACATGTTTTTTAAAAAAGAGAGGAATGGATCCAAACCAAAATCATTTTTCTGGACATCCATTAGCTTTGAAAAAGTTTGGACTCTGCTCAAGCATTTGTGACTGACTCTAGTATGTACTATGGGGCCAAATATAAAACAAAAAAAGTGAAAGTGGAGGAGAGTTTGGGAAAGGTTGTATGATGTCAAGTCTGCCTCTAGCACTAGACTACAGTGAGCTTCTATTGCTAAGGTGGACTAAGAAGCCCAAAAGGAAACACCTGTAGCCTCTAGTAGGGATTTTTGGATCCAGATCAGACCCTTACAATTCCTGTGTGACTTTACAATAAGACAATCTTTTTAAAAATCCCCACTAGCAATGTTGTTTAGTCTAATGTGTTCTGCTTAGTGATGTAAACAAAAGAGACTGGATCCAACAACAACTTCTTTCCTATTTTTACTTTCAATCATTTCCATGATTTCAGTGGAATTATCTAATGGCAAATTATGGCGAGGGAGGACATATTATCCTGGAAATGTGTGCAAAGTGCATTCAGGACTATAGCTTAAGCATATGAAAATTTGAGTGGAGTAAAACCAATTGTTGTTGTTTAGTCATTTAGTCGTGTCCAACTCTTCATGACCCCATGGACCAGAGCACGCCAGGCACTCCTGTCTTCCATTGCCTCCCGCAGTTTGGTCAAACTCATGCTGGTAGCTTCGAGAACACTGTCCAACCATCTCGTCCTCTGTCATCCCCTTCTCCTTGTACCCTCAATCTTTCCCAACATCAGGGTCTTTTCCAGGGAGTTTTATCTTCTCAAGAGGTGGCCAAGGTATTGGAGCCTCAGCTTCACGATCTGTCCTTCCAGTGAGCACTCAGGGTTGATTTCCTTCAGAATGGATAGCTTTGGTCTTCTTGCAGTCCATGGGACTCTCAAGAGTCTCCTCCAGCACCATAATTCAAAAGCATCAATTCTTCGGCGATCAGCCTTCTTTATGGTCCAGCTCTCACTTCCATACATCACTACTGGGAAAACCATAGCTTTTACTATACGGACCTTTGTTGGCAAGGTGATGTCTCTGTTTTTAAGATGCTGTCTAGGTTTGTCATTGCTTTTCTCCCAAGAAGCAGGAGTCTTTTAATTTCGTGACTGCTGTCACCATCTGCAGTGATCATGGAGCCCAAGAAAGTAAAATCTCTCACTGCCTCCATTTCTTCCCCTTCTATTTGCCAGGAGGTGATGGGACCAGTGGCCATGATCTACGTTTTTTTGATGTTGAGCTTCAGACCATATTTTGCACTCTCCTCTTTCATCCTCATTAAAAGGTTCTTTAATTCCTCCTCACTTTCTGTCATCAAGGTTGTGTCATTTACATATCTGAGGTTGTTGATATTTCTTCCGGCAATCTTAATTCCGGCTTGGGATTCATCCAGCCCAGCCTTTCGCATGATGAATTCTGCCCTCCCACAAGCAACTACACAGAGTCCCTATTACTACGTGGTCTAAAACACTGAGCTTCTTGGGCTTGTCAATCAGAAGGTTGGCAGTTTGAATCCCCACAATGAGGTGAGCTCCCGCTGCTCTGTTCCAGCTTCTGCCAACCAAACCAAGCAGTTCGAAAGCATGCCAGTGCAAGTAGATAAATAGGTACTGGTGTGGCGGGAAGGTAAGCGGCGTTTCTGTGTACATTGATTTTCGTCACCGTGTGCCGTTGCACCAGAAGCAGTTTAGTCATGCTGGCCACATGACCCGGAAAACTGTCTGTGGACAAATGCCGGCTCCCTCGGCCTGAAAGCGAGATGAGCGCCTTAACCCCATAGTCACTTTTGACTGGACTTAACCATCCAGGGTCCTTTACCTTTTACCTTTACCTTTTATATTTTACTAAGATATCCAAGCCCAGTTTTTTACTATTGGAAAATATTTTGAACCCAAACAGAAAATTGTAAATATCAGATGGGGGGGATCAGTGGAGACTTACAAAATTATTGTCTTAGAATGAAGTAAAAGTAAAGGTAAAGGGACCCCTGACTGTTAAGTCCAGTTGTGGACGACTCTGGAGTTGCGGCGCTCATCTCACTTTACTGGCGAGATATGAAGTAGGACAATATTAAATTCCATCCTTACCCTAATAAATAGTAACTCGGCTGGCATGTTTTGGTTATATTAAAATAAAACAGTATGTATTCTAATTAGAATAAGATTTCTCATTTTCTGTACTCCTTTGCAAACTTCTCCAGCTGTACCCTCCTGTGTGACCTTAACAATATACAATTTTTTTACCTTGCACCATAGCTTATTTCCACTTGTTAGCAGCTTCAGCTCTCGCCTCTGTGATAAGATTCACACAACTTCTCACATTTGTGTTTTGTAGTTAAATTTTCTATGCAGTTGAAAAGAAGCCATGTGGCAGCAAGAATCACACTGACAGATAAAATATTAATAATGATATCTAGGACTCTTTTCCAAAATGCTTGAATGACCAGACACATGTATAGCACGCAGATACCATTTGCATTTAATGCCTTGCAATGCCATTATGAATAAGAAATACCTTAGTACCTCTAACTAACTAATTAATTTATAAGAGAGTTAGGTGCCATTTATTTCAGAAAGGTCTGGAATACCCAGACTCAATTTTAATGAATTTTTGTTCCGGATATAGCACTGTCAATGAACATGTCCAGGCCTGGCATGAGAAAGAAAAGCTGGCAACAAGCAACAGCATCTACAACAAGAATGGCAGTAACCAGGGGCGTAGGAAGGTGGGGCAGTGGGGGCAGTCCGCCCCGGGTGTCATCCCTGAGGGGGGGGGTGACAAAATCCTGGCCTGGCATGATCGTGGCCACTCCCCGGCCAGGCCGCAGCATTGGATCACACCCCCCAGCAGGGTGCAATCGCTGCTCTGCCAGATTGCACCCCCCAGCCACGCCGCCATGCTGGATCACACCCTCCGGTTGGGCGCAATCGCCACTGTGCGGATTGCCCCACCTCCTGGGCGGATCGCCTGCCCCACCCCCCGGTGCACAGCACTGCTCCGGGTGCCTGAGCGGCTAGCTCTGCCGCTGGCAGTAACAATGAAGGTGTGGATAGTAGCTGACAAGATTGTGTGCCTTAGTCACACAGCATTATTTTCAAATACAGTAATAGGGTAGTACTAAATACTCATACAGCAAGAACCAGGCAAACACATCTAAAGGAGCCACAAAGTGCTGTAGGAGTGGACGATGAGCAAAGGGGGAATAAAGAGAAAGAAAACCTTCAACTCATTCCTGCATTGCAGGGGGTTTGGTCCCTTCCAACTCTACAATTCTCCAGTTCTCTGAACTCTGTCATAGCTGTATTCACAGGACTCCCTGAAGAACTCAGGAGGCTGAGACAGAGCATGCTGACACAATTATGCCAAACCATTCCAGTGCTAAAGTGTGGGTCAGAGTCAGGCAAATGTCAAGCTAACACCTCATCAAAGACATTCACCAGCTATAATGCGAGTTATCAAGGCCGTGGGTACCCCGATCTGAGAGGAAATGAGGCACAGGATCAGCTACTATAACAGTAGAAAAAAAGTCTGACAGCAAAATAAAGGGCAGCTAGCGTTTTAGCACGTTTGACAATTCTCTTACAGTTAGAACAAACGCTATGCAGAGCAGAGCCTCAGAATGTATCACCACACCAGCTCCTTCGACATTTTGATCCCTTCACTGTCCCTCTTTCAGAGGCAGGTGAAAACATTTCAAAAAGTTTTTCCTTTGTAAAACAACACATGCCATTACAGTGGTACCTCAGGTTACGAACACTTTGGGTTACAGACTCCGCTAACCTGGAAGTAGTACCTCAGGTTAAGAACTTTGCCTCAGGATGAGGACAGAAATTGTGCTCCGGTGGCACAGTGGCAGCGGAAGGCCCCATAAGCTAAAGTGGTACCTTAGGTTAAGAACAGTTTCAGGTTAAGAACCTCCAGAACGAATTAAGTTTGTATCCCGAGGTACCACTGTATGTGGTGCTTTTAAACTGTAAGTCTGCCACTTTGATCTTCTTAATGCTTTGTACTATTTTAAAAGTTTCTACATTTATAATGAATTTTGATTGACTTTATTTCACAACTGTAAGTCACCTTGCGTATTTCTGTGGAAAGTAATTTCAAAACGCAGTCAAACACTCCCATGCCACAGTAGGGGTGCTGTCATAATATTAATTCTAACTAGCTACAGCCATATAATCTCTAAAGATAACCAGTCCTTAAATACTGTAATAAAGCAAAGTAGAACAATTCTCATATCTGAGTTAGTCACAATATATTGCTACTTTTAGAAAAAAAGGAATAAGACATCTGTGCACCAATGCACAGAGCTATAATAAACCCAGTCTTAAACTCCATACCTGCGAGAAGAACAATCTGATATATGTGCATGCACTGTGTGTTTAATGGGACTCAGTGGTTTCATAAGTTATATATCAACAAGAAATCATTGAGTTTCTAATTACAGACCTAGTATTAATAGACCTCTGAGGAAAAAGAAGGAATTTTAATCAAACACATTCCTCTCAAAGAAATATACTAGGATATAACTTTTTGGGCTTCAAGTTTGCATGAATGGGAAGGATACCAGTATTGAAGATGAATGTATTACCATGGATCCTAGTTTTATCACTAAATAGAAGTGGGAGCTGCAATAAAATCTTGCTGTGGAGTGCTGCTGTTCAGGATTGCAGCATTTTGCGGCCACTGAACATGCTCAGCTCGTATTCAGCTGTTACTGAGGTTCACAGCCTTAGAATTTGTTTTCTAAATATTTGTGTACTTCTACAAACTCTGTATCATCAGCAACAGCAGCACATAACAGGGAGAAATCATCATTTCTCCCTGTTGCATGCTGCTGTTGCTGTTTTGGCTACATAAAGAATGACAGTCACACAGTCAAAACTAAAGGGAGTGATTCCATTATAAGTCAATTCATTATTATTAGCATTTTGGCAAATGGTACTGTCATTTTTTGTTTGTTTGTTAGGAAAAAGATCAAGGATTATTGTTCACACTGTGTGTAAGACGGTTGCTAAAATAGGGGTGGAATCTCCACTTACATGCAGAAATTCTGAGTAAAAGACTGGTACACTGAAGAGAGGTTTTGAAGTTGGAATAAAGAGAAATAAAACTTTGTCAATCCAGTTTGAAGAATCACAATGCTGTGAACAGGCATGCACCCAAATTACTGTGATCAATGGCAGTGTGGGGGAAAAGTGGCAGGCACTTTCATGCTCTGTTGGTAGTCACATAGTGATTCAAAGTGGATTTATTTATCTGTAAATTTGGACTCCAACTCTTCCTCCAAGGAGCTGGGGTTGTTGGCTTCCCCAGAAGTGTTGTTTGGCCACTGCTGAGAATAGGATGCTGGCTAAAATGTACCCTCTACCCAATTCAGCATAACTCTTCTGTCCGTTTTCTCTCAACTATGTGTGAGATACTGACCTGCCCAAGTCTATCCGTAGGCTTCACGGCACACCAAAACACACACACACACACACTTCCGGGGGCGGCGCGAACGGTAATGGCGGTCTTCTCCCGACCGGAGAAGAAGCTCCGCTGAAACCGGGTCGTCCGCTACGGCGAAGCGGAGACCCAGTGAGAAAAACCCCAGGCAGCAAGAGCCTGGGGTCCTGAGGCTCGGCGGGCGCCAAGAGCAGCCCTCCAACTGCAGAAGGAGCCTCGTAAGAGGCTCCGGAGCGTGGAGGGGCTGCGGCGCTGTGAGCCGTTTCACAGTCAGCGGAGTGAAGCCGCGCTGCTGCTGCCGGTGAGCGCTGATCCCTTTTCCTGTTAAAATTCGGACCTGGAAGAAAACAACTTACTCGTGAGTAAAGACTGAATCACTTGGAATTACAAATTTTAAATGAGAAGGTTTAAATTGACTTGAATTTGGTTGAAAGCGGAGAGACGTGGAAACAGGAAGTCCGTCTTCCGCTGCCATTGAACTTGGAAAAAAAAAGCAACTAAGGTGGAGGAGTGGAGGCTGAAAGAAAGAGATTTTAAACTCTACACAGCCAAGCATCTATGGAACTTACAATTTAAAGTAAAATTAGCAAGTTAAAGATTTGGACCTTTTATTTGCACTTGACTTTCCCCCTTTTATTGGATTACAAATTGGAAGGTGAAACCCAGAGTCAGGACTGCTTGAGCATTGTAACAGTGGGCTGTCAGTGTTTGACTTGGATACTGTATACTGGAAGTTGCAACAATTTGAGGGCATTGAGACATTTTAAATTTGAAACATTCTTTTTGGAGACAAATAAGCACTGTCTGCAACAAAGTGATTACCTTTAAACTCTGCTTAATACTTATATTGGAAGGTTCTGGGACATTAAATCAGACTCTGAAAAGACATTTTAAGCTCCCTCTAGAGGATTGGATTAAAACAGTGACTTTATAAAAACATTTACTTTCGATTCTCTTGTTGTCTGCTTGCTCTGGGACTCTCTATTCCTGTGGGAAAAACTCAGTGTGACCTTGACTGATAGATAACATTGGAATGAGTGGTACAAGAAGAAGAGGAAGAGTTAGACAAACAACTCTAACAAATCTAACCTCAGCCTCGCAGACACGTAGATCATCTGTGCCTACTTTGCCCTCAGAAGTACAACTTGAAGAAGCTGCCTTGCCGCAGGCAAAAGAGGGAGAGGGTGAAGTAGAGCAGTTACAATTGGAAGATATGGCCTCAGGAGCATCTGCTTCTGTGCTAGAAAAAATCTTTGAAAAATTGGAAGCTTTGGACAAGAAAGTAGATGCGCAATCAGCAAAGATTGATAAAAATACAGAGTGTCTAAACAAATTAACTACACAGGTGGGACAGAATACACAAGCAATTGGACAGTTGACGGAGGCCTCAGTAGAAAATCGAAAATTGGCTGAGGACACCAGACAAAAATTGGAAAATTTAGAGCAAGAGGTAAGACCACTCACTAAACAAGTTGGGGAACATCAGATTTATCTTTCTATGATAGAACTGCGAAATCGTGAGAATAATCTGAGGATTAGATCATTACAAGAGGCAGAAGAAGGAAATCTAACTGAGTTTTTGACCAAAGAACTTTCCAAGTTCTGGAATTTGGAAGAAAAGGACTTTAAAATTGTGTCAGCTTTCAGACTTGGAAGATTTATAAAGAAGGAGAGGCCCAGGGATTGTTTGATTACATTGAGATCGAAGGAGGAAAGGGATAAGATTTTGGGCCTACATTACGAAAAGTCACTGGAAGTTTTGGATAGAAGAATTGAGATATATAAAGATATCCCAAGACAATTGTTGGATCTTAGAGCCGCCTATTCTGAACTAGCTAAACTATTAAGGAGCAACGCAATTCCATTCAGGTGGGATTTTCCCCAGGGATTGTCTTTTACCTTTAGAGCGAGAAAGGTTAAAATTAGAACATTGGAAGAGAGAGATAAATTTCTGGCTACACACGGAGAGGACCTACATAAAGGAATTGAACTACCTTCCGGGCCTGAGGCAAAGCCAGCATCAATACCTCCACCTCGGGAACTTGAAGATCAAGAGAAGACACCACCCCAGGAGAAATAACCAGATAGATCCAGGATGTCTCTGCAACTGTTGAGCTGGAATATTAATGGTTGCAATATCCCGGAGAAAAGGAAGAAAATTTTTCATATATTAAAAAAAGAACAATTGGACATTATTTGCTTACAAGAAACACATGTGACGAGGCTCCACAGAAAAGTGTTAACAAATAAAAGATTGGGCCAGGAATTTATTTCGTCGGATAAAGTGAAGAAGAGAGGAGTGGTGATATATGCAAAAGAGAGCCTGTCACCTAAATTTCTATTTAAAGATGAACATGGAAGGATTTTGGCTATTGAGATACAATATCAAGGAGAGAAATTGCTGATATTAGGAATCTATGCGCCTAATGAAGGGAAATCGGAATTTTACAAGAAGTTGCAGGGGACAATGCTGGATCATCTGGATTACAACAACATCATAATGATGGGAGACATGAACGGGGTCGTGTCAACTAACATGGACAAGTCGCAAAGTCAAAACATCACAAAAGATGGCAGACTACCTAAAACCTTTTTGAAATGACTGACAATATGGACTTGATCGACATTTGGAGAACAAAAACCCACTAGGTAGAGAAGGAACATTCTTTTCTGAAGCCCAACTGACCTGGACAAGAATCGACCAAATATGGATCTCTAGAGGCCTGGCACCTAGGGTTAGAAAAGTGGAAATCTGCCCAAAGACCTGTTCTGACCACAACGCAGTAAAGATGGACATGACACTACTACCAACTGGATCCTTTAGATGGAAGATGAATGACAATTTGTTTAGAGATCAGGAAATTACCAAGAAGGCCCAAAAAGTTTTGAAAGATTATTTTGAGATAAATATGAACAATTCGGTGGAAAAAAGAATCGTCTGGGACGCAAGCAAAGCTGTTATGAGGGGTTTTCTGATACAACAGAATGTAGTAAAGAAAAAAACACAAAATGAGAAAAAAGACAAGATTTTGGATAAAATAAAAGACTTGGAGAAGAAATTAAGAGTGAATCCAAAGTCACAGCCAACTCTGAGAGAAATTAAACTTTATCAAACACAGTATTCTAAATTGATAAATCAGGAAATTGAATGGAAGATCAAATTAATGAAACAAAAAACGTTTGAGTCGGCGAATAAATGTGGAAAACTGCTATCTTGGCAGTTGAAGAGAAGACAAAGATTAAACACGGTTACAAATTTAGAGGTTGATGGAAGAAACATTCAGAATCCAGTGGACATTAGAAAGTGTTTCCAGAGATATTTTAAAAGTTATATACCCAAGGGCCGCAAGACGAAGTTGAGATTAAACAATTTTTGCCAAAAATGGATTATCTAAACTGTCACAAGAAAATAGGACAATCCTGAACTCTAAAATAACACGACAGGAGATTGAACAAGCTATTCAGAACATGCAACTTGGCAAATCTCCAGGGCCAGACGGGCTGACCTCCAAGTATTACAAGACACTAAAAGACTATTTGATACAACCTTTGATGGAGGTTAGCAATGAAATTATGGGGGGAAGAGGGCACCGGATTCGTGGAAGGAAGCGTTTATCACATTGATACCAAAGTTAGAAACTGAAAAGACACAACTGAAGAACTACCGTCCCATCTCCCTTTTAAATGTGGATTACAAAATATTTGCAGATATTTTGGCAAGTAGATTTAAAAAGTTTTAAATGAAGTAATTCATAAGGACCAGGCCGGTTTTCTCCCAGGTAGACATTTGTTTGCTAACACAAGGAACATTATTGATATTTTGGAACTTCTCCAAACTGACATAAATACAAAAGCTGTTTTAATTTTTATAGATGCGGAGAAGGCCTTTGATAACATTTCTTGGAAATTTATGATGGGAAACTTAAAAGAGATGGGAGTGGGACGGGGTTTTGAGAATGGGATTGAGGCGATATATTCAGAACAGAAAGCAAAACTGATAGTTAATAATGTGGTTACAGAAGAGTTCAAAATTGAAAAAGGGACACGACAAGGTTGCCCTATTTCCCCTTTGTTATTTATTTCGGTCCTGGAGGTGCTATTGAACATGATCAGAGGGGACCAGCTGGTGGAAGGAATTCAGGTTGGTCAGAAACAATATAAATTAAAAGCCTTAGCAGATGACCTGGTTTTGACCTTGCAGAAGCCAGAGCCTAGTACGAAAAGAGTATTACAATTGATTAATGACTTTGGTCGGGTGGCGGGATTTAAATTAAACAAACAGAAAACTAAGGTTTTGGGGAAAAATCTGACTGAGACAGAGTCAGAACGGTTTCAGAATGAGACGGAACTTAATGTGGTTAAAAAGTAAAATACCTAGGGGTAAACATAACAGCAAAAATCTAAGTCTATTTAAGGATAATTATGAAAAATGTTGGACAGAAATTAAGAGAGACTTAGACAGTTGGTCAAAATTGAAACTTTCTTTGTTAGGCCGAATTGCTGCGATTAAGATGAATGTATTGCCAAGAATGTTGTTTTTATTTCAAACACTGCAGGTATTGGACAAAATGGGGTGCTTTCAGAAGTGGCAGAGAGACATTTCGAAGTTTGTCTGGCAGGGCAAAAGCCCAGAATTAAGTTTAAGATACTAACCGATGCAAAACAAAGAGGGGCTTTGCCCTGCCGGACTTAAAGTTGTACTATGAAGCCGCAGCGTTCTGCTGGCTAAAAGACTGGCTACTTCTTGAAGACACTGATGTGTTAGATTTGGAGGGGTTTAACAATGTTTTTGGATGGCATGCATATTTATGGTATGACAAAGTTAAAGCAAATAAGGCCTTTAAGAACCATATTGTTAGAAAATCACTGTTTAATGTCTGGACAAAATATAAAGACTTGCTGGAAAATAAAACACCAAGGTGGCTTTCACCTTTGGAAGCTAAGGCTCGAAAAAGACCCAATATGGAGGCCAAATGGCCAAAATATTGGGAAATACTAGAAAAGATGGAGACAATTGGAAATTGCAGAGCTTGGAGAAAATGAAAGACAAAGTGCGAGATTGGTTACACTATGCTCAGATTAAAGAAGTTTTTAAAAGTGATAAGAAACTAGGGTTCCAGGTGGAGAAATCGAAATTAGAAACAGAATTGTTAGAACCAAAGACTAAGATACTTTCAAGGATGTATAACTTGCTGTTGGAATGGAATACACAAGATGAAATGGTTAAATCGGCTATGATAAGGTGGGCACAGGACATTGGGTACAATATTATGTTTGAGGACTGGGAAAGGCTGTGGAGTAATGGATTGAAATTTACTGCATGTAATGCTTTGAAAGAAAATGTAATGAAAATGATTTATAGATGGTATATGACCCCAGTCAAACTCGCAAAAATTTACCACCTGTCTGATAACAAGTGCTGGAAATGCAAAGAGTGTGAAGGAACGTTCTTTCACCTCTGGTGGACATGCCCTAAAGTGAAGGCGTTCTGGGAAATGATTTACAATGAATTGAAAAAGGTATTTAAATATACTTTCACTAAGAAACCAGAGGCTTTCCTTTTGGGTATTGTCAGCCAAGGGGTGGCAAAGAAGGACCAGACATTTTTATGTACGCAACAACAGCAGCAAGGATACTACTTGCAAAACATTGGAAAACCCAAGATCTACCCACACTGGAAGAATGGCAGATGCAACTGATAGACTATATGCAACTGGCTGAAATGACTGGCAGAATCCGTGACCTGGGAGAAGAGAGAATCGAGGAGGATTGGAAGAAATTTAAGAACTACCTACAAAAACATTGTGATTTGATTGAATGCTGAATAAGATGCTGGACTAAATAACTGAGCACCACTTAACTTAGAAATTTTTAAGGAAACAAGAAAAATTGTGAAAGTTTAACTCTTTATGAGAACTTTAAGATTATGAAATATCGAAGAGATATAAGAATTTAAATAAGATGATAAATTGCTGACAAAATGTTATAATGATGAAGGTGGGAGCGGGAGATGTGAGGAAGTCCTAAGAAAATGTGAAAATATGTTAAGACGAATGCTATATTGTTTATTACATTTATTCCTATTGTAAAACCTAATAAATTGCTTTAAAAAAACAAAAAAAAAAAAAACAAAACACACACACACACACAAATATCATGTCTCACCATTCCACCTGCAACCCTCTAGACAGCTTGTGATAAGATAGATTGAAAAGTTTTCAGAGTTTTATATTCTAAACTCGTAACATTTAAAACGAAGGCAGACTTGCAGCATATTCCATTTACTTGTCCTTCTTTGATCTTGCAGTAAAGGGTGGGTGAGAAATCTTATAAATAAATAAAAGAAGACATAGGAAATCACCTAAAAATAAGAGCCTCCGCAACTCTTGCACACGTCTTGATAACTGGGGGAGGGGAACTTTTTACATATAGTAACTCAGCTGGCTATTTAAGCCAATTATATTAGAAACATCTTAGAGTGGCATGGCAAGCCAAGATAAAATACGCTAGCAATCTGAAAACTAATGCTCAAATAACACTCAAACAGTTCTTTCTGTCTAGAACTTCTAGTTATACAGTTGTACCTTGAAAGTCGAACGGAATCCGTTCCAGAAGTCTGTTCGACTTCCAAAAGGTTCGGAAACCAAAGTGTGGCTTCTGATTGGCTGCAGGAAGCTCCTGCAGCCAAGTGGAAGCTGTGGAAGCTGTGCCAGACATTCAGCTTCCGAAAATCATTTGAAAACCAGAACACTCACTTCCAGGTTTCGATCGTTCAGGAGCCGATTTGTTCAGGAACCATGGCGTTTGAGATCCAAGGTACGACTGTATATCACTTAAAAATGATAAATGGTTCTTTATAATTGAGGCTTCAACTCAGTGTTTTGGGATAATAGGAAACTTCCTGATATGAGTTCAGACCATTGGTCCATCAAGCCTAGTATTGTTGACACTGACTGGCAGTGGCTCTCCAAGGTTTCAGAGCAGAGTCTTTCCCAGCCCTGCCTAGAGATGTCAGGAATTTAACCCAGAACCTTGTGCATGCAAAAACATGTGCTGTACCACTGAGATAAAGCCATTCCCCAAATTTGTGCATTTGGGAATTGCTGCTTCAGAAAAGTCACGAAATCATAAAGGGAAAAAAGGCATGGAAGATAAAGAAAGGTGTTATTGCCAATGCCAATGAATCAGTATTTTAAAAGCACCAGTTTCCATTTATATATCCTCTTAAAAACTTCACTCTTAGCTTATATTTCATATGATTTATACTAATAAGGATAGGTATACACATCCAGAATATTAAACTTAAGAGTGTTTGTGTGCATAGATAGATAGATAGATAGATAGAGGGGTATGAGCTCCTGGGGCTGAGCCCTTTGGGGACCCCCATATATTTTGGGGGTAGAGGCCACCCCCCCCATGTCTGCAAAGCACATTGCAGCTCCAGTGGCCGTCTCCTCCTCCTCCTACAGCGGAAGGGAAGGAGGGCCAAAGCAGCCTCCCACCCATGGCAGCACCAGGAGGAACAAAGGAGGAGTCGCCTGCCATTGAAGCCATGCGGCTGCCGTGTTTGTCCCAACCTCCTTACATTGCTTGCATGACATCACACACATGACGTTGGCATCTTCAACTGCCCTTGCAAGCTGGCACCTCTGGATGGATAGATGATAGATAGATAGATAGATGATGATAGATAGATAGATAGATAGATAGATAGATGATAGACAGATAGACAGATAGACAGATAGACAGACAGACAGATAGATAGATAGATATGGAAGTGTTAGACATTTTCTTTTGTTGGCAATATTAATCTGCTGTTCTCTTTAGGTGTTAGAAGTGGACAGCGGGGATGAACTTTTAGTCACCAAAAAACAATATAGCTGGCAGAGAAAAGAGATGAGTGCTGAGGAAGGTAGCTGCTGCAGATGAGTTTACACAGACATCCTCTAAACATAGGCCAAAAGCCACCTCCTACAGGAACCACCCTGCTGTTTAATAGTTCTGCAAGCTCTGCATCTATTTTTCCTTCTATATTCTCTAAGCCCACAGCGGGTTCCCAGGAAAGTCTTCACAAACAATGATTTACGCCATGAAAAACATGGTGATGGCTAACCAAGTAATCTGTTTCCAATAAGACTGCTCAGTGAGGTTTAAAGGAATCAAGACCTCCTGCCTACAGTCTGCGTATAATATGCTTGCTCTGATGTTTCAGCCCATTTACCCTTCACTTAAAGGCTTCTTGCTGTTGTACAACAGGACACATATTCAACAAGTCACTGCCTGACCACAATTGCTCAACATCAAGCAGCTATTTTGTGTGCCACAACAGGTCCTTACCTACAATGTCTTCGTAGGCATTCTCTTCTAAAGTGCTCTTAGATCCAAACTTGTGCTGGCTTTCAGTTCCATTCTCACTTGGGGATGGAGGGTACAAGGACTGGAGGCTTGAAGCATCTTCAAACTCAAAGGATTTTCTAGAGTGGAGAAAATGTAAAAGAATAATTTTCTGATTGCCTAATTAACAGTGCTTTAAAGCTCAGTGCAGATATTGGGTGGCATTCAACTAAGTTTTACTCAGGCAGACCCACCACAATTAATGGACCTAACTAAGTCCTTGTTCATTAATTTCAATTGACCTGTTCTGAGTAAAGCTTAGCTGAATGCCACCCGTAATGCTAGCAAGGGTTAATGTATCAGAAGAAGACAGCCGTATACTCTTCCTCCCTGAGTCTCCCCCGTCCCACACACACACCGCGTCTGAGTCTATGATGAGATTCTTTGGTTAAACATAAAGAATAAATTGGTGACTGGACTGTTGATTAAAGTTAGCTTCGTATCAAATCTAAAACATACATCCACATTATCTTGCCACACTTAGAAAATACACAAAATACTGAATTACCTATGTATCAGACCTGTGAAGTACCAACCATGTGATTTGTCAGATTTTGATTTTGCCATAACCCCAAGGTGGTGGTAGTTAAACATTAAAGACAAGTTTTTTGAGGTTTTCAGCCAACATGATGAGATTTTGAACACTGATTCAGCACCCGCCCTATGGAACGCCCTCCCACCAGATGTCAAAGAGAAAAACAACTACCAGATTTTTAGAAGACATCTGAAGGCAGCCCTGTTTAGGGAAGCTTTTAATGTTTGACGGACTATTGTATTTTAATATTTTGTTGGAAGCCGCTCAGAGTGGCTGGGGAAACCCAGTCAGGTGGGCAGGGTATAAATAATAAATTATTATTATTATTATTATTATTATACGACATTTTCATTCTTGTTTTGCATATTTTGTGCTAGCCCATGAACTGAACATACATTGACAAAAATACATACATACATACATACATACAGATAGCGCTTAACTTAAGGCAGGGATGAGAAACCAGATGTTGTTGGACTCCCAATTTCTATCAGCCCCAGCCAGCATGGCCAACGATCAGAGCTGTAGTCCAACAATATCTGAAGGGCCACAAGTTCCCCATTCCTGACTTAACAGCTGTGGTTTCCTTGGACCTCTCCAAAGTCCTGAGAATCCTGCCTTTCTCCTCTGGGCACTTGTTAGCCGCTGGCCACATCCTGTGATTTATTCGGAAGTTCCTGCTTGCAGCTCATCATTCCAGGCTTCATTCAACATTTTTGCACTCCTCAGCCATAGCAGTTGGAACACACATCAGTGGCAGTGAACATTACATTTAAGTTTCTGTCCATTTCCTTTCTATACCAAAGAGACATTATGCAAGGGCAACATATATAAGGCCATGAGAGATTATTGCTTCAAGACAGCACTTGCATGTGGCTCTGTTGTGCAAGCAATGAGATCATCAATGAGTTTACAATTTAGCATCCTGAGAATCTCAAATCATCTTTCTAAAAAATACAAAGCATGTTTCCAATCCATATGGCTTTGAAAATAGTTTATGCACATTCATGTCTATCATGGTCTAAAGTGTTTTAGCACGATACATAGCTCATTGCCCTTCCTTGCGAATAACACTATGGCAAAGAATAATATGTAACAGCACTGCTGGGAAATGGAGATTAAATATTTGGCAGAGGATCCATCTCCATCCTATTGTGGTATGCAAGGAAGCACTCTGAGAGGGCTTGTTCTATGGCTGCTGGAGTTACTGCACTTTGAGGGTCTGGGCCTCTATAGTGTTAGCATCCTAAATACAGTTACCGGTAGTTTTCTTCATAAGACGTTGGGTGTCCTTATCAGAAGCTAGAGGGCATCTCTAAAATTCTATTAGAATAAGGATAAGCAGAACAAATTGTTCAAAATAAGCTAATTTGTGTAATTTGTACAGATTGCAGAACATGGGTTACATTACTGCAGTTTGTTGTTTTGTCTATTTTTTTTAGTGCAGAATAAATACAGCCTAGACATAACCCCAAGAGAATTTGTATCCTCTCTGCTCAAGAGAAAGGCACATTTGGGCCAGAGTCAGTCAGTATAAACTGATTCCAGTATGGCTGATCCACTGGAGACAGACACCAAGGGCTATTGAGGAAAGTGGTTAGCCTTAATTTTAAAGTCTAACATTATATTTACATATATATGCTGTAAGCCACCCAGAGTGGCTGGTGAAACCTAGCCAGATGGGTGGGGTATAAATAATAATAATCATCATCACCATCACCATCACCATCACACAAATGATGTGTAAATAGCAGCAATGGACCATTGTTAGGTTTGCAGGTGGAAGACCCAGGTTCAAATCCCCTCAGCCATGAAACACACTGGAAGGCCTTAGGCCTTGCCTACTTCATGGGATCACTGTGAAGAAAAATAAAAGCAGTAAAGCACTTCCTACAATGTACATTCAAAATTGCTCCTTATTTAAGAACTCTCCAATTCCACAGATGGAGACTACAACTTGTATTTTTCCTTTTAGTCATGGTCGTTGTTGGTAAAATAAAAGTTCGTCTGGCAGCTGAATCTGTTAGAAGATTCATGTCCCTTTTTTTGCTGCAAATGGCAAAACCCTGATTAGCAGGATACAAGAGGCAATGATTCTACAACACAAAAGCTGTAGCCTAATTAAGACTGTCTTTCATTCTTATCTGCTGAGATTGTGACCTTAAAAGGAGATGCATCTTGAGAATATATGACAAACAGCTTTCCATCTTTACCTATTTTGGGATTTTCTGTGGAAGCGTGACTCTTTTTTCTGCCTCCGGGTGACAGGGGGAGCAGGAGTTGACGGAAGAGGGGGAGGAACAGCAGCCAGAGGTGAAGGAGGTAGGCCATTGCTTGGTTTACTTTTATGGTTCTTGTCAGCTTCATACTCGAAGGTGCGTTTGGGCTTGGGCACAGGGTTTACCGCTGTGTTTGCCAAGTTCTCAGGAAGCAGCTTAGGACCAACAGGACTAACTGTGGCATTGAGTCCTTGTGGCATTTTACTAGTTTTATCAGTCTCAGTGGGTGTCTCTGGACTACTCCCACAAATAACACTCCCTGCTTTACTATCATTTGTGTTCTCATTCAAGTCCTCCACAATACCTGAAGTCACAGACTTTTTTCTTCCTCTGTCAACACTATAGCAGCTACTGGGCAACTGAGGAAGACCCCTGCCTGGCTGTTCTTTTAAAGCCTGCTCAATCTTCTGTATTCTGTTCAGCACGGCAGAACTCTCTTTTCTTGCGTTCCCCTTGAAGAAAGCATTTGCCGACTCGCTCCTGCTCGGCCTCTTTTCAAACCTGTGGCAGGAATCTCTGTCCAGGAACTCCTCCTCCTCTGTTTCTGGGTAGGAGCATTCAGAAAACGTTCTGCTCATCCTCCGGAACCCTTTGTAGTCAAAAGTCTTCTCGCTGCAGGGAGAAGGCAACATACTAGGGCAAGTCTCACTGCCTGACCTGTCCCCAACATCCCTCTTGTCCAAGCATACACTCATCCTAGGGGAAGGCTCTTTCCGACATTCCCATTCTGATATCTTCTGCCTGATATCGAGTGCTTGGGAATGGACGCTGACTCTGCTGAGGGAGAGGTTCCGGAGGTTCGCTGCAGACCCCAAGGAGAGAGTGCTCCGTGTAAGCTGGCGGCTGCCTACAGCTTCTCCATCCTGAGTCTCCTTGGAGGCCTCCTTTTGGTCTTCAGTCTGGAAAAGAGAGAGCCTTTTGTCCAAGCAGCCAATGCTGACAGCTTTGAGGGGGTGATTTGGAGATTCAGTGTCTGAAGGAGAACTTGAGGTGCTTCTCAAGGCAACTCCACAGTTAGTCCGGTCCTTGAGGAGCACCCTGGAGCTGGAAACTTTGGTCAAACTACTGGAGCGGCAGGAATCCTCACTGTCGCTGAGGGGATATGTTGGGCTTCTTGGTTGGTATAGAAGAGGCGGTGGAGAGACTGATTGACACCTGGAAGTAAGAAGAAAAACACTAATCAGCTACCTGGCTACTTAGATTTTACTCAGCACTTGTTTCTAAGGCCAAATGTTTGGAGTAGGCCCAACTTAGTAGACTTTTCTAAAATGGTTTCTGAAAGTGCACACATTTTATACTAGAATAAAGACTTTTTATCCCCCCTTTTTTTTCAATACATGGTCCAAGGACAGCACTGGCAAAGACATTTTGCTGCCTGGAGCAAAAGACAAGATGGTGCACAGAAGCCCACCATACTGGCAGCTGAACCTGACTGCAAGACTGGTGATGAGACTGTGCCTAAGGGCAGCAAGGCAGCTTAGGGGGCACAAGGTAGGCTGCATAACATAACACTGATGGTACACTTTTAGGTATTACTCCTTCCTATATGCATGGACCGGTTAGTCCTCATTCCCCTATTTATACACCCTTTGTGTACTATCAATATCAGTTGTTACATTCTTTGCTCTGACATAGTTGGATGATTGGAAGAAACCAGTGGCCATTTTGTAGAGTTGGCAGTTGAAGAGAGCTCTGGAGGACAACAACTTAGCACATACTTAATGCTTTTGAGTGTTCAGTCCACTTCACATTCATAATCTCAGAAATCCTTACAACAATCCTGTAAAGCAGGGCAGTATTATCTCTGTACTTCGTATGAAGGATAGTGTCTTGCCTAAGGCCACCAAGTGAGTTCACGGCTGAGGTAAAAGTCGAACCTTCCACTCTGCTCAAACTAACATTTTAAATTTGTATTAACTAGTAACATTGAACTTTTCCTCCTGGCACATTGAACAGGAAGAATATTTCTCTCCAAGTCATATTTACAGTAATATTTACAATCAGAGATCTTTTTTGTCTTCTGCATTTAACACAGATATTTGAAACCTCTTATTTCTCATTTTGCTTCTCGCGTGCCTCACAAAATGCAAAAGTAATTCCCAAGTCATCATAATTTCATATTTGTGGCAGGAGAATCAAAAGCCAGAGTGTATGTTATAAAAACAAATGCATTTATTATTTATTCATTTATTTATTAAATTTGTCAGTCACTTTATCATGCCCAAGGCAACCCAAAGCAACTTACCCAAACGTCACTTAATTTGTGATGTTTTAATTCCAGGATGGGGAACCTGTTATTATCCAGCTGCTGCTCAACTCCAACTCCCATCATCCCTGATCTGAGCCATGTGAATGGGGTTGATGGGAGTTGCTGTCCAGGAACAACTGAACAGTCCTAGGCTCCTCATCTTTGTTTTAGCTTATCCTAATACAGGTATCTACTGTGAATTTAGGGTTTTTCCTCATGGAGTAACATGACTGCCTACAATTTTATAAGCTTCGTTACTTAGTGATGTTAAAGTTAGTCCTTATAAAGGTACTATTCTACTCATACTTTGGGACTGTATCCAATGAGTTGAGAAAATCCAATGAGTTGAGAATTGAGAAAATAGAAATATAATCATTCGCTTGCTAGGGGAGAAATGAGCAATGATATTCTGTATATTTATCCTGAATTCTTTTGTGAACTGATTTATGCCATATACCATAATCTAGTTTTTAGATCTCATTAATGAGGGGGATTTCCTTGTTACTTGAGCCTGGTATTTACCGGAAATAGAAGTAAGCAATGACTTGGTGAAGGGGACCGCCTAAGGGACTGTCGAGAACCTTCTTTCAGTTCACTGGGCTTTTTCTTTTTTCTGTGTGTTCAACATTTTTTTCTACTTTTTCCTCTTCACTTCAGAGCTGCAGGTAGGTAATTTAAAACACCAATGTGTACAATGATCCATGGTTTTGCTTTATCAGGCTGTGTACACATTGCTGGCTTAAATTGCCGCTTTGTCATTATTATTCTCAGTTTAGATCGAAGCTGATTTGGGGAAGAATGCATCAAAATATAGTATTCCCTAAGAAATGACAGGGTAAATATAGGATAGATATGGATGTTTTGTGTACAACCCTTCCAAAACCAGCAGTTGGGAGTGCACAGGGTGCAGAATAAGCAGAAGTGTGTACACAATAATAAATTTTGCAAGCAGGTTTTACCAAGTACATGCGTTTGAGAACCACCTGTGAAACACACATGCACTACCAAAAGTAATTAACAAGATGGAGGTGGGCATAGAAAGAGGGTTTGTTGCACAAGAACACCAAATCCACTTCCATTGTAGAACCTGAATTTGAAGGCATGTAACTGAGACAGCAAAATAGAGACAGCCTGGGAGGGTCCTGACAGCACAGTCCTAAACATTGTTTCTCAGAAGCAAGTCAGATTGTGGTCATTTATTAGACATATTAGACTAGATTAAAAATAAAGGAGCAGTTAACCTTTTATTCTAGTCAATTTCCTCTAGCCTTTGTATAGAGATAAACCTACATCTACCTAGGTTTGTGAACACAATTACTAAGATGATCAAGAGGTAAAAGGATTTTGTGCAAGACTCTCAGAAAGGTAAATCAAGATCCCATCCTTTGTCCTGTAAGCATCAGAAAAAGATTGATTTCTAGCCAACAAAGCCCTATTTGTTCAACATGGTAGGAGAGTGTGATCCCAACCTCTAGGCACACAGCCTTCCAAAACAATAAAACAAGTCCTAGAAAACCCATATTACTCACTTAATTGCAGCCACAACTTTAAAAGTTAGATAACACAATAGAAAGGAGTAAACCCACAGATTGTATTAAAATGGTTTCTATTTACCAAAAGAGACTATTTCTGGCTATCAGTTCTGAATTATTGTTGTTGTCATTGCAAGTATTGTTATTTTGTGATTTCTTTCCTGGTAAGGAGAGAAAAATATACATTGGCTCAAAAGAAACGAAAGCACCTTAATAATGTAGTATCCTGATTCTGAACATTAGGCTTTACCATTACATTTGGCTTAATAAAATCTGTTAAAAGTGTTATATACAATGAGAATCTGAAAACCTAGCAGGCATGAAAATTACTGAATAAAAGTGTGAAAAACAACAACAACCCTATCACTCACTGTGCGATTGCTATAAACTTGAAGGACAGTCACAGGTAGTTGAAAGCGGTAGTGCTGAAATAGCAAAATGACTTTATAACAGTATTGTGGCTAGACATAGATTTCAACACTGAATCATCTGATTCTGTCTCAACATCACCTTTTCAGCAGACACCAAAGAAAAACAACAGCTCAAAGCTTAACTTTGTTCTCTCAAAGAACTCTTAAACAATGGACATGTACAAGGAAGTGCTTTCCCCTTTTTGCTCCAGTTCTATTATGCAAAGTTGCGTGGTTTAAGAAAAGTTTAACTCTATAGCTTAAACCTGGCCCAGGTTCATCATAAAAGTATTGCTTCACTTACCCCTATTCTGTGGCTCATGAAAAAATACCTTTCCAGCTGGCTCTTGAACTTTTTGTTAACTTCCACTCTTTTCTTTAACTCCAAAGTCCAATACTGTATTTCCCACACTGCTTTAATCACCAAGCTAGTAATTGTCCCATACAATTCTCTTTCATTCCCAGGATGAGAAAGGATCCTTTTAGCAAATGCCACAACTCTTTACAAACAAAATTGTTGTCATTGTTAGGAAGAAAATGAAGTGGTTAATTTGAGAAACTAACATTCCATACAAATGAATCAATATATATATACATCAATAAAAGCAAGGGCCCAATTGTTTACACCTGAAAAACAGGCAAAGGAAAAGACTTGCATCAATAATAATAATATTAATGTTTTGCAAGGGCTGTGTGGGATTCAAATGTGTAGAGAATGAATACAGATGGAGGAGGGGGAGGATGCAGGGAATGTACTGAGGAGAAATTTCTTCGAATGTCAAGAATGTACAGCAGGGTGATGTGTCCTACTCTGTTCACCAGCTGTGAAGAGACAAAGAGAAGAGCTGTTCACATGTTCCCTATTTCCAAACAAAGACAGTACAGAGAGAGGCATCCGCACTAGGCAGCTACCCAGTCGATGCTATACAGGGCTGGTATTTGTCACCAAGCCATTATAAGTAGCTGTGAGTTTTCTTTCTTGGAAAGTGGGATGGCAAGGTGTGGAGAGAGAAGACACCAAAAATAACTGCATTAATATGCTTCATGTGTCTACCTGTTGTGATGCTAAGTCATAAGCAGCAGCCAAAGAACTAAAAGTGTGGGGTACAGGAAACACAAGCAGCAGGGAGAGAGGATGAAGCCCTCCCCAGGTGTAGTAAGCAGGCAAACAAAATGAATTCTAGCTGTTGCCCAGCCAAAGCTGAAGCTAGATCTGGCAGATTTTCTAGCTGATACCTGCTCAGGAGAAGTCACCCTGGAGTCTGGAAGAACACCAAACTCCTTAGAAGTTTTCACTTTGCTAAACCAACTGGCTTAGCATCAGGTGAGTAGAACAGGCATCCCTCCACATATGCCTGGTTTTAGACAAGCCTTCCACAGCCCAATACCTTCATCCATGACTATTAGCTATAGTGCTGTGGATGGGAGGTTAGTAGTCCATGTGGAGAAGGCTGTTCTTGTCAAAGTAATTCTCCTGATGCCACTCTACATGCTCCCTTCAGTCATGAGATGTTGCTGAGGATGCTGTAGTTATAACAAAACATAGAGTAGACTGGCAGGCCTGCATAACAACTACTTGTGCTCCTCAATGCATGTGTGAATTCAGCACAGAGGACCTAGCTTGAGTTCAGAAGATGTCTTTGACAGATTTTGCCCAGAGTTCTTGGTCTTCCAAGTGCTATAATAGGAAGAAGACTGATGTAGTTCCCTTATATACAAAAGCTTCTGCAATATGGCTGTCAAGGAGACTCCAGTAACAGAAAATGTGTACTAGCAGTAATGGGGAAACAATAAAGTGTACTAATAATTTTAAGGATAAACACTAGCAGAAACATTTAGTTGTACAGTCTGCCAAGCATCTTAAAATACAGAGGATCTTGCCTTCTACAAACAAACAAACAAAAAAACCACCATCATTTAAGAGAACCAAAAATAGAACATTGTGCAGTAGGTCTGGAGTAACGAGATGAAGACCAAAAGTTGACCTTAGTTATGGGCTCCCCAGAGAACATAGGCCAACAGCAGGAAAAGAAGAAACCTTTAAAACACAAAATACATATCCCATTGAACACATTCTTAAGCAAAACAGAAGCAGGCCAGGCAACAACATATTTCAAGGGCAGTGTCCATTCCACTATTGCAAATCTGGCTGGAGTACTGTACTACAAGCATTGTGGACCAACTACACCTGACAATTCAACCCTGCCCTCTGGGAATCCCTTGCAGATGACCACAGTGCCTGGAGACAGGCAGTCAAGTCATGTATCCACAACAGTGACCAGAGGAGAAATGACTTCTGGGCAGAGCGCAGAGAGAAGAAATGCCATAGTGCATCTGCAGCAGGACAACTGGACACTTTCATCTGCCCCAGCTACAACAAAACATGTCACTTTGGTATCGGTCTCTACAGCCACAGCAGGCTCTGTAACCTTCCAACAGTTTGAACTCTCCCTCAAAGGCATATTCCTGCAGTGTCTTCTGAGACAGACGGATGCCAACTGACTGCAAGTCAGGCTGGAGTACTACAAGCATTGTGGACTAACAGCTTCTGACAATGGCACAGTTGTCAGAAGTTAGGAGTAGTTGTAGCATACCCAGAACTATCTAGTTATGCTAACATACTGGCTCATATATTACACAGAAGTGGGCATAAATTGAAGAAAAAGACACTTGCACTTTTCCTTTCCACACTTTTACTGCAGTGCTTGAAACTGGACTCTGATCTCACCTGCAGAATATTCTATGAGTTCTGGGGTTTCACTGGGGCCCACAAATCTCTGCAATTGCAGCAGAAGTTGAAACCTTACTTTATTTCTCTGCTTCTGTGTAATTTATGAACCACCCCTGAGTTTTGCTCAAAATTGTTCAAATTCATGTTAAATATCAGGTTAAACATGCCCTTGATAGTTTTCAGATTTCAAATTCTATCAAATTTATTCCTTTCAATGCTTAAAGGAAGAGAATGGATATTAATGATAACTGGGGAATGCCACCTTAAAAAAAAGAAAACCTTGCCATTGATTCTGGCATTTCATTTGAGAAGGGCCCTATGGAAATGTTATGGTAAAGCTGAACATAACTTTCAGGAATATAGAGGCGGCCTATATTTTAAGTTGAACAGATCAGAATCAGCTGCTGTAAAGGAGTTTTATACATTCAAATATGAGGCCAACATGGTGATTATTGAAGTGATCACTTTTCTTAACTCCATGACAAGCTGGAACTAGCCATCGCAGGAGCCATGTGGTTTCCATCAAGATAGCAACATCACATTTCATCCTCCTCCTCTTCCATAATGTCTAGTGAATCCAAAAATGCAAGATGTGATGTCAACATGCTTGAGGTTTTCCCATCCAAACCCCACTGCATTGGCTGCTACTACTTATGAAGGTAGGAAAACTTAGCTCGCTGACATTACCTACTGTCAGGGAACTGCCATCGGACGGAAGGGAGGTGAAAGGGCTCACACAGGTTGGGAGAGACGCAGCAGCTGAAGAGGGAACCAGCAGGGAGGTGAAAGGGCTCACACAGGTTGGGAGAGACGCAGCAGCTGAAGAGGGAACCAGCAGGGGAGAGGAGCTGAGCTGGAGGGATGGCTCAGAGACACTTCCAGCGAAAACAGTGGGGAGGTTTCAGGACCTCCTGTAAGAACACCCACTCCTCGCCGGAAACTGTCACGCAGAGAGTCCAGAAGACGTGTTTCCGTTAAGGAGCTTTTATGTTGGAAGCGATTACGAAAGCAACCACTGTCGGAATCTGCTAGTGACTAGAGGAGCCATGTCTGAGGGGCTCCGTCACAGACAGAAGTTTGTGGACTTGAACAAACTCTGAGGGGATACGATTTTACGCACAAGCAGCTCATCATCCCATCACAGCATTCCGACAGTCTTTGAAAGCAGCTTGTGCAGGAGAAGGCATCATGAGCAACCCAGCCGGAACCGGAGAAGCAGGAGCTGGAGCGGGTCCAAGCCTGGAAGAAAGGTACCGGGTGTTGGAGGTCCAGCTAGCGATGCAGACGGCGAGGCTTGAGGAGAGGAGGGCTCAGGATGCAGACAAAAGGGAAAGCCACCCAGCTCGCCAGAAAGGTACCAGGATTGGTGCAGAAGTTTGGGGGGGAGCCCAAAAACTATCATGGCTTTCGGACAGAAATGCAATATGCCCTCAATCTGCAGTTTGATGAATTCCCTGACGAGGAATCACGAGTGGCTTTCGTGATTGAGCATCTTGAAAAGGGGCGAGAGACTGGGTTAGACCCCTGATGGCAGCGAATAGTGACGTCCTAAAGGACACGATGAAGTTCTTTCGCGCCATGGATCTGATGTTTTCCAGCGATATTGAACAGGGAGTGGTGCGCAGACAGTTAATGGCTTGCAAACAGGGGAGCCGATCTGTCCGTGAGTACTGGACTGAGTTCACCATGCTTGTTCACAGATTGGGGTGGGACTTATCGGCGGAACCCATTCAAATGCTCTTTGAAGAAGGGCTTTCTTCGGCTGTGAAAGACGAACTTTCCCGGGCGCCCAGGGCGGAGTCTATGGACCAGCTGACCAAATCAGCGCTGGCCATAGGAGCGCGCCAGGAGGCGAGAGCATTGGAGAGGCGGGAAGGGAAAGGGGAACGTTGGAAGGAGTTCCGCATTCCAGACATTCCAGAGCCAACTTTCCCGCCGGCAGAGCCGATGGAAATCGGAACAGCGCGCGCGCGCAGTTTCAAAGCCCAGTGTGGGGGGAAGGAGGGAAAAGGCGCCCGGAAATGCTATCTCTGCCAACAGCCAGGTCACTTTGCCAGAGTCTGCCCCCAGAGGAAAGAATGGCAAGGGATGGTAGGAGCTGTGGATGGAAGAGAGGAAGAAATACCGGAGCAAGTAAAAGCCAACGCCTGGCTGCCACTGTCGGGGCACAGCAGCCAGGCCAAGAGCAGTGAGAGTGCCCACGCCAGAACCTCCTAAACCCGCCCTAGTGATAGAAGTGACGCTAGAGCTGCCAAACGGACACCCTCTAAAGATAGAGGCGCTGTTGGACTCAGGCAGCTCCTGCAATTTCATGAGCAAAGAGTTTGCAGCTGAACACCAGATACAGACGATCCCTTTAAGCAGCCCCCTGCAGGTGACCACGATCGATGGCAGGGAGCTGTTGGGCGGAGAAGTCAGCTTGCAGACCGTCCCAATGATAATGAAGGTAGCAAGGCACACCGAACTGATAGCTTTTAATGTGGCCACCTTGGGAGGAGCTCCCATTATATTGGGGATGAGCTGGCTAGCGTTACATGATCCGCTGGTGGGCTGGCATCAGAGAGTGGTTTCTTTTGGTTCAGCACATTGCTTAGAACACTGCAAAGAGGGAAAGGGTTTGGCAGGGGTCCAAGCCACCCTAGCAGGGACTGAAGTAACAGAGAACGTGAAGGTACCACGACAATATGCAGATCTCCGTGACGTCTTCAGCGAAAGGGAAGCTGACCAACTACCCCGCATAGACCCTTTGACTGTCAAATCAATTTACTCCCTGGAGCACAGCTCCCTGTAGGCAAGCTGTACGCCATGTCAGACAGAGAGATGCAGGAGTTAAGAGAGTTCATTGACAAGAACCTGAAGAGAGGGTTCATCAGAGAGTCCAGGGCGGTGGGGGCAGCCCAGTGTTTTTGTGGATAAGAAAAACACGAACAAGCCGAGGCTGGTGTGTGACTTCAGGGCCTTAAATGCAGTGTCAGAACCAGTAGCCTTCCCTATGCCCAGGATTGACGACATTTTGACAAGGGTGCGGAAGGGAAAGATTTTCACAAAGCTGGACCTAAGGGGGGCGTACAACCTGGTACGAATAAGGAATGTGGATGAATGGAAAACCACTATGTTCACCCCTTTAGGGGCATTTGAATATTTGGTTATGCCCTTCGGCCTACAAGCAGGCTCCGCAACATTTCAATCGTTTATGAACCACGTCCTGGGGCCTTTGCTTTACAAGAATTGTGTGGCCTTTTTAGACGACGTGTTGGTGTATTCTGAGAATGAGGAGCAGCATGTGAGAGACGTCAGAGAAGTGTTGAGCAGGCTGCAAGCCAACCAGCTGTGGGTGAAACTGGAGAAGTGTCAGTTTCATACCAAGGAGGTGGAATTCCTGGGGTATCGCCTGTCAGACAAGGGATTGGCCATGGATCCCGGCAAGGTCCAGGCGGTGCTGGAATGGAAAACACCCAAAACAAAGAAGGATGTGCAGAGGTTCCTAGGATTTGGGAACTTCTATCGTAAGTTCATCCGAAACTTTGCCCACCTGACGGCGCCCATTACGGACTGTCTCAGCAGTAAGAAGAAGTTCGTGTGGACTGAGGAGGCGGAGCGAGCATTTGAGGAACTAAAAGGGCCTTCGCCTCGGAACAACAACTCCTGCATGTGGATTTACAAAAACCGATGAGAGTGGAAACTGACGCATCAGACAGAGCGATTGGGGCGGTGCTTCTGCAGCCAGGCAAGAAGGGGTCAGAGTGGAGACCGTGTGCCTTTTTCGCGAAAGCTGAACAAATCCGAGAGGAACTACACGGTGTATGACCGAGAACTACTAGCCATTCATGAGGCGTTCCGGAGATGGAGGCACCTGCTAATTGGCGCACAACATAAGGTGCAAGTGTGCACTGACCACAAGAACCTAGAGTATTGGAGGACGGCACGAGTGCTCAACCAACGGCAAGTGAGATGGGCCCAGGAGTTCTCCAAATTTAACTTTGAGATTTGTTACGTGCCAGGCCCAGAGAACATTAGGGCGGACGCTCTCTCACGCAAACCTGAAGAGAGACATGTCATTCCAGAGGACCGCTGGGTGTGTGGGGCGGCATTGGTGGGACAAAGAGAACTGGTAGAGGAAACAGAGAATGATGAATACGCCCAGAATAAGCTCAGAGGTCTTAGGGGTGAGGGAGAGGAACCAGGGGTTTCGAGGAAAGAAATGGAGCTTTGTATTACAAAGGGGCACTGTATATCCCTGAAGGAGAGTTATGGGAAGGGTACTCAAGCAGTTGCACGACAGCCCTACGGCGGGGCATTTTGGACAACACAAAACCATGTGGTTGGTCACCAGGGAATTTTGGTGGCCTAAGGTGAGGGAAGATGTACGTGAGTATGTAAGAGGGTGCGAGCAATGCCAGCGAGCCAAAGGGGAAAGGCGGGCGCCGGCGGGGCTGTTAGAACCCTTACCAACCCCAGAACGACCTTGGGAGGCAGTGTCGATAGATTTTATGACTGATCTGCCGAAGTCCAAAGGGAAAACAGCCATCATGGTGGTGGTAGACCTACTAACAAAGATGTGCCACTTTGTAGCTTGCTCGCATGCAGTCACGGCGGAAGAGACAGCGAAGTTATTTGTAGAACACATTTTTAGGTTGCACGGAGTGCCATTGAGGGTGGTCTCAGACCGAGGAAAACAATTTACTTCCAGGTTCTGGAGGAAGCTCATGAGCTTACTGCAGGTGGAGGTCAATTTTTCGACTGCCCGGCACCCTGAAACCAACGGGCAGGCGGAAAGAGCAAACGGTGTCCTCCAGCAATACCTGAGGTGTTATGTCAATGACAGAGAGAATGACTGGGTAGAAAAGTTGGCGCTGGCGGAATTTGCCTACAACAATGCCGAGAATGTGTCCACAGGGATGAGCCCCTTCTTGGCTAATTATGGGTGTCATCCCAGGGCTTTCCCAGGGGAGATGGGGAGAGATGGAGCGTCCCGGCAGCCGAGCATTTTGTGGAAGAAATGGAAGCAATCCATCGTCAGCTCCAACTCAACTTAGAAAGGGCGAAGGAAGAATACAAGAGGCAGGCAGACAAGAACCGAAGGGAAGGTGAAACCATAAGGGTGGGAGATAGGGTGTGGCTGTCAACCCAAGGGTTGCCGTTCAAAGGAGGTTGTAAGAAATTAAGACCCAGGAGGTTGGGTCCCTTTGAGGTCATTCAACAGGTCAACCCAGTGGCTTTCAGGCTCCGGTTACCCAACCACATGAAACTGCACCCAGTATTTCACAGGTCGTTACTGTCACCATACGAAGGGGGACGAGAAGGGCTGGCCACTCGGGGACCGGTCATAGAAGAAAGAGAATGCAGCAGCCATGTGGCAGAAATCCTCGACGCCAGGTGGAAGGGGGATCAGGTGGAGTATTTGGTAGCGTGGGAAGGAGAACCGGAGTCAGAAAACACTTGGGTAATGGCCGAAGATATCAATGACGAGGTATTGATAGAAACGTTCCATCAAAGGTTCCCAAGGAAACCTCAGCCTGTGGAGAGGTTCCGGAGGGAATACTTTGGGACCACTGATGAGGGGAGGAGTTGGAAGGATTCCCGGACTCGGAAGGGAAGGGAGATGGACTCTGAGGAGGAGGTGTACTTCGAGACCAGGAACCGCAACAGGTTGAGAGAAGTGTTCGAGACATCGGAAGATGAAGGAAGTTCATTCCGGGGTTTGCCTCCTCACCGCCCGTAGAGGAGGGGCGAGAGGGGGTGAAGGGGGCCCTGGAGGGGAGGTGGATGTCAGGGAACTGCCATCGGACGGAAGGGAGGTGAAAGGGCTCACACAGGTTGGGAGAGACGCAGCAGCTGAAGAGGGAACCAGCAGGGAGGTGAAAGGGCTCACACAGGTTGGGAGAGACGCAGCAGCTGAAGAGGGAACCAGCAGGGGAGAGGAGCTGAGCTGGAGGGATGGCTCAGAGACACTTCCAGCGAAAACAGTGGGGAGGTTTCAGGACCTCCTGTAAGAACACCCACTCCTCGCCGGAAACTGTCACGCAGAGAGTCCAGAAGACGTGTTTCCGTTAAGGAGCTTTTATGTTGGAAGCGATTACGAAAGCAACCACTGTCGGAATCTGCTAGTGACTAGAGGAGCCATGTCTGAGGGGCTCCGTCACAGACAGAAGTTTGTGGACTTGAACAAACTCTGAGGGGATACGATTTTACGCACAAGCAGCTCATCATCCCATCACACCTACCTACCAACCTACCACTTAATATAAAAAATAATGAAGCAATTTAAAATAGGAAACCAATATAGTAAGACAAAATTAATCCACAAATATCAAATTACTGAGCAGTACAGTCCAGAAATAACAGTTAGGAAATGGTCAGACAAAAAGAGACATTACGTCACAAAACTTGAATCAGACATTAGAAGGGGTGGGAGAATGAGAAATGAGGCTTCTGCTTTCAGTGGTAGCCACATGGCTCTCATAATACCTAATTCAGCCTAAGCTGATTTGATTATCTTTGCTAAGTTTTGTGAATACCTAAGGAAACAACTCATTTTTCTAGTAGAGACACTTCTTTTTCTGCCTGCATTTAAAAAAGAAACACATACCAAAAAAACCCCCAGACAACCTTCATGCAAATGGATGCAAAGAAGGGCCTGGCTCCTGTTGTACCTGTGAATGCTGATGATGAAAGAGGGGAGTTAGTCATCTCCATCTGCCCTCATCTTCTTTACCAAAGAACAGCTGATTCTCCAGGAAAGTCTCCTCCATGTTATGAGTCAAGTCATGGTAGACCAGCTTGAGGGAGAAAACTAACCACATAAAATAATGAATGATGCAATAACTATTTCCTGTGCCTGCCTCCTCATGTTTCCCTCTGCGCAGAACATGACCAGATTATCCTCACAAATTTGTTTTTGCTTCTGGAAAGGAAGTGGCTAAGAAATTGCCTGGGGGGGGTGAGGCTAGTGGCAGTAGTCGAACAGGTTTCTCTCCTGTCTTCTGCTACTTCTCATTTGTTTCCAAGCCAGTCAGTGTCTTGGAAGCCAGTCAGTATAGGTCACAGATAGTTATGACAAAGCAGTGGTAGGGTTGTGCTCAAAACCTTATCTCAGAAAGTATGAAGCAATTACTCAAGTCTCTTTTGTCAGTAAATGAGTCTTCTAGTAAAAAGAAAGGAAGGAAGGGAGGAAGGAAGGAAAGCTTGCTTACAAGACAGGTAACTAGCATCTTACAAACATTTAACTTGTGAGCATTCAGCTTTACGTGCTTGGCAAAAAAATAAAAAATAAAAAGGGGGCGGACATCTGCTAAAAAAGAAATTCCACCCATCATTGAACCCAATGTATACGTGACTGGCTTAGCGTGTTTTCCCTGGAACGTAAACCGCACACAAATTGAGAGTCACCTGTACATCAATGAAGCTATTCAATATGAAACATACATGTGGTTTTACTATGGTGTATTTGAAATAGAATGATATTTGCACCCCAGGTTCAATGATATTTGAACCTTCCTAACTCAATATTTTATCTCAAACCTCTTTCCCTTCATTGCTTTTCATGGGACACAGGTGGCACTGTGGGTTAAACCACGGAGACTAGGACTTGCCAATCAGAAGGCTGGTGGTTCAAATCCCTACGACGGGGTGAGCTCCCGTTGCTTGGTCCCTGCTCTTGCCAACCTAGCAGTTTGAAAGCACGTCAAAGTGCAAGTAGATAAACAGGTACCGCTCCGGTGGGAAGGTAAACGGCGTTTCCGTGCGCTGCTCTGGTTTGCCAGAAGCAGCTTAGTCATGATGGCCACATGACCCGGAAGCTGTATGCCGGCTCCCTCGGCCAGTAACAAGAGATGAGCACTGCAACCCCAGAGTCATCCGCAACTGAACCTAATAGTCAGGGGTCCCTTTACCTTTACCTATATTTGAAATGGAATATTTGCACCCCAGGTTCAATGATATTTGAACCTTCCTAACTCAATATTTTATCTGGAAACCTTTTCCCTCTCATTGGTTTCCATGAGTAATGTGTGATCCCTGTCCACAACGTCATCAAGAAGATGCAGGCTGTAATCTTCCATATAGGTGACTAGAACTAAAATCACTCAAACCTTCTCCTGAGCATGTGTGCCCAATTACAGGTATGGGCTTATTCTTCTGACACCCACTGAAATGCACAGATGTACATCAAACTGTTTAACAGTCTCGGGAAGCACACAGCATAGCTGTCAACCTTTCCCTTTTTTTAAGGGAAATCCTATTCGGAATAAGGGAATTTCCCTTTAAAAAAGGGAAATGTTGACCACTACGGCACACAGTGCCCTTGCAGAAATGTATTTTATTGGGGGTGTAATCTTCAACATATTATTGACATAATAATGGTGCAATAGTGATGGGTTTGTTCTGCTTTTTTTAGTTGTTCTGCAATGCAGAAGAGCTACAGCACAACAAAAGTAGGACAAAAAGAGAGAGAAGTGTGCTGGCTCTTGTTTTTTTATGTCTATATGCATCCTATTTGCATATGAATTCTAGTTCACAGATCACCAACACAGTACCCAGAAGGACACTTGATGCCACAGAGGCCTTCTCTGGGACTCTTGCTAAAATTAGAATTGAAGGGGGCCTTCTCTTGTAGCCAATAGCTATCTTCTTTGAAGTGCAATACAATGGAGGGTGGGTGCTACAACAGGGGAGGGTAAGGGTTAACCCTTCCCTTCCCAGCTGTGACACGCACCATGCATTGCCAGTTGTAGTTAGGCTTGGAGGGATGGAACTGCTGTTGGCTACAATAGAAGGCTTTTTTCAAGTCTAATTGTTGCATGGGGGATGATCTTCCTAGAGAATGTAGCTGAGGAGGGCAGGCTAACTCTTTTCTCCCAAGCTTCTCTCTCAGTGAAGATCACACGTTCCCCTGCAAATTATCAGCATGCTTGCATGTGCTTAGCTGCCATGCACACATGTGGTGTTCATGACAGTCTCTCCAGTGGAATTTGCTGCCAAGGAGTGTGGTGGAGTCTCCTTCTTTGGAGGTCTTTAAGCAGAAGCTTGACAACCATATGTCAGGAGTGCTCTGATGGTGTTTCCTGCTTGGCAGGGGGTTGGACTCGATGGCCCTTGTGGTCTCTTCCAACTCTATGATTCTATGATTCTATGATTCAGTTTTCAAATGGGCCCATGGGCCCAAAGAGGTTGGCGAACCCCTATTCTAGCTGAATGGGGTTTTTTATTTAAAAAAAAAAAAAGCTAGCACAAATTGGCATACTGCCTACTTTCAGCACATCTCTTTAAAACCAACTATTTTGTTCAACTCTACAGCCAATTTTTGAACGATCAAGATCTTTGTTAAAATAATAAACCTCTTTTGTCACTCATCCCAAAATATGACAAACATGCATTTTTCTATTAATTTTGGGTCATAATGTCTGGCCAAAAACCTACAAGTCCTACTAGTATTTGTAGCAGAAGACTGTGATTATTAATGGGGTGAGGAGGAGGAGGGAGGGAGGGGAAAGCAGCAGCATAATGTGTTATTGACTCCAGATTGGGTTGTTGGTTCTGCATTTGGATGCTTTTCAATGTATTTCCTCAATATTTTGGTTTTTCTGCTACTGCTTTTCAGGAAACTATATATGCAGGCACTACACCATTTGGGCATGGTGAAATAAAAGTATGAAAAGTTGGTCTCTTGACATATATACAGCCAGCCCAATGATAGGGTTTCTTGATCTAGATTTCATGCTGTTCGAGCAGAACCAGTAAGCTTCTGGCTATCTGTAAAAGTGTGTGCTACATTTTAAGTGTCAAAACTGAAGTAATAATCTCCTTTCCTCCCTTCTGGGCTTTTGATTCATCACAAGGTCTGGGGGACAGTGGACTGGCCCCCTCCTGCAAAAGTTTGCTGACCCCTGTTTTAAGAGTTATATGTGAACCCTGCTCAACAGTTGAACTATGGTTTGTTTACTGCCAACAAAGCAAGATGTTAAGCCACAGTTTGTTGCTGGGTTATGAACCCTATTTTAACTATGGCTTTGTGTTATGAACCTTACAACCTCCCCTAACCATAGTTTGCTTGACCACCCGACCCCAGAAACTCACCAAACTACAAAGGCGTGAGGCAAAAGCAGATGCAAAACAAACATTTGGAAAAACAAGACACAGTTTGCTTGATCATCTGTGGGACAACTCATGGTTTGGTAAACAAGCCATGGCTTAGTGCTATGTGTCAACTAGGTCAAAGAAAGAAAGAAAGAAAACATGAAGCTAGAACAGTGAGCTTCAAATACCTTCCACATTTCTTCTCCTCTCATCATACATAAAGATATTGCATCTTGTGACCATTTTTAAATGTAAGCCACCCTGGAGACTAGATTTAGCTACAAAGCAGGAAATAATATAATAATTATGGTTCCGCCATGCCGTCCTCAGCATGTCATGCAGGACAAAGTGCTAAGGTCTATTATCTTATTCAAACATACCAGATCGTATGCTGCACCAAGTTTAAATCGCTACCTTTATTGGTTTGATTTTTGTTTTATTATTACACTTTATTATTACACTAAATGGCACGACTTTTTGCGAAAACTCTGGACTCACAGGGTAGGAGAAGCACTAATCAGAGTGGACCCTACATACAACAGAAGAAGAAGACAAGTTTGGATTTGATATCCCTAAGGAGTCCCAAAGTGGCTAACATTCTCCTTTCCCTTCCTCCCCCACAACAAACACCCTGTGAGGTGAGTGAGGCTGAGAGACTTCAAAGAAGTGTGACTAGCCCAAGGTCACCCAGCAGCTGCATGTGGAGGAGCGGGGACGTGAACCCGGTTCACCAGATTACAAGTCCACTGCTCTAAACCACTACACCACACTGAGTCTTAACCACTGCACAACAGCAAGACCCTGTGCCCCATAGCTTCTATTAAGCTGTTATTTCCAGTCATTTTCTGCACTGTGGAGATCCTGACACAAGGCTCGAAAGGAATGATGCAACTCCACCAGACAAAGATATCTCTGAAGAAGATCTAAGTATTAATGGACACCAGTGTCCTCCTTTCAAACATACTAAAGGCAAGAAAAACAAATTCTTTAAAAGGACATCAGGCTTTCTGCCATCAACATTTATTCTGTTTTGTAGTATGATTCCAAACATGATCTCACTTAATTTGAAGGCCAAAAGTGAACTGTTTAGGCAGGAAGAAATATCAATGCTGCTGGCTCTTTCTGTTTCAAAAGGGACCTTTCAAAGGCGCTTCAAATGGTCCTGCAGTAGTTGCTCACACACCCTTGATGCAAGTATACCACTTTATTTATGCTCGCACCCAAGGTCAGGTGCATGTTTCTCAAGCTAAGCTAGCTGTGACTGGTCTTTAATTCTGAGCGGTGAGGCTGGAATCTCCTGCATGTGACCACAGTTGCACTGCGGCAGCAGTGACGCTTCTAGGGTAGCCTAATGAATGAAATTACTTTCTCTTCTTGGGCCTGCCTATGAGCAGCTGACTGGCTAACTTTCATCTCGGTCCTATGGCATTCAGTATGGTGGATCAGAGCTGCTGAGCTGCCCTCTCAGCACTAGCATTGCTGCAGCTTACCTAGACAGCACTGGGGCAGCAGCGAGGTCAGGGGTGTGTGGAAGCATTGGGAGAGTCAATGCAGTGCTGCCACCAGAGACTCAGCACAGTTGTGGGTTTGCTTCTGCTTTGCCCTGCCCCAGTGCCATCCAGGTAAACTGCATTGATGTCTTGGCGGTTCCATGGCTCTGCCCCTCCACACTAGCCACTACTGTCTCTTTCTGTTATAAACACCCCACTTCTTCTTCTCAGTTTCTTTCAGTGCAACAACCAGACGTAGCCTGGCCTCTGTTATCTACGTTCTGATGGCCTCCAGATTAGACAAATCTTTTGGGGTCCATGGTCACATCTTGAATTTTGAGGGACTGTAGGTACCACCCTCTCTTGGTTGCCTTTCTCTCTCTCCCTCAGGCCACTCTACCACCCACCCACCCAGAAAGAATGGGAACATATCACACCAAGGCCACCATACATTTAAAGCACACGACTTTCCCCGAAGAATCCTGGGAACTGTAGTTTATTAAAGGTACTGGGAAATGTAAATCTGTGAAGGGTAAAGTTCAGTTCCCAGGATTCTTTGGGGAAAGTCACATGCATTAAATGCATGGTGTGTACATAGCCCAATTCTTAAAATAGTTGTACTAGATACTAGTTCATCTCCAAGCGCAATTCAAAATGCTGGTTTTAACCTTTGAAGTCCTATACAGTATAGTCTGGGATTGTGACATGTCTTTTTCTGGTGGCCTCACCAGTACCTGGCAAAGTCAATGGTGACCAGTGGAAAGGACTTACTCAGAGGTGTTACCCAAATGGTACAATTTTCTCCCCAAGGGGGCACACATGGCACTGAGTATTTTGCCTTTTCAGTGCCAAAGGCCTTATTTATATGCTTCTACTGATAAATTGCTGCTGTTTCCCTCCTTTTTATCTACTTTTAATTTTAATGCTGCCCTCTGCCCCTTGCTTGCTTTTCTTATTAAGGAATAAAGAATAGTTTCAGTGAATGCCTTTCATATGATATGACACTTACAGAATTCCTGTAAGTTTTAATATTAATATTACATTTCTTTCAACAGACTCTCCATTTCTGGTTCCTATAATTTACTCTTGCTTAGGGCATTAAGCAGGCACAAAGCCAACTTGGGCTGAGGTTCACTGTTACAACCACCAGTAACTGCAGATGGGTATATGTCATAAAGTTTGGGTGTCTGGACTTACTTGTCAGTTTTTGCCTCAATTTTTCCTGACTGTGGTCAGGAAAATATTCAGATAGATAGTCTGGTTTGGTTTGGTTTGATTTGGTTTGGTGAGAGTGTTTCCCCAAGAGCAAGCTTTTTCTATCCAGCCTCACAATACAGATATTTCTGCCATGGTAATAGGACTGTGGTTTTTGTTAACCCCTCAGATTCACAAATCTTGGAGGAAGACGCAGTTACTTGCTAGCAAAGGGCAACTGATGTGTATAAACTTAATTCATGGCAGAGGCAGTCATTTCTCCTGAAGAAAAGAAAGCTATATTGGCAAGACTGCCATTTTCTGCAAGAAAATTAGAACTCCCTTTAACACTGATAGTCAAAACATCACAATTCTGCCACTTGCAGACCAGAAGCTGTTTGTCTGCAGTACTTCTGGTCAAATCCCAGATTAAACAAGCAGCTAGATTTCTCAGTGTGGGTGTTTTGTAGTAGTTTCTTTCTTTTCAAAATGTGTTTAGAATGAATCCCTCCAAGTGTTAAATGAAAATTAATTCAAGTGCTGCTTCTGTTGATTTAAGTCTTATTAAAAAGGAAGAAATCTTCCCAATGACTCAGGGCATGGCCTCCCAAAGGAAAGTCAGCCAAGTAGATTACATGAAACGAAGGAGTCAGGCTGCTAGCATGACATATTGGAAGGTTTCTCTCATGAGTCTGTAACTCAGTGATGTGCCAACTCTCATGCCTATGCTTGCCTTTAAATATATTATTCATTACTGAAATAAACCTTTAAAAATAAATGTTGGTCATAGTGAGAAGAAGAGAGATGTGGAGCTTGTGGACAGGCATGTAGAACTTACACACTTGTTTTTTCAAGATTTTTGACACTAGTACCAAAAAAAAATTGTATTGAAAATAGTGGTTCTGAACTTCTTTACTCCCAGGTCTGGACTTTCGCTTAGGAAGTCTTGGAGATTGTCCACCCTGACAATGTGCACATGTACACAAGGTGTGGTGCCATGTACACTGATGGCATAGTATACACAATAATCTTAATTATACACTGTTAGGGGCGGGGGACAGTTGATCCCACATGCTCTCAACTGACTGTTCATCATCTTCAGCGGGTGATCCTGAGTTCCAGTATGAGGAGAAAGACAAACGTGCTTTGGCTAAATCACATCCTATAAGAAGCTTTGAATTTTTCCAGAATCCCACAGCAGTGCCTTATTTTGAACTGGCTCCACTGGAGCCTTAAACATAGTTAAGGGAATCGGAGTCCCACTCAGAACTGTGTTTGTGTCTCCCTTGGGCTCGTTCCTCCTCCCATCAACTTTTTGAGTTCCCCTATCTCTTTTTCCCCAACAGTAACTGAAGCTAGCATCACATCTGCACAGAGCTGGACACTAGCCATAGTTTTAAGTTTAAACTAGAGGTCAGAAGCAGACTTCAAATTCCATTTTTAAATGAACAATCACTTTAGCCCAGGGCTCAGCAGCTTGCTGGGGGATGGGAGATGGGGAGGGAGAACAGAATCTCTCTAGGGCACCACCACCAAGAATGTTCCTTTTGACAACTAACCTAATGTCAGAGGATACAGATACTTGGAAGAAGGCCCCATCTGACAACTAATCACACAAGCAGGTTTATGCAGAAGATACTGGAAGATATTTTGCAGGCCCAGGACCATCATAAAGTATACTCAGGCAGCTGCTGGGGCTCATTTTTCTTTTAATTTTTTGCACTCCAGTGCCAAACTATTTCCAGATGTCATTTTGGACTTGCCCCCAAATGCCCTAAGAGTTAAGTAATCCTAGGGCATTGTAGGGAGTGAATATGACCACCGCCATGTTTTTGTGGGGAACCACCTTCTCCCCTACCACCAAAAAAGAAAACATGGAAGAAGTTGCTTGGAGCAAGAAAATAAAAGAGGAGGTGTTGATTTTTTAAAAAATGGGCAGGTGTCAGAGCTGGGCAGAGGGCCCAGGATGGCACTTTACCATAGATTGAAATTTTCACAAATGTTCAAAGGAACTCCAGGTGAAGCACACCACAAAGCTCAGCCACGAGGTTGCCAAGGTATGTATAACAGGGACCAGATCACCTTTTCCCATAAGTAGCCAGAAGATAAAAGTACTCCGGGTCATATAGACCAGTTGCAAATCTAGGAGTAGTGCCAGGTCAAGAGACACCCAAACAGTGCATTTGGCCTTTATAGGTGCCTTACTTGGTTCAGATGAAAAAGGGAGATTTGTTTCATCAGTATACTGATGGCAACTCACTCCAAGTCTCTGAACAGAAAATATCAGCAGTTTCATGTTGATGTTTAAAAAAAAACATTGCTTTGCTGCTTGCAAGATCACCGAGTCAGGGCTTAGCAATTGTATATTTACATAACATGGCCAAGGATGTGATTAGTAAGGAGACCCAAGATGACCTGTATGCCAAGGTTTCTATACACATTACCCCCTGGATCCAGTGTTGGCTCCATATGCTAAGGGGCTCTTGAACAAGATGCCCTCAAGGGGAGCCCTCCTGCCACCATCACCATCACACATTCACTTGTCCCTTCCTTCCAGGCCCAGCCTGCCCAAAAGAAGGGAAAGGGGAGGGTGAAGGCTGCTGCTCTTATTGCTGCTTGTATATTTGGAGAGTCCTGGTGAAGAGAGAGAAACAGGAAGGAAGAGAAGCAGGGCCAGGAGACTCTGGGTTCAGAAATGGGCCTCCTCCTATAAAGGATAAGTTTCATAGATCTATGGGTCAGAGCATTGCTTTCTGTTGGGGTGGGAGAGCAGGAAGCAAATTGGAATCAGGCAACAAAAGCCCATAAACATATTGCTTTCCACTTACCTATCGAGACTATCCCGAGGCACTTTACTTCCTCCAGCTCTCTTGGTGACACTGGCAATCTTGTTGGCAGTCATGGTCATTCCTGCTCTCTATAAACCTGGAAACCTGGGTAAGGGGAAATAAAATCCAAAGCAAACCCATTGAACCAGAGACTTTTTCCAACACAGCTTAATAAGAAATGTTTCTAGTGCATGGAAAAGACTGTCGAAAAAAGTTTTGAACGTGTTACCTAAACATAACTACTCTTTACAATGTTGCAAAAAGTCAAACAGCAGCTCAGGTAAGATTCAGATTTGAGTCATGTTTAGACAAGAAACTAAAACCACAGAAAAGTACGTTAGAAGAATGAAACCATTGTCCTTACTTTGCCACTTTCTCTCATTAAATTGGGACTGGGATAATTATGATAGCATTTTTTTAAAGAGTGTCACAACTGTAATAACAAATGACAGAGCTCAATCCTAAAGCAAAAGGTTTAAAATGAGCATTGGAAACCATGGCAGAACTCACAGACTGTGCAATGTCATGATAGGATACAGTATATCATAATTTATAAGATGTACAAGCCTGCCCAAAAACATATCAAAGATAAGTTGATTATGGTCCTAACGCAAAGACTTGTACAATATGTAATTTTCTTCTCTCAAACCTAGCTCTCCTTCATATAGTTCCCCAAGCTGGCGATAGAGCACAAGGTCTTCCAAGGACACCTGCATTTATCTTTCTAGACCTTCTGCAAATAACAACTAACTAAACCAAAAGATACAACCCCTTGCTGTTCTCAGAAAGTCACAATATCTTGAAGATTATTATGCTTACAAATATCTTATTGCCCTCTGTGCTGTCTCTATTTCTTAAAGTACAAGCTGATGGGGGCAGGGACTTTCTCTGAGATACTGTACATACTTTTCTTGTTTACAGTGGATAGCACATGGGAACCAGATTATTGCTGCAACCCTTAGGCTTCCCATAGTAAATGTAAAATAAACAGCCTGCTTAATGAAAAGTTCCACTGACAGGTTTGACCCAAATCCTCTCAGATCTGCAATATTCCTCAAATTAAACTGAATCCAGATGTTTACAGCAACCACACACCTCATGTCATCTTCCTTCTCTGAAGGACGGCAAATAACACAGCATTAACTACCAACCATGGTCCGTTTGCAGCGGGGATACAAGCACCATAAGTAAAAACCCACAAATCTACTTCAAACACAACTTTTATTATTTGTTACATTTGTATCCCACTCTTCCTGCAAGGAGCTCAGAGGATGATGTGTCTCGTGTTTCTCACTGTGTGACTAAGCAATGCCCATGCTCCTGGTTCACTGCAGCAACACAAAATAAAATGCTGGACAAATATGCCTGGAAAAGACATGTACCTCTCTTGCTGGGACAGCTCCAGGCCAAAAGTCGAAATTCAGGTATGACAGCTACATGTGGCCTGCAGTGACCTTGCAATGTTCTTATTCATTGTGTAGGCTGAGGACCAGTTTGGACTGAAGAAGCATCCTGCACTGGTCCTGCAACCATCCAGTCAACCATGTGGTCAGTGGACCTATATGTTTAAAGCCCTAAACAGCTTCAGCCCTGTATACCTGAAGGAGTGTTTCCATCCCTGTTGTTCAGCTCAGACACTGAGGTCCAGTTCAGAGGGCCTTCTGGCTGTTTCGTTACGGGGAGCCAGGCAGAGGGCTTTCTCGGTAGTGGCACCCATCCTGTGGAACGCCCTTCCATCAGGTGTCAAACAGGTTATCTACACAACTTTCCAAAGACATCACAAGGCAGTCCTGTATTGGGAAGTTTATAATGTTTGATGTTTTGCTGTGCTTAATGCTTTAGTTGTGGGAAGCCGCCCAGAGTGGCTGGGGCAACCCAGTTAGATGGGCGGCATAAATTATAATAATTATAATTATGAAATCATATGTGCATCTGCAATCTGTAAATAAGGTCTAATTCATAGAGTACGTGGCAAATGCAGTGTGGCATCTACACCCAAAATTGGTTCCTGTTACTCGCCCTCCATGACACATCAATAGCAAGGACACATGCCAATCACATAGATCACACAGTTGCATGAGCACTTTCTCCAGCAGCAGCAGTGTTCCCAAAGGACGCGCCATCTGTGCAACTGGACATGGAAATATTACTTATGTAGCCTGAAGCCCAACCATTTTCAGTACCATCATGTAGGTCTGTGAAACTGCCTTAGGAATTCATATCTAAAATATGGCCTATAAATCTAGTAAATAAATAAATGACTCCTCTCCACACAAGAGAAATAAAAATTAGATTTGGATACTTGAAGAAGGAATGGAATCATTTTAGACACACTCCGTCTGGAAAGAATTAGAGATCAAAGGGGAAAAGAACATGACTGAAAATTGCTAAAGCTGTCAAACAAATTGGTTTTAGTTGATTTATCTTCTGCAGTACAAATTATATTTTGAGAGTAGTTAACAAGTTTTTTTAACCAAAGAACCACTTGCTTTCTGTTTCAGAAATCATCAAGGGGTTTTCCTAGATCATTTATCTATCTACACTAAACATCAGAAATGATCTGCCTGATTCACACAAGGGAAAAGGGAAATAGTTCAAACCTCAATTAATGAACTGAACAATCATTTCAGTCCCAGCAATCATATCCTGTGCATCCCTCTCATTGATTGCTATGATCCCTTTGTGTTTGGGCAAGGGAGATGCTTAGCACAACACTCACAAGCAAGACAAAGAACAGAGATCCACTGCAAAGACACAAACCACCAGCCCTAGATGCAGAACTGACATCAGCAGGGGCACAAAGCGGGCATCCTGTGGCAATCAGCACATGCAGGCATAGCCCACACTCACAGCAGTAGCAACCACAGGAAGGATGGTTGCAGTTCATGCAACAGAACAAAGTGACCTGTCTGGATGGATAGAAGAATCTGGCTACACCACCCAGCACAGATGTTCATTACCAAGTTAATCAATTCATGCAGCTGCACCAGTACCCTTTAGCAACCACCATGGACAAATTACATCACTGAGCTTTTGGTAGCACTTAAACTAAATCCTTGTAAAGCCTTGAGCCTTTGGCCAGCCTATGGTGACCCCATTCCACCCTGAGCAGCAACTGTGACTCCGACCGAGATAAGCAGGGGCCACATCAGAAGCAGCAGCCGCAGCAGCAAAGGCCACAGAAAGGCCAGACCAGAGATGAGGAATCTGTGGCCTTCCAGTTGTTGTTCAACTCCCATCAGTCCCAGCCTGCATGGCCAACGGTAAGGGACAATGGGAGCTGCTGTCCAACAGCATCTAGAGGGCCCCAGATTTCTCAGCCCTGGCCTAGATCCAGCCACATGCCCGGACACTGTGCCTAAGCCAGAGTCTGAACAGGGATCTCCAAAGATCACAACCCATTCATCTGAGATGTCCAAGGGGGGTGGGGTCACACTCTCTATCAGTGTTGGTAGTGAGTCATGAAGGAAGGAGGCAGAGCAACAGGCTCCAAGTCAGGAGAGTGCCCTTTAAGCTCAACACACTCCAGGAAAGAGTTGGGCCTCAGGAGTGGTAATCTGAGCTGACTGAGTAGCATAAAATGTCTCATTTGGACCTTTTATGAATTTCACTTGCTTAGCTGAGACTCTATGAGGTTATGCAATTCCAGCCTGTCTTGTTGTGAACTTCCACCTGAGCTCCAGATAGATATAACTCCAATTAAGTGTCCTCTGGTACTCCCTCCACCCCACCCCACTAAGACCAAATGTGGCAGAAATGGACTGTTGTGTTATTATAAAACTATAAATCTTGCATGTAGGTGTGTTTGGGGAGTTAATGGGTTAATTTGTAGATTTTTGCCACTGATTAGAAGGTGGTAGAATAACTGAGGATGGTACTGTAGTTGGGAATTAAGACCCTCATACTTCCTTCAATTTGCTGATTAGCACTCATGTAGCCAGATCAGGGAACCGGATGAAAGGATGAACAGATCAAGGTATGAGCTCAGGAGACAAAGAAAACACAAGTCTACCCTAGGGATTGTCTAGTGTGGGGAGAGATGAAAGTGTTTTAACCTACATTTATTTGCTATAGTTTATTACCCACACCGGGAATGTTTTGTTGCTTGTAAACATTCTTAAATTAGAACCTTTTTTCTTATAAACTACACACCCCCCCATTTAGTAAACTTCCAGTCTTGTTACGGAAAACCTTGTGGTCTCTGTTATTTTTATTAAAAAACACACAGAGACCATGTCTAAGCCAAGTTCTACACTACTTCAAAGTGTTCTCAAGGAGACACGGGAGAGTTTTAGACTGGTTGGTGAAAGACAACCCTGTAGAAAAATAAAATCTTTCAACTGGTGGCAGCAAAGATCTAAAGGGAAGGGTGGGCGAAAAGAAGGGGGCATTGTGTTTGGCTGGGAACTCCCCTCTCCACACAACTCAGGAGCCAGGGAAGCGGGAGCACCATACCACCAAGTAACTTACTTACCTTTGACCAGGGCATGGAACACAGCAACTTTTCCCCAAAGGGGTGGGACAGGAACCACCAGTCCCAGGATCCCTGGCAGGTAACTGATGCCATGCATGCCATTTCTGCTAAGGTGAAGGTCTAATGGGAAAAGATTCTCTTCCATAGCCTGCAGAATGTCTGCCCTTGCAAACACACACACACACACACACACACACACACACACATACTGCGAAGTGAAGGGAAAGTGCCAGCACTCACAAGACTAAGGCGAACCTCAATCCTGTTTGCAAGCACTCAACAAGGTGCTCACTTTTGTGAATGCTCACAGCATTTCAAGTTCAAGCCAAGACTATGCCATGAAGACCATGCAGAATGGTTTATTGTCTAACGGGGGACAATTTCTTTGCACAATTCCCCTTTTTGCAACTTCTCCATATAGTGGCTAAGAGGTACTTTGGCAGGCCTGGAAATTGTGTTTCATTGGGTATCGATACACAAGCCCCAAAGCCAGATATACAAGGTATTCCCAGAAGCAGTATTAAGGCCCAACATGTGCTTGGAATTCTGCTTGGAAATTAACAGGCACAGTCTAGATCTCTCAAGCTGATAGCACAACTACCATGTAGAATCATAGAATCATAAAATTGTAGAGTTGAAAGGGACCCAAAGGATCATTTATTCCAACCCCCTGCAATGCGGGATCGAACCTACAACCTTGGCATTATCAGCATCAACTAACCAACTGAGCTATGTAGGAAATGTTAAGCTAAACCAACCCATGCAAAAGTCTGAGCATGCAATTTTAAAATATGCCTTGTGCACATTGAATCAGTCTGCCTGTAGCATGAGGCAATGGGGCAACGAGGGTCGGCAATTCCATATAAAGAAATAATGCTCATGCACATTGATACCAAGAAGAAATGAGGTTCAGATCTCATTGATGCACCTTCATAAAAGGTTTGAGATTCACTGGTTTAAAGCTAACAACGTTTCTACATCTTGCAGGTTCCATTCTGGAAGAAATGTATTCATTACATTTCCAGGAGGGCGGGGAGGGGGAGGTTAAAACCATCCCATTTTACATCCATTTTTTAATTAAATTAAAAGAAAAAAATCATATTGAGAACACTTGAGATGACTCCACAGGGAGATATTAAGTAGAACAAAACACAGAGAGGCTACAAGTCTCCATCAAGAAATTTGCTGCTTCATGAAGACATTAAATAATCAAATTTCATAACCTGCTAAAGTTACTATTTTTGCATTAAAGTGTAATCATTTCCCAGTGCCTCTATGAATTCTCAGATGGCCAATTTTTTTTAAATAAGCTGGTTTTCAATAAAAGAAAAAACTAAGCAGGGGAGTTTTGAGAAATGTACAAAAAATGTTGCTGGCAAGTTTTCCCTGTTGAAAATACAATACAAATGTTACAGCAGCATTTTACTGTGAATAATTTGCACAGCTCTAACCCTAGGCCTGGAATGCACAGCTGCATTAAACCTCATGGTTCTTGGGCTAACAGAAGCATTATCCAGAGCTTGTCCCTACCCTATGAGCTTGCTTTTGCATGAGTTCAAATAAATTCTTAAAAGCACAGCCAACTCCAGCTGAAGCCTCCAAGCTCTGGTCAGTTCTCATTCTTCATGCAACAAATGAAACCAACTTCATCAAAATAACTCAATCAAAAGGTATCCAAACTTCAGAAAAACGTGCCTGGAATTTTGGATCTCTACCAAAGCCAGAACGTGGATAAAGAGCCCCCTCCCCGTGTCTTCAGATCTTCTTTGCCTTCCCATTTTCTGTGTAGATCCTTACCATTTGGGGCTCTTTCTGAGAAAAGGATGGGGAGGATACATTTTTAATGTAAAATAATGAAATGGCACCTTTTAACTCATACCCTTATGCCACTAAGTTACGTTACTTCGTTTACCAAAGTTTCAATCACATTTTTGCCAGCTAGCTTTACTTGAATAATGCCAATATCAAAGAGTCCATATGTCCAACATCTTGCACGCTCAACAGGTCAATTGTAAATAAAGATCTCATATGCCTGCTTTGTGGCTTCCAAACTATTTGAATAAATGTGCTTTGCCGGAGGGCGGGATTGAGTGGTGTGGTGGGGGGGAGTAATAATAGGGTATTAAAGGATGAGGTGAGTGGCTTTGGGGCACTCCCTTCTCCCCAATGTTGCCTTTCCTTTCCATGAAATTTCGTGTGCCTTTTTTAGTTCACAGTAATGGAAACCTGAAAATATATTTGAGCATGCCTGTGTGGAAAACCAAAGCATAGCTTGAAGTCACACATACAACCTAGAATGGACAAGTACTTTGACAGCACTATCTAATGCCTTCTGCTGAACCCTCTCTCCCCAGCAGACCCATCTGTCGGAAGGGCTTGTGTGCAGTCAGTTTCTTAAGCTTCAGAGTGATTCCAATAAACATTTCTTTACACCTCAGCAGCTGAAGTGGTGACTAGGGAGGTCTCATTTCCATCCGTTAAAGCCAGAAGTCCTTCAATCAATAGCTACAAAGGTTCCAAAGACTGGAGATTACATTTACTTCAGGGTGTTCTCTGCTTTTGCTGGGTTTTATCTGATTTTGGAAGTAAATTGATAAAAACTATTACTTTTCTGGCAGCTTACATAAAGTGCGCTTTCATTTGTTATTTACTTAGTGTCTGTATGGAATCTATTAACATAGTTAATGCCCAGAAATATTATCTAAAGCTTTGGCGTTGACTTGGCAAATCGATAGACGCATACAAACTCAAGGTACTGCATAGCAAAGGCTACTTCACTAGAAAACCTTCCCCCTGTTGCATAAAGGGCACGCTGAAGAATAGCTATATAAATATAACCCAGCCCATTTGAAATATTTTCCTAAGGAGCAGTTTTCTGTGTCACTTCTTTATAGTACTGGAATACTATTGGGAATACTGGACAATGAAACACTAATGAGAGAGAAGGAAGTATGGAATAGGTGCCTCTGGAAAGTGCTTGGTTTTTCCCCAGGTATGCCAAATGACCATTCTGTGATCTTTCCACACATGCTCTGACTGGGGGGGAAAGGCAAATATCAGCAGTGGTGGGGCGAGGGATCTTAAAATTCAGTGGTGCCCTGTGCAATGTGAAAATTTGGCACCCCTGCCTCTCGTGCTGCGTTCTAAATCATAGCTGAAGTGCCCCTGAGGTTCCAAGCCCAGTGCAACCAAACCAGTCATGCAGTGTTCAAAATTAGCCAGGTGCTTTTGACCACTTGTGACCAAGTGAAGATGCCTGGGTGCCAGGATGCCACCTGCCATCTCTGCCATCTGGGGATCATTGTATCTGGACTTTTTCACACACTAATACCCCATCCTGTATAATTTTAATTTTTCTGCACGATCAGAATGAATTTCTGGAGCCAAATTGCTTTTTCTGTGCAGCCTGAGCAGGAGCAGTCACCATTAAGAAAAAGAGGTTGGAATAGGCAAAAATGGCAACTAGACATTCTGTTTTGGCGACTGCAGCAATGGTTTAAGGAGCCTAGTTTAAATATCTGAGTTTCTAACACAGCAGTCACGCTCCCCTAAATCCGCTTCTGATGTCCACAACCACTTAGCCTTCACACAAGGATCTACGTAATATATAACCAATTACCTGGGGAAGTAGGAGGCTCCCTCCCTCCTAAAATCTTCAGGCAGGGACCAAAGCAATAATCTGTAGGAAATTATTTAGCTCGGGATTTGCTGCATCAAACAATGTGTTTGACCAGATGGCCTACAAGACCCTTCCCAATTCTATGATTGTGTATGTGGGCACAGTGACAATCATGTCTTCTTCATCCCCTATCTCTCCTTTCAAAGAGGAAAGCTGAGCTAGCCCAAGCCGTGATCATGTTACATACTGTTAATGCCCAGTGCATCTCCTCTCACAACCCCTTTCCCCATAAACATAAAAAGCGCTGGTGATGATGCGCAGAATATAAAGCGATTTAATGGCAAAAACACCATATAAAGCACTTGATTGTTTACAGGAAGCTGTTGATGCAGCTCCAAATGGACTGGGCTATGTTGCTATGATGAGCGTTCAGAAGGAGGGGGGACTCTGCATTCCTCTTGTCAACAATTTCCTGAAAATGCTCTGCAGCAAAATCTAGGCTTTCTCCAGCACTATGCTGAAGACAGGCAGTTTCCTCTCCAATTGTGACTTTTATTGCACAGATGACAGAAAAACCAACACTAAAACTGTTAGTTGTGTTGTTTGAAAAGTGATACAATATGATCCAAATGGCAACTAAGCCAGAATTTTCACATGGGCTTAGCAACCTCACATGGAACTCTACCAGGTTTCATAAAATGCTACACATAAAAGTCTGATGCAATCACAAAGCCAAATTTGTCCAGGTAGTCTGGCTGCATCCTAAGCATGATGGGATTTTTGTTTGTTGTTTTTAATTGCAGGCTACAGGTAGCAGGAATCCTCCAAGACTGTTGTGGAAAATTTTTAAATGGGAATTTGTAACTCTTCTCAAACTTGTACCACCCTCTTGTATCCCAGTCTAACCTCAGCCAAGAGAACGCATGAGAGAACTGGGATTCATATATATTTTTTGGTGGTGGGGGGGAATAATTTGGCTGAAAATTGGAGAAATCCACAGATTATATGGTTTGCTACTTCCAAATTTCAAACTTCAAGGCACAAGGGGTCAACCAGTAGCCTGCTTATTTTTTGCAACATTCCTTTCAGAAAGACTTGTAAGTGAAACAACAAACAGTATCCAGCAAAGTAGTACCCTTAGCACATGACTTCTGGCTAAGCCATGGAACTCGTCTTTCTTCTCCCCACATGCCCCTAAGTTTGTTTTGGGTTCTCCCCAACCCTCCAGAACAGATTTGGGAAGGAACAAGGGGCTTATAAACTGAGGAGACAGAGGGGAAGTTCTGTTACACAAATGGAAAACATTATGCCAACGGAGCTACTTCATTGGCTACAACCCAATGGGCCTGGACTCAACTAAACAGCTGTGCTAGTGTGACTGAATGCAACAAGTCCCCCTAGCGCAACAGGGCTTTCCCTGCCATGCACCTCCACCATGACCCCCTAAAGAAACCCTGGTAAGATTGAGAGAACCCCCATTGAGAGAACAGGGGAAGGGGAGATGGGAAATCATTCCATCTGGCAAGCTGAACAATCATAAAAGCATAATGCCAAATTCCGCCCAATGTGATTATTTTTGTTAATTCCAGATATGCTGGCTTCTAGGTAAGCTAACAAAAACAAATTATTAATATCCTAAAATATATATACTTTTATCACAATGCGGTAAAAAAAATACTGGTTTTTTTTTTACATGGTGTCAGTAACCTCTATTTAGGAAAACAAATATCTGCCACAGTATGGTGTAGTGGTTAAGAGTGGTAGACTCGTAATCTGGTGAACCGGATTCGCTTCCCCGCTCCTCCACATGTAGCTGCTGGGTGACCTTGGGCTAGTCACACTTTGAAGTCTCTCAGCCCCACTCACCTCACAGAGTGTTTGTTGTGGGGGAGAAAGGGAAAGGAGAATGTTAGCCGCTTTGAGACTCCTTAAAGGGAGTGAAAGGTGGGATATCAAATCCAAACTCTTCTTCTTCTTCACAATGCTTATAACTTCACACACATACACTTCAATTATGATGGTACATAACAGTGATATTTGTTGTAAAGATATACTCATTTAAGTGTGTCTCTCTATACATGCAGTCCTTTATAAACTCCGTTCCAAGAAGCCAACCCCAAACATGCTCAACTTTGTCTGGGATTCCTAGACGTCTGAGTAGAACCATTTGCCTAAGATAGAATTCAGCACCTGGGGATCCTCTATAGGAGAATAATTGGCTTGGCAAGGAGAGCTGCTCTCCACAATCAGAATTTCTGGGATTGAGGGAGATTCCACTTTTTTGTTTTGTTTTTCAAACCAAGCCTAGAACAATATTATAAGAGAAAACTTGCCAAGACGTATCCAGAATAATATGGATTGTTCCAGCAATTTACAGCTAAAAGGATAGGATTACTGGGCAGCTCCAAAACATGATAGATAGATATAGATAGATAGATAGATAGATAGATAGATGATAGATAGATAGATAGATAGATAGATAGATAGATAGATAGATAGCGGCTTTCACTGGGGACTAATTAAGGTAATGTGGGATTGGCTGACAATGAATCCAATGACCATCTTTCTTTAAAACTTTCTTTAAAACAGAATTCAATGGCACAGAACCCAAAGTCAAACTAGACATGACGTTAAATACAGATCTGCATTTAACAAGCATGTTTCTAGCAGGGAGGCAAGTGGAGGCTAGTAATTGTCAGGACTGAAGCAAGTTGAGATGTGGAATTTAACACTTTTCCTCCTTTGTTATGGTGTTACTGAAATCACTCCTCCACAGCTGCTATATGCAACACACACACACACACACACACACACACACACACACACACCAGCCAAGGGGGAAAAACAAGCAAAACCACACATAAAATCCTGCCTCATAAAACTATTAAAAGGGGGGTGAGCCCTCACTGCACCCCAAAGACATGACTCAAAGAGGCAATTCCCTTGGGAGGCTGCCCCCAGAGGCCGCACAGCCTGCTATCTCCAGCAGGTGTACCTTATACCCTACCTTCCCCAGCACTGCATGGTGTGCTGGTTTGGGGAGTGTCCTGAGCAGCTGCAGCCACTCAGGCAGATGGCATATTGCCTCAGCGGGGCCTAGTCCTGATGTTAAATGTCTCCTTGAACAGCAGCCTCTTGGAGACAGCAGCTTTTGTAGGGAACTAGGGGGCCTGAAGTTAAACTCTATTCCTCTCCATACTCCCCCTCTCTCAGCTAGCTGCCTCCCTTCCATTCACCTCCTTTGCTATCCCTACCTTGCTCTTTTAGCTTCTCTTAATCATTTGTTTCCCTGAGCCATCGTTGTCTGCCTGAGGGTCCCACCCCAATTTTCACACATCTAGCAAAGGAGATGTTATTGATCTGCTGCTATGCAGTCCTACATTTGTTGCCAAATTGCCACATTTAAGAACCACACTGTCCTCGTAACTCAAATGCCGCTAAAATAATAGCAGGTTACAATAACCACATCTCCTATTTCTTATTAAGAAGAGCTGACAAAATTTGACTGCAAGGCACAAAATATAATTAGTGGTTCAAAACTATGCCCTCACAATAAATGTTTAGGCAGAGAAAGAGTCTTCTCAGTGGTGGCACCCAAAACAAAGCACCTACTTTACTGGCTTTTCAGTGTTGGGTAAAGAGTTTTACTCTCCTGAACTTTTAGCAGATAATATTTTATGCACTTACTTATATTGCTGCTGATTGCTTTACTGTATTTAATTTCCTGTTGATATGTTTTAATGAAATGTTTTAACTATCGTTTTTACCTCGCTTGGAAGTTTGCTTTTACTGTAAGATAGGATAGAAAGAATTTAAATACATTCTGGTTTCTATGTACCGGTAGTTTGCTTCCCACACTCCCGCTACACACACTTATGCATTCCCATGATGCAATAAGCCAAACCATGGTTTATTTATTGGGACTGGGTGAACATGCATGCTCCCAGAGAGGAGCTTTCAAACTCTGTACTTCTCCCTGCTCTTGCACTATGCTGAGTTAAGCTTGTCCTCCTTTTCAAGTCTCTACCAGCAGCAACCTCTGCGTCAGCAACCTCTGCTTCCTCCTCCTCATTTGACACAGCAACTTCTGCCCCAGCCTCAAACCAGTCAGAATTGCAGGGGTCAGAGGACTCTCCTTGCTCATCATGAGCTGCAACCAAGATTTGTAGCCAAACACTGTACCCTTCCTTAATGAGTTCTGAGACTGCTTGAGCTTGCCTTCATCTGTTTGCTGTTTGCTTCCCTTGGACAGCAAGGGATCGTTCACAGTGCTTGCCATATATGGATCTCTTTAACTCTTCAGACCCTTTTGGAAGCATTGCAAGTCCATCCTGTTTTGGATTATGTACAACATTGTACTTGCATGTAATTCTGCAATCATTGTAAACTAATCCATCAAGTTTAACAGATCACTAAATCAAATCCACCAAGCTTTACTCTTTAAAAAAGTGCTGACGTCTCTTAATCTATATCCTGTCTCAAGACTAAAAAGTTAGATTGATATCAGTAATCACAAAGAATTTAATAATATATGGGTGACATCCAATATTACTTAAGCATCTCAAGTCCATTTATTCCAGTGGGTCTACTTTGAATATGACTTAGTTGGATATCACCCATATAAATGTCCACGCTCTGGCATCGCTCAACTGGAAAGTCTTATTGCTTCAAAAGAAAGGGCTAACTGTGAGCCTTGAACCACATTCTGTATAGAAATACTTCTTCCTGTATACCCAATTGCCAATAAACCCTTAATACATTTTCCACCATGTAGATTTGGATGAAAACAGTATCTAATTTTTCAAAGAGCTCATCTGCTCCTGTTCCTTGTTCCCCTCTAGAGTCGTAATCCTCTCGCTGTGACATGAAAGACATTTCGCACAATGGCCAATTGTTTGTGATATCACAACCCAGGATTATGATTTCAAAAAAAGACTGAACAACCAGAGCGGCTGAGTGCTTAAAGAGCAAAGAGACTCTTTTCATGCAAATGTCCTGATTAATAAACAACAAAAGGAAGCACGAACAAAAAAAGAGACATACAACCAAAGGGGCATTTTATAATAAGATTTTTCTTCCAACTTTTTGATAAGCTCGCATTAGCCTTTAAAATGCACGCAATCCATTGAAAGGTTCCTGCAGTCTGCAGTTCATGCTATAGAAGGCATGCTGCTGAGTTGATAGATTCTGTGGACATTTATTGTGGCCCCCAAAACATTTAGCACTTTGTAGCTCAAGAAAGTAATGTGTGAACTGAGATGTGTTGCGTGGGTTGGGAACTAGGCCTTCTGTCTGCCAAAACAGACTCCATATATGCATGGACAAAAGAGAAGTCAGATTTCCAGAAAACATGGCATGGGTTGTTTTTTTCTGCCCAAGCCAACATCAATATATTTTGCAAAAAGAAAACAAGAGGGAATGTGAAACCCCACATTACTAAGCAGCGGCCTTGAGAAATCCAATCCACAGAGTGACACTGCCCACCCTGCTGCACCAGGAGTGTGGGCCCTCCAGCAGTGCAGTTCAGAGGAAACGCAAACACTGCTCTGGAATAGTGGGAAAATAAATGGGCTTGTATAATATGCTTGGCTAGGCAGAATGTATTATAAAGCAGAATGTTTCCTTCTGAGCTCTGGGGTGCCTTTGGCTAATGCCTATAACCCACAGTGGGAAAGTGAGAGCCAATGAGAAATTCCTGGCGATCCTTCCACACTGTAGATTCTACACAGCCTCATCAAAGAACAGGAAAGGATCTATGTCATTCCACCTTCTGTAATTCAGGTTCTCAGGCTTTAAAAAATGGTCCTTGTGAGTTCTTCTCTGCACCTGGTCCTGTGCCACATAGCCTCTAAAATCAATGTACAATCAAAGGTGGATTTCAGACAGTGCAAGAGGCTCTGCAGGGTGTCACAGCTATGACATAGCTGGATCTTAAAGTGACTTAAGAACCAAGCAACAAAACATAGATACATTAAGACGGGGGGGGATACATTAAAAACACCCCACCCACTTCTAAAAGGCCACACATAGTTGCAAAATGCCAAAGGCCTGGTTATAAAGTTTTTGCCCGGCACTTAAAGTTATATAATGATGATGCCAGGCAAGCCTCCTTGGGGTGAGCATTCCACAAACAGGGAGCCACCACTGAAAAGCCCTGTCCTCATGCTGCCACCCTGCAGACCTTCTGTGAATGGGCCACTCAAAGAAGGGCCTCAGATGACAATCCCAGGGTGTGGGTTGGTTCATATGCGAAGAACCACCCTGATACCTTTGGGTATAGGGCGGTATAGAAATTAGATAAATAGAAGAAGAAGAAGAAGAAGAAGAAGAAGAAGAAGAAGAAGAAGAAGAAGAAGAAGCGGTCCTTAAGGTATTGTGGTCCTGAGCCACATAAGGCTTTTATGAGTCAAAACCACACACTCCTCACACTCAGTAACACCAGCCCCTGGGTGCCAATTCGGCTCCTGTCTGTATAACTACATCCTGGTCACACTGTAGTTTATCAGTATTTTGGAAATGGGGCTCTCAACATATAAGTCAGTTTCCCCCCCAAACAGGCGCCTGGGGCTGATGAGAGTCTAAAACATCTGGATGGCACCATGTTGGGGAAGGGTAACATGAGTGAAAATAGGCTCACATAGGCCTCTTCCTGGGAACTTTTTCTCCTTACTCCTACTGACCAGCTTTTTCCCCCAGGGAATCCTCTGCTTTGCAACACAAACAGCGAAGAAACCATGGATGCTATTCAGAGTAGATCCACTGAAGTTAATGGACATTAGGGTCATTAGTTTCAATGATCTGACTCAGCTGGATACAGTCCCATGAGTCTTGAGAGGTCTGAATTCCAGGTGCTTCACCTTGTTCCCATGCAACTTTTGCATGCTGGCTTCAATTCATTTCTGCAAGCATCACTGAAAGCAGAGAATGTTTTCTTAACATTTACTGTATGTTCCCCTGTTGTCACTAAAGGAGGAAATACTCTCTGGCACTTCTCAGCTAACTCTTTGGCAGAAACCCTCTTCTGGCAACTTTATCAGGGTGTCAGAATAATTATTTCTGCTCCCGAATTCAAAAGCTAGAATGAAGGGAGTGGGGAAGGTATCAGGTATCAGCTTCTCGCTGGGATCGTACTAGCAGTTCTCACTAAGTAAGCTGTGCAGGAATGTTGCTTTTGAGTGCTGAGAACTCAAAAAAGAAAAAGTGTGAACCAACGCTGAAAAGCCATTAGTCAAAACGAGAAGAGACTGTAAGCCCAGCCCCATCCCCAAACATGGCTTTAGAAAGCCTTACTACCATCTTGGGGGCACAACCACACAGCAGTTGGCCAGGCTCCTGATTCAGCACTCTTTATTAATGAACATTGCAGGAAACTAAAGAAGGAAGGCTAAATAAGAATGAGTATGAAATTGATAGAATTTTTTTTCTTTGCAGTCAGGCATGTCTGCAACAACTTTTTAATATTACTTTTCTAAAAGTTCAAAGCAACACTTGTTCCATCTGTAGCCTTACCCATCAGTAATTTTATGTTGGTGTCATTCAGAAATCAGCACGCTAGCCACAGTGCGACAGGTTTATCCTGCTATGTTGTGTTCCTATCCACTTCTGGGATTGATTTGGATAATAAATATATATCTTTTGTTCATATGTGAAACAGCAGTCTGGATAGCAAACTGAATACTATATATAGTATACAGAATCACACAGCTATCTTTCCATTCATAAATTATTCCATGGAAAGATGGATGTCTGGAATGAACTGGAACCATGTGTCCAACAAGGGGACCGCAATTTTATGAAAATGTTGCACATTTCAATCTTGGAATGAATATTTTGCTTTGGCAATTATCAGATCTCCCTTAACTGGAATTGTTTGTGAAAAGAAATCCAACTGACCATGGACAAAAAAAGCAAATAAAACCAGTTATAAATCAAGTTATAAAACATGGAGCCAGATGTAATTAATTAACTGACTGGGACATTGAGCCTAACCATTTGCTCCAGGGAACCTCCCTCTATTACTAGTAAATTGTGTTTTCTGCATGCCACCTGCAGCTGAGTTTCAGCTGATGAGCAGACGCTATAGGGCAGGCATGGCCAAACTTGGCCCTCCAGATGTTTTGGGACTACAACTCCCATCATCCCTAGCTAACAGGACCAGTGGTCAGGGATGATGGGAATTGTAGTCCCAAAACATCTGGAGGGCCAAGTTTGGCCATGCCTGCTATAGGGCATTCTGATAGTGGAACCACAGTTATGGAACTCCCTCCCTTGTGTCAATAGGTTGAATCTATTAGTTGTGTGAGCAGATGTCAGACTACACAACTGATCTTTCTTTTCCCCATCTCCCCCTTTACAAAGGAGAAAAACAACAACGCTTCAGAGGGCTGGTGAGGGCCCAAAATAATGTGGACTGTGCTGTAAGAGTAACCTTAAAATGGGGGGAGATGAGACATCTTGCACCAGTAGGAGTACGACTAGACCAAGATCGCTCAGTCTGATTTGGGGTGATTTCTCCCTTCCACTCTCACAACCACCAAAATTTTTTAGGAAGAAAGTAAAGAACTTCCTTTCCCAGACATTTGTTGCTGCTACTTGAGGTTGGTTTTCAACCATCACTGTCCTGGTTCTGTTTTTGCTCTTTCTAGGTTAATTATCTGTAATTGTCTTTAAATGTAATATGGTTTTTATTAGGGAGTAATCTACTTTGGACTCTTGTAAAGACAGGTGGGATAGCAACAGATAAAAAGTTTGTATCACACTGACTGTACAAATGTGCTGGATATCCCATTCTAAAAATTTTCCTGCTCAGCAAATATTTGATTTAAGCTACAAAATTTGAAAAATATTTCAGGTTCCTTGTTTAAAACAGACGTGGATACAGTGAACTATTTTTAGAATATTCTGGCTTTGTCTTTCAATTCTATTAAAAGATATCTGGATGTTTGATTAAAATTAATGGGAACTATCATCCAACACCCTCATGTTGGGCTTTCAACATCTCAGCATATGTTTTTGATACTGATTTTTCACTGCCTCATAACTTTCCAACGTGATTCTTAAAACATTTCATTGCTATGTATAAAAGCTGAAACAGAAGGCCTAGCATGGGTTATGGAATGGCTGCCAATACAAAACAGCCTTCATAATACATGCAGGCATGAGGTGATGACAATATGAGTATCTAAGGAAGGCCTAAAATTATTGCAAGCAAATATACTTTTGTTTCAAACCACAATAAACCCTGAATTGTAAAAGAGAACAAATCAAATTCATTTAGTTTACTTTATACCAACATAAAGAAATATAGAATCTCATCTCAGGCTTTATACATATATTTCTTCACCATTAAGTAATTTATCACTCTAGATAAACACACATGCGTGGATTCATCCAGGGCTTTCTATGCTCCTCATAGCACAAAACTGGAGCGCCATACTAGGAGTGCAGGACCTATATAGCCATGCAGTTATTGTTGAACTACTGCTCCCATCACCGCAGACCATTGTCCATGCTGGCTATGGGGCTGATGGGACTTGGGAGACTCAACAACAGCTGGATATTTTTCAATGAAAGCAATTCTCACATTCATATGGAAGTCATCAAGGTAGGTCAATGAGTGACGTATATGCAACTAAGTCAGTACTTATTTCAGGGGACAGGTATACGGCAGGCCTCAAGTCTGTCTGGAAATAGCATCCTCTAACCTTGAAGACCACCACCATCTTGATTCCTGGTATGCTTGGCCCTTCTGTGGTCACTCAGTGGTGAGAAACAAGCACTCTCCACCTCTGCAGAAGCCCTTCTGATGATTCTTATTTTTTATGTTCCACAGGTGAGCCTTGGCAGTGAAAAGAGATGCCAGTGCTATGCTCTGGTAAACCCTGAACTATTATTTTAACCCATTCATTTCGACCTAGAAGTCCTGGTTCTAATTCCTGCTGAACTTTGAAATCCTTAGATGTCACTGAATAAATCACTCCTCTCAGCACCTGTTTCCCATCTGTAAAACAGGAATCTGAAACACTGGGTTGTTAGAAGTGTTATGTATTGAAGTTCTCACCCTGGCCACCAGGGGTATTGTGTATGTAGTTTTCACTCAGGTCCACGTCAGTTATTTTAGTAGGGAAACCCTGGGTTGTTGTTGCTACAATGCTGACAGCCGGCTGCCTATAAAAGCAGGCTGGCTGAGCTGTTTGCTGTTCAGTTCTGTTCCACCTTACAAATAAAGAGCTGCTTTGGAGAAATTGCTGTGTCGTCTGCTATGTCTACCCACTATTCAACAAGGAGGATGGTGAAAGAATGTGAAGCACTCCACACCAAGGCTGACTATAGAATTAATGCCACTAGGTATTCTCAAGCCCCTTCCAACTCTGGCAGTGGCAAAGAAAATTTTCTCAACAAATTAGATAACACATTGCTTCTTTATCTGAAACAAGTGGCCAGTACTAACTGCAAACAGTAGTCTGGGCGCATTGTAAGAAGAGCCTGCGTCAATCCTGGTTGGTCGCAGCCACCTGAAATCACCTGGCAAAATGTAAACCTCAGGCAAAAATAACAAAAGACCGCATTCTACACTCCCAGTTTTATGGAAGCACAATGGTGTGAGGTGTGCAGCTTTTGAACTAGGGCACCCTGACTCTGCAGAGGCTTCCTCCAGTGAACCATGCAGGAAAAGAAAGCTAGAAAAGCAGAGAGTCCTGGGTCCTGGTTTCAGTTCTGCTATCCCTCCTTCTCGCTCTTAAATCTTGAATATTTGTTTTTACCAACAATTTCTCTGATGCAGCCCAAGATCACCCTCTTCCCAGTGCCCCCACGCCCTACTTTTAGGCTCAGGTACATCTGACTTTTGAGAATGAGATGCTGGAGTAGCTGGATGTTTGGTCTGATCCAGCAGGGCTCTCCTTACACTGAGCTCTAAGCAGACTTTTGCCACAGTAGACTATGTCATTCTGGAACTGCTCAATCTACCAGCACCTGATTTCTAAACTGTGGTGCTGAAAGGTAAGACATAGCAAATTATGAGTCAGAACATCAGCAGAAGAACACCGGCTGATAAAGACTTGGATTGCATATTTATAAAAATAATAATAATTTATTATTTATACCCCGCCCATCTGGCTGGGTTTCCCCAGCCACTCTGGGCGGCTTCCAACAAAATATTAAAATACAGTAGTCCATCAAACATTAAAAGCTTCCCTAAACAGGGCTGCCTTCAGGTGTCTTCTAAAAGTCTGGTAGTTGTTGTTCTCTTTGACATCTGGTGGGAGGGCGTTGCACAGGGTGGGTGTCACTACGAAGAAGGCCCTCTGCCTGGTTCCCTGTAACTTGGCTTCTCGCAGCGAGGGAACCGCCAGAGGGCCCTCAGCGCTGGACCTCAGTGTCCAGGCAGAATGATGGAATGATGAAATGAACTCTAGTTCATGAAAGTTAATACCATAATCAATGTGTTAAGACTTTCAGTTGCCACAAGACTGTTGTTTTTACAGTCTAAGCATTGTTGTAAAGCAGAGTGTGCACGCACACACAAAGGACAGACTATATTTATAAGGTAGTCTGCCACATGTTTCTCAGAACAAGTTACTAGTGATGTGGTGACACCAAAAGTAGAATCTGGAGCTTCTTTCACTTGGGACACTTGATGCTTTGGCAGCCACAGATTCACAAGACATTTATGTATGCAGATTTTATCAAGCACCTCTACTGCATGACCTTCTGTTTCAAATATGTTGCATTCCCCACAGTAATTGCATTGCTGAGGAATTGCTGAGGAAGTTCAATTACTTCTCCTTGCAGCAAGGCTGTGAGATTCAGAAAGCTGTTTGAAATGTGACTGAATGTCAATTACAGTGATACCTCGGGTTAAGTACTTAATTCGTTCCGGAGGTCCGTTCTTAACCTGAAACTGTTCTTAACCTGAAGCACCACTTTAGATAAAGGGGCCTCCCACTGCTGCTGTGCCGCCAGAGCACAATTTCTGTTCTCACCCTGAAGCAAAGTTCTTAACCCGAGGTACTATTTCTGGGTTAGCGGAGTCTGTAACCTGAAGCGTATGTAACCCGAGGTACCACTGTATTGGAACCTATTGCACAGTGACTATGATGCGTGGCATAACTGCTATCTGTATGCATATACTTTGTCATGATCCAGTGCTCAATCTCCAAAAATTGAGATGCAACTAATTAACTGGAAGAGAAAGTATGGTGAGACCAACTGGTAATTTCTCACTCTTACACACACACACACACACACACACACACACTGAGCATACTTCAGATTTGACCATGAGATTTAAACTGAAGTGATAGCGGATTCTCCAAGTTTTCCTTGAGATTTAGCGGATTCAACTCCCTGGCATGCCCTGTGTGGAGGATGAGTGTTTCCCAATTGTGTTTTGTGTGTGCATTGCCCTTTAAAAGCTGGAGAAAAGAAAGAGCTCTATATGTGGACTGGATATTGCACAATTCCCTTTGAGCAGAGGCTCACAGGAGAACACTTTGAACAGGTAATCTGGGCAAGCCTATAAAAGGGATTATAAACAACAGCTCTTCCTCTTGGCTCAGGAAGACTGAAGCTTTCAAGAACTGAGGGCCTTTGGTGTAGGATCTTGCATGCCCTTGGCTTCAATTCCACAAATCCGTTTCTTCCAGATGGTTGTAAATCCCCAAGAAATGTCAGTGCAACCCCATAACAGTATTTGCATTAGTTTTCTACTGCCCATCCAAGTCAATTAGCAGTAAATTAAAACCAGCAGGGGTTATAGTTCTTAATGTATTCTAGCAGAAAACAAACAGGAGAGTGTAGCAAATAAGAAAGGCCAGTCACAGCACTGAAGTTTGTATTAACTTCTCTGAGTGGTATTTTAGTAGATGGGAGTGAAGAAGAAGAATGTGCTGATTTTATAAACTAGCAACCAGAAATTAGAACAGGTTACTAGCGGTTCTGTTCCCCGAATGATCTTCTATTTTTATTGTCTCACATTGTTATTATCTGTGGCCTTGGTGTTGCCTAAAAGTATAAGAAGTATAAGCCTGTTGTTACATTAGGCTGGCTCTTCTTACTTCGTACTAGTCCTATCCACAAGGAAGAGTCCATCTGTGCAAGCTCAGGACATCTGCCCAGCCTTTAGGCTCAGGGTGATTTAAGGGACATACACAACCCTGTGTAGGGAAACTCTGGAGTCCAAAGACAAAAGCATCAGGTTGAATGTGCAGGTCCATTTGACACAACTCAATCAGGGTCAGGAATCTGATAAGTCTCAAGGGAAAGTTCATTAGCAAACCGGAGAATTTTCAGAGCTGTGGTATTATTGGTGCTACGCCAGAAAGACAATTAAGAAAGGCCATTCACAAGGCAATTAAAGTTCAATTTGTCACTAATCCCCCAGCCAGACTCAACAGAAGGCAATAGAATGGTCAGAATATTTTTTTTTTTTATAACATTGGAAAGTACCAAACAGGACTTGCTCGTGAGTAAACATTGCAGAGGGCCCTTGGCGATGAGAAAGACAACTGCTGGAAAACATGGCGATATATTAAGTGCTATGTGGAAGCTCCATTTGATTCTCAGCTAATTCTGGGAAAGCAACACATCAGCAGTGTTAAAGGGCTATGTGGCGTTAGTACGGAGCCCCCGGTCGTCTCACGGACTATTGACCCGTACACCACTAATCCGCTGCCACCAACCAGGTCCTCCCTGGTAAAATCACTTCGGTCTCAGTCAGCTTTCCAATTCATAAAGAAGAGTGTATTTTATTTCAGACTTAAAACAAAACTATTACAGCATTCCAAACAGTGTTCCTCTTTACTTTCTTAGTCTTATGTTCCTCTCTCTATCTCTGCTACCACCCCACACTCAAGGACCAACTGCCCTAACTGTCCCTCTATTACCAACTGCCTTTCCCAACCAGCCAACCCACTCACTCAAACCAACCAACCACCCACCCACAACTCCCAACAAACTCACTCCCAGAACTCCTCTCAGAACTCCTTTATAGACCCACGGACTCCACCCCCCTGGGCCCTGTCGGTGCAACCTATTTAACTATTTCCCCTCCAGCACTCTCTCATATATGGTAACGTCACAGGCTATAGCATGGAAGCAATCTCTGAGACCCAGCATGGAAATGCCGTAGTTGTAGGAAGAGCATCCTCTGTTCCTGCTCTTCAGTCCAGTGCCTAGGTCAGTCTCTGATGGCTGGGGCTGATGGGAAACAAACCACTGCAGGGTACTAGAATGCCAAAGGCTGGCTTAAAGTAACTGGGTGAGCTCCTTTTCCAGGCAACAGAATAAGGCTGATGGGGACAAGGAATCAGTAATCATACTGAAATAATCTTCAATATCTCATTGCCCTGATTTGCACATACAGCAGTGGTATATATACCACAAATCACGTCAAATCTGCTATTCAGACATTTGGTTGTACAAGCATCATGGAGGGCAGAGTAAGTTTGAAATGGTGAGCAAAGTTTTAAAAATTTGAAGCGGGCAAGCAGTCTGAGAGCTTGTGGAGAAGTCAAATTGTGGAGGTATTTGACAACTACTGCCCAATCACTAATATCCCATTCTTGGGCAAGGTAAGTGAGTGAGTGGTAACTGGCCGGGAGCAGATGTGCCTGGAAGGAAATGAATTATCTAGACGCATTTCAATCTGGCTTCAGGCTGAGATTTGGCAATGAAACAAGTTTAGTCACTCTGATAACTCATAGGAGGAGAGAGGTGGGGGTGGAGGGAAGTGCAACCCTCTTAATTTTTCTAGACCTCTCAGCGGCTTTTGATGCCATTGACCATGGTATCTTCCAGGAGCAGTTCTGCAGATTGGGAGCTGGGGAACTCTGTGCTACAGTGGTTTCACTCCTGTCTTCTCCTGCACTACCATCAAGTAGCACTGGGAGTAGCTCAGGAACTTGGTACATGTACTGTGGGGTCTCGCAGTGTTCCATATTGTTTCACGTGCTTTTTTTTAATTTTAGCATGAAGTAACTGGAGGATTTCATCAGGGGATCTGGAGCTTTGTCATATGTGTATATCTATTTGGTTGTTTTGTAAACCACCCTGGGATCCAAACAGACGAAGAGTGTTTTTAAAATGTGGACAACAACATTAACAAGCGCAGCATTTGGAAACATCCAATTCTGCACATGCAGCCAAATAGGTAGATACAGTAGGAAGCAGGAGAGATATTTCTGGTTTTGTTTTTACATATATAGAAGCCAATTAACTGTATAGCCTAATCCTATGCATGTTTACTCAGAAGCAAATCCTGTTGCCTTCCATGGCACTTTCTTCCAAATCAATGTGTGCAGGATTATAGCCCCAAATCAGAAAGCTGTAAGCCCTGAAAGGAGTTCCAATGTCACTGAGCCAAAGCTTAATGTCTTTATCCACTTTTGTTTCAGAAAAAGCTCTCATTCTCAAGAATAGATGTTTCGCTGGAATAAAACAGACATCTCCTCTAACAAACTGTGGGAAAGATCCACACAGCTGCATTCTGTCTTTGATTCTTTCAGAGGCTCTCATAAGTGAGCATAGGGCGAAGGCCAGAAATGAGAGCAGCAGTGACTGTATATGCACAGGTCTACAGGTGGGTTCTGTATTAGCTGCAGGCTAGCTGAAAACTGCCCTATACTCTTTAACCTGGCCTCTGACACCTGAGTTGTGTGTTTTCAAGATCCCGCCCTATTCTTGTGATTGTAATTTGCTTTTGCTGTTTTTAATACTGAATTTTAAAATGCTGCCAGCCGTCCTGGGACCAGCTGGTGAAGGATGGTTAATAAATGAGAGGCAAGATGGTGTGGTGGTTAGAGTGTTGAACTAGGATCTGGCAGACCAGGGTTCAAATCTTCACTCAGCTACAAAACTACCTAGGTGGCCTTGGGCCAGACACTGCCTCTCAGCCTAGTCTACCTCACAGGGTTGTTATGGAGAATAAATGAGAAGGAGGACAGCCATGTACACCACCTTGAGCTCATTAGAGAAAAAGGTGGAATATAAATGCAATAAATAAATAGTAGTAGTAGTAGTTGTAATAATAATAATAATAATAATAATAATAATAATATATACACTGAAGCACTTGAAAGCCATAGAATATATACTTCAAACTGGCACATTTGCTACTGTGATCGTAACTGCAGGTAGTGGGAGCAGCAGCAGCAGGGCATCCTGAATGAAGGAATTCCTTCAGACTATCAAGAGGCTGCTTTAATTTGATTCTAATGGCAGCAGAGCTGGTAAATACCCATATTCCACTGGTGTTTGCTATGGAGAGCACATAAAATGTAACGAGAGTGGGAGACAGGTATCCCTGAACATAAGAAGAGTTCTGCAGGATCAGTCCAAAAACGTACCTGTTTCAGCATCCTGCTTCCTACAGTGGCCAACCAGATGCTTCTGAGTACAAACAAGACTTTAACAATAGCCTCTTGTTCCCCACGGACTGGTGTTCTAAGGCATCATATAGTATATAGCCATCAAGTAATGAGAGATGCCCAGGATCCGGCCAAGGTCAATCACTGTAATAATAGTCCAGCTTGGTAGGATATCTTATATATATGCACACATGAATGAGCATGGTTCATAGTGACAAAGAAGTGTCTGATAACTAAATAATGGAATATGGAAACTATTTTCCAGGCAGTAATACATCTCTCTGCGTGGATCTTAAGGATAGATGGCACATCTAGAGGGTTTTTTGGATAAATACACATGGCTTTTCTATTCCTCCTGTTGAAACCTGTAGCAGAAGCAACGCTATCCGAACACAGGTGGGAACTGACACTATTTACAATCTGATTGGGTGTCCATATAGAAGCACGTTAAGGAAACAGCTGTTAGTACATGTCTTGTATGTTTACTTTGCTGAAATATGCCACTGTTTCTAAGAGTTTAAGAGAATCCCCTAAAAGAAAAGGTAACCTTAAGGCTATTTTGCAATATACCAAGTGGATCATTTTCAGTGTATAGTTCTCCAAATCACGCCTGCTCAGGTGCCTGTGAAGTGATTCAAACAAGAGCGTTACATGTCTGAAAAAATATAATAGGTCTCCACTGTGGGCCCCACTTAACATTTTCTAGTTGTTTGTGCCATCTTATGAGCATGAATGGAAGGAGCCATTGGTGTTTGCTCTAAGCATTAATCCATAGTAATAGAAAGTACAAAAGCTCAAGTTCAGAGCAACTAAGCTCCAAAGCATACCACAAGACAAGTAGTCCGAATCTGCAGGCTTCCCTTTTTCTTGAAAGTTGGTGCAGCACCCTCCACAAAGCTCCCTCATCCACAAATGTGCCCCAGATCACTCTTGTAAATATCTGTTTTAGGGACTTGGGGAAGACGGGGGTGTAAGCTGCATTCTTGATGCTGTGAGAGGACAACAGTGGCTTTTTCTGTTAAGCAAAATCTCTTTGTGCAAATTACTACCCAAGCTGACCTGTTGCAAAACTGCCAAACGCCTCGCCGGTGCCACCACCAACCAGGTTCTCTTACAACTACCTGGGTGACAACCACGGCCACAGCCAACATTCATTTATAATACTCATTAAATAGGACATTTTACAACCTGCTGGCATGCTCCGTAGCTAGTGACAGCCAAACTTACTAGCTCTTCAGTTTCCAGTGCACTAGGATTTGCCTTTAATTTAAATCCTCCATTTTAAGAAAATATTAAAATGTTTAAAATCCATGCAGGAGACCTACAGGTAATTTGTAGCAAATGTGTGAGAAAAATGCCAGGCCTGGCTCTGTTCGGTGCCTGTTCCAAAAGCCTGCTTTCTATCGCAGCAAACGGTGTCACAAGTTCACCAAAGGAACAAGGCAAAAGCTACAGAGAGGCAAGGGATTCCTGCTAATACTGCTCCTTGTGTATGGAAAAGTGGTGGCTGACCAGGATTGCTGACAAAGAGGAGTCTCCTTTACACTCTCTCCCATACACCTTAATTTCGAAGTACCCATTCTCCCACTAGGATGGACTTGTTACATGAGCCCTGGTTTGCTCTTGACACTATGTATGTTCCTATAGCTTCAGTCTGGACCAGGAGGCACCTACAAATGTTCAACTACTTTGTTTGCCCAACCCAAAGAGTGCAACAATTCTGCCATTGAACATGGCCTTTTAAACAATAAGGGGAGGAAAGAACTTTGGGTAACCCCCTGCTTAATGTACTCTTGTTGGCTCAGAGGTGAGGAACCTGAAGCCTAGGGGCCAGATGCAGTCCAAACGCAGGGTTCTCTGCCCAATACAGGCTTCCCTTCCAAGCTACATCAGTCCCCAGTCCTACCCCTATGCTTTTGCCTGGCTGGAATCTGCCCCCGAACTGTGGATGGAGAGATGGAGTGTGTGTGGAAAGCTCTGTGTTTTATATGACTGGAATGTAGCGGGAATGTAGCTCACTGCACAAAGGTGCATCTATTGTTTTCCCACTTTTGCCTTTGGCTCCGCCCACCTCTGGTTCCCAGGAGGTTGATCATGAGGAAAAGTGGCCCTTGGGATGAAAATAGCTTCCCACTCCTGGCAAAGCTAGTCACAGTAGGGAAGGTGAAGGCCAGCGCTCCTTTTACTCGCTCCTCAGAAACAGCCAGCAAACCTCTACTTGAACCTTCATGCTCCAGCATACAATCCAATCCAACAATAGTTACTCAAGAGTAAGTCGAACTTATCTCTGTGGAACTTACTTCTAAGCAAGAATGCTTGGAATTATAGTCTCTGTTCTTAAATACTAGTGATACATACAGTGGTACCTCCGGTTACAAACAATTCATTCCAGAGGTCCATTCTTAACCCGAAACCGTTCTTAACCTGAGGTGCACTTTCACTAATGGGGCCTCCTGCTACCACCGCACCGTCGGCACACGGCTTCTGCTCGCATCTCGGGGCAAAGTTCACAACCAGGAGCATCTACTTCCGGGTTAGCGGAGCTCATTACCTCAAGCGTTCATAAGGAGGATGGTACATAACCCAAGGTTCCACTGTACATGCACCACCACCACCACCATACAAAAAGGGGGGGGGGAATTCTACCTGTTAAGTTGCAACATTTCATTTTAATTACTTGTTTTGTATATAAAAATGAGACAGTGATATGACTCACTGCACTTGAGTCAAATGCTATTTAATTCCTAGACAGTGAATCTATAGTACAAGGCCTGGATCTACTCACATTTTACTTTTATTTACAAAGTGGGTGTCTGTACATTACCTAACAGGTACATTTTTATTTTTGATGTGGCTGTAAAAAATATTATGATTTAGTAGTGGTTTCGATTTCCCACTGGTAAGGTTATACATACAGATGTAAACTGCATTTAGTATGAGCTCACTTTGAATGGGCATATGGAAATTATATTGAAGAAATATTAAAATTCTGCTTCGTGCTATTTTCCTAGATAAGCTGTGGGAACTGCAAGAAATCCAATGCAGGAAATACTATTCCCTCAAACAGAAAATCACATAAATAGATAGGATGTCCAGTCCAAACCACTGCACTGAGGAAGGATTTTCCATACCTAAACATCTTTAAGAGGCTAATCCATGGACTACAATCATACAGTCTGTGATTATACAAACTACACATAACAAAGACAGACAAGGAGTAAAGGAGGTAAATCATGCCAAAAACTGAGGGAAAGCATTTCGTAAAACAAATTTGGATGACTCAAAAGCAGACACAAACAACTGCATCCTTGCATCTGATGTAGTTTGTTGCACTGTGGACCTTAGCTTACAGGTTTCAGTGGATTTTTTAAGTAAGGCTAATTCTGCATTGGATCATCAACCAATGAAACCTTAATATTGGTGTCAATTGGCTCCTTTATGAGTAAATGGCAGTGCACCTGTGGAGTCCAACAAAAACCAATTTTCTTAGCAATTCAGTTCCAGCCTGCTCCACCAGCATCCTGTCTACATTGGTGGCCTTTGTTTATTGATTGATTGATTTCCATCTTCCATGCTTATTCTAGTTTAATACAGTAAAAAAAATTCTGTATGGTTATAGAACTTTAATGAAAAGATATGTCAGACACCCCAACTACACAGTCTAAATTAGGAAAGCTATCCAAAACATGCTACCCCATAATTTTACGCCTCCTTCAAGCAACCCCTGCAGCCCAGCTGGTGCCAAACATAATGCTCTGCTTTCCTTTAGACCACATCAGGAAGGCCAAGAGGGGAGTGGTCTTGTCCTATGGACAGCTGCCTGGGCTTGTGCCCTGGGGAGGTCACTTTGATGCTGCTAACACAGTGGTTTGACTTCCCCCAGTGGCAGAACTTGGGTCTCAAGTTTCAGCAACACTCTGCGAGATGCCAAAATTAGGCATCCCTCTGCCTCTCAACTTCCATTCTACACCATAGTTGCCACAACCCCCGTGGTGCCCCCAAGCCTCCGCACCCAGTGTGACCAAAATCCTGTACCCCTACATCTACCTCTACTTCACCCCCGGAGGCACACTGTCTCTTGAAACAGACAGGGGCCAACAATAATAATTTTGTCATCTATAGTCAGCACTGCAAATGCCAGCAGGGAAGATAAGGGTTGTGTTGAAATCTTGTGTCGTCATACAATATGCATGTACACATTAAGCATATATACATCACTCATGATCCCCTGCCCCCCAAAAACAAGCAACCCGGGCTGACACTTCCAAAATGCTCTCATATGAGAACAATATGTAGGCAGCAGTATCTGGAAGGCTGCATCCCCATCACTACTAAAGAGCTGAAGGATCAGAACAATGAAAGAGGCAGGAGTAGTCGGGTTTTCAATTTGGGCAGTCAAAAGATTATGACCAGCCACATTTAACAATGTTTCCTCACTGTAAAGAAACCCTCCTGGGGGTACCGTGTCACAAGCATTAGAAAATATTGATAGGAGTTTGAGTGTGGCGCTAAATCTATACATTTTCAAGATTAGACTAAAAAGGAAGTGATTGTGGGGCATTTCCACCTCATGAGGAAGACTTTTATTTCCTTGCTCTTCCTTGTCATGCAGCCTACAACTCCCAAACACTGACATCAAAACCTGCAGTATCAGTTAATTAAAGCTCTGATTTTATATTTTTGAAGAGAAAAAGAAGCTATTTATCTTTGAGGAGAAAATAACTAAATGTAGTGCAACAGGACACAGCCTTACCCTAGGCAATGATAAACTACTGTGTAAATATCACAGCGCAATTACATATGGTAACACTTTGTTCCTGTCTCCTGAATTTAACTCTGGACTGATCCGATAAGGAAACCTGAGGTTTTGTTCTTAACTTTCCTGAAAGATGTTTTAAAGCATGCAGGGAATAGCTGTAATTTAAAAAAAGGAAAAAGCGGGAGACAAATACTATCCTTCTTCTGCAGTATCTTTGTTATTTTCACTCTGTCCATGTTTTCCTTCTTGTAGTCATACCCAGCACAAAGAGGAAACAAGCCATCAGCAGCATGTCTGAACCATGCTAGCAGGCGCACTGAAGCCAATCAGAAGTGTCTTTCATTGTGTAATGGAACACAAAAGACACTCTGTTTGAGAAACTCGGGAAGAGAGCTAAAAGCTTGTGACCTAGTCTCCCAGTCAAAAACTGCAACCGTGGCTAACAAAGGCCTGAGATCCATAGAAGACATCCTAGTGAGCAGACCCTAAAATCTGTGAACAGGATTTATCATTTGACCTCCAGCAATACTGTCCTATACCCTGACTAACCCACCCAAATTCCATATTATCAGAGCTTCAGTTATCAAAAATTCACCCCGGCCCCACATTCTGTATATGGAACATTTGCAGCCTGAAACCAGCATGTTTCTGCCTATCCTGCTGGATGTTGACTGCTGAATGTATTACATTTGGATTAACTTGATATTTTCAATGACCCACCTCTGCAAATGTAAAAGGGGAAGGGCTTAGTAGACCAGGGATCCAACCCTTTCAGTGTTTCACTGACAGAAAGTTCATACTTCCCAAGAGAAATTGCAGAAGAGAAGAAATCCGGGGAATAGGTCAGAGGAACGCAAGAAAGTATCTTATACTGATTCAGATCATTGGTCTATCTAGCTCAGTGTTGTCTACACAGACAGTGTCTCTCTCCAAGGTTTCAGACAAGAACCTTCTGCAGATGTTCTGTAACTAGCTAAGGCCCTTCTAGTGGTCATTTTTATACACTGTCTAGAAGCTGAACACTGGGATCCTGACCTTAGCTGAACTCCCTAGAATGAATAGTAGTAAAACTCTCTGATTCTCATCATCAATCCAGTATATTTTGGTCATGTATTAGCTGAGTTTTCACAACACTTGATTTTATTAGACAGGCATTAAAATATTTTCCACCAAAGGCACCAGTTATAAAGCACAGTTTGAGGCATTTCATTGAAGCCTTTACTTGCACATCTAAAATGAAATGTTTTTGGGGGGAGGGTTGTGGGTTTTGTTTTGTTTTTGCCTCTGCCTACATCTGCACCCAGTTGGAATTTACCATAAAAGGTGTTTTAAATGCACGGAGCCCAGAAATAACCAAGAATTCAAAGGAAGTGCCCTCATTAAAAAGACCAGAGCAGGTTTGATAAATAATAAAGAAACTTTACTTGATTTTTCTGGAATGCACATTTAAAACAGCATAGTTTCCTTAACAATGTTTAACCATTGTTTCTATTTAACCACCTTTATTTAAAACCCTATATCTGCAACATGCATACAATGCAACTTCTCCTGCAACAAGTTGATATTTAAAAAAATGCCTCTCCTAAGTTGAGTGGTGCTGCTGAATCTCACACTGCTGGAGAAGTGAACTCGCTAGCAAAGCAGCCGCAGTCTTAAGGCAACCTTCCTTCCTTTTAATTGTTTAAATCCCAAGCCCAGACTTGATTTCTTTTGCTCCATCTATTTCTTCATTTAAGTGCATGTAGGCAGATCCATCACCAGGAAAAATTAAGCAGCCACTCAGAAGCCAAGAACCCAAACAGCAAAATAAAAGAATTACCTTCAATGTAATCACCATCATTGCGGTGGATGTGGACCCGACTGCCATTTGCGGGTCTCGAGAAACTTTCCTGAAAGTCTCTCTCTCTCTCATGTTGGAATACTTCACACAGAGAGAAAGTAGTAGTCCTAGTACAAAATTCAACAACTTTTCACAGGCAAAAAGATCTATTCTTCAGGGCGGGCGGTGGGGTGAAATTCACCATTTCCTCCCTCTTTGCTTAACAAAACCCAACTGCTAGGGCATGACATCACTCCTCGGAGAATGGGATTCCAAACATACGCTGACATGCAGCTCCAGAAACGAAAAGGAAAATTAAAAGAGAGGGAGGGAGGGAGAGAAAGAGAAAGAGGCAGAGACAAAAAAAAAAGAGGGGAAAGTTTTCATTACCTGACACTTGCAGCACTTCCCCTTCCACGCCATTCTCGATTTTTGTATTTCCCAGACCAGAAAAAAAGCTTTGCCCTATTAGCTGAGGCACTGGACAAACGAGCGACGTTCAGAGTCTAATACCTGCTGTGCTTCCCACAGCTCCTTCTCATGACCTTTCACAGCACAGATCTCGGCCAAAATGATTGCAGGGAGAGTACACAGACTGGCTGGGTCAGTTGTCATGGTGATCATTCTCACCCTTTCTCTCTCACACACACACGCTCACTCTCCCTCCCGCCCTCCCTTCACACACACACACGCACAGTGTGTCACAATTCTGGAAGACATCCATGAAACAGCATGCCTTTTCATCCAGGTTTTTTTTTCCCCTACCCCTCGAGCATTTTGCCCCTCCTCCTCAACCGCCACCGTTGCTCTCACCAAGCCAGCCCCCAGACGCTTCAAATTGATTATTGCTGCTTCAAAAAAGATAATGCCTTTTCAAGTTAGTGACGTCGAGTTTAAGGTACTTTCCACTCAGCTAAGGGTTGCAGAGACAGGTTGGGTTGCAAAATCTTTCTGCAATAATAAATAAAAACACCAGAGAGGCCTGCCACTGCCTGAGCTGGGAGGGGGGTGTATGAGAGGAAAAGGTGGGAGGGTGTCATTTGACATTACAGATTTGATGTCTCTAGCTCCGACATCAAACTGAAATACAATAGGAAGGATTACAGAGCTGGAAAATCACTCTTCAGACAGCTAAATGGCTTACCTTGTTGCTCAACCCAGCACTTTGTGAAAATACTTAATTTTTGTAGATATTCATTGTCGCCAAGCAGGGCATCCTGTAGTCTTTCATCCTTCTGTAGTTAAGAAGAAAAATATAGATGTGGGTTAGGAATGAAACAGGATTGTGAAATGAGAAAGAGAGATTGCCATTTCTCCCAAAAGTTTCCTTGCTTCCAGGGCATACCACTCATTGCGGTAGAAATGCTACCCACATTCCACACAAGTTAACCATCTATTCGCCTTGCCAGTACCTGGTTATGTTGTCAACAAAATTAGTGTGACTTGGGTATGCATGACAAGGCAGAAAGCTGATGTCTTTTGCCACTGGGAAATAGTTCTTTAGAAACAAGCGGAAGTTCTTTTTGATACTTTTTGCTACAGCTTCTGAGTGAATCTCCTATTTCTTCCAACCTTTCCATCTTTCTTACTGTTTGTGCTTTAAATGTGCTTTAAAAGTATGGAGTCTTTTCATCTTGTTTACTGTTTGCTTCACACAATGTTATTATTAATAATGAAATTTAAATAAATTTGCACTGCACAACTAATTTCACAACAGAGAAGAACACAACACACATAAAATCAGATGCAAACTGTGCAACTGTATGCTTCAGTGCTTAAAAATGAATAAAATCAGCAGATTTTTCTAAAATAATAATAATGCCAGTTTCAAAGTTACGGAGATTAAATAGAAAATTCTAATTAAGAATACGTAAGTGTGACGAACGCCAGAATCCACAGAATTATTTTCTAGATCAGCCACAAATCTAAATTCATTTACCTTTATCACAGTTCTGTGTGAGAACTATCTTAACGTAAAAAAAGACTGGTTGATGCTTTGTAGACTATAAAATAATTTTCTATGTAAACTTTTTCCCATTTCAAAACATTTTAAAGTGATGCCCACTTTAATGTCTAGCAGTTAGGCACCATGGCAACGCTGGATAAAATACTTGGAAGAAAATAATATTGTTTCTCTTTTTAAGCTTATTGCTATGGAAACAAAAAGGACCCTTTTTAAATCTCATTGAACTCAATGAGAACTTTGACAGGAATTTAAATGGGAGCAAAAGCAAGCCCAAGCCTTTTAAACTTCAAGATAGGGCCTTGGAGACTTCCTTCTTTGGAAAGTTAATTGAAGACAGTCAGTGAAGATTTTAAAAGCTCCATATAAAGTCTCAGAAAATCTGAACAGTTCCCGTTTCTCCTATGTGAGCAACATATGCAACGCTCCCCCTAGTGGGAAACCAAGTCCTTTAAAAATATCTATTCTTACAGAAGTCCACGGCTTTCATACACTACCCAGCATGTTTTTTTAAATGCAGAATATTACAACTTCTGTAGAACCTTTCTTATCGGTTTCTGTTTAATCTGCATCTTTTCTAGGGAAAGACTGCAATCTAATTTAGGGAGAGGGTTTGGCTCAGGGGTAGAGAATCTGCTTTGCTTGCATAAAGTCCCAGATTCACTCCCTGTCATCTCCAGGTAAAACTGAGAATGACTCCCTGGCGTGCCACTGCCAGTCAGAATAGACAGTATTAAGGTAGATGAACCAATGGTCTGACTCTCTATAAGGCACCTGGCTGTGTTTCTGTGGCTCAGAACTTAATCTCATGCCATGACACGACAAATGGAACTAAAACATTGCTTCTTCATATATTGCTCAGAAATCTGGATTTTCAAATACTTCCATTAATAACGTAGCATAGAATAACCCAAACCTCAATACACTTCTAAAGCCAGGCAAGTCACAGCCAAAGGGTTGCATCAGGATCACAAGTGCCGGCCAGGGAATGAGATTATTCCAAGAACATAAAAAGATGCCAGCAGGATTGGGCCAAAGGCCCGTTTAATCCAGCACTCACAGTGTCCACCCAGATGCCCATGAGAAGCCTGGAAGCAGGAACATATCCTCCAACACACTCCAAAGAAAAACCGGGGTGTGCGTCTTTCAGGGCTGCGGTCCACTATGAGTCACATCACTCGCACGAGAGCACAACCCCAAAAAGTGTGCATCTTTCGGGGCCACAATCTCCCAGGAGCCAGGTGATATATATTGATTTTTATGTATTAATAACTGTGTATTAACGTAACATTTTAATGTGTAACTCTGTATTTTTGTGATGTTTTATTTAAGTTGACAGTTGTTGCTTAATTTTGTGTTACTTTTATTGTTGTTAGCCGCTCTGAGCATGGCTTTGGCTGGGGAGGGACGGATATAAATAAATTATTATTATTATTATTATTATTATTATTATTATTATTATTATATTAAGCGGCATAGAAATTGAATAACCATCTGGCGCAGACATGCACACTCCAGTCACCTCCAAGAAAAGGAACTGCCATGCTGATCCTGGCCACCAGATCAACCTGCTTGTGAGCATCAAACAGCAGGACATGGGAAGGCAATGCTTAGAGCAGGAGTGCTAAACCTTTGGGCTTACTAATGTTGTTAGACTACAGCACCCATCATCCCTGAGCATTGGCCAGGTTGGCTGGGAGAGGTAGTCCAGAATATCTGGAGGGAACCACATTAGTGGAGACTGATGCAGAGAAAGAACAGTGGACTGAACAGTAGTGGATTAGGAGTAAGAGAGATATTTAAGTGTACAGTGTTACCTCAGGTTAAGAACTTAATTCGTTCTGGAGGTCCGTTCTTAACCTGAAACTGTTCTTAACCTGAGGTACCACTTTTGCTAATAGGGCCTCCCGCTGCCGCCGCACGTTTTCTGTTCTCATCCTGAGGTAAAGTTCTTAACCCGAGGTACTATTTCTGGGTTAGCAGAGTCTGTAACCTGAAGTGTCTGTAACCCGAGGTACCACTGTAGTAGGTTGTAGGAATGCATTCCAGACAGGTGACAGATAACAAATTAGTGCTTGCCTCGCTCACAAATAAGCAAAAGCTTTTGCACTGAGAAATTTCTTTACAAAATAGACTATTTCCCATGATTGTCTCCTCCAGATACACCATGGAAATGGTACAGGCTGCCAGGTTGGATGTCCAATAAGATATCATCCTGTTTATTTACACAGGATGATCTTACATGGTAGCACTGCAGTCACTTTGAACTGAAAATGCAATGCAGACCTATGGCATTTTTTTGCGGCCCCTTTTGATATTATGTTCTAAATGTTCTAAATGTGAGCTAGGAACTTTACAGAACCTGTGGTGACTGAGCAGATCATTATCTTCAAAAGCTCATTAGGCAGCAGGCAGTAAAAGGAAAATGTCAGGCCGCTTTTTCTCTGAAAAACCATCTCTTTTCTGCAGGGTATCTCAAGTTCTTAAGATTCTTTTATTCTGCACAAGCCTCGAGCTGCGTAGTCATGTATGTTATTGTGAACTGCAGGGATCTGACATAAATAACTCTGCAACCATGAATTCAAACAAAAGTTTCCCTTCAAATATGCAATAAGAATTACAATTCCCAAGTGAAATAGGAATCCCCATGGCAATAGGTTAATGAGACTATGGAAGCACTAAAACTAGAGATGGTTTTAAGGCCCAAACTGCACATGACATAAGCCATGTATTTAAACAAGTGTGCTTAATCTGGCCATTTTTCGTTTCGAGAAAAAAGGAGCCATGCGTCCCTGACATGGTCCCAATAATCTGAGTTGGGTTTTCTGCTGAAAACAACTCACTCCTGGCTTGTTCAACCCCAGAAGTACTGTTTACTGCAAACAGCACCTTCGGCCAATGGCATCCAAGCAGGGCATGATTTTTATGAGAAAACTGATGTTCTAGATTGGGGTCTTTTCTACAACAAAGTTTGAGATGAAGGAAGGAGGCGAAGTATATTTGCTACTGTTGTGCCTCTTGGATATAATCGTGACTTATTAATAGAAACGTTGCAGCTGCTTGAACAACTTTAGGCTGCCACTGTGGGAAATTTTGGAGTGAACATCCGGTGCTAGTTCAGTCTAGGACCAATAGAGAAAATGCTGCCTCCAGAAAAGGGGTTTATCCATTATATTAAGGATTAAAGTAACTGATGTTGCTGTCTCCCCATATACTCAATAGCTACAGCAACCTTCACCACCAACCTGGTGCCCTCCAGCTCCTTCAGCATGGCTCTGCTCCCCCTAGCTCCAGCAGCATATGGCTGGGGCTGATGGGGGTTGTAGACCAAGATATCTAGAGGGTACCAGGTTGGTGAAGGCTGAGCTGGAGTCTGAAAAGGAAGAAAATGCACATTTTCTCCTTCTGTTGTTTTCTGGAACATCATAGAGCAAAGAAGCTTAGTGAGTAGCAGGGATAGGTGATTGTGCTAAAGGTTAACTAAAAATTAGCCCAACTTTGTGCAGAACTGCAAGCAAATTCAAAACAACATTTATTCATGCAGTTCTACATCTAATTAGTATTGTGTTGTGTTTCATTTTTTTTATTCTCCATCCCTTCACTTCCTGCTTAGAGCTTATGACCAGGGATTTAACGATTACCGGTACCTGGCACAATTTAGTCTACTGTTGTGATACTTTAGAGATGGCCAAGAGCTAGATGTGCCAGAAATCTCAGACAAATCCTGTTCGGGCAGACATTTGCCCATAGGAAAGTTGAGAGGTGTTAAGGCCACTCACCTCACAAAGTACATTCAGATCAAGTCTGCTTAAATACAGTGAAGTCTGAGCTTGAAACGGTAGAGCTCGCACTGTAAATTATGCATTGTCTGTTGTCTGTGTATGCACATCATTGAAATTTCTCTCTCTCTCTCTAAGAGTAGCAAAGTATTTTGCACAAGAAGTATCCAACAATCTTGAATCACAGCTATTAACTATTAATCCAAATGGTTAAACATTGACCTAAAATACTGTGCAGTACAAATCTATGTATATATGTCCCATTAGTTTCAAAGGCACTTACTCCCAGGAAAGCACACATAGGATTACAGGCTTGCTAGCAGTGTGGATGAGTAATGCTACTAAACCAAGACATCGCTAATTTGGTAAAACCATTTTAGGAACAAGGATGAATTTTGCCAAAGCACTGTGAATGAAGCATTTGGAAATCAATCCATCACGACATTCTCCTGTGCAAAGCTCATTGAAATGGAGCCTGAATGGGAGATATTCACAGTGAGTTGTGGCTCTGACATCTTGATCTTAAAAGGCACTGAAAATAGCATAGCAGAACTACTCAAATCAATCAATCAATCAATCAATCAATCATTTTACACACAGAAATCATTTTCTAATCACAGTTCCAGACACTTCTCTACACTTCTCTAAAGGATATAGTGAATAGATAGGTCTTCCCCAAACTGCTCCCCTACAAATGTTTTGTGCTGTGCTATCTGGCGCTGATGGGAGTTGTATTCCAAAATATCTAAAAGGCACTAGGTTGGGGAAGGCTGGAGTAGATATTTACGAGGCTAAAATGAAGAAAAAAAAATCAGTGCCCAAGCTATATCATGCATACTATGCATGTTGCACAGGTAGTAGGGATTCGTGTGTGGTTCACGGACAAGAGTGGAAGGAACTCATGGGTTCCAATAAAGCATAGAGTAAGCCCTGCAGTCCCGCCCTATTGTCCACTAAAACACCAAAACACAAGACTAAAGCACCAAAACACAAGGAGGAGAGAATGGCTTTATTTGAGAACTTGCATACGCGGCAGTCTCTCATACCTTGAAATGAGTCACCTAATGCACCTGCCCAAAAGATTGACAGTGGCTGCTTGAACATGATATGTGGCACACTGCTGTATGTAGCTTTCATAAGTTTGTAACTACTGGATGCAAAACAATATCAAATTGAGGAAAAGATGTTATTTTTAATATTTGAAAAATCAGGAATCAGGTCCTGTCATTCCAATACTACACACATTGGGTGAGATCCAGTGTAGCATAAGCAGGTGTCCTTTCAGGCAGCAGGGCTTCTGCTTCCTCTTCTCTCCCTGCAGCCCACTGCACATCCCCAAAATCTGATCCAGAGTGTTATGTACTGAAGTTCTCACCCTGGGCCAGCAGGGGGAAACTGTAGTAGTTTTCACTCAGGTCCACATATGCAAATAAGGAATTGAAAGTGACTTTCAGTGATTGGATAGTTACAGAAAGTTGTTACTGTTGTGTTGTAGTGGAGCTCTATATAAGCAGGCTGGCTGAACCCTTAGGTTCTGTTCTGGCCTGGCCTGTGAATAAACAAGAGCTGTTTGAAGAATCGCTGTGTCGTCTGATATGTTCACCCACAACTTAACACAGAGAGTTGGGAGACCTTCCATAAAAATATGGGGGGGGGGGACATGGGGGATTCAAGGGGGGAGTAGAGAAACCTGAAGCAAGTGAGTAGACATTTTTGGATGTCACCTATTTGCATGTATGCGAGTCATATCAATTTCACTGGAATTCCCAGACAAGTGTGGTTAGCTAAGAACTAACAAAATAGACACATTAAGTGCCAATCCATTTCTATGCACAATTCATTGTGCCAGTCTAAACCATTAAAACCCTACACAGTTTGGGATCCAGGCTGCTGAATAATTGCCTCAACTCACAGAAACCCTTTCCATATGCCATTATCTTCACAGGTTAGATGGGTGGTGACCAGAGTAAAGGCCTTTTCAGTTGCAGCACCTCATCTATGGGACACTTCCTTGTGATTCCTTTTATTCATTTGAGCTTTTTAACTATCTTAACCCCATTTTAAGCTCTGCTAAAATGTTAAGCACTTCTATTGCTCTACTCCTTTGATTGTTACAAATTGTTTTACATTGTGCTTTGAGGTATCATTGATTTTATTGCCTCAGTGTAAGCCATCCTGGGGAGTGAAAACAGCAACAGGCCAGCTGCAAGTGATTTAAATATATAATTATCAAGGGTGGAGTCACATGAGAAATAGATGGACCATGTGCTAATTTCAGGCATCACTTGACTTTTCCAGACAAGAGCACAAGTAAAGCTGCCATTGAGAAGAGTAGTTGCTGTATCCTTTTGTTGTGGTAGCAAAAATGACACAAATATGCTTTGGAAACCAAATGGTGTGAAACAGCCATTATATCAAATGGGGTTTTCATGTCATCAGAAATTGCTTCAGACACAAGCTATTGCAGTGGAAGCTGATCATCTACATTTCACAGAGACCCAGTTTATATGTTGCTCGTGTGGCATACTCGAGATTCCTTCTGGCAGAATCCCATGCAACTCTAGTTGTTTTGGTTTTTTAGTTTTGTTTATACTTTTCAGATTTACACATTTCCTTAATTTTACAATAATTTTAACATTTCAAAACTTGACTTCCTTCCCCCTCTTTCTGTGGTTCCTTAAAGTTATCTTTTTTTAAATATCTTCTGTATATCCAAATTCATTTAATTTGCTAATTTGTTTATCTACTTTAAATATATACTCCTGTGAAACTGTAGGTTATTACAATAATCCATCCATGTAACTCTAGTTAACACATTTTAATATTTGCATCACATGGAAAAGACACAGCACATGAGAAATTGCCACATTAGAACTACCACCTCCCAGGAATGTGTAGCACAGATATGTGAAATGACATGGAAACCAGATTATTATTTTATTTAAACACTAATGGAACAGTGTGGGATCTAGCCAAGAGGAATGATATATACCATAAAGGTAAAGGGACCCCTGATCGTTAGGTCTGGTCGCGGACGACTCTGGGGTTGTGGCGCTCATCTCACTCTATAGGCCGAGGGAGCTGGCGTTTGTCCGCAGACAGCTTCCAGGTCATGTGGCCAGCATGACTGGCGAACCAGAGCAGTGCACGGAAACGCCATTTACCTTCCTGCCGGAGTGGTACCTATTTATCTATTTGCCCTTTGACGTGCTTTCAAACTGCTAGGTTGGGGAATGATATATATCAATACTTCCCTGTTAATGAAATGTTGATTGTGCTTTCGTAACTGAAAAAATCTTCAAAAATGTAGGTTTTCTCAAATATATGCACCAGTCTCCAGTCATATCATCAAGTGACCACACACTGTGTGTTATTCAACCCCAAGCAGTTTATTATGGCATAAACTTTATTTTGCAGCAACTCATTTCATCAGGTGAATGAAATAATTTTAAAAGTATAATGGAAGATGGCTAAGAGGTTATATACATTTTTGCATGACTGGTATCCTTTCATTGAGCATGGATAGCTCAGCTGGTTAGAGCATGGTGTTGATAACGTAAAGGTTTCAAGTGCGATCCCTCTATGGAACAGCTACATAATCCTACATTGCAGGGGGTTGGACTAGATGATCCTCAGAGTTCCTTCCAACTCTACAATTCTAGGATTCTATGTTCCATCTGCCATGAGCCCCCAGCCACTCAAGTTTTAAGAATTTTTAAGCTTCAGACATACACAAAAACTAATCCGATATCATGTATCTCAGGATCATTTCTATCACATGGAAAGAGTTGTCCTCACTCTCTCAACACATTCACAACTATACCGAATGCATCCATTTTACTTCTATCTGCTTAATGAATGATGTGCTTTAATGAGTAATAGTACATGCACTATGAAGCACAATGCATCTGTTAACAACAAAGTGTTCAATCTGGAGCACAAAGCAGATGACTCATGGGTTGTAAGTCTAGTCACTGAAAAATGTGGCAGAATTAAGTTGTTTGTAAAGGTCTGCCCATTCCCAGAAGATTTATATCTGCTTTCTAAATCATCTGTTCCTGCTAAAATAGTTTGCATGCACACTTGTGTGTGTGTATCTACCACCCATTAACACAAGCTATATTTTAATCCATTAACACAAATTCAAGATCTTTGTAAAGGATTGGGTGGTTGATTAAAATGTTTAAATTATTCTTTTTTCTTTATATTATTAAGCAAAATACCATAGTTAAAGAAACTTCCCCTAGTTTATAGCACTCTGAAACATACAAACCCTTTGAGCCATTAGCAAATCTAAGCTCTAGTCAGGAATGTATCTCAGAGGAGATCTTCCATCTAGGCTGTTCCAAAAATGCAGTGTGCCTGTGGTTTATTTTCTCCTGCATATTTAAAGGAGATTTTACTTTCATGATGCAGTCAAAGGAAATTTGGTTCCCAAAAAATCACTCAGACATCCAAATTCAATGCAACGACAATGATTCCAAGAAATGCAGTTTCAAAGCGTCAGGAAAGAGCGAGGGGAAATATACGGTACATTTCTCCAACCTTTCCTCAGGTATGGCAATGGGGCTTTTGCCCTGAGGTCAGCACTGATTCACATGTGTGTGTACAATACTTGATTACTCTACACTTGACTTCCCTTCACTTGTTCACAGAAGAGAAGGACTACCCAGCTAGTCCCAGCCCCCTCCCCCCATTACGTTGCCTGGCTCCACCTCCAGCATCAGGGTCAGCTCTAGATGTTCATGTGCTAGCATAGTCCTCTGTAGCACAGAAGTCTACACACAAGCAGCCCAATCTCATGGGAGCTTTCACATTAACCATTCAATAGACTTCTGCATATTACCAAAGTGCCAGGGCCAAGACAGCATGCTAAGAGTACAGCATGTACTGTTGTAATTGTGCGATGCCCCCTTCATGCAAGTAACATGGGAATGGGACTTAAAACGCTGGCAGCTGAACGAGTGAAGTGATTTAATTCAAAAGCACACCTTTAAAATTATGGGTGGGGATATGGAAATTCAGTATCATCACTTACTACAGTTATCAAGTGGTAGACAAGCACGTGTGACTTTGCCCTAAGATGTTCAGCATAGCATTGCTAAGATCCAGTCATAGAAAAATGTCTGAGAAGCCAAGGCCAAAGGTTTAAAACTGTACAGTGGTACCTCGGGTTATGTACTTAATTCGCTCCAGAGGTCCGTTCTTAACCTGAAACTGTTCTTAACCTGAAGTATCACTTTAGCTAATGGGGCCTCCTGCTGCCGCCACGCGATTTCTGTTCTCATCCTGAAGCAAAGTTCTTAACCCGAGGTACTATTTCTGGGTTAGCAGAGTCTGTAACCTGAAGCGTATGTAACCTGAGGTACCACTGTATTAGTTTTATACAGTGCTATTTTTCTAGAAAAAGAGGAGCCAGAACTCACTATGAACACCTCCCTTGTTCTCTTATAATGGCAATGGCGCCCACCTGAGAGATACTGGAACTGAGCTCTGGGGAGTTCCAGCTGGGGAAAAAGCCCTGGTTTTATAGCAATATCAGAGGACAAAACCGGTCCTTCCTGCTCTGCACAGTATCATTTGAAAAGAGCAAGAAGAGTCTCACCAGTGGACAAAGTTTCACAAATAACAACAGAAGCCAATGTGTAATAATACCAATTTTATACTTTTGTCCAATATTAGTTATTTATTTTCATGTTCACTGCATTCATTAAAGGATTAAAAAGGCCAACAGCAACACATTAAAATGGATGGTACATGACATGGTACATGACAATAATTATGGTTTTCCAGTTGCCTTGAGTAAAGTGGAGGCAACTTCACACAGAAAGCCCAGAGTTTCAGACAACAGGCTTGTCAAGTGTGGAACTCAGTCACACATCCATAAACACCTGCGTTCACATTTTGTGTTCACATGTTGCAGACTCCTGATTAATCCAGAATTGTGAGGCATGTGAGAATGGAATATTTAAAACATGCATGATATCCACATGTTTCCTTTCATGTGGGAAACACTAGTGAACACACAGCAATTGGATTGCCATGGAAAAGTGTGGAGTCACTTCCAGGAGAAGCAAGCATGGTCTTATACTGCAAGTCATGCTACGGTGTAATATCAATGTCCATAATGGAGCCCTGAGTTGCTGTTTTAATTTGATTCTACCTCTGTGGTGTTTGTTCAGCAATTGTTGAAGAGCATGTCTGTAGGCACCAACCGCTACATTCAGAATGAAATAAAAATTCCTTCTCCCTTCCATAAAATGTACTTCCCTCCCCCTCCCAGACAAATCCCATAAGGCATGTGCAATTCTTCCTGCTCGGAAATTCTCATCTGTTATTGAAATGAGTTCAGCGACAATCCAACTCTTGATGGTTTTGTTCCTGCTGCCAAGTGTCTGCAAGACACCCAACCTCAGACCTTGGGGGGGACATCCCAAGACACTTGTTTATTTACAGAATGGCTTGTTGGCAGTCTCACTCCCTCTCAGAAGGCCTCAGCTCAGCTCACATGAATAGGCAGAAGTCACCTTCAACATTTTCACATTTTCCCATGAAGTGGAGCGGGGAGGAATACAGTAAATCAATCATGTACTCTTTAAAAACAGGATCACAGTAATGGCACCTATTATATAGACTACGACAGGGATTATATTAAACTACTCTGCATGCCACAGGAAACTGTGAGACACATGCTGATTACAGTCGAAAAGGTCAGCAAAGCAGTACATGGCTATGGATCCCTCTGTACATGACAGGATCTCCCAACACATAGATCATAACTCTTGAGCTCCAGTCCTGCCATGAATAAGAGCACCCGACAAGAAGCTCCTTTTGAGATGCGATCTATTTCTTCTACTCATTGTAACTGTACTAAGAATTCGCAAAAGGCAGATGCAGTGCACGCACACACAACTATGAATACATTCCTTCTTGAACACATAGTTTCCTTTGATTGTTTCCTCCCTTAATTACACTTGCCTGCAATGAATTTTGTGCTCATTTGCACTGAGAGAACTTTGCAGTGGTCTGCACATTATTTGTCTGTGCCAAAGCAATTCTAAACATGATTGAGCACTCTTGGCATGAGCAGTGCAGACTACTGGAAACTGTAGCCTTAACAACTTCCCCAATTGCTATAGAGTACGTAATGAGGGTTCAGTGGACCTTAGCACTCCTCCTCTCTGGCCTCTAATTCTTTGCTGCTCAGGTCACAACACTCTCCCATAACTGGATTCCAGTTCTGGTCTCCATCAGCAGCCACAGTTAGTGTTGGAAGAGCAGTCATTAGTGAAACAGATCTGTCATGCCAACTTTGAGACATAAGCTTTCATCAGGATCTGAAAACAATCTGTTCATGGAGTACAGCATTCCCGCTTTCTGCATGCATAACATTCTTAAGAAGGCCTTAAGAGCCAACAAGCATGTGACTGACTTGTCAATGCAATTTGATGGTGACTTATGATAAACCAGTAGCACAATGAGCTCCCTATAACATTCAAACAGAATCAGACTTTCAGCTTTAAAAAATCCCAAGCCACTTATATTAACTACACGTCCCTTGGAGTAAGCACGTTTATTGATTTCGATTTCTTTCTCATTCTGTACCACCGAACTCAATAGGACTTACTTCTGAGTAGTGAAGTATAGGATAATGCTGAAATTTTGGCATGGCTCAGGACAGAGAGAGTTGTCCATACTCGTGCCTGGCTGACAACCACAATCACTTTCTTTAAGATCCCACTGTTCACTTCTAGACCAGCTATGCATTAATTTAGTGTTAAGATAGTGTTCTCCAGAGGCATTCTGTAGTACCCCTACAACTGTCTACACTTTCTGAATATACTTATGAATAAATAAACTGGCTGTATTTGCACCTTACAATCATTCAATTATGCAGCGCAAGATCCCAGTATCTCAAGGACTGCCTCTCCACACATGAAGCCACCAGAACCCTGCATTCACCATGTGGGGCCCTTTTCTGTGCATCCTCTCAAATGGAGGTGTGGAGGATGGTGATATGAAAACAGGCCTTCTCAGAGGTGGCTCCATTTCTAGACTGCTCTCCCCAAGGAGGCATGCCTGGTGCCATCATTATCTGTTTCTGGGTAACAGGAAAAATATTTTTATTCACCCGGGCCTTTGGAGCCTAACTCTTCATATTTTTATGAAGGTTGAGCTGGATTAGCTCTTTTATGCATATCACTGCATTTTATGTTGCTTCTACTCTTTTTTTATACCTGTTTTCAGTGTTTAAGTTGCTTGAGGATTTTTTTAAAGTGATTAAAAGTGATTAAAGTTACAGGGAACCAGGCAGAGGGCCTTCTCGGTAGTGGTGCCCTCCCTGTGGAACGCCATCCCACCAGATGTCAAAGAGAACAACAACTACCAGACTTTTAGAAGACATCTGAAGGCAGCCCTGTTTAGGGAAGCTTTTAATGTTTGATGTATTACAGTATTTTAATATTTTTTTGGAAGCCGCCCAGAGTGGCTGGGGAATAAGTTGTTATTATTATTATTATTATTATTATTATTATTATTAATAGTGAGGTATCCTGAACGTTCTCTGAGGGTTCCCCTTTAGGATATTCACTATGAATTAATGGAGTGTGGTGGGGAAGAGAGCCCATTTAACTTCAGCAAGGAGCCATGTTGCACGGAAAAGTTGGAAAGGATCACTTATAGCAGGATGGTATTTTAAAGTCTTTAAAGAGCTGGGCTCATGATTTCTCTAGAGGTTAAATTCCAGGAGGAGAAAATTCTCTTTGGACTCGGCAAGAGGGCTTGAAACTTCTTCAATTAACCTAAATCAGCAACAGATGGGGTGAACAGGAAGCGCGTCCCATTCCAACATAGAAGCTAACCATTTAACTGAGATAGTGTGGCACTCAGACATACTCCGTTCCCCTTTGAAAGGGGCTGAGGGCAACCCAGTTAACTTTATTAAGTGAATGTCAAAGCAGCCTTGGAGCACAGATTTGGGTTTAAAACAAAATTCAATTTTTTCAGTTACATTTTCTCAAAGAAATGACCACCAAATCAGGGACAGGAAACCTATGACCCTACCGGTGTCACTGGGCTACAACTCCCATTATCACTAACTGTTGGCCTTGCTGGTTGGAGCTAATGGGAGTTTGAATCCAACCATGTCTGGAGGGCCCTACGGGGTTCCCCACTATTGATCCAAATACTCATCACTGAGTAGAGCAAGGAAGGTGGCAAGGGTAAGATTGGCACAGTGAGACACAGCATGCCCAGACTAGTAAAACATAGGACTGGTTGGTTGACACATAGTAATGTTCTTCTCTGTAGTGTGTAGGACCCAACCTGCAATCACGTCCGTATTTAGCAAACCAGATGTTTTTAGCACCCTTCACATATTAATCACATGGCTAGGGTTCCATGCAATGATTGGGATTGTGGGATAAATTTGATTCAATTCACATTTAAAGGCAAGCATACTGAATTTGCACTTTCAAAATAACATGTGAACTGAAATACAGTCATCCTTCAATATTTGCACTTCTCCAAATTTTGCAGTGCAGTTGTCCAGCTGATTTGTGTGTACAAAAAATACATAGGCAAGGGTAAAGTGTGCATGACAATGCATATATTAGTGAAAGTAACATGCAGAAATCCATTATATTGTTATGAGCTGGGAGTGGGGGAGGATGAGGTTGCATGCCAAGATCCTTCTCATTACTGGATCCAGCAAGTGTTAAAACTTAAGCAAGGATTCAACTTCCCAGGATAGCTACCAATTAATTTGACAGCAACAGTTCAAAAATACAATGAGCAGAAAGACGGAAGGGAACAGAAAAAGAGTCTCTCCAAGGTTTGTTTTTTCAAGGGAACTCTGTTCCTGGTTAAGTGAAGAGCCATCTTCCCTTTCTACTTTCCTCCTTTGCCATCCCACCCTCTTAAGTTCTGCAAGGCGGTAGATGTGTCACTAGAAATCATTCACATGCTTAAATTGAAAGTGCTCCTTCACAGCAAAACTCTCAGCAATGTCACAGCCCACAGACTGCAACTGCATCATGGATACAGTGGCAAGTTCCAAATGAAATCCAGAATGGGATCTTAACGATTTCGCCCTCTGAGAAGCAGCTTTCTGGATAAATGGAGCATTAATCTGAAGTGTTTATCTCAGAATTGCAGTTTCATGTGCTTAAAGGAAGGATAATTATCCACAGCCTGGCAGTGTACCCTGGAAAATATTAACAGTGGAACAAATCTTCATTCTTATTTCACGTCACTAACTGCTACTAAGCATACGGCACAAAACTATCAGTAGGTCAGGTTTCTCAATGGCAAAAGCAGAAAGGCTAGCAAGATATGGCAACTAATTTTCCCCAGACTACTTTTATTGGCCTGTTTATTACCCACTTTCTCTCCCTCTCTCTCAGAAACATTTTGCGGTATACAGCATTTTTCCTCCTGGGAAAATGTTGTGCATTTATGAGTCCTGGGGTTTGGATTTCATTTTCCTGCATTAAAAGCAGCGGGCACAAAGACAGCACAGAATATATGCTACTATTATCTATATCTCATTTACCAAAAACCCATCATCATTTAGATGCTACCCCACATTTCCCTAATAACTTCACAAAGCTTGAACTCAGGGAAGGTAAAGAGCAGGTTAACAGGAGGAGGAAAAGGATTTATGTACACACGCACAGATGCAAACACGCTGCCACTTATTTCCTCCATATCCTAAACATTTGAGACAGGGGGGCTTGCCATTATAATTTACTTATTACCCCCCACGTGTTTTAATCTTGCAGCTTTTCTTCCAGAGATCCTTTTGCTTTCTCATTCCATTTCTGCTTCTGTTTTGTCTCCTTAAGATTTCTGTTGTACTCTGGACTGTTCTAAAATCTATATGATTTGTTTCATTAGATAAAATCACCTTCGGTGTCAGGGACAGTGAGGCAAAAGGTTTTATAAATAAAGTAAACTGAAGTAAGTTTTCATTACAAAAGAACAGTATAAAGTTACTGTCTGAAACCAATGTAATAAAACACACTGTCTGCCAACTCTACTGCTTTCTTGGTAAGCCACATGTCTAACTTACAAGAAGTGGTAGATGCAGTCAGCAGACTAGATTGATCTGACCTTAGTTGACCAAGAGCCAATATTGGAGCATTCAGATTTCCCGATTGCATTTTTCCACTTCCTATAGGAACCTATGGCTTCCTGGGTACATGATACAGCAGACAGATATGGTTTCTCTTTATAGGACTCAAGCATGAATAGAGTACTTTACCACTCAGATGTGGTTCCTTATCTGTAAGATAACAACATTACAGTGGTACCTCAGGTTAAGTACTTAATTCGTTCTGGAGGTCCGTTCTTAAGCTGAAACTGTTCTTAACCTGAAGCACCACTTTAGCTAATGGGGCCTCCCGCTGCTGCCACGCCGCCGGAGCACGATTTCTGTTCTCATCCTGAAGCAAAGTTCTTAACCTGAGGTACTATTTCTGGGTTAGCGGAGTCTGTAACCTGAAGTGTATGTAATCTGAAGCGTATGTAACCCGAGGTACCACTGTACATGGAACTTTGCATTTTAAGGCTGCAAGTCCTATAATCAATTGCCAGGTAATATGCCCTACTGACCTCAATGGGACTTATTTCTGAGTGGACACGTAAAGAATTGTGCTGAAGAAGCATGACTATCCTGACTTCATTGGAACTGAAGCACTTGCAGACGGGCACTTGGAGCAACTTATCTTCTCGGTTGAAAGGGTTGTGATTCAGTCCCAGCTATACACCACATTATTTATGGTATCAGAAGACAATATTCTTAGAATCTTAGATCATTATGTTTAAGCCATCCAGCACTCTTGAGTCCTGTCCTGTCGATCTAAAAAGGCCTGAAAGAATTCACCTCACCAGAATCACTTTAAACATGGCACACTTTCTCACACCATGCATAATTTCAATTCAGTTGTGAAGGCAAGCTCACACTGAGAACAGTGGTCTCATGAGGTCCAGGCTTTGGAGGCTACATTGGAGGTGGAGCGGGGGGGGGGATGATTGCCAGAGATAGTGGCGAATGATGGGGCCCAGCATCAACACCCAACATGGGAATACCAGGGCTGACACTGGTTGCCACAACTTGCCTTTTTTGAAATGGCTTTCACAGAGGTCAGGTGCACAGTGAAGTTCCAGCCATGCCTGCCATTTTCATTATCCCCGAAGTACTAGAACAGGGAACAGAGTGAGCAGTCAGGGCCACACTGGAGGGAGAAGAAGCAGTAAATAGTAACTGCCTGCCAGTTTCATGCCCATACATATTTTATTAAGCTGGAGCATTTGCCAAGTCTTATTTTTCATACATTATGTGGATTCAAAAATTGTCCATATTTCATACCTTGATAGTCTGTCTCAAACCGTTTTGTCTCTTGGGACTGGTGTGGCCAAGATGTATTAGTTTCTATGACCTCTATTACATTAGACAACAATATGAGTAGCACCATATGTAACCACTCCTTTTGACTTTCCGAATCCAAGAGTTCGTGAAATCATATAGAGTTCAGTGAAATGAGGCTCAAAACCCACAAATTTCAGGGATGAAGTCAAATGCCCAAACCATATGACCACTGTGATTGAAACGCTGGCACCAAATTGCAAGAATTTGTAACATCCATTGAAGCTATTTGACACAACTCCGTTTTCCTTTTTGAAAGAATTTCAATTACAGTATGATTTTCACTAAATAGGGAGTGTGGGGAAACTACAATAGAGACATACAGTCTGGTTCTATGATGTTTATTCAGATGTAAGCCACTTACAGTGGTACCTCTGGTTGTGAACGGGATCCGTTCTGAAGGCCCGTTCGCAACCTGAAAAGAACACAACCCATGTCTGCACACGCGTGGGTCATGATTCGTTGCTTCTGCACATGCACGTGACGTCATTTTGCACGTCTGCACATGCGCGAGCAGCAAAACCTGGAAGTAACCCGTTCCAGTACTTCTAGGTCGCCGTGGGACGCAACCTGAAAACACTCAACCTGGAGCAAACGTAACGTGAGATATGACTGTATTTCAATGGAACTTTGGACACTTCCAGACTGTCACTATTTTCAGTTAAATTCAGGTTGCACAATTAAAGTTCATTTGGAGCACTTGCACAACAAGCCCGCTTCCTCCAAAAATCAGGAGAATGATGGAGAAATGCACAAAGTGGTTTTAAAGGCAGTTTAGATAAATTCATAGAGGCTAAGTCATGATGGCTCCAGTGTCAGAGGCACTATGCCTCTGAATACCAGTTGCAGGTTTCCCATAGGCATCTGGTTGGCCATTGTGAGAACAGGATACAGGACCAGATGGGCCTTTGGCCTAATCCACCAGGGCAGTGGTTTTCAACCAGTGTGCCATGGCACTCTGGGGTGCCTTGAATGATGGTCAGGGGTGCTGCAGGCAACACTGGCCTCTGTCCCTCTTTCTTTCTCTGATGCCTTCTTGCATCTCTGCCTCCCAAAGGGTTGCACAGATGTTTAGTGCAACAGCCCTGGCTATAAGCTTCACTTCTCTTTGGGTTGAGGCAGCTCAGAGACCAGTGACAGCAGCAGCAGCAGCTACTCAAAGGACTCCCAAGGGGAGAGGAGAGGAGGCTGTGAGAACACTTCACAAGGGACTTCCGGGTTGGTGCGAACAGCTAATGGCGGATTCTCTCCGAGCTCCGGAGGGAATCGGCTCCGCTGGGGACGGGTCTTGCCGCGACGGCGACGCGGAGACCCTCAAAAACCGCAGGCGCGGATGCCTGCGGACCTGGTGACTCGGTGGGCACCTTAAGCGCCCCCGACCCACGAAGAGCCTTTTTAAAGGCTACGGAGAGGGTACGGAAGCGGCGTGGTGCTGGGAGTAGACCGCTACCCCAGCGGAGCGGAGCCGTGTGCCATGGCTGAAGAGCACAGACTCTTTTCCTTAAATTCGGAACTCGAAAAGAAGCAACCCGTGAGTAGATTGGAATTCGGACTTTAAAATATCTATCTGTGAATTTGATACGACCGGGGGATGTGTTAAAGGGAAGTCCGCACCCCCCCCTTCTGCAGACGATTTAAAGCAATAGCAGGAGAACTAAGTTGGAGAGTCTACCCCTTTGGGGTGAGTTAAAAAGACTTTAACTTTCACGATTTGATAAAAGAAGTTTTGAGCTGGAGTGTAAGAGTGGAATTTTAGAAGTTTTTCTCTTGTGGTGTGTAACCCCCCCCTTCCGGGCCCGGGAGCGTCCTGTCTTTGAGCCTGTTGAAGAGGAAAGGAGTTTGACAGCTGTTAAAGCTGTCAAACGGGCAATTTAAAGTAAAAAGCGTGTTATTTAAGATCTCCCTGGACTAAATGTGATACAATTGAATTAAAGTGGTTCGAAACAAAGAAACAAAGAACGAGGCAAAGGACTGTTGGGAAAAGATTACTAAGTAACCAGATTCCCTCTAGGGAATTCTGAGACATTACAATGGCTGCGGATGGAAATTTACTAGCTGAAATAGAAAGAATGTGTTACTTTGTGGGAACTTTACAAGAGCAGAGTCTGGCTATGAATAAACAACTTACGACCTTGACTTCTGGAATAAGCAACTCTGCTGAATATATTGAGGATCTGAATGAGAAAAAATCTGCAGCTGAACCGGAACAGATATCTCAAGAATTGAAGGAGACTAAACAAGGAAAGGAGAAAGCACAGATGGAAAGTACCAACCAGAAGCCTACACATGTGGATTATAAACAAGAAGATCCTTGGATTACATGGATTACAAATCTGCAAAAGATGCGAAAGATGAAGGAGGAGGCCCCTGGAGTACTTGGAATTCAAGAACTTAAAAGAAAGAAGAAATATGATGGGGGCCTCCATTCTGAATATGAAGGACTGGTGGAACTTTTGCAGCAGTTGTCTCCAAGTTTTCTTGTGGGAAGAAAATCTGGCTTGACTGGGACAGAACTCCTTCGAGATCCGAAGACCAACATAAAGGACTACCAACAAAACCGGCGGAGAGGGACTGAAAGAGACTTGAAGGCCTCGGATGTGAGAAATCCAGGCTAAGAACTGTTATTGTAGAAATGTACTTGGGAAGGGACGAACCGGGGATGGGAGGGGGGGGAAATAGAATTTTAAAAACACTTACGACTTTTGGGTCTAGTCAATATGATTGATGCTTAATAAAAAATGGGAAATCGATGGAAGGGAATCTGAGCCCAACTTAGGATAGAATTTAATCTTCTACAAAAGATGTAATATTAACAGGGTAAGGAGGTAAAATAATAACTTGCTGACATAATTATGGGAATTGGGATGTATGAAGGGGGGGTGTGGGGAAGTCAAGGACAAAAGTAAACAAAGCAAGAATTTTGAAATTATACATGTTTTTTGTCTTTGTCTTTTACGTGTGTGTTATGTCTTTATAAAATGTGAAAAACCAATTAAAAAATTATAATAAAAAAAAAAAAGAGAACACTTCACAAGGGAGGGTGTTCGAAAAAGGGGGAGAGGCTGCCAGCGCTGCAGGCAAGGGATGACATTACTGGACTCCTAAGCCCCACAGGAGTGCCGCAGAAAGAATGTAGTTGGTCTAGGGAACCATGGACTCAAAAAGGTTGAAAACATCTGCACTAGGGCTATTCTTATTAATGGCCTCTGGCTGGTGATACATTTTCACTGTGGTTCTCAGCTTGGAATGAATCATCTACTCATAGATTACTTTTTTCAGATGTTGTGAAAGAGCTTCACAGCAACATTAAACATACACTGCATGTGACCTTTAAAAGTTCTTATAAGACTCCTATTTATGTATGTCTTATTTATTTGAAACTTTTATAAACCACTTTCTAAACAAAAAATATTCACAAAGTGATAACAGTTAACAAACACTATCAACTATTACAGTGTCAACCAGTACTACAATATATGTTTAAAACAACCACAGTTTGTAATGCTTTCTAAAAAAACTAGCACAAAAACAACAACCAGCCCTAAACCAATTGTAAATAAATCACACCACCATTTCTGAGGCCCAGTTTACATCAGCTACTAAAAGATGTGGGTCTTCAAGGCCCAGCTGAAACTTTCAAGGGATTATTTTGATTTACTTTGGATCAATCCTTCATAACAAAATCTACAAGATGACACTTGAGGCTCAAGCAGGTAACTTGAGTAAACCTCAGAACACTTTAACAGGATATTAAGTATTCTGGAAATAAATTTTCCTTGACAGAAAGTTTTTAAAAGTGCAGAGGTGGTGCTTTTGTTTTTGTTTTTGAAAAGGTGTTTAATGTCACTGAGCATAACAAAGGAACTGCTGAATGGGAGACTGAGCAGGCAACTGGGCTACCATCATTATTCTACAGTAGCTGCACAGTACAAATCACATTCCCTTCATGGTGGTCTCTACCCTGATAACCCAGATGCCCCCAGCTGCATACAGAGCTTGTCAGCAAGTAATGACAGCCATCCTGCAGAAGAAACCGAAATGTTCAAGAGGAAGAGGCCCACATTTCACATATAAGACCTGCTGGCTGAAGAATGTAAGGTGGGCCACTGGTTTGACTCTTTCTCATTTGTATACAAACAGGCAGGGCTCAGCCACAGAATCCATTCTCATTCTAAAGTGAAGAGCCCAGGAATAGGTGAGGTAATAAAACAGGAAAGTGCCTCTGAGCATGTGCAGAGCACCTTTTTTCCTAAACAACCATCACCAGTTTCTACATATTTAAGGGTAAGGAAATAAAGACTGTGATGTAGATGGCACGTCTCTCAGGCACGCTTGAGCCGTGGCACACCTCTTTGTAGAAAGGAAGAAATGCACATCGCAGTCTTCATTATCTCAACCTGAGCAGGCGTATCTACTAAGACTGATTCAAGAAGTCAGTGGTAGTTGAATGTGGTGATACTGCAAAGCCATCACATTCTTAACTTACCATGCACAGGCATCTCCCTGCCCCCCACATGCATACATTTGAATTGCTATAAAAGTATATCCTCACACAGCTCTCTGTAGTTCCGCCACCTACATCCCAACTTATTTACAAGTTCAGCCAAACATGGCTCTGTATATAGAATGTTTCCATACTGGTAGAAGAATGCAGAGCATTAGCTGGAAAGTGAGTATCAGGCTAGACAGTGCTGCGTGCCAGATGCAGGGAATCTGCCAAAGAATAGCAGAAAATGCTTATAAATCTGGCATGATTTAAAATGAACCCACCAACCACCTCTACTACTCACACAGAGAAAGAAATCCTGAAACGCACACATCCAGCATTAGAAACATATATATATAACATATCACCAAATGGCACCTTAAACCTAGGTTATGGTAACCACAACAGAATGTCTATGTGCTATTCCCACCCCTCAGTGAGATTTGTTGTTGTTAATTTCATTTCTATACCGCTTTATATTTTAAACACATTATATTTACAACACATTAAAACAACAAACCAGCCAATCCAGAATAAAACAAATTCAAGCTTCAAGGAAAATATTTCAGATCCTTCTCTGAGTGTCATTTTGTTTTCCCCATATTTATTTACCTACTTAATTTATATAGCTGACCCTTAGCAGAAGTACTCTAGGAAGCCAGTCTGGTGTAGTGGTTAGAGTGTCAGTCTAAGACCTGGGAGTTCAGAGTTCAAATCCTCACTCAGTCATGAAGCTCACTGGGTGACCTTGGGCCAGTCACAGCCCCTTAACCAACTCACAGGGTTGTTTTATGGATTAATTGAGGAGGGGGGTGAACCATGTACTCCTTGGAGAAAAAGGTGGGATAGAAATGCAATAAATAGGGGTGCAGGTGGCACTGTGGGTTAAACCACAGAGCCTAGGACTTGCCGATCGAGAAGGTTGGCGGTTCGAATCCCCGCAACGTGGTGAGCTCCCGTTGCTCGGTCCCTGCTCCTGCCAACCTAGCAGTTCAAAAGCACGTCAAAGTGAAAGTAGATAAATAGGTACCACTCCAGCAGGAAGGTAAATGGTGTTTCCGTGCGCTGCTCTGGTTCGCCAAAAGCGGCTTAATCATGCTGGCCATATGACGTGGAAGCTGTACACTGGCTCCCTCGGCCAATAAAGCGAGATGAGCGCCGCAACCCCAGAGTCAGTCATGACTGGACCTAATGGTCAGGGGTCCTTTTACCTTTACCTGCTTACCTGCTTAAGAAAGCTGGAGGGGGGCCAAACAGCTGGAGTGTTAGGATATTTCCGTTCCACCTTAAAAGGGAGCAGGCTTTGTGAGTCAGAGTCTGCGTATTTCCTGTTCACAGGATGTTTATGTTTTCTGTTGCTTTCGTTTTCTCTCTGTGTCGTAGACACTAAAGCAGTCAGTCATGTTTTCCTGTGTTCTGATCAACACTGAATAAACTTGTAAATAATGCTCTCCTGAGCGCAACTTTTGGCTGTGCATTATCTGCTGATACAGTGTGCATGAGCTCTGGAATGTGGCAAGAAATCTTCTAGAAACTCATGTCGCTAATTGTTGATACTGCGTGACTACGGGCGGTCGATGGATCGTCCGGCAGCCGGCTTGGGGGCCATGATGGACTTTATCTCCCTGGCAGTATCCCAACAACAGGTTATGGGCCCAGATTCACAGCACTTACAGGAGAGTAAGACTGCGACAGACTGCTGAAAGGTATGTGGAAGAAAAGCGAAAGTGAGGCTTTTCTGTTTGCCGCGGCAAGGGCCTTTGAACTCCGGCAGATTAATGGATCTGGGAGCCGCGCCAAAGGCGTCGTGATTAATGGGAGCCGAGATAAGGGGTCTTTGAAGTGAATAAGACTCATGGCTCAAATAGAAACCTGGAATGGAGTTTTTCCAAGCTTCTGAGGCTGCTGAGTGCCCAAAGCTAAATCGGCACAATTATGGGACCTGGGCTGTGTGGTGTGAGAGCTTGCTTCGACAGTTTGGAGTGTGGCATACTGTGTGTGAGGCCCCTCCAGTTCCTCTGACAGATAGATGGAAGGCCGAAAATTCGAAGGCGATAGACGTAATAGTCTTGTCCGTCTCTCTGGAGGAAATAAAAACGCTTGCTGGCAACGCCACTGCACGTAAGATGTGGCATGCTTTGAAGATAGCCCATTTGCCAGTCATCCCAGCCCAGAGTTTGACTGCATCGGAGGTCCTGGCTGTTTCCCAGAATGCGAGTGAATGCAGGGATGCTGAGGGCACCGGTTGCAAGCTGCAGGGGAGCTGACTGTCACGTCATCCCAGGCAGCATTCCAGCCTCCAGGGGGAGCCAAGGAGTCGGCAGCTGAGAGCTCTGTTTCTCATGGGAACCAAGGTCATCGCCTTTGCAGAGGCCGGAAGGGCAAAGGTAAACAGAGGCAGACGCTTGCAGATGGCCAGAAGCAGAGGGAGGGTGAAGAGCCCACGCCAGAGAAAAACAAAGCTTCACCAAAGGCTAAAGGCAAGTCTGATGGCCAGGAGCAGGGGGCAAGCTGCAAAGCCCACGCCAGTGAAAACAAGGTTTTGTTTGCTGGCACAGCTTCACCAAAGGCTAAAGGCAAATCTGATGGCCAGGAGCAGGGGGGCAAGCTGCAAAAGCCCACGCCGGTGGAAAACAAGGTTTTGTTTACTGGCACAGCTTCACCAAAGGCTAAACGCAAGTCTGATGGCCAGGAGCAGGGGGGCAAGCTGCAAAAGCCCACGCCGGTGGAAAACAAGGTTTTGCTTGCTGCAAAGGCTGCTCCAAAGGCCAAGGCCAGGTTTGTTGTTGATTCAGGCTGTACCCGCCATGTCTCAAAGGACCGCCACCTATTTATCTCCTTCAAACCTCAAGAAGGTGAGATCCACCTGGCTGGTGGAAAGACGTTGCGAATTGCAGGAGAAGGGACTGTGAAACTGGCAAGTCTGCACACGACCATCAAAGATGTACTATATGTTCCAGGTGCTGCAGACAATTTGCTCAGTGTCCCACAGCTGACTGGGCATGGTTTTGAGATTTTCTTCAAGAGGAGCGTCTGTGTCATCAGAAAAGGCAAAGAGGACATTTTGCATGCAAAGTTTATAGATGGCTTGTTCTGTATAACTTATGACGACAGTGCTGCTGTTGTGTCTAATGTTGATTCTTGTTGTGTTGCACAAACTAACAAAGTTCTTCATGCAGGATGCATTCACGATGCACACAGACGGTTTTGCCACCTCTCTTGGAAGGCACTGGCCAAGATGCCAGAGATGGTTGAGGGTTTGAACATCAAACCCTGTAAGTTTCACATGAAATGTGTATCTTGTGCAGAGAACAAGGTGAAGGTTGCTCCAAAAGGCAAGGAGTCTAGCAGGCAGGCTTCCAAACCCTACCAGCTAGTGCACGCAGACCTGGTTGGTCCACTTGCGCCCTCTTTGGGTGGAGCAAGGTACTTCATGGTTCTAATTGATTCTTTTTCCAGGTACATTCATGTGTTTATGCTCGAGCAGAAATCGCAAGCATTTCCTAAGTTCAAGGCATTCTGTGCTTGGTTGGAGAATGTTCACGGTAAACGTATTGGCTGTCTGTTTACTGATCGAGGCGGGAGTTCACTTCTCAGCAGTTTGAAGCTTTCCTGACTGAGAAGGGAATCCAGCATGACTTGTCAACGCCTAGATCGCCATGGATGAATGGGCTTGCGGAGCGAGCAAATCAAACGTTGCTGCAAGGAATGAAAACATTGTTGCATGATGCCAATCTCCTGATAAGTATTGGGGGGAGGCTCTGTCGAATTTTGCTTACACTTATAATCGCAGATTGTCATCACCTATTGGTTGTACTCCCTATGAGAAGATGTTTGGTAAGAAACCCAACATCAAGCACATGAGAATCTTTGGTTCTGACATGTGGGTACACACCCCACAGAGCAACAAGCTTGGGAAGCGTGGGGCACATGGTTTGTTCATGGGGTACGAAAAGGTGCATACAGGGTGTGGATGACTGACTCTAAGTCCATTAAGTTCACAAAGAGTGTTGAGTACAATCCTAAGTGGGGGGAAAATGTGGGAATTTTCCAGAGTTACCCAGAGGAGGATGAAGGTGATGTCAAAGAAGCAGCTAAGGCTGAGGAAGCTGCTGAGGATGATGATGACGATGATGATCAGAGTTCGGATTCCAGTTCAGTGGGCGGCGCTGCTGCTGGTGTCAGTGACAGTGATGACACAGCAGACTACAAGAGCGCAAAGGCCTCAGTCAGACCATCTGATGCGTCTGACAATGAACTGGAAGAACCACTGTTCACCATTGGTCACTTTTCTCCTAAGAAGGAGGAGATGAGTCCAGAAGACTTGCGTCTAGTACGCAGATCTGAAAAGAGCCACAAAGGGCAGACCTCCAAAGAGATTTGCTGATGAGTTTGCTAAGACAGCAACTGCTGTTCTTAGTAGCTCAGAGAAGGTATGGGAACCTTCAAGCTTCAAAGAGGTTCAGGAGTTAACCTCTAAAGATGCTGAGCCTTGGCTTAATGCCATGAAGGCTGAAGTTGATTCCTTGAATAGGAACCAAACTTGGGAACTGGTACCGGTAGTCCCAGGGATGAGACTGGTTGGCAGCAAATGGGTCTTCAAGGCCAAGACAGACCAGAATGGCAAGGTTGTCAGACACAAAGCCAGATTGGTTGCCAGAGGTTTTTCACAGGTACCAGGACAGGATTACCACGAGACCTACTCACCCACCGTCAAATATGAGAGCATTCGGCTGATGCTCAAGATAGCTGCAGAGGAGAAACTGCATGTTTCCCATCATGACATTTATACAGCTTTTTTGTACGGGGTTTTGGGGGAGGAGCTGTTTATGCTTCCACCTGATGGAATGCAGATACAGAAGGGAATGGTCTGTAAACTGCGGAAATCCTTATATGGTCTCAAGCAGAGTGCCAGGTGTTGGAACACGAAACTCACTGAGACGTTGCTTTCTCTAGGTTTTCACCAGGGCAAAGCTGATCCATGTGTGTTTGTCAAGGAGGAGGGGCAAAACAAACTGTATTGTTTATGTTTTGTTGATGATCTTCTGATGTTTTGGAAGAATCAGGCTTTTACCAAAGCACCCTAGCTCAGCTGAAGGAGCACTTTGACATGAAGGATCTTGGTGAGGTATCCAACTATCTTTCTCTGCAGGTGGAGAGGGACCAAGCAGGTAATTTTCTGGTACACCAAACACAGAAAATTGCTGATGTATTAACCAGGTTGAATTTGGTTGATGCAAACCCAGCAGACACACCAATGGTGACAGGTTACCAGGTAGACAGTACTGCTGAAGCGTTTTCTGATACAACGCTGTACAGATGCATTCTAGGCAAGTTGAATTTCATTGCTAGATGCTCAAGACCTGACATAGCTGTAAGCTGTAACCTGCTTAGCAGACATGCTAACAATCCTACTGTTCAGGATTGTAAAGCTCTGAAGCGCATAGCCCGCTATTTGAAAGGGACTTTGCACTACAGGCTGAGGTTCACCAGTCAGAAGACTGGAGGTCTTGAAATCTTTGCAGATGCAAGTTTTGGAAGTGACACCACGGATGGTACAAGCACTTCTGGAGTATGCTACATGTACAACCACTGCCTGTTTGACTGGTTGTGAAAAAAGCAGACGACAGTGAGCCTAAGTTCCTGTGAAGCAGAACTCAATGCTCTGTCATTTTCACTCATGGATTGTGAATGGTTGATGCAACTGTTTAAGGACATCGGAGTTTCTGTGAAATGTCCTGTACAAGTGTATCAAGACAATAGATCGTGTTTGGCTTTGCTGAACTCGGAGAGTTGCAAGCAAAGGACCAAGTACTTGCAGATTAAGCTACATCGTGCAAGAGAGTGTATTCAGAAAGGACTCATTCAGGTGTCCTACATGGCAGGAAATGAAATTCCTGCTGATCTGTTGTCTAAGGTTGTTAACAGAGAACAACTTAAGGTTTACGTACAAAGGTTGCAATTGGGTTGAACCACAGGTACTACAGGTTACACGGAAAGGGGAGGATGTTAGGATATTTCCGTTCCACCTTAAAAGGGAGCAGGCTTTGTGAGTCAGAGTCTGCGTATTTCCTGTTCGCAGGATGTTTATGTTTTCTGTTGCTTTCGTTTTCTCTCTGTGTCGTAGACACTAAAGCAGTCAGTCATGTTTTTCTGTGTTCTGATCAACGCTGAATAAACTTGTAAATAATGCTCTCCTGAGCGCAACTTTTGGCTGTGCATTATCTGCTGATACAGTGTGCATGAGCTCTGGAATGTGGCAAGAAATCTTCTAGAAACTCATGTCGCTAATTGTTGATACTGCGTGACTACGGGCGGTCGATGGATCGTCCGGCAGCCGGCTTGGGGGCCATGATGGACTTTATCTCCCTGGCAGTATCCCAACATGGAGATGTAAGTCGCCAGCTTGACATCCACATGGTCACAACTGGACCTGCGCCAGTTGCAAAATGTGCCTGGCGCCTGCAGAATTTTGAACACCGAATACATCAGTCTGTCCAGCAATGAGTATCAAAGCAAATGTATTCTCTATCCCCTACCCTAGCCACCTAAAGCTGTGTACACACCATACACCTGAAGCACATTTGAAGCGCATGGAGTCCCTCACAAGAATCCTAGGAACAGTAGTTGCCCTCTCAAAAGACTACGATCCCTAGCATCCTTAGCTACTGTTCCTAGGATTCTTTGCTTGGAGGGGTGGCTTTAAAGTGGTATATTTGTGTGTAAATGCTGGTAAGCTCAGGTGAATTTTGTGACTGTCTGAAAATAGAAACCTGGCCTTGCACTGCATTTTGGACATACCAACGGAAGGCTGAAAAATCACATTTAGATAGCTATATGTGAGGTCTGCCACAAAATGTTGCAGCGTGGTAAACACATACCTACTACAGATACTATTACTTGAACAGGCACACATCTGTAGCAGGTTATGCCTACCCTCTGTATGCATTCAGGACATATATAATGCCATGATCCCCCTTTTCCTCTCTGACAGCTCCTCCAACCACTTAGCCGATACTGTATCTATTTTAGCATTACTCTCATTAATTCTATTATTAACTTCAGAAATATGATTTCTGGTATAAACATTTATCTGTGTTTTCTTTTGCGCTGTTCCATTAATCTGATTTTTAGCCCCTGCCAGACTCAGTAAAACGTGCAGAGATGCAATGAGCTTAGTTCAGTACATAAGGAAGTCATCTTTAAAACCAGTCTCTCTGGGGATCTCTTTTGGATATGATGTCATTTTTCTTTCCCCTCCCCATTACAAATATAGCACTGATCTCCTCTGTGCTGCTTCTGGACTTGCTGTGTTGGATACAGCCTACTATTAGATTTCTGAAAACCTCTTATCATTTAATTTTGGAGACTCTCTTAATTTCACATTCCTATCCCCCACCCAGTCATTTCTTGCTACCTAACTCCTTCTAATTCTGGAAGTCAGTTAGCATTGTGGAAACTTACTGGCCAATAATTATTAGATTTATTACTTCATCTCTTCTGCAGAGTAGGATTTAACACTCAATTTCCAATTAATAATAACAGAAATAGCAACACTTGATTTCCAATTGGCAATTTACCCTACAGCTATCAAATTGGGTTTAGAACATCTGAAGAATGGCTTGTGATGCTAACCTTTAACTTTGAGAAGCAATGGTAAAACATACTTGCTTGCCTGGTATTCCTAGGATCTTAGTATTAAGGGTAGCCAGCATAGCATCTTCCAGAGGTTGTTGGGCTCCAACTCCCATCAGCCTCAACTGGCATTCCCCAAAGTAAGGGATTATGGAGTCATAGTCTGACAGCATCCAGATGACACCACATTGACTCTATGGAACAGGAGTGGACAAAGACTCTCTCTCTGTAAGGGTGATCTGCAGCTATGAGATCAACTTTGCACTTTTTGGATTTATTCAGCAAACTCAGGGCCACAGGTTCCACATTTCGCACATGGAAGGGGCTTCCAAGTAACACATGTAAATTATGTCAGGCATACAAGGATTTAGCTGTCTCTGTATGCAACTGGGAGCCATGTATATGCAGCAAACAAATCACATGTCGTTCACCATATGATCTGCACAAAGGCTTCACTCTTTCCAACATGGCCTTGGCTAAAGGAGGAATCAGCGATTCATGGCTAATCCAACACACACTATGCATTGCCCCTCTCAGCACTAACGGAGAAAGTTTTGATAATACTTCTAGAAAAAGGAGCACAGGAAATACCATAACCCTGCATTTTCCCCAGGCATCCACAACTCTTGTACAATTTAGCAAAGATGAAAAGAAATGAAAATCCAGCAGCAAGCTGCAGTCCCACACTAGGAAGAGATGACACAATAGCAACTGCTCCAGAACCCATTTGTGATGTTTCACCAGAACAGCCCTTGAAGGACAATTGCAGAATCTACATTGTTATCCAAGTTTATTGCATGAATATGGAAAAAAACATGTGACATAGCGGCTATTATTACTATCATTTCAGTTCACTTTTGAAACAATTGAAAGCAAAGAATCGTGCTGATCAGAACTTTCTATTCCTTCTTAAGAAACTATTTGTTCTCCCACAGAAGCAACAATGTGAAACAGAGAAAGTAACAATGGTGAAACTTCCTGCTGTAAAAAACTGGTTAGAAACAGCTTTGCCTATAAAATCCTCACTCCTCATTCCATTTTGGCCTTGTTTATCTAGGCTTGTGACCTTCCACAGCAACTATCATTTTAAAATATATTGCTGCATGAAAAGGCATCTTGCAGCCCAAGCCTATGAATGCTTACTTTGAAGTAAACTGTACTGAATTAAATGACACTTCATATTCTCAGTAGGTAGCAGAGTAGTGAAAAATTCAAACATTCCTCCCAAGGTCTGAGAGGCTCCTTTGAAGCAAAGACCTTTACTGAAGTTTAACATTCCAGTGGGTGTTTACAATATGAGCAACTGAGGCAAAGGAGAGAATGCAAATATTTGGAATTAATTTTCCTGAATTTTTCCGTAGCCAAATTGCTAACACAAAGGCAACCTGCTAAGTTCTTACTAACAGGGTTACTCATTTCGTAGGCCCAGAACAAAAGATTGCTCACTGAGAAACATGTTAGCACACTACCACAAACTAAAGGGTGCAATCTAAACTCCAACCCATAATAAATGGAAACAATGTTTAACTCTATCATTACCCATTATTATACCAAGCAAAGAAAGAGGATGCACTTTTACCAAAAAAAAGTACGAATAATTTGTGCTTGCTGCCTTAATTGGTCAGCCAAAACCCACTTGGTCCAATGTTGGCAAAAAAAAAAGTAAGGAGACCTAATTTCAGCTGCAGATCTATATATACTGTATTATCAAATCTACTCCCCATCTATGTGTGTAACACACAGTCTGGATGTGACATTAGTTTGCTTCTAGCAATTCAGCTTTCCATGTTATAGAATTTTTTGTGTGTGCATGATTCACATAAGGATCATGCTGAAATCACATTGATGTCACTCCTCTAATTCCAAAGAATGGTTGTCACTTATGGTCACACTGATTCAAAAGCATTGATTGAGAAGAACCAGAATGAACTTTCCCCCAAAACTTCCACTAAGCATCCAAAAGAAAGTGGAAGGCAATGCGAAGGAAAATGGGCATTGTTTATGTTGTCACTGCTTGACCCACAGAATACTAATTTCACCCTTCCTGTAGTTTAACAACTCAGCAGTTCCTGTATCTCTGTGAGGGGTAAACTACAGTTCCCCAGATACTTTGGGGGAAAGGTATGGAGTGTACACAGAGACGAAGTGTTCCATTAGTTCAAAAAGTGCATAGTTTCTCAACCCAAGTTGACCCAATAAAAAATCCCTTCCTTCTCAGAAATCAGTGCAGTGGTGCCTTTGTATATGCTAAATCATGTGTACACAAATGAAAGGGGAGCTAACAGGACTCTCAGAAGGCAAGACAATATATGCAAGTTAAGACAGATGGCATTTCCTGTTCCATTAGTCATTCCTGTTACCGTATTCAGAGAGTAAATCAGGTTAATTGACACAGCTGACATAAATATGCCTTTTTACAACTGCATAAAATAATAACTAAGAAACCCTAGCTTGATATGGCAAAACCTATTATTTGTAACTTTGACCTAAGTAGGAACTTTAATCTATCACATATCTTAGCTTTCACTTCAGGGGTAATTTTTTTATATTTATTATTATTATTATTATTATTATTATTATTATTATTTATATGTATGACCAATCACTTCACTTTTAGTTACTGGTCCTGATCCAGAGAAACACAAATTATAGCAGGATGCTGTGCTCAAGCCACTGTGCTCTTGTTTTGCTTAATAGCTGAGCTGCTCTGCAGTGGGAACGGCTTCACCACAAAACCACACACAGTGCTGATTTGCTTTAGTAGGAGGGACATTAGCAGTGCACTCCTAAACTCACTTAACTGGGAGTGATCCCTATGTACTACAATGGGATGCATTTCTTAGCAGGGTGGCCAAGTGCAAATGAGGACAGGGCTCCACTAACTTTACTAGTTGTGTAGAAGAGGGAATTTTGCACAGGTCTCCTACACAACTACCACAGGTGCAGAAACACAGTTCTCTTTTGCACCTAGCTACCCTACCTATGAGTAAATATGCTGTAAGAATTTGAGGCCATCCACAAGGTATGTTATTCATGGAATGGCGGGCAGAGTAGGAGAGATGTAACAAAAAGAGGATTAGACATTGGTTAAAATGAAGCAAAGCACAACAATAGGGAAATAAATACAAATTATGAAATCTGGGAAGGATAGAGATTATCACATTGTTGTTCTGAATTAAACTGGATTAAATATCAGATGCTGGCTATTGGTATTATTGGATTTATTCATTCCTACATAAAACTAGGCAAGAAAAATCAGAGACATATAGGCAGATTGACACAACGCTCCACATTTTACAGATACTTGGTCTTGATCCATTTTACCTTGTTTTTAAAATGTTAATTCATCCTAACAAGGAAAAAGAAGTGGTAATATTTTTCCCATATCTATGGAGGGCTATAGCTCAGTAGCAGAGCACATGCTCTACTACTAGGTTTAGTCCCTGACATCTCCAGGTAAGTCTGGAAACAACTTCTGCTCGATACATTTGAGAGCTGTTCCCAGTCAATGTAGACCATACTGAGCTAGATGGGCCAATGGTTTGATTTGGTATAAAGCTGTTTCCTACGTTGCTATTTGTTTAAGGAAGGAGTAGCTAACCTGCAGCCCTCCAGGGTGTTGCTAGGACACAACTCCCATCATCCCTGACCATTGGCCATGTTGGCTGAGGTTGATGGGAGTTAGACCATTGGCCATGTTGGCTGAGGTTGATGGGATCAGCACCTAGATGGTCATACGTTTCCCACCTCTGCTTTGAGGGAAAATGTGACAGACAGCTGCACTTAAAACTTAAAACAGGTATTGGGTAGCATGACCAATTTTATGAGTGTGCTTAATAGATAAAAAATCTCCTGTTATTAACCCAGGAGAAGTTTAGAATAAAACCAGGTTGCCCTTACCTGGCCTAGCCAACCCCACTCACACAGTCCAAACCCCAATTCTCCCTCCTGACAGTTAGTCCCTATAGACCTCACTGATAAATAGTCCCTATCTGAAACCACTCAGACAGTAAGAGACCCAATCTGCCCACACTGAAAGAAAGTCCCTCTCTGACTGTTAAATTGTAAGCTTCCCCACTTAAAAACTCCTCCCTCTCTCCTCTGATCGGCTTTCAAAGGTTGCTGGGTAGCCAGGATGATCCAAGGCCTGTTCATCACAGAATGTTTTCACAATTCTGTTTTAATCCACATCTTATATTCTGAAATAATTGCCATGAGTTGTTCACATAATACAAATGCAGATTAGAACACTCAACAAACTCTTTATATACTATTCAAAAAAGAACACTCCCCCCATGTGCCTTTATTATTCTGTAGCACAATACAAACCATGGTGATGGTTAAATGATGTTAAACAGCACCTAAATGAGCTGAGATCAACACTGCCAATTCAAATCTCACCCCAACCCCAAATTTGCTAGGTGACCTTAAGCAACCCATCATTTCTTGGCTTAAAATCAATGTTTTATGTATCATGTGAATCTGCAGGTTCAAGAGTCAGGGGAGACACAAGTATCTCACTAGGCAAGTTCAAGACCTGAACACTACCCTAAGTAGCCTTTAGGATCCCAGGGAAAATCTGGTACTATTTCACTTAACAATTCTTATTTTCTTCCACTAAGGAAAGAGCTGCTCTTATGGGGGAGATCATTATGAACTAGGCAGAATGAAGAATATATATGCATAGTTAAGTATGTGCTGTGTTCATTCAAATATAGTTACTGTCATCATTATATCCAGGACATGAGCCGATATACTGAAACACTGTATCTAAAAGTGCATTTCAGTGATAGAATAGGACCAAAGGGATTTGTAACAACTTACAGTTATTCTTCTGGCTTGTGTGTGACCTCATTGCTCCCTTGACTAAGCAAGACAAGCACTTAGTTACAGCCCAGACTCAGATCCGGACATCAGAGGCATTCTGAGGGAGGCGGGGGGCAGTCTGACCCAGGTGCCATTCCAAAGGGAGGGTGACAAAAGGTCGATCACCACGCACCCCCTGGGATGCGCACCACGCCCCCTGGGATGAGTACCGCTCCAGGTACCAGAGCAGGTTGCTTCGCCTCTGCCAGACGTCTGATTTCCCACTCACACCACCTATAAAAGTTGTTCCCAACCCACCCACCCCTAATCCACTCTACAGACACACAACTTTTCCAGGTCCAAGAGGCTGCTTCCCCAGGAGATACAAGACTTAAAGCAGAGCAGTCAGAAGTACAGTTCACTGCGTTCAGTAGAACTTGCTTTCAAGTAAGAATGCATAGGAGGACTGCATCCTCAGCTCAAGTTATAGCTGCATGAATTAAAGAACAGGAAGAGGAATTAGTTGTGGCTTCTGCTAATATTATTCACCTTTCCTTCAAGGAGTTCAAGGTGCCATGCATGGTTTTCCGCCTCCCCATGTTTTTCTCACAATAGCCCTGTTAGGAACTGACTGCCCCAAGGTCACCAGAGAGCTTCATGGCTGAGTGGAGATTTGGACCCTGGTCTCTCAGGTCCAAGTTCAACACTTTAAACCACTATGCCCTGCTGGCTTCCCACCATCCATCTCTGTAGGAGGGCTGAAAGTTAGGGTTTGGAACTTTGTGGTAAGAATAAAGAAGATTTGATGAACTTTTCATTTCCATCTGATGCTGGTGGTTTGGAGCTGGGAGCAGAAGCCCTTTTACTTTCAGCTTAGTACATAGCACTAAGTTACCTCCAGAGTCCAGACACAGCACTCCATGGAGAGGCAGATTTTCATTATATTGTATCACATTATACTGCATCAAATAGGAAGCAGAAATCCCAGAACAAAACAAGGATGGGGAACAGGACAAGTTAGCCAAATTCAGTATGTCAGTGTTACACCATGGCTGGCAATGTCCCTTTGTATCCAAATGTCCATTTTCTAACTATTATCCGTGGCTAACCATCCTAGACTGAGGAGGAGGTGGAGGGAAAGAGGGAGGGAGGGAGAGAAGGAAGGAAGGAAGGAGCTGCGTTGCCATTTGTTTGTAAAATTCAATATACAGCAATGCTGTCTTTTGTGGTATGTAGTTTGGGTGTCAGTACTCATTAATTTCCATATCTGACTAAATAATAGCGGATGGGTCGAGATATCAATAACATTTATAGACAGATCCCAGGAATCAAAAGAATCTTTTTTTTAAAAGTTTTCTTCCCAGACGTGTTATCGGTGAGGAACAGCTGGCAAAACGGGTGAGCACGGTGCGTAAGCGCCACCTATCCTCCTAAACCGGGCAGTGCAAGTCGATTTATGGGAAGGGGAGAAAGAATACGCTCCCTCCTTCCTCATCTCGAAGTTGCCCTGAACCCCCTCCAAGCCAAGAGCTAGAAAATACGCCGAAACAACCCGAACATTACGAGCAAAGAAGCAGAGTCCGAGCCCCGGGTCGCATGCAAGGAAGACCCAAACGTGGATCTCCGGGGGGGACTCGCCTGCCCGGCGTCCCTCCTCTTCCCTTCGCGCCGAGGTGAATCCATTGTTCTTCCCAGAGAACTGCCGGGCGCTCGCCCCGTTCAAACGCTGTCTCAGCCACAGAGACGCAGGCAGCCCTTTTCCTGAGGAGCAGAGAAGAGCGCCGCCGAAGAAGCTTCTCCCCTCCCCATCCCCTGGAAAAAGCGAAACCCGAAGCCTTCCAGATGGCAACTGCAATTGCCTCCTGGGCTCTCCCGTGTGTAGGAAACGAGAGAGACCCTCTCGGGCCGCCCCGCCAGCCGGAGCCCGGCGTCTCTCCTTCTCCCTTACCTGGGCTGCTGCCCTGCGCTGGAAGAAGTGCAGATGTCGAGTCCAGCTGTTGCAGCTCGCCGGAGATCGCCTCCAGTTCTGATCTCTTCGCTTGGCCAGATGCAACTCTCTCTCTTCTGCCCCCCCCCCTCAACCTCCCTCGCTTTTTTTTTCCTAAAAGAGAATCTGGAAACGCGCGGGGGGAGGGGAGGGCGAGACAGAGAAATATGCCAAGACAGGAAGTGGAGACAGCGAGGGCCAGTGCGGGAGATTAATGGGAACCAGTAACCCAGCGGCCGGCAACGAATGCGGCTCCCTGGGGCGAGAGGGCTTCTGCCGCAGCCCGCCTTAGCCCACGACGGCCGAGGGGGCAGCGGCGGGCGGCCCAGAGCGGGAAGCCCCGGCCGGCGCCAGACCACGGCGAGCTTCCCAACTTCCTCTCTCCCTCAGACTCTCATCCCAAGGAAACGGGGGGCGGGGGACTATTCTCCGCTCTTGGCTCACAGGATCAAGCTGGAACTGGGAGGAAGGGGTCTCCAGCCCCCGAGCTTCGTGGCAGGAGTCTGTTTACTGGGTTTTCACGGGGTCTCGTGGGGGGGGGTCACGAGTGGCGCTGACCACTGGCTTGCTCTGAGGCGAAGGAAAGAGCGTGAGAAGCCACTCGCGACCGGCCCCCGATCCAGCCCTGACACCCCCCGCGCGCGCGGCCATCGCAATAAAAGCTCTCCCTGGTGAGGAGCATCTGGTTCCAATCACGAGAAAAAAGTGGATCGCTTCCTATGCATGAAAACGGGGAAGCGGGGAGGGGGGCCCTCGTTGGAGCCGCCGGCAGCTTTTAAGTTTCCTCGCTCGCCGTTCACCGTTTGGAGACGCCGGGTTCTCCTTCATTTTGTTTGCGCGCCACGCGAGTTCCGGTTCACACTGCCGGGCGCCCTCTCGCCCCCCGCAAGCTCTTGGCTGATCAGTTATTTGACGACCAAGTCGCTCCATATAAACGGATCCTAAGAGTTGGGAGGGACCTCCAAGGTCATCTATTGTCACCCGCCAGGAGATGGAGGAAATCTGCTGTGTTAATAGCATCCCTGATAGGTGGTCAGCCAGCCTCTGCTTAAAAATATATCTCTTTAGGAGAATCCACCGCCTTCAGGGCTACCAACCCTGTTGGACCCAGGGGCACATTTGCAGATCAGAAAAAAACTGCTGTGAATACCAGACACCAACCCCAATACCAACCAAGAACACACCGCAACCTATTTGCCTTCCTGGGCTCCTTTGGGTAGAAGGGAGGATACAATTTTAATAAATAAATCAAACATTATATTAGCTATACTGGGTGTATGGAATGTTAGGGGCAGGGTAGTACCTCTGGTGGGGGACGCATCATGCTCTTTTGGGGTAGCTTGTCCACCTTTGGTCCCCACCCTGCACTCAGCTCTCATCTCCTAGAAGCTGTCGGCATGTGACAGCGGCCACAAACCCCAGAATGGCTTCGACTGGCCAGGAAAACCAGGTGAGGATAGTTGATGGGTCTCAAACTCTCAGTAAGTTAAGGACTTCCCCTGCCTGCGAAGACAGGCTCTGCCAGATTGAGCGGACGAGGCCAATAGTGGGTCTAGTGGTCAAGAAGGCAGTTTCTGCATGTGCTGTAGAGGGAAGTGAGGGGCAGTTGGGGCTCGTCACCCTGAGAAGGTAGCCCATCTAGGAGAAGGAAAAGTCTGATCCTAAACCACCACTGCCTTGCGGGATATCTTCGAAAGAATAAAAGGCTAAGGAGCAAACCCTACATAAAGCTGGAGTGGTGTCTCTAAGTCAGTTGGATGGTGCCTTGTATGTCTCCTTCCAGCAACTTCTGCAGCTATAAAGGTAAAGGTACCCCTGCCCGTATGGACCAGTCGTGTCCGACTCTAGGGTTGTGCGCTCATCTCACTTAAGAGGCCGGGAGCCAGCGCTGTCCAAGGACACTTCCGGGTCACGTGGCCAGCGTGACGAAGCTGCTCTGGCGAGCCAGCACCAGCGCAGCACACGGAAACACCGTTTACCTTCCCGCTATAAAGCGGTATCTATCTACTTGCACTTAGGGGTGCTTTCGAACTGCTAGGTGGGCAGGAGCTGGGACCGAAAGACGGGAGCTCACCCCGCCATGGGGATTCGAACCACCGACCATACGATCGGCAAGTCAGGGGGTTGGACTCGATGGCCCTTGTGGTCTCTTCCAACTCTATGATTCTACGATTCTATTCTAAGTCCTAGGCACTGAGGTTTTACCCACAGCGCCACCCGCGTCCCCGCTAAGATGCAGCTAAGATGGTGCCAAATGTATTGCTCTGCTTTCCTTTGGGCCACATCAGTGAAGCAGAGAGAGGGATCTTGTTGTCTGGGCAGCCCAGGACCTCCATACACACTGCCCAGGCTTGCACCCTGGGAGGTCACATTGGTGCTGCTAATGCAGCAGTTTGACTTCACCTCTGGAGGCACACTCCATTGTCTCTTGAGACAGATGGATGCCAACAATACTAGCTACAACAGAATGCAGCTTTCAATTCTAATTTCAGGGAGGTGAGGGCATCCTGTGGGAATCTGCTGGTGCCACATTTGCAGTGCCTGAAAGGTGTACTTTTTATGTATGACTCCAAGCATCTCTTGATCATTCTTCAGAAGAATGAAGAGATGCAGGGCAGGGCAAAGCAGAACTTTCTGGCATCTCTGTAGTCCTATGGATTAGGCACTTTTAAAAAGAAGTGTGTCTTTGGCCATTTTCGCATGTCCTAGAGAACTGCACAAAGGTACTTCAGGGGCATGTGGGCCAGCAGTCATCCTCCTGCTTATTTTCTACCTTTCTTACTCCAAACTTTCCTCCTCCCCATCTTAGGCCAAGTTTGTCCCATTGTACCTACTCACTACAGATACCTTACCAAACATTTTAGACCTGACTTTCACCAAATCAGAACCTAGTGACTTCATAAATCCTACATACCCTCCAACATTTTACAGATGAAAACAGACACACATTTGAGTGCTTACACCACTGTTTTCACACCAAGGACTGCTTGCTTGAGCACATGTATGTGAGCTCACTTACAAACACATCACTAGGTGCCTTCTATACAGCAATCTTCAGAAATCATCTGTCCTGCCCTGTTTTCTGAATCAAGTGTGTGAGTAAACTGATCATATCCATTTCCTTTTTTAAAAGGCTGTTTAATAGAATAATTATAATCTCACAATGGACCTGGTTGCACTTCTTATGGAAAACTACAGCATTAAAAAGTTGAACAACATTTACTACTTGGATGAGCAGTTACTGGTGGCTGAAAGATTAAACTACTTCACATGAACATGCACACTAACAGATTTTTGTTTTAGAAAAAGACCATCATCTCTAACGTTTCCACAGAAGACAAAACAAGGACTACTACAGGCCAGTCACTAGTATAGGCTGGTCTACCCCTAGGCAGAGTGAGGTGGTGTCCTCAGGTAGGTGATTGTTAAAAGGCAGCAAACTGATGGTTGGTTACACTCTCTCTCTCTCTCTCTCTATATATATATATATATATACTGTGAGGAGGAGAGGCACTTGTAGGATTTTATACCTCAGGCACTGTTTTGCCAAAGGCAAAAAGGGCTCTTTATTAAGGATCTCTGAAACAAAGGCAAAACACAAGGAATGAAGAAAGTCTTAAATGTATTGAGTAGCAGGCTTATCATACACAAGAATAATATAGACTAACATACCAGGCAAACAGCAATCCTACTTTTTCTGCTGGGAGTCCCAGGGATGTAGCAGCAGAGTAGACCTCAGGCTGCCAGGCTATACAGCACCAATATCCCATTTAGGCCTGCACCCCACTCTGACTCAAACCCTGTGGTTTTTTTATATCATAGTCTGCCCCAAGTCATGAGGCTTAATTGCTAAGCTACCTTCACAAGGCTTGGGGGGTGGGGTGTCGCAGGATATAGGAAAGCAAGTAATTGATGTAACACTCTGTTATCTGTGCACAAGGAGCCCTCCTGTGAGCACTCAAGTCAGCAGGAGTCAGCATTACAATCACTACTGCTGAGCTTAGGAGAGTGGTGAAACCCTGCTTCCATATGGTGATATGAAGGGTTAAGTGTGCAAGGCCACCTCCATCATCTGCATTTCCACTGCATTCAGTGTTATGAACATACCAGGGAGATATGGGTCAATGGACGCCCTCTAAGCATAAGAGACAAATCAGATCCTAAATGATGTGCAACCAGAATACTGTTCTGGCTGTCTACTTTGTGTCAGATGCCTAGCTTAAACTGTCATGATGGCTGGTATACATACACTTCTTGGTCAGTCCTGTACTCTTGTGTTTCAACTTCTATAGACCAATGAATAGATCGTGGGGTTGGCCTCAACAATTTTGGGAATATTGCTGAGCCTGGAAACAACAGTTTTAAGAACTGAGCCCAGATCCACATGGTCCCAGTCCACTGCACTGCTTGTTCACCAGTATTAAATGTTACCAGCTGTAACAGCACCAATCATCTGTTGCAGTTGATGGAGGAAAGAGGAAGTGTAGAGGTGCTCAGCCCTGACTCCTGTTCCTCCAAACAAATGACTATTGCTGTCAGAGCAGATGATAAGCATCTATTAGGGACCATGTACACAAATCTGATGCCAGAAAGGCATCATGCAAGAGTCCCAGATAGGAATCCTAGGTATGAGATGCATGATCTAAAGCCTTTGCTGTATATAAGAAACACATCCAACAAGGCAATGTGAACACATGAATCTGTTTCCATGTGCAGATTTTTCTTTTTGCTCAGGGCTTGCACATCTATACCTATTTAATGCTTAAGATGCTTTAAAAGACTTCCTTTCAAACTTCCTTCATTGTAAAGACCTATTCACACTTATTTTGCCATAAAGCCCATTAGAAACAGAGGGACTTACTCAAGTAAACATACTGTACATAAAACTGAATTTTAGTAAAGTCTTTGTTAATACTAATACTTGTACACTAATACTTGTGAGAACACTTGCCAAATGTAGAGAGGTGTCTGAGTTGAACCTGGCAACACACATAGCACAATCCTATGCATGTTTACTCAGAAATAAGCCCCAGTGTGTTCAAAAGGCTTACTCTGGTAAATTGGAATAGGATTGCAGCCTAATAGGAACTATGAATTGTCCAAAATCCATTGCCTAAAACTGCTGCCAAAGCCCTTTCAAAACAAAATTCCAGTAGGGTGCCTTCCTTCCCCACGTTTTTGCATTATTACACAAAACAAACAGAATTAAGATCGTGATAAATATTTTAGCAGTCGTCTTGTTGCTTAACATCAGGTTTTCTGTTCTGAATCCTTTTTCAGCAATTACTCAGGCATGGTCTTGTGCTTTGCAGAATTAGGATCTTAGCTGGTCATGTCTCCCCACCCTCAAGCAATACAGGAAATGGTTGTTTATTATAGAATAAATCTCTGGCAAACAGCTGGCTGCTGCTCTAATGAAGCAACTTGGGTATGATGATTATAAAATGTAAACAGAAATGGGTCATATTCCCCATTTGCTGGAAAGATGACAGATGATACTGCCCAAGACCTTCTGGCTGCCTGATTGTCTGTTGCGGGGGGGAGGGGAATAATGTATAATGATGGCATTCATTATTATGTTAATAATGAATAGTAATAGTAACAATAATGTTTATTATTGCTATCATTATTATTTCCCCTATTTTTCCCCCCAGGAGTAATTTAACATTGATCCCAAGAGAAGAGAGAAGTTTCTATCTAATTCACCCACAAAGGTTTCATCTTGGCATAGAAAAGGATTAGAGAATAATAATAGAGGAATTGATTCACATGCGTTAGAGGGTTAAACCTGGCATCTTCAGAGATCAAGCTGGGGGAATAAAAAATCAGAAGATATGGAAACCTCAGAATGTATAGCAGAACTGCGGAGGGAAACCTGAGAAGGGGCAAGCAGGCAGGAGTAAATGCAAGGAATGGGGCCCAAATTTTGGGGTTTGTAGTTAATGAAGTTGAATAGGTGCAAAATTGAGTCAGAGGGAATGGCAACATTGCCTGTAATTTGGGCAATGATCTCACCAGGAGAGAGGTCTTGATTGTGGAGTGACCCATAAAATTTCTCTGGATATTATAGGAACAATTGTTGCTGTGGGGGTTTGTCACTATGCAATTGACATCCAACTATTTTTTTATTTCCATTTAATCCAGGTGATACAGCAGACGCACCAAAGAGGTGCTTACAGTCAATAATGGGACAGTTGATTTGAGGGCTAGTGAACTGAAGCCGAATTAAAATAAGATGGAGATAATATAGGTAGGTGGAACCAGTGCTTTTTTCCCAAAAAAATGTTTAGGGATACTCTCACTTTGACTCAAGAAAATTGGGGAAAATAAATACAGTAAATGGATAAAAGTACAAAGATTCACAAAATATTTAGGGGTATGCGTATCCCCAGAAAAAAGTACTGGGTAGAATGACTGTGGAGATTCTAGTCAGCTTGTAGTGGATGTGGTTCCAACATCCATGGTTTCACTCCAGTCAGGATTGCTCCTCAATCCACCATTGCTGTTGAATGCCCAAGTGGCCCCTTTTCCCAACTTTGGTGTGCTGGCTGCATCCCCTCCCAAAAAATGAATGATGCAGCCACAGTTATCCATGCTCTAGCAGCATCCAAGCTTCACTGCTGTAATGGGTAATTCCATGAAAATGTCAACCTATGGACCCATTTTTTCATTTTCATACACAGTTAGCATGTTCTGTGTTATTTTAACAATAATTTCCCAAAGTTTCTTGATCTGGCCACTATTTTTCAAAGCGGCATTTTTCACGTAAGTAAAAAGTTAAAATTAAAAGCCCCAGAAGCATGGCATGTGAGATGTCTCAGAATTTTTTTATCTTCCCCTCAAACCTTCAGTTAATGACCTCTACAAGGAAATAGGTTAATGACCCTTTAATGTACTAATGGTTCTGCTTTCTCATTTCATAAACTAAGAATAAATTTTATGTTAGGATCAAAATCCGATGAGCTTAGAGCAATACGGTACAACTTATATTGGCTTAGTGTGTTATGTAGGTCACAACAACACATACATAGCCTATAGAGATGCAAAAAAATTACCTCAGAAGATGAAGGTCTCTTGCCTTATTGTAACCATCTCCACTCCTTAACAATGGAGAATTAGGTAGCCAGCTCAAAGAGAAGTCAGGGCTCCTGCACCTTTAAAAATAGTATGAAAACTACACTTTCTTGCAACTATTGCAATTTCATCTTTCTTGCAACTATTAAATCCCACCTGTTCAGAATACATACTCTAAGCTGTCAGGGGTTTGAATAGATGAATTCCTTTTCTTCCTTAGCCTTCCATTCCCCGTTTTTTCTTTTCTGGTTTTGTGTTCAGCTGAACATGAACATTTTGTATCTTAAAAGTACTCTCAGTCACAGTCTTATTAGCAGACTTGCAGTCTGCCTGACTTTTCTTTAGGTCCCAACCCCAGGTCAACAGCTATCAACATTCTGTAAACTCAGAAGCTCCTAACAGCCAGTTTAGATATATTTAAAGCACATTCTTCCCCAGATGAATGTAGAGAATGTAGATGAATGTAGAGAATGAGAACTGTAGCTTGTTAAGCATGTTGGGGACTGTAGCTCTGTAACGGGGAACTGCAGTTCCCATAATTATTCAGGGGAAGCCATGTGATTTCAGTGTACATTGAATTAACTTTAAACTACATTATGTTTGGGTGTCCTCATTTCACTGCCAAATTGATTGCCAGTTAACCACCTAAGTTTGCTGTTAGAGGGAGTGATTGCTCTGAATAGTAATACTCTGCTGACAATCCTTCATAATCCAAAGCAGCCTTGTATGCAGAAGGTCACAGCCTTCTGCAGCACATAATAAGAGTTCATCTGCTCCTCATAAAAGGCAGTTCCAGGCAAAGATGTTCCTCAGTGCATTGCATTACATAGGCAGCAGTTTCCAAATGGCCCAACAACAAAATTGCTGACAGCATGGATAGCTGTGCATGGATGCAAATCCTTGCAGAATGGGGCAGAAATGTTCTTAAAAGTCAAAAGAAACTGTTGTCTGGCTGAAGAAAATTGTACTTGGAAGAACGAAGCTTTTTAGCTTAGAACTCTGATGTCATACAAAACCCAAAGATTTTGCAGGTACTGTTCTGGTAAATATAGTCATATTTGAAAACATCTGCAGAACTCCAACACCCAATATATTTGTAAGATGTACTGAGGGCTCAGTTTAGGTAAACTGGAAATGTAAAAACAAAAATTGAGTATGTATGTATGTATTTGAATTTCTAAACTAGCCTTCATCAGGTAGAGATCCCAGGGTGGATTATAAAATGGTGAACAAACAAACAAATAACAGTTAACATTAATAAAACCCCGAACAAGACAACTACAGTGTCTTAAAATTGTTGCAGACAGCAAACACAGTAGCTCCATAAAGACTTTGGACCATTTAATCAGATTCTGCCCAAAGGCCCGCACCCCAATAATGTAATAGTTACCCACGCCTCTCTTAAATTTCTGGCACACAGTTTCACCAGTAAAAGCCACAGCAGAAGCTTTTGCCAATATAAATAAAATTAAAACCAAATATCCCACAAGTGTGGGTGTGCAGAGAGCTGGATTCAACCCTGTCCCTCCAGCCACTCTTTTTTTCTGTGGAGCTAGTTCTGGATTCACACAGCCCACCATGGAGCTTCTTGGTCAGGGGTGGTGCCAATGTTTAGGCTGGCCGGAACCTGAAAGCCCCAGGCAGGCAGCAGAATAACGACCAGCAACTGGAACTAGTCTGCACAAAATACTTTATATACAGACCTTTAGAATATACCAGGAATCCCAGGAAAATGGCTCAGAATTAGGGTTGCCAACTGGCCAGAATAATAAAGTAAAAAAGATAGTTCTGGCATTCTCCATTCTCCTTAACAGATTTAATAGGTAGCAACTTGAAAAAGTTTTTAAATGGTATAGATCAAAACACTAGGTAAAAGTTAAAGGTGAGGACCCCAGGATGGTTAAGTCCAGTCAAAGGCATCTATAGGGTGCAGCGCTCATCTTGCTTCAGGCTGAGGGAGCCGGCGTTTGTCCACAGACAGCTTTCTGGGTTTTGTGGCCAACATGACTAAACCACTTCTGGAGCAATGGAACACTGTGACAGAAGCCAGAGTGCACGGAAACACTGTTTACCTTCCCGTCGCAGCAGTACCTATTTATCTACTTGCACTGGTGTGCTTTTGAACTGCTAGGTTGGCAGAAGCTGGGACAGAGTAATGGGAGCTTACAAAAGGTGGCAACCATACTATGTAGTGAGCCTGTTTGAAAGAAGGCTATTCTGTGTTCAGCATTTATCTTGAGGATTTTTAGTGCAGAGATTAACATCCCAATCTTAACCCAGATGTACAGTAAAGGGAAAGGGAAAGGGACCCCTGACCATTAGGTCCATTCGTGACCGACTCTGGGGTTGCGGCACTCATCTCACTTTATTGGCCGAGGGAGCCGGCATACAGCTTCCAGGTCATGTGGCCAGCATGACTAAGCCACTTCTGGCGAACCAGAGCAGCGCACGGAAACACCGTTTACCTTCCCACCGGAGCGGTACCTATTTATCTACTTGCGCTTTGACTTGCTTTCGAACTGCTAGGTTGGCAGAATCAGGGACCGGGCAACGGGAGCTCACCCCATCGCGGGGATTCGAACCGCCAACCTTCTGATGGGCAAGTCCTAGGCTCTGTGGTTTAACCCACAGCGCCACCCGCATCCCAGATGTACAGTAGTCAGAAGTAAATTCCACTTGGACACTCCAGAGTAGAATGGCATTGAAACCGGCTCCATTCGACAAGGGTGGAATTTTGGAGTAAACATGCCTAGGATTGTGATGCAAGGTGACACCCACACCCTACACTTAAAGCACATTTATATCCCATAAAAAGTCATGGCTTCTTGCAAATAACACTGGGAACTGCAGACTTGTAACAGAGCTACAAATCCAAGCATCCTACAGTTCTCAAGCTTCCTTGGGGAAAAGGTGTGGTGTGGATGTGGCCTAAAGAGAAACCAGCTGCTCTACAGCACACCCAGGGAGCACTGCCACATACAGAATGTAACAAGTGGATCCTTTTTCGGTGCCCATTGGGCTCAAGACTGACATCCGCAAAACAGCAGAGCTCTATGCACGTTTACTCAGAAGCAAGTCCAGTGAAAGCCAACGGGGCTTGCTCCCCGGTACGCGTGCAAAGGCTCTTTTCCAGCCTTTCCGCTGACTTGGGACACGTTTCTGAATGGCGCGTGCACACGACCGCCGCCCCACGCGTGTTTACTCAGAAGCGAGTCCCTCCGAGTTCCACCGAGCCAGCGGAGGAGGAAGGCGGGTCGTCACGCACGCCCTTTGTGACGCAGCGCCGCCCGCTAAACAGGGACACCCGCTCGCCGCCGTTAGAAGCTCGTAGAAAAGGAGAGCGGCTGCTCGGTGACGTCACCGGCGGCTCCTTTGGCCGCTGACGCTTTAAAAGGGAAGCGGGGGCTCTGCGCTGGAGGATCGGCTCAGTTATCGCCGCTCATTGCCGAGTTCCCCCAGGAAGTACGGCTGACGGTGAGTTCCCCCAGCCTGCCGGTAGAGGGAGCATGTGCGCCTTCTCAGCGGAGCGCGCGCGCGGGAGAGGAAGGCTCCCCTCGGGAGGGTCTGGTGAACCGCGCCTTCCCCCAACCTGGTGCCCTCCGCGTGTGCTGGACAACCAACTCCCGGCAACCCAGCTGGGGGTGATGAGAGCTGTAGCTGGTGGAGGGTGTTAATCGCTTAAGCCGCTTCGAGGTCTTTTGGGTCACGGAGCGGTCTATAAGTGGAAAGAGCGCACAAGCAAATAAAGTCGCTCCTCTTCCGCTTTATTTGTGCTCGCGCTTTGCAGGGTGCGCCACTGTATGTAATGTTGCCCGCTTTGGATTATTTAGCATGCCTTCGCTTAATAAGCTGAGATAAGAACGAGACTATTCCTTTTTCTTTTGTAGGGTGAGTAATCAAATCCAAAAGCCACACGTGCCCTCTTTTTTTGGTCTAAATAGGGAAACTAGGTGCTTCCAGAGGTGTGCTTTGGGTGGGAGTGGTGCTGTTTGTGCACGGAAGCGCTTTTTTTCTTTTTCTTGCAGCATCCAGGTGGTGATGTCATCAAAAGGCCGGTTTGTATTCTTGCCCCTCCCCAATTGAACCTAAATGTACCATTTCTGGTAAAAATCTGATAAGTTTTTCTAAAAAAGAAAAACGAACCTGTTGCCAATATCTCTTTTACAGTATTTAGCCCCCTTCTGGAAGCACCCTGTAAGTCCTAGCGTTGAAACAATCCAGGATATTAAATCAACTTATTTAATGCCCAGGCTTGTTTTGAAGTTGAACGGTATAGTTTCCCAGTCTGAATGCTCATCCTATGAAGGGAGCAAGTGGGGGGAGGCAAGAGGTTTACTTATATATTGACTTATTAAGCTGAGATATAGTCACCTCTACTTGCCCTGTATAGCATGATATCATTTGTGTGACGTGTGTTACCTTCTCTTCTCCTCCTTCCCTTCATTGGCTTGCAGGGCCACACATAGTGTGGTGACATGTTATGTACTGAGTTAAATAGGATCCAAACTGCAGCAGTCTGATTGGTCCTAGAACAATAGGATCCAAAAGGCAGCAGTCTGATTGGTCCTAGAACAATAGGATTCAGAATGCAGCAGTCTGATTGGTCCTAGAACAATGCAGCAGTGTGATTGGTTGGCATGAACTACCCAATCATGCTCCAGATAGAAGTGAATCCACAACCTGATTGGCTTACAGTAGAATTCCAGAATTAGCCAATCATGTGCAGCCCATTGTGTAAATAATGTATATAAAGCAGATACTTTGAGGGGACTTTCATTCATTCCTCCTCACCATTATGAGCTGAACAAAGAGCATGAAATCACTTTGCGACTCTGAGTATATTTCATGACATAATGCCACTGATTGCATTGCACATGGCATAACACCATGGTTTAATGTTATGTGAACAAGCCTTGGACGTAACAGCTCTCCCCGATCTTCCTTGGGCATGGTTGTGAGGGCAAGATCGTAATGTTCTGTCTGAACCCAGACAAAGTGTTGTTTGTCTTAATTATGTTGGCTTGTGAAGTCTTCTTTTCCTAAAGTATAGTTAAAGCTAGCTACAGTTTAGGCACTGGATGTAACAGTAAACAATGGTGAATTAAAAACAGAAGTCATCCCACAGCTGCAGCAGAGGAGGGCAGAGGAAGGGAGACCATGCTTGCCCAAGACTCCTTCATATAATGCTAAACCAGCACTTAGCATTGCATCTGAACCAGGTCATTGCCACTAGCTCCCCTCCTCCTCCTCATCACTGCTGCCTGCTTGCTTAACAGGCAAAGGAGAGGTGAGTGGGAATGGTAAGCAGCATGAGCAGCTGCTTTCAGATGGGTATTTGGTGTGGGAGTGGGGCTCCTCATGCATGGAAGCATTTTGAAGCCTCCAGACGATCTTCTTGGCATTAAAATGCCAGCCTGTATCCCCCCTCCCAACACAAAAGGGCTGCAGGGTTGTGAGCTTCAGTAAATGGGCAGGGCAGCTTTTGGGTAATGAAAAAAGAACCTGAATCTTTGGGGAGATGGCTAGGAAATGTAGTTTTGTTATTGATCTCCTCCCTCTGTCTTTTTGGTTAGCGTGTTTGTTTGTGACTGCCTGAACAAATTCATTGGGCTAAATATTTTTTTTAAGTCAGGACACAAGAAATGGAGTCCCAAGAAATAAGCTTGAACCGCTATCGCATGCAGCGCACAGCAACACTGGCCCAGGAAGTTCTGGAGCGGGCAAGAACACGGAAGTTGAACTGGCCATTGCCTGCTACATTTGAAAGGAGGGCTTTTCAGGTAAGTGCTGTAACCAAAGGCAGCTGCTTCCATACCTGAGCCTTTTAATGCTACCGAGAAGCTGCTGTTCCATTGTGAGTAAGTTGTAATAATACCTAAACAGAGCTGAATGTCCTCTGCGTACTTCTGCCCCACTATGGTTAAGAGCTCGGTTTCACTCCAGATGCACCAACAAAGAGATTAGACAAAGTTACTCAGGGGTGGTGCATCCAATTTTGCCACTTGAGGCAAAATGGGAAGTGCCACCTTGCCACTGACTATGACTCCATAACTGCTACTGCGCACCCTGTTCCATCTGCTGGCAAAGAAGCACCACAGCCATTATAGCCCATTTCAGGCAAGATCGTGCTGATTTTGAGTGAGCTCTTGCATGCTCTGCAAGATTTTGGGTAAGGTCTCGCCCAAAGTGGATGTGATCTTGCCTGAAATCAGCGCTGATGGGCTTGCTTGGGGGGCTTTGCCACCTGAGGCAGCGACTTCACCCTGCCTCTTAGCTGGGCCGACTCTGGTGTCATCTAATGATTCTTTGGGGTTCCCATTTTTCCCATTATTCCCAGCCATTGGCCTTGCTGGCTGGGGCTGATGGAGTTGGAGTACAGCAACAGCTGGCTATTCTGGTTCCAGATGATAAGGCCTTGTCTGCTTCTGTTGTGTATCTTACAAGATTGCTTGTATAACTAACTGAACAGGGGGTGCTACTTGGCTCATTACAAAGATTGCTAAATATAATTGTCACTGTAGATACTGCCTTTTCTCAAAGGTTTGCCCTGCATGTAGGTATGTAAAATATTATTTCATGTGCCATCTGTGTTTTCCTTTACCTGTTACCTTTTTGCCCACATTTTCTTTCTTGAATCATCAAGCAAGTTATTTTTGCCTGCCATTTGTTAAACGTGGGACTCTGAATAAGACAGAAAATGTCAGGTAAAACCAAATGGGAGGCAAACAGTTGTTGTTGTTTCATTTGTTAAAATGACACATACTCAGTCCACAGCAAACTGTACAAGACTGAAATCTTTTCTGAAGCAGCAATAATCCAAAAGAAACCACTCAAATGTTCTCGTGGGGTGGTGAATGCTTCCCTCCATGAGGGAGCCTTCCCAGACCCGCTGAAAGAGGCGGTTATTAAACCGCTTCTTAAAAAACCATCTTTAGATGTGGCCACGATGGCCAACTATCGCCCAGTCTCAAATCTTCCATTCTTGGGCAAGGTGATTGAGCGAGCGGTTGCTGAACAACTCCAGGCACGCCTGGAAGAAGCGGACCATTTGGATCCCTTCCAGTCAGGATTCAGGCCTCATCATGGGACTGAAACTGCCTTGGTCGCACTGGTTGATGATCTCCGGTGGGCTAGGGACAAAGGTGAGAGCTGTTTCCTAGTTCTGCTGGATCTCTCAGCGGCGTTTGATACCATCGACCATAACATCCTTCTGGACCGTCTTGAGGGGCTGGGAGCTGGAGGCACTGTCATACAGTGGTTCTGCTCCTTCCTCCTGGGCCGTGTTCAGAAAGTGGGGGGGGGGATGAGTGTTCAGACCCCTGGGCTCTCACTTGTGGGGTGCCTCAGGGTTCTGTCCTCTCCCCCATGCTTTTCAACATCTACATGCAGCCGCTGGGAGAGATCATCAGGAGGTTTGGACTGGGTGTTCATCAGTATGCGGATTATACCCAGCTCTACCTCTCTTTTAAATCAGAACCAGTGAAGGCGGTGAAGGTCCTGCGTGAGTGTCTGGAGGCGGTTGGAGGATGGATGGTGGCTAACAGATTGAGGTTGAATCCTGACAAGACAGAAGTACTGTTTTTGGGGGACAGGAGGCGGGCAGGTGTGGAGGATTCCCTGGTCCTGAATGGGGTAACTGTGCCCCTGAAGGACCAGGTGCGCAGCCTGGGAGTCATTTTGGACTCACAGCTGTCCATGGAGGCACAGGTCAAATCTGTGTCCAGGGCAGCTGTTTACCAGCTCCATCTGGTACGTAGGCTGAGACCCTATCTGCCTGTGGACTGTCTCGCCAGAGTGGTGCATGCTCTGGTTATCTCCCGCTTGGACTACTGCAATGCACTCTACGTGGGGCTACCTTTGAAGGTGACTTGGAAACTACAACTAATCCAGAATGCGGCAGCTAGACTGGTGACTGGCGGCGGCCGCCGAGACCATATAACACCGGTCTTGAAAGACCTACATTGGCTCCCAGTACGTTTCCGAGCACAATTCAAAGTGTTGGTGCTGACCTTTAAAGCCCTAAACGGCCTCGGCCCAGTATACCTGAAGGAGCGTCTCCACCCCCATCGTTCTGCCCGGACACTGAGGTCCAGCACCGAGGGCCTTCTGGCGGTTCCCTCACTGCGAGAAGTAAAGCTACAGGGAACCAGGCAGAGGGCCTTCTCGGTAGTGGCGCCCGCCCTGTGACATCCAGCAGATGTCAAAGCGATAAACAACTACCTGACATTCAGAAGACATCTTAAGGCAGCCCTGTTCAGGGAAGTTTTTAACGTGTGATATTTTACTGTATTTTTGGTTTCTATGGATTCCGCCCAGAGTGGCTGGGGAGGCCCAGCCAGATGGGCGGGGTATAAATAATAAATTATTCTTATTCTTATTATTCTCTTTACTTCAGAAACTAAGAGGATTTTTTTCAATACCAGAAATGGAACTGAAATGAAAATCTCTCCATAAAACTAAAATGTAAAAATGTCATGCTACCCCTTTAGAGGATTTGTAGTGTCTCCTCATAACCCTTGATGTGCATGAAGTCAAGGCAGGGTGGGTGAGCAAAGGAACAGAATTCTTCCATAACTCTTAGGGTAAGGGAATAGAATTCTGCCACAACTCTCAATATCCTGTTTCTTTGATTGGATAGCTGCAGGAAGCACTTGATAATAGCTTATAATAATCCTCAGATATTGGATAAAGAGCTGCAAGTAGTAGTTCAGAATCTTTTGCTACTGTCCATGAGCAACTGTGGTTCATCATGTTATCAGAACCCTGGCAACCGGTGGTTAAGCTTAACTGGTTTGTCTGAAACTTCAAACCACAGTTTGTTTTCGTAGAGCTATATCCTGCCTCTCTTCAGCCATGGAACCCAAAGCAGTGTTCATGTGTTTTCCAAGTAGTCACCCATCCAGGCACTGAGCAGACGCAAGCCTTATGTGGCTTCAGACCCTATGAAGCCGGTTTCTTTCAAGAAAATATACCGTAGTTAAAATAGCCACAGTTTAAGGTTTAGCTCAGATCGGCTGAAACTCAGCATATGCCTTGGAACCCTGTGTCTATTTTGGTTTTGCTCTGAGGAATGAGCATGTTGCCATTGCAAAGTAACAGACACAGAAGCATTGGTTTAAACAGGATATCTTCCTATAGTAGCAGCTGTGCATAGGAAGGAACAGTCATTTTGATGATGACATAGCTGCAAGCCTAACTAATTTCTTGCTATATCTAATGTAAGCATATGCTCCTTTTTGGCCCTGAGGGTTCTTCCATCATCTCCCACCAGTAATTGGATTAAGTCTAAATATACATTTCCTAGGAAAGTGCCACTGTCTTCCCTCCATGTGAGTTCTGATTAGCCAGAGACCTCATGACCTTTATTTAGGGAAACATATTGATATGTTTAATAGTAATTCTGTTAACTAGTATCTAATGTTCCTTCCATGGGGTCACGAAGAATCGGACACGACTAAACAACAACAACAAAATGTTCCTTCTGTCCAGAACTGTTATTAAAGCGGTTGCCCATTGTGTTAGAGCTAATGCCAGAAAACCTGTTTCCTACAACTGGACATCTTACAGATCCAAAATATGTCCACAAACCCTGTGTTTCATGCCTGCTGTAATACTTGGATGCCTTCAGGGGCCATAGTTTGACCTTTCCCTTGCCTTTTCTCCCTGTTTACCTGCCTCTCATCTGTGTTTATTTTCTTTGGATTAGTCAGGAGCATCGTGGAAAGCAACAGCCACTGCTACATATCATGTAAGAAATGCCTTTTTCTGTTTTTGAAACGTTATTAACTAGAATCTAAGGAAGCTAGGGTTGGAATCAGCACTCCCTAGGAAGGCTTGCCTGCCTTCAGTCACCCCATCACATCCTGAGCCAACAGTGTCCTTTCAGAGGATAGAGGAAAACATGCAAGTTTTCACCTTCTGCTTATAAAGGGCTCACCACCCAAATGAATTGATTACACTACAAAGAACCTTGGGTTCAGTTACAGCCATGCCACCACAAGTCATGGTGAAACTTTAGAAATCACTTCTGTTCACTCTCCCTTACTCATGAGAAGTGATTATTAGTGTCTTCTCTTTCCAATCCCTAGTTTTCTCATTTCCTTAATCTTGCTGTCTGCTAATACTTGCATTAACCAACACCCAGTCTTTTGCATTTCAGCTTTTCCCTTTGAGGGTTTAGGATTCCACTGCAACTCAGCTGGTTTTTTAGTACCTGATCCATGCAAGGCGAATTATTCTCCTCCCATCTTCACCTAGCTCAGTAATACCAATAAAGTGGTACCTCAGGTTAAGGACTTAATTCGTTCCGGAGCTCCATTCTTAACCTGAAACTGTTTTTAACCTGAAGCACCACTTTAGCTAATGGGACCTCCTGCTGCCACCGCGCTGCCGGAGCACGATTTCTGTTCTCATCCTGAAGCAAAGTTCTTAACCTGAAGCACTATTTCTGGGTTAGCGGAGTCTGTAACCTGAAGCGTGTGTAACCTGAGGTACCACTGTATAAATTTATAGATCAGGCAGCTTTTGGTAGCCTGTAACTTTTTTTTTAACAACTAGCCATCTTGCTATTCTACATTTCTCTATTGTATTGATACTTCCAAGCTGCAAAATCATTTAACTCACTGCCAACCATTTCGTGAAAAGAAAACATTTCATATTCATTTTGACAATATTTGTTGGTTCTCGATCATTTTTCCAAGTAAGCAAGGCAGTATTTCTAAATTGTCACCATTGTGGTGGGCAATTTTCTCTAGATTAAAGCTCTCCAATGCTGTGCCTCTGTGAATATATGTGTAAGATACAGGCTCATGTGTATGTGTGAATAGACTCGCAAGTAGATCCAACAGCATATATAGAACACTAAACTGTAGTTAATGAAAACCAAAGCGAAAGTTTTCCTTCTACAGTGGTGGAGGATAATGGAGGGGGGAACTCAAGCCTGAGGCTTGCTATGACTTGTTCCTATCACAGTAAACTATAATTTATTATGGAGATTTCAGTATAAAAAATGGCATGCAAACACAACCGCTGTGTTGCCCTTTAGGGCTGTATATTTCCCATTGTTTTCATAGTGACAGGACATTTTGTTTCATGGAAACAGGAAGGCGAGGATGAAGATGCATGTCTTGCTGCTGCTTTTGCTTCTGTTGCTGAACACATGGGCCGCATCTCAGCAGAATGCGAGGTAAATGGTTCTTGAGATGGAAGCAATGACTGCTGTGCTGGGAGTCAAGTACAGAAGCTTGAGTGACAACTATTAGGGACATAGGAAGCTGCTTTACATACCATTGGTCGATGTAGCTCAGTACTGTCTTCACCAACTGGCAGTGGCTCTCCAGGGATTTAGGCAGGAGTCTCTCCAGGCCCGGATATTGAATCTGACACCTTTTGCGTGCAAAGCATGAGTTCTACCAGCAAGCCATTTGAAGGCTTTATTGCAACTGCATTTTAGGAAATACCAGTTTATACTGTGTCGAATTATCAAAACTCAATGGGCTGAAGGAACACAAAATCGCCATCAAGCAAGTCTGGATTCTGTTCCATGAGTATCTTTGTCAGCTTCCTCAGAGATCCCTTTGACAGGGTGGAAATGTTCAGGATTTCCCCCCTCCCATAAATCATTTATCATGTCTAACACGAAAGAGGAGGGGTAAGGAGCCATGCTTAGTATTGAACCCTACCTAGCCAGCCCTCCATCTTCCCTGAGACTTCAGAGATTTCACCAGGTGTTGACCACACACTTTCAAGCCGACATTCAGGCATATTTTATTTCAGCCTTGTATTTAACAAGGCTCTTGCAGCTAGAAAGTCCATGCAAGATCAGCCTGTTCCTCCTTTGATAGCCTGTATAGCTACTGTGATAGCTGTAGAAAGAGGAAAGACACTTTCTCCCTAGTCGGCATGGGACCACAGTGGGCTAGCGGAAGAGGAATGGAGCAGCTTGGCAGAAGAGGCAAGCTTTTTCTTACTATCCTGCTGAGAGCTGAAGCCTGCATTTCTGAGATTTCCTGCCTCCATGGCCAACATGGAGAAACAGGCTGTTAAGTTTCTTTGCAGGCTAGTAACTTTTGTGGGATTATTGGCAGGGCTTTCATTTTGACATTTCTAAGGGTTGTGGGCTTCTTCTGACTTCACAGTAGCAATTTCTACACTGGTTTAATTACCCCAACACTTCCAAGCGCTTGCTCTGAGGGCAGCGATCAGCGTGGGCCAAATATGAATCAAGAGACCTCCCAATTTCCCACTGTCAGGAAAGGGATCCAACCACATGGAGCAGAATGCGGGAGGAGGAGTTGGTCATCTTATTTATAGCAGAGATGGGAAAGCTGTGACCCTGTAGATGTTTTTGGACTCCAACTCCCATCAGTCCTGGCCAGCATGGCCAATAGTCAAGGATGGTGGCAGCTGTAGTCCAGCAACATCTGGAAGGCCACAGGTTCCTAACCCCTGATTTACAGTACCAAACACAGGCATTTCTGCCTGACAAAGTCCTTTCACATTTGTCCTTCTGGTGGCAGCAGAGACGAGGGAATTGTTGCTCACATCTTCATGGGGCAGGCCCACATTAAGACATTTCATTATTTTAGCACCACACATCTTGCTTTAGTAATGTTTTCTTCTTCAACTCTGTTCCAGAACTATTACTGTTGCGTACCACCATTTCAATTCAAAGAGTACGAAGTTGCACATATATTCAGATACCACAGCAGGGAGTCATCTGCAAACTTGCTAAAGGCAATTGAAAATGAGGTGAGTGTACTGAACATAATTCTCCTTTTAAGCTAGGAATGGCTAAACTGCAGCCCCCAACCCCCAAATTACACCTTGAGGGCCACAGGTTAGCCATCCCTATTTTAAGCAAAGATATGTCGTCCAAGGGTCAGCTTACTCAAAGGAGTCTTTTGATGCCACTTCAACCAAGCCTCTGCTAATCTTCTAAATGACATATAAATTTGTAATTTATTTGGAAGAATTTTCCAACATTGCCTTAAGGGGCATTTTGTTATCAGTATGGACATCTCCTGTGGACATCTTCCTACTGTATTATCCTATCCTTCCAGAATTATCCTTCCCAGGAGAGGCCCGGGCACTCTGCAGGCCCCGCAGTAAGTGCCGTCCCCAGTCTGCCCCCCTGCACCCCCAAATATGCCTCTAAAGCTGCTACAGACGCCTTCTTGATACTTGCTTTGTGCTGATTTGGATTAGGTCTGTTTGCTTGAGGCTGGTGGATAGGCTGAACTTGGTCACATCCAGCTTGAGATCCATAAACTATATCTGCTCTCTCTAGGAAAGTAAAAATGTCCCAATAGTGGAAGAACCTGGTTGTCCTGATACAGATACAGCTGCTTTAATTCCAGCAGAGAATGCTGAACATAAAATAAAAGCAAGTATAAGTTCACTTAATATTTTAAGGTTTTTGTGGGTTTTGTTTTTATCTGTGCAGGGTGCACAGGCATTCAGTTGCTTGATGAATTAGAATGCATAGTGCTTCTGGAATGAAAGAAATGGTATTGGTTTTTACATGGAGGAACCCACAAACACAATCCATGGTGACTTCCCCTCCCAGCTCCATCAGCTCCTGAAAATAATCAGAATTCTTTGTTAGCTACAGTAATTTCATTTTAAAATTTTATTTATTTAAAACTTCTTTATATTGTCTTACATTTAAAAACAGGTGGTGGTTGTTTAGTCGTTTAGAGCAATAGCCACAGGAGTCTTACGGGACAAACACAGCAATCTGGTATTAATGAGCTGCAAAGGTCTGGGAGAACATATGTATTTTTTGCAGGTTCTGGAAACCCAAGTACAGTAGGGAGGATCCTGTTCCAAAGGGTGGGCACCATAACAGAAAAGGCCCTCCCCCTTTTTGCTGCAGCATGGACCTCAGCAGACTGTGGCACAACCAGGAAGACTTTATTAGATCATAGTAGGTCTTTATGGGAGAAGGTTTTCTCTCTGGACTCAAATTGTTTAGGGCATGGTAGCCCTACGTTTAGCACATCCTGGATTCACCTCTATACACACACACACACACCTGGCTATCTCAAAGGAAGCAATGATGGACAAAGGTCAAGGGGGCACTTGGCCAGCTGAACTTTACTTTAGCCCACATTCTCAAGCTCAAGCTGATCCACAAAAGCTGACTAGATGGAGTGTCAGGCACATCACTCAGACATGTTACTGTGGTGTCCTAGGTCTTGAAGGCAGGCAATTTTGTCCACAAAGTGCCTTGGAAACTTCCAAACACAACCAATCAATAAGTCACCCTCTGGTTATGCAGTATGTAGAAATATAAATCTCACACCACCACCAGCACATCTTACAAGAGGAGGATGTCCTTACAGTTATCCAGACACCAAATACCCCACCCAACCATACAATTCACCTGACTTACGCTTGGGAGCCTCTCCCTCCAACCACCAGTCAAGCTCTCACCTGGACAGCTGCTCTCCAGATACCCCTGGCTCTCACCCAGAGGTGTCTTTTCACATTCAGCCTCACCCATAGCTCTCACCTAAAGTGACAACACTTCATTGAGCAACCCACTTCACCAGTCAGCCAAGGGGATGGCATCCCTTTGTGTTACCACAAGGGCAAGGGTGCCAAATGTTGTCTAAGCATCTCAGAGCTGCCACTCTCTTCCTCTCTCACCACCAGCATTCTTGGTCTTGTCAGTTGTCTTCTAGGACAATTTGAGTTTTGCATCTTTGCATTCATATGCTGTGGTTAAGAAATTTGATGAGAATTTTTTTTGTCCAAATAGTTAAACATTTATTTTAGTAGTTGGAGCTATTTAGCATAAGAACATGAATGGGGTTTTGATTTGAAAAATCTTGACATGTATATTTTATATTCAGGATATCTACATTGAAGTTTCTCCTGGCACCTACACAGTCTCTGCCTCTTCGTATGACAACACAGTCAAACAAACACATCTGGTAGATGTTCGGTCAGGAGAAAGCGTAAATTTGACCTTTGATTTATGACTGATAGTCTTTCTGTTTCATCAAGGTAACAAATGAAATAGATTTTGGCGTCTTTCAAGTGTCACTTTTTAAATAAATTTTTCTCAGGCTATTTACCCTATATAATTAAATATGATCTCAGGTTTTATGCTGTCTGTATATTATAGTGTGAAACTTTGTTCACATTTGCCCTAACTTGAATCATGTGTATTTTCACTTTTATACTATGCAATGCCTTGTAAACAATAAATTTAAAAGTGCAAATGTTTTTGAAAAGACTTTAAATTCTTTGTCATTTGCCTTTCCGAAGGAACTGCTAATGTAATGGCAGAGGCTATTGAAATGAAATCAACAGAATAGAAAGGGGAGTCTTATTTAGTTACGTAGTTCCAGGTAACCGCAGAGTGCACCATTTAGTCAGTCACAGATATTGGTGGTCGAATCCTAGACTAAAATGCTTTGCTGCTAACAGAGCATATTTATTCATCTGGAAAACATGAGTTTGACCAAACTGCGGGGGGCAGTGGAAGACAGGAGTGCCTGGTGTGCCCTGGTCCATGGGGTCACAAAGAGTTGGACACGACTAAACGACTAAACAACAACAACAACAACAACTTCCCTTTTTGTTAACCTGGCTGGTCCCGAAAGTCCAAAAACAGTTACTTCAAAATATATTTGAATTTTCTGTTGTACTGTGGTTAGATGCACTGATCTCCCCTAGGGCCCATCCAGTGTTGGAACAAGAGAACACTTGTTAATTTGCTGGGGAAATTACCATATATATAATTTATTAGATGCTAATGATCCAACATCATTATCCTAAATATCTTAATATATTCTTGTGGACCCACAAAAAAGTAGAATAAAAAACAAGCATATGCTTTCAGTGGAGGGTGGTTTTTTCTTTTCTTTTTTACTGTGTTCCTTGCTCTCCTCCTGAGGATGGTTCGACATCTTTGTGACCCAAGACTTCCTTCACAGTAAGTTGCCTTCGAGGAGACTGTTCAATAGTTTCAAACATGGCACTGTGGTTGATCAGTGCAGTTGGGGATGGATCCATATAAGGAACTGCTTTGGTTTCAGATCTTTCCTTTCTGCGGGTGCTGTCCAAAGTATAATTGGTTCCTATACATGATAGTATAACACTTAATTTGTGAGTAGTTAGACGAAGACAAAATAATCAAACAAGGTATGAAATAGGGAACCGAGTGTTTTGGGGGTCCCCCCCCCTCATGATTTATTATTTCAACATCCCTCTCTTCTGTTAAGGCAATTGGAGACAACTGTGGGGGGGTTTTGGCTCACGATTTGACTCGATATATATTACTACTTCATGCAAATTATTTCATAAAATTTATACACCACTTGATTGTAAAAATAAAAAAAACCCTCAAGTGCTTTTCATCTACACACACACACACACACAAACAAACAAACACACAGTTAACAAACCAGAAATCCCCAAGTATGTTAGTATCTGTGATACCATTAGCAGAAAAATCAGTCTCAGTATAGCTGTTCACCTCAACCAGTATGATAATGCCAGGTAGTTTTTGGCACTCTTCAACCTTCCACTTTAAAGCTCATTCAAAGTAAATATTGTGTACCGTGGCTGTTATGACGAGAGTTGGGATGGCTTCTCTTCCAGTATTTCCAACAAGGTCTCCTGATTTCTTGCAGCTTGGGCTTTTCAAAAAGACTAGAATCCGTGTTCACTGCATGATCTACCATTGTGGTCTTGGTCAAACCTGTTTCTGTACCACTTCTGGAACCGGAGGAGCATGAAGACGAAGAGCTGGACACAACAGTGGCTGCTTCTTCCTTTGGAGGCCCTTCCACTGCCAGTAATGGTTTACTGCTGAACTCTTCTTCAACATTTCTCTGGGATGGTTCGGTTAAAGAGGGTGGCCACCAGCAGCCACTGTATTTAGGACAGCAGCAGGAAACGTACTGTGGATGTCCAAGGAATGAGCATGTGTGTTGAAAGCACCTGGAGCAAGGGGAGATGAAAGAGCAACATGGCCTCTGGAGCCGGCAGAGGCCACCTACAGCGCATCCATGCATGGAGCCTGTTATAGCCCTACATGAGCCACTGTAGTGACCGGGTCTTTGGAGTTGCCCTTCAGATGCTTTCCTGCTGGTAAGGGGCATCCGGATCATCTCCACAATCCTCTCCCACTGCACTGGGGAAATCCACAGGGCTACACCCAATGGGACTTTGGCTTTCTTGCCATTCCAGAAGCTGACTATAATTTCTTCATCTTCTTTCCCTGTTTTGAAGAGAAAAATATAAACTGGGGAAAGCCGTCACTCTCGTTATTTATTAAATTTCTATCCTAATTTTAAGGAAGGGACTGGGGCTGTGGTGTTTTTATTGTATGTTTCTGTATGTGATCTTTTACATGTATATAAATGCTTAATTGTCTAAATAAAGTATATTTCAAAAAATCTATTCTGCCCTTCTTCCCAAAGGAGCACAGCTAATGCTAATAATAGTTTGTCAGTTTAAATCAATCTGATTATGTAGCCACAAAAGGGTGGTCTTTATATTTCCAGTCTAGAAAGTATGCATAATAATTAAATACCTGTTTGAGGGTTTTAAAAAAAAATATTCACCAGAGCTTTGACATAAGCAGTATTTTCCCACCATATGCATAATTTAATAGTAAATGAAATACGAAGAGTAAATGAAAACCACAGGAGCTTACTGCACTTCCTATGTTCAGGGCTATATTATACATATACACACAAAAAGCTAGTTCAGCTACTGGCTCATGTTAAAAAATAAACTGGGTTTTACCTCTCAAGGGATCCCTGGTTTCCATGCCTTGGATGGTAGTGCCAGGGCCATATCTTTTTTGCTGTGGCTCCCAGGGTGCCAGCACTTTATCACCTGGCAGTATGGAATGCCTCATTCCATTCACACACTCAAACATGTCACTGCTGGCTGTTTCTTGCACGCATGTTGTGTCCTCACTCAGTCCAAATGACTTGGCAAACTGTACAAGAAAGGTTCTTTTCTCACCCTGGTGCCAGAAACAAGATGGGGAATTAAAATGAAAAACTAACAAGCTTTAGTCATCTATGATAGCTTAAGAAATGAAGGGCGGGAAATGCAGGATGCTGGCCATGTTAGTACCAAGTTTTTGATGTTGAAGGAAAATGTTAAGCTTGTGTCTTTTCATGCATGGTTTTAAAAAAGTTGGTCAGGGTGGCAAGATAACAAGAAAAACAATTTAACTAAAGCTGTAGAAAATAATACTATACCAAAAAAACAACAACCTTTTGCTGTTGAGGTTGAAAACATGCCGCTGTTCAGCTGGCATGCCTGGAAAAACTGTATTCTCAAAGGGCAAGTTCATAATAAAATGCTAAACAGATGTAGCTCAGTGGAAGAGGATGCACTTTGCGGGCAGAAATCCAGTTTAAAAGAATTAACTAATAGATGGTATGGAAGACCTCCGAATGAGACCTTAGGCAGCTACTGCCAGCCAAGAGTAAAGAGTATTGGGCTAAATGAACAATAATCTGGTATAAGGCAGCTTCCTGTGTTCCAACCGCTGGTAACAGCTTTAGGAATTGCAAAATGCATATGGGGTTCACCTGCCTACAATGGCTCCCCTATTAATTTCCAGAGAGGAGCATTACAGTAGGCTATGGGCGTAGCCAAGGGGGTGCAGGGAGGGGCAGCTCTCCCCCCCCCATAATCAATAAAAATACATAGCTAACTGAGGTTCTCCACCCTAACAAAAATCCTGGCTACGCCTATGCAGTGGGCACATCTCTGTGTTGGGTTGGCCACATTTCCTATGTTACAGAGAGCAGTCCTCTAATTGAAGGACTTATCAAAGGACAGGCAGCCTCTACTTAAAAGTGTCCTTTAGTCTAAAGATTAAAGAACCATTAGAAGGAAGAACTGGAGCCTTGAATTTGGCCATCAACAGATAGGACCTGGACCAAAGACTGAGCTGGCACGTAGGTCCCAGTTTCCCCCACTTACGGTGAGATATATGGAATTTATTTATACGTTACATTCATCTGATGGCATTCAGTTAATGAGTCCCATCAGTGGAAGCCTGCACAGTGACTTAGATTTGTACAATGGGGCTTTCCCTCATCTCTTTCACCTGTGTTCTGCCTGTGCTCCCCAAATTGACTTGGGGGGGGGATTGGGAGCACCCCTAGAATAGCATGAGGAGGGAGGAGAGGGGGATTGTTCTTTCTGGCAAGCTTGTCCTGATAGTATTATCAACATAGTACAATGTTGAATTCTTCCCAGTATTTCCCCATCTGCACCTATATGTATGAATAAGCATATGCAGTTTTTATGCTAATCACATTTTGTCCTTTTAATTAAAAAATCCTCTTTTTTTAGCAATGCATAAGTGGCCACCATGTTGTGTAATGAAAGGAATCAAACACTACAAAACAAAAATATATTCTTGCCAGTCACTCCCACAACATGCTGAATACCAGGCATTTCAGATTTGTCAGTCTTCCAGAAACTTTGATAAACAGCCTTGCCTTTTTCTTACACTTCAAAAACAGCACAACATTTTTTTTAAGTTTCAAGTGCTAACAGCTAATGAATTGAAGGTTGTTTTTCCTGTGTACAGAGAACAAAAAGTGTCAAGTTTATATATATTAACACACTAAGACATTTCCAGCAAGTATAATGTCCATCTGTTTACTCATAACAACGGATGGGATATTGTCCCCAAACAGCATAAATCTCCAGATACACTTGGCAGGAAGGTTTAAACACACACACACACACACACACTAAAACCTGTGCCAACAAATTGGACAGAGACTTGGGTCACAGCCACACCACACATTTCAAGCACATAGCTTTCCCTAAACTAAGAATTTTGGCAATGGTAGTTTGTTAAGGATGCTGGGAATTGTAGGTCCATGAGGGGTAAACTACATTTCCCAGAATTCTTTGAGGGGAACAGCATGTACTGTAAATGTATGGTGTAGCTGTGACCTTGGCAGCAGTTCTAATTTCTGAAGGTCTCATGCAAGATGGACCTCAGACAAGTCAAATGAAATCTAGAAATTTCTGAAAATATGGGAAAGTGGTTGTCAAATGGGGCTGAAAGCTTGGTGGTAATGTGACACAATTTTCAAATACAGATTGTAGCAACTCTGTGCAATAAATGGCTAGAGAGTGATCCTCATGATCCATCAGAATTCCCAATTATTTAGCAGGTAAAAGGAGGGAAGGATGCCACTTAATCAGCAGGATGTATAATATTAAAGAGTTTTTTTCTCCATCAAAATGAGGCAGACACAAACTTCCGTTGAATGCAGCAGTTGTGATTGACATACACCCCTTGCCCAGAATCTGACGCCTTTAGCAGAATCCATAAAGATTCTGGGCTGAATTATTAATGTCTCATCTACACATGCCAGAAAAAAAATCATATAGCAACTTGCCTCTATAATAGCTTTTATTATTGTGCCAGGATAATAATAACCATCAGTTTCTCTTCTTGCCAAAACAGGAATGCCAACAGTGTCCAAGGATCTCTCCAAGTTTTTTACTGCCTCACATGCTCTAAGAGGAGGAAAATGGAGGCAGTGGCCGAAATGTAAGCACCTTCAAATAACAGAGACAGTGTTAATGCTTGTTTTATCTACACATGACAAGAAAAGCTACTTCCTCTACAACAGCTAGAACCTTGATGCAGATGCAAAAGTTTTACCTCAGGAGTATTATTCTTCTGTACCCCTGTTTTGGCATCAACAATACCCCTCACCCCACTTGGAAAATTCAGAGATGTATCTACAATGCAACTTCTATGACTGAACGCTGGAATGGAATTTGCATACGAGAGCTGGCATTTCAAAATGCAGCTCTTGTTTGAACTCTTCAGCTTTAGTCTGCCCACCCCCATACACACTTTTTATTACCTTGTTGTGATGAGCGGTCTAACAACACAGGCGGGATGTGCTGAAATGTCACCAGTGCAGGTGGAACTGGGATTAGCTGTGAAGCTGCTATGCACAGGTTTAGCTGGTGCTAGCATTGCACAGCAATGGCTGTGGTACGGCAAAGAGAACCAGGTGCAGCCATCCATTCCTTTCAAAGTATTTCCCTACCAAAAAAGAAAAGGAAAAAAGCAACCACCCCATAAGGCACGTTAAGTATTCTGAAGGAGGAAAACATGTCACCATGACATAACAGTAATTGCGGCCACTGCTCAAGCTCATAGCTTCGGAGAGTTCTCCTGAATGTCATCTGCAACAGTTATGAATCAGGCCCTAACGTCTTACATTGAATGGGAATAGATTTGAAAGTACTAACTACTGGTAAGGAATTAAATTCTTTATCTGGACCAACTTTTTACAAAAGCACAATTGTGAGGAATGGCTAAGTTCTGCTTGGGATTTGAAGGTGGTGAGCAAAACTGACATTGCTATAGGACTAGCAACAGCAGCAGCATCAACAATGATAACTTGATAATCCCCATTTGGTGTCTTCACTTGTATGGTCTTACATTTTAAAGAGCTCCATCTCCATTTCCTAGCCGCCATCCCACAGAATAATACCACAGTTTGTCAGTTGCAATACTGTGCTCTTTTTTAAGGATTTAGGATTCCCCACTAAATACAGCATTTAAGATTATGTTTGAATGTGGAATTCCTGGAATCACAAGGGAGAAGAAGGGAAGAAGGTAGATGAAAGTCTACTGGTAGACTTTTTGGTTTTTGTTCTGTGAACCGCCCTGAGACCTCTGGGTATAAGGCGGTATATGAATTCAATAATTATTATTATTAATAATAAATCTCTATGTGATTATTAATTCAGTTCAAGTGCAAGAAAATGTGTGGAAAATACCCACCACTTCAGTATAAATAAAGCTGCAATGGTAGACACGCTCACATGGCAATATATCCTAGTGGTGCTTGCTTCTGAATAGACATGTATAGGTTTGTATTGTGATTTTTTTATGAAATACAGCAACTTTTTATGTAATACAGAAAAAAAAACCAATGTAGCGTGGAAGTAGTAAGTACACACCACACAGTTTGGACCAAACAACAACAACAATGGCTGTGCATTTTTGCATAGGTCTCTGTTTGTAAATAAATTCTCTGAGCTTTGTGGAGAAGTTTAAATCTTTTTGTCCAGAACAGCACTATGTATCCTTTTTGCTGCTATTGCCAAAATCAGTGGAGTTGGGGGTGGGGCAGAGGGAGGAAGATTTGCTTGAGAGCCAGATCAGGTCTCCAGAATGGGGGTTAGCCACCTAACACAGGGGTTCTACTCAAGATTATCCTCAACCATCTACATTGCTAGTGGGGCAACTGGGTTATTGGTGTAGGTAGGATTTTGCAACCTGCATAGTCAGTTTGCCGTTGTCAGTTGCAATATGCCTGTTTTTCCAGAAACATTTCCCACATCTCTGCATATCACATTAGAGGTTGGTATGGGAATTAGACAAATCAAATCTATTAATAAGGCAATCAAATACAGGTTATAGCCAAGAGAAACATTCGCCCTGCTTCCCTTTGTGCACTCCATAACCTAACCAGAAACATAGGAATAGGTTATATAGGTTGTGCTCCCAAAGTACCTCATGATTCAGAAAGCACCTCAGGTAATGCTTCCATAGTTGAAATAGGTTTAGAAAAAGTCGTTCCATTTAAGTCATGCAAAATTATGGTGGGAAAATATTTTGATCTGCTCTGTGTTCTCTTGTGCTTCATAATCACTGCCTTCTTGCAACAAGGGAATGATCATACAGAGAAATGGCATGTGAAGAGAGAACTTACTCTGCAGCTGTCAAGGTAAGATTTGCAAGGTGACAGTAAATGCCAGGCATTTATCAGGCATGCTGGCAAAAAGATTTTGTAGCGCTTCAGAGATTGATACAATCTGACTTGATTATGGGTGTCAGCATTAAAAAGGAGATGGGTGTTTTTGAGAGTGCTCATCATGTGCTTATTATTTTGTTGGTTAACTGTTTTAGCATTTCCCAGGAGTAAAAACAAAAACAAAAGAGGTTTGAGGGCTGAGAGACAGGGCTCACCTCTAACAGAAGGACTCCCTTGAGAAAATATGTAGCAACTGTGCAATCATTAAGACATCAAATCATCTGGAAACTGTCTACTGCTGACATGCTAATTCAAGCATAATCAAGACCTATATTATCAGTGCTTCACTTCTATTTTATTCTAACTAGGCCTGTCAACCAAATAAATAAAATTTACACCTGCTTTCTTGCTGTTAATTGATTACAGTATATCACATGTAAATCAATTAGCATATTCCAAAAGTTAAAGCATATACGGTAATCTTTATTACCTGCCCTTCATTCTAAGGTCACAAGGTGCAAAGCAGCAGTAAAACTCATTAAGAACTATTTAAAACAACTAACAACAATAAACAATTTGTTTATTCAACTGTAAGGTGCTATCTTATGCACACATACCTGTTCCAATGAAATCAGTAGAACTTACTAAGTTACCATCCATTGGAAATAAAGATTATTTTTAATGCTTCTCTATTACAGTAACACAAATAGCACCAAATATATACCCAAATCTACCAAGTAAATTGAAGCCATCTACCAACTAAGCCAGCAAGGGGGAGGCAATCCTAAAACTCTTCAGTCCATTGATTTGCTAAAATAGTAATTAGAACTCACCAGATGCTTGCAGTACTAAATGCTGGGATCTTTCAGTTGGCTTGACTTCAACAATACGGCACCTCTCTGCTGAGAAGGAGTGTTATTGGTGGCTGTTTTCTGTTTCTAAGCTGGTTGCTATAGAGTCACTGCAAACAGGAACTTGTGTCTGATAGTACAGAATGTGTGAAACACACACATTCATACTGTGTGAATATCAGCTGTGAATGTTTTCTCAGGTACATTTTATTTCTAAACTCAGTAACACTAAATACTGAAGAAAGAAAAATGACAAGGGTAAAATGAAGATTGTCCAGAGAATGCTCAAGTCTAATGAAAAGAAATACAGAGGTACCTCGGGTTAAGAACTTAATTCATTCTGGAGGTCGATTCTTAACCTGAAACTGCTCTTAACCTGAAGCACCACTTTAGCTAGTGGGGCCTCCTGCTGCTGCTGTGCCGCCGGAGCACGATTTCTGTTCCCATCCTGAAGCCAAGTTCTTAACCCGAGGTACTATTTCTGGGTTAGCAGAGTCTGTAGCCTGATGCATATGTAACCTGAAGCATATGTAACCCTAGGTACCACTGTAAAGAAAAAACAAATGCTCAAAGTCACAGTGCACTCTGCACTATAGAGCCTTTCTTCAATAAAAATATTTCTTTATTATTTCACAAGATTTCTATACCATTTGATTGTAATAAAACATAAGAGCAGTTTACATTAAACACACACACACAAATTAAAATCATTATCTATTAAATGTAGATAATTGATAAAGATAAAAACTATTCAGCTAGCTGCAACCACAGTTCACTTTGAGCAGCATCTCATTTCTACTCTGCAGAAATTTATTTAAATGTGACAAATAAATAACTTTATTAACATGTATTTGGTTGAAAGAACTATTTTAATAGTTGTTTTAACTGTTGTGTTTTAATGGGTTTGTTTTAGTGCACAATTTAATTGTAGCTGTTTATTTTAATATTTTTGACATACTTTTTTATTGTACATTTATATTTTTTGTAATTGGTTTTGCACCTATGAATTGCCACTTTGGCAATTAAGCATGATATATATTAATAAATATTACTACTAATAAAGCCATGTGGAATGAGGACTTTATAAGAAGATTCAAGCTTTTTCTATATTATTGGGGGGAGGGGTGTTCCTCCGATTAGCAGTTCAAAGACCACTGAAGAAGCATCCTTCTTGGAATGTCTATATCAGTAATATTTATGATGCTCAAATCCTCAAGTAAACAATGGAACAGTACAATAAAATTGAGAGAACCTAAGGTAAGTTTGTTAGTTTCTTTATATTCTTGAAATAGAGGGAGTAACAGGAGGTATAGACACTCCTTCAGCTTCATTTCTTCCACTCACTATCGATGTTGTGACACTTAATTGTCTTTCTCTCACTGTGTGTCCGTATAATACAACAAACTTCTTCTAAGATATAGTTTGATCATGGAACAAGGATTTATTTAGATTTCGAAAAACAAAATATCCAGATAAAATTAACTCAATATTGGCATTTCCAAAGTTTGTGTGTTTTTACAATACTGTCTTTTTTCTTGTTGCTGTTACAACAGTCAAGTGGTTTCCAGTTTATACATTCTGTGCAAACAGAAACTTTATACATTTTATCAATTTATAGAGAAACTTAAATTATATATATTTTTTATAAATAAGTGTTAGCAAAGACAGATAGGTTACTGTTCTCAGAAAGGAGCAGAATCTTTTTATTAAAATATAACCTAAAGCATTCAGCTTGAGTTGACACATTGGTGTCCTCCCCCACCCCCTTGTAACCAAAATTAACCACGTATTACTGATCTCTCATCTCAATCTGTTAAAATGATTCCAGCCATTTCAATCATTTGAAACTTCCACACATTTTAGCAAGATTCATGTCATCACAGTCACAAGCCCTGAAATCACCACATTTTGTATAGCAAGTTCAGTCTTACAAGCATCTTTGAACAGGCAGGGTTGTCTTTGGAGCTTCCAGAGAAGACTTTATTTGCTCTCAAGCAGACTATGAAGCCCTTGGAGCGTGATCACTTTGAGAGCTATCTTTGGGTGCATGGTGAGCTTCCCTGCTATTCTCCTCTGAATCATTGTAAAGCACAGATTGGAGATACCTGATGTATTTAATTGCAGCTCGGAGTGTTTCTACTTTGCTGAGTCGTTTCTCTAGGTATTCGGCAGGTAGGTGATGTCTGAGTTTGGCGTAGCCTTCGTTGACACACTTTACTCTCTGCCTTTCCCTTTCGTTCCTTTTTCTGATGAATGCTGGGCCACAAGAGTACTCGCATCTGCCAAAATTCCCACAGGGACCTTGAAATGGGAACGCACAAGGATCGCTGTAGAAATTCTCAGCCGTCAGCTGCTCTGGTGTGAAAGGAAGCAGAGGCAAATCTTCGGGGCCAGCGAATTGGTTTGGGATCTCTGGGTAGAAATGGAGTGCAGCATAAAGGTCCCTGCAGCCAAGTCTAGACATCTGTCCAGCGTGGGAGTCGCTTAAGACGGGCAATCTGTCCATGGCATCCCAAAAGCTTCCCAAGCTGTGGTGTCTCAGGTATAGAGCTAGAAATGGAGAACTGTGTATCAGCTTTAGTGATTCATACATTGCAATAGGCTAGGTGTGATTGTCAGTATTTTTAGTGCACTTCTGATATTATGCAAATATGTGGGAGACAGCAATGTTGTACTGACCTATTTAAATACAGTGTTCCATATGCAAAGGAGATACTTTAAAATAATCAATATAAGCATAGATACTTGCAACTAGATAAATCTCTTTAGCTTTACAGTTGAGGATGTGAAATCATATGGCAGATTTTCCTAGGCAAAAACACATGCCGTTGTCAGAATGACTGGTACATGAACTTCTCCATTATTCCCTGTACCCACTCTTTTTCTCTGCAGTGTGTGCCTCGCTATTCCTATTACTTACGCTGATTATTAGCCCAGGGAAAGAGGGGGGTTGTCTGTGGAAAAGCTTGAAATGTGCTTAACTCTCTCACTGAAATTATTGAGGCCTACATGTATTCAATTGTGCCCCATATCTTTTAACAGAAACTCTCCTTTTCAGGCTGTGCCTAACATCAGAATTCAAAATTTGCCAACTCCTCCAGCTAAAATAATGTTGTATCTTTTATTCTGTAAGATAGCAACTCAACAGCTTCATATAGCAAATAATGCGAAAGGTAAGGGTAAATTAATGTTTCTCATCCTCCCTTCCAATACATTATTTTTATTATAAGCAATAGTGTAAGAAGTTGTTTTCTTCCATTTATCAAGGATTACTGGATCAGCTTGCTGGCAAATATCAAAGTATTACTCTGACTGCAGGCATGTTATTTAATTGCATATAATCTATGTGGTTAGGATTTAATGGGAAGTTGCTTAGAGAGCAATCAATCTCCTGTAATGACTCAGGACCCACCAGCTGACCTTCAGAACATGTAAGGGATGAAATTGGCTCTCCCTGTGCCTCACAATCACACTTGTCAGTTTCCACCAGCCTACTCCAGCACAGAGAATTCCATAACACATGTACAGAAGAACGCCCCCCCTCCCCCTGCAAACAAATTGGGTCTGCAGCCTGTAATCTCGAGCAAGGAAGATTTAACTGAATTATAGAATCATAGAATTGTAGAGTTGGAGGAACATCTAGTCCAACTTCCTCCAATGCAGGAATCTCAACGTGTCTGGTCCCCCATCCAATTTGAAACCATACCAGACACTGCTTAGCTTTGCAAATGTGCTAGGAGTTTTATATTGCTAAACAGCAATCAATGAAACATATTTATTGATCATGCATTATAAAAGCTGAATCAGTAAATTGTCGATAATAAAAATTGTCTATAATAAAAATGTCAATTAATGTTTGCATTTTAACATTTGGAAAGATTACTGAATTCACCAAACCTTTAACTTGAATTAGAAACCTCAGTTAACTGAATTATTTACTAAGAAGTAAAGTCTCATTAATTCAAATAATTTGCTCTATTCTTTCTGAAATTTGCCTCAGTGCCTAAGACAAAACACAAGATCATAAAACAAAGCTAAGTTTTTCATTCCTAGACTTGCTTATGGTGAAATGGAAAAGAATCCCCAGAACCACAAGGAAAAATCTAGAATATTAGACAGGGACTGAACTTCAAAATTCCACACTAAAATTATGTATTTTAGTAAGCTGATTCTTATAGCTGTTCTCTGTAGATCTATTCTATAAACTAGAGCTCACAAAGTATATATTTATCATGTGCGTCATTTAAATTTAACAATCTGGATTAATATTAACAAAAACCATGTAACATTTTGCTATTAGCCTCTATCTACCTTACATTCCTTACCTGAGTTCCACAGTTCTTGTGCCTGTTGGACTGAGTCAAAAGACAGATCTAAATTTATAGTCAATTGACAATATGCAAAGTAGCTTACAGTTAGATCTGCTCTTTTCTGGTTTAGCTTCTTCCACCCACACTGCAGCTATAAAGGCAACAAATATTAGAATTATGGGATAGAAAGTGTAACGTATTAGATGGTTTTTATGGTTTCAGACAGAAGCATATTTATACACTGCCAATGCGTAAGTTGTTGTAATAATTTACTAATTTTTATCAAATAAATGTTCATATTTACACTGTAGAATAATTTGCTAGATCTTGAATACTTTCCCCACATATTTCTTCAGGTGTGTTAAACACACAAATCAAATCTCAACCAATTTATTTCAGACTATCTTTATAGTTATAATAAATGCCTGTGAATGTGGATATTTACAAACCAATTTTAGAAGGCCACTGGGAAATCATAAAATGCTGACATTTCTTAGTAAAAGTTAAGGCCAGTTCACTGTCCAGTCATCACCAATTTCATAGACTCATAGAGTTGGAAGGGACCCCAAGGGTCATCTGGCACAACCCCCTGAAATGCAGGAATCTCAACTAAAGCATCCCTGACAGATGGCCATCCAATCTCTGCTTAAAAACTTCCAGTGTCCATCACCTTTCAAGGGAGTCTGCTGCATTGTCAAACAGCTTTTACTATCAGAAACTTCTTCCCGATGTTTAACTGGAATCTCATTTCTTGTAACTTGAAGCTATTGGTTTGGATCCTACCCTCTGGAGCAGGAGAAAACAAGCTTGCTCCATCCTCCTTGTGAAAGCCCTTTAGATATTTCAAGATGGCTATCATATCTGCTCTCAGTCTCCTCTTTTCCAGGCTAAACATACCCAACTCACTCAATCATTCTTCATAAAGCTTGGTTTCCAGACTCTTGCTCATCTTGGTTGCCCTCCTCTGCACATGTTCCAGCTTGTAAACATCCTTCTTAAATTGTGGCACCCAGAACTGGACACAGTACTTAAGGTGGGGTCTGACCAAGGCAGAACAGAGCGGTACTATTACTTCCCTTGATCTAGACACGATACTTCTGTTGATGTGGCCTCAAATAGCATTAGCTTTTTTTTGCTGCTGCATCACACTGTTGACTCGTGTTAAACTTGTGGTCTACTAAAGCCCCTAGAGACTTTTCACATGTACTACTGACAACCCAGGTGTCCCCCATCCTATATTTGTGCATCTGGTTCTTCCTGCCTAAGTGTAGAACCATACATTTGTCCCTATTGAAATTAATTTTGCTAGTTTGGGCCCAGTTCTCCACTCTGTTATGGTCATCTTGAATCCCGACTGTGTCTTCTACAGATTTGGTTATGCCAAGCACTCATTTTAAATGTAATTTGTTTAGCAACTTAACTAAGCAGAAAAGTTTAGTCAGAAATTATAAGAAAAGAGCATGTACAAATACAAGTTTAAATCAGTATTTAATGGTATAATTATTTAAGGCTGTACATGTACCTAAGATTGTGTATGGATGTAATTAATAATAATAATAAATAAATAAGCAGAAGAGAGCATACTGTGAAATGGTAACCCCCCAACTCTGCCCCTTCTCTGCTCTCAAGTTCCCTCTTCCACTGGCAGATGATGACTAGAGCAGTAGTTGAGGAGAATTTATGATAAATCTGACCAAATACAGGTAGAGTTCATATTAAAATCTACACTGTTGGCTTATTTTTCCAACATAATTATATCAGTACCATGTAAATCAATGTTCCACATTATGAGGTTATTTGGTTTTTGTTTACAACTCTTGGTGGTCGATCCTTGTGAGTTTATTCATGCTTTCATCACAGATGACGCTCCCCATAATTCCACCTTACTTGGACACAGACACCTGCTTCACACTCTCACCTAGGAGCAAGCTCACCCACAACCAGTCACCACCCATGGGGGAGTGTCCTCACCCTCTGAAAGGAAGAACCCACCCAAATAAACAACTCACCTTTGGTGTCACCCTGAGTCCAGCCCGCCAGTTTCAGCTCACCACTAATGGCAGACTCCACATAGGCAGGCTTCCCCTCTGGAAACCAGAGATAGAGAAACCGGCCACAGCTGTGTCAAAATTCTTACTCTTCATGGGCAGGACCGGCCGGCCAAACATTCTGACTCCTCCAAAGGGCTGCTGTTCTGCAGGTACAGCAGAAAAGGGTTGGGGAGGCTAAGATGGGGTCCACCTCCCAGCCAGCAGTAGCCCAACTACTGCTACCTGCAGGCCACCTGCTCACTTGACCTATATCCATCTTGACTGGCAAGTTTGACCACATGGGTAGAGAAAGTTATGATTCTTTCCTGGGTATGTGATTCCATTTCCTCAGACAGCGACAGCAAGCTCAGAGGGACCTTTTGGAGTGCAACCAACTGCATCCCTGTGGCAACCATAATGGAACTTATGAGCAAGTGGGCAGGCAGTAGTGGTGATAGCAGCCAATACTGCAGTAATAGCTACAGCAGGCAGACTGGCCACCTATAGTGGAGTAGGCGGCAGCTGCAAGGCCAACTGGCTTGTAAACAGCATGGTGAGTGATGCATCAACCACCCTTTGTGATCCGCTGTCCAGGCAAGTATCTCACCATGCCTTGGGCACATCGAAGCTGGACTACGATAACATAATCTGCATACAACTTTTAAAAAGTTTTGGAGACTACAAATGGAGCATGATGCTCCAGCCAGACTTCTTTCACAGGCCTATTACCATATATAAAGCCTATTTCTCTCAGTTCTTTTGGAGTTCAAAATACTGGTCCACACCTTTAAATATATTGGGCCTAAACGATATACGGTTTTTAAGGCCTGCCATTTCCCATGCATAGTGTCCACCTATTGGGTTACTGGTGCTGTGGCCAGTATTTTATTTAGCTGGGCCTTTGGCACTGAGGAATTCATGTTGCCCTGACTATTTTGCCTTACTGCGGTATTACAGTCACTATTATACTCTGCTGCATTATGTTTTCAGTAATTGTAATGGGGCGATTTATTTTGCTTTCATTGTTGTAAGCTGCTTTAAGGGCTTTCAGGCAGAAAAGCAGTCTAAAAATAATGCTGCTTTTTAGGGAGCACCAGAGGCTACAAAATAAAAGGAGGTGGTTAAAAGTACCATTGCACGAATGCAAATTTGATCACAGCTTAGGTTTTTGGGAGAAAACTTGTTTTTGCCAAGTATGTTTAGGCCCAAGAGAATTAGGGTTGCAATTCTATGGCCGCTTATCTGGGAGAAGGCCTCACTGAACTCAGCAAGACTTAATTCTGAGCAGACGTCTATAGAATTGCAACTGAATCTAGGTTATATTCTGCATAGACTCCTTGAAATCAATGGAATTAAGTCCAATGACATCAATGGGTTTACTTACATTAATGACGAACATTGGCTATCCCCCTTAGTTGGCTATGTACTTAAATTACCACCACCAAGCCAAACCTTGAAGTCCTCACACTGACAAAACAAACCAGGTTTAAACACACTACCTTAGGATGAAGGAATAATAACAGGCTTTGGTCAAATCAAGTCTTGGGTACACACCCCAAAAGTGTTGTAATTACAGCATGGCTTCAAATGCATTTTGAAAGTATTGCTATGACAAAGAAATCTTTCCTTGTTCTCTTCAAATTAATGACCAATCAAGATGAATGCTCATAGCCAAAAAGAAAGAAAGCACAATGGTTTTGAAATGGTAGAGCACAGCTGTAGGGGGGATACATAGCACTGCAATGGATTCATTTTTGTTCTTGCTGAAGGACAAGATGAGCATTCCCATGCTGCTGTGGGACATTAAAAGGATTTTCAGCGTCTAAAGCGAAAACACAGAAACACACAATAAAGAAGTTCAGCAACCTGTGTACGTTTGGGGCACAGGGGAAGTATATCAGTTATGGAAACTGTGGATACTATTTGCAGAGGTACAAAGCAGCCACAACTGCAATAAGCACACTAGCTTGGTGCGGGGGAGATTGCCTTTTCAAACATCAATATATTGCTTCTGGAAAACTGAAATATTCCCACAACAGAAATGCTGCTTGGACAGTAATTGTTCCAGAGGGCCCAGATGACTAACAGCTGTCTGTTTGTTGCACTTAAAAAAAAATGTTGCCTGCAAATCCAAAAAAACCTTAAAACTAGCCAATTCCAGTCTTAAAACTATGAATGCCTTCAAATGCATTGACCTGATGACTGAAATACCCAAATGGATTCCACATGGTATTTCATTTTAAAATGCTTCACTTGACAAATTTTATGGAATCAAAATAAATTTTCCAAGTATAACTAACTCCCAGGACAAGAGAAGATTCTGAATAATTTATTCGCATTCCGTTATCCAGCTAATTTTTAAAGATTCTTATCATCCACCAAATATTAAGATTTAGATGAATAAATTTAGATATCACATTGTAGACACTTAGCAAGCAACCGAGGAGGTCCAACACTTCCTATTTTGTTCTACATTGTTTCATTTACACAACACTTCAAGTCTCTAGAGTTCCCTGTCTTAAAGTTGCAGAGGTGCAAGCAATAAAATGCATACAACCAGCCAGCTTTAGATGCAACAGCTATACTGAAAGACCCAGGTTTTTGATACACAGCATCAGACAGTTAGAAAAGAACAAATATACATATATAAAAGTTCAATATGTAAAGTCACTTGTAGCAGAAATGTGGCACACCGTCTCATTTCTTCAAATAGATATTAGGGAAACTTGCATTTAAGAAACATAGTGAATCATCTCTCAATGTCAAAATTAGCACACAAATAATAAGCTTATGCTTTATTAGTAAAAGCAACTTAGTGGTGTACTAAAGATTTTGGCTTGTTAAATATTTGAAGATATTCCTTCCCCTCATGTTTGTGCTTCCTTTGCTGCTAACGAGCAAAAATGGTCTTCCGATGAAGTGGAACACCAGGAAAACAATCTGGCACTTTACTTTCCATTAATTCCATTAATTTTCCTCCAACACGATTTGGTGATAATTACTCTACTTATTAACTGAGCACAACATGACGGTCAAACACAGATTTGCGCTGTTCTTGGACTTGGCGCTTCCAACGTTGCTGGGCATACTCCACTTTGTTCAGCATGTTGGCTCGGCTTCGGGAACGAGCCAGCACATCGTGAGCATTTGCAAAAGGCTGGTGATCCTGAAATTAAGGGAGATAAGTTTTCATTATTAAATTGTTATCGCTCAGCATGAAGAAGTTGCAGCTGCAGAAGTTGGCAACCCCTTTTCTGCTGTGCAGGAGATGAAGTGCATTCACTTTGCAAACACAATACTTTGGCACCAAGCAATTAAAAATAGCAAAGTTAGGGTTGAAGCTTGAGGATTCTGCGAGCTTGAGAATTTTTACTTGCACAATAGAACTTCCTCTATTTCTTCTCTCTCCCCCCACCCCCACGCCTCCTCTCCTAATCTGCTCTTCAGAGTTGAAGGGAAACCCCAGAAGAGGTTTATGGTGCACATGGGAAGATGGAAGGAAGGGGAAGTTTTGTTGCACAGCCAAAAGTCCTTGCACTAAGTCAAACAGAACTACTTCATTGGATACTGCCTTGAAAATCAACTAATACTTCCCTGAGACCACTAAAAACCAGTAGATTGTATCCATGTTTTACTCACTGAAATTAATGTAATGAAATTAGGCATATCTAGCCAACGTTAGTACAGCTAATGTTGGTTAAACCCAATATAAATTGTTTTCCAGTGCAAGATTATCAGGAGTAGTAAAAGGATCCTGTGTATTCTTCAGTTTGTAAGATAGCATTGAAATTCAAACTACCAGACACTTGCGACTCTGTCTAAGCAACTACACTACTAATCACCAACACCTATTGTGGTGAAGCTGTTTAGAGTACTCACTCCAAGATGTCAAATAATACTGAGCACACAAGTTTATATTCAATATCTTAAAAGAAAAGCAAAAATACAGCTGTTTAAGGTGACAAAGTTGAACTACTATATTTATGTTAAGCATTCAAGCCACCCTATTACACATACCACTGGATGAATGCCATTCATAAACATCAACATTCAATGCTAAACCTACTGTTCAGATTTTTGGCACTAAGCTGTGTTTTAAAGATTAGCTTTAGAGAAGGGCAAGTATGTGATATATACTAAGGATTAAATATCCACATTGTGAACTGTTTACCATGTTAACATGTCAAAAGTGACTAGTACTTTTAGCAGCAATACTTCAAGGCCTTTAGGATTTTTTTTAAACAGCATACACCAAATTGGAAATCTGACATCAGGTTTTAAGTGAAAAAGTTGCACAAGCTGCCTCAAACAACACCTGGACAAGCCCCAGGAATACATTTGAGCTGGTTAAAATATCCTATACCTGATGGAGCATGGGAAGGAGTGTTTCAGGATCTTATACACACCCATCACCATGTGCATAACATGTGACATGGTCATATGTATAATACGCCTTACCACCCCTATTCACTATTAGGCAAATTGGATGTAGACAACTGAATAATTCCTCTGTGCTATGGAAGATCAGTGAAGAACTGCCACTTGAAGCAGGACTGTGAAGTTTAGGGCCAAGCCTTTGAAACCATCTTCCATCTGGTATTCTTTGTACATCTTTCACCATCAACAAAGATACTCTTGTTTTCCATGGCATTTGCTGTCTGCTGATTAGTACCATTTCCAACGTAAGGGTTGTTGCCTATTTGCTATTTTAGTATTATATTTTTTAAAAAAATATTTATGTTGTATTTTTACATCAGAATTTTGAACGATCAAAATTCAACCTGAAATTTTGCAACTAGGACCTTGAACATATGGATTTTGGAACATATGGAACATATGGATTTTGAATATTATTCAGAGAAATAACTTACCCCAACGTCGTCATCGCTTTGTATTAGCTGTGAATGTCCAAAGAGGCGTCTCTTCAGAATAGGTTCTATCAAGGTAAGATACACCATATACAGCAGGAGGAGACCCAAGATGGAGAGATATATGATGATTGTAACCTACATGGCATAAGACAATAGTTCAGTTATGCCATCTGAAAACACACTAATAGGGAGAATGTTGGCTGGCCAAGTGAAACAAACGGTCTATTACAGCATTGTAAACATTTAGGCATTCCATTCTCAGCAATGTATCCAAATGGACTTTTAAACCACTTAAGCATTTAGCATGAGCAAGTGAAACAAAGAGAAAACACACCAAAGCTATCAAAGGGGTCAAAGAGTAGGAAAATCAAAACTCAATTTCTTCAGATAATATGGGTTCATTTTCTCAGGGAAACTTATCATGGCTAAACAGATGCCCATTCCAACTGAGTCTTTAAAAACAGGAAACAGCAGCAAAAATGGGTTGGAACAGAACCTCTGGATGCAGCACAAAGTGAATTTGTGAAAGAAGATCAACAAGCGGGTGAGGGGCCTGGACTGCTCCAATGTAAAACTTCTCACAAGCTTGCTTTGAATGCCATCCATGAAAGCAGACTGTACATCAATAAACAAGACCAATGTCAGCACAGTAGAGAAAGATTAAGCTGGATGCACAAATTAAGCAATTCTGATGCTGTTACCACAGCCTTGCAAAAATATTAACAAAATATTAAGCAATTCAAGAACTGGACACAAAAATGAACGGGGTGGGCAGATTTACTGTATGTGAGCATTTAAACATGACTATCTCTTATCACTTAATGTTATTTCCAATAATAACTTAAATAATTTATGGTACTGACACCAATAGACCAAATGCTATGCCTGTTAAGCATGCCTTGACTGGCAAAACATGTGCTATGGGGATTAGCCATTGTTGCTTGATAGAAAAACATCACAAATTGTTGACCAATAAACGGTCTAGGAAGCATGAGACTGGCTGCATTCACAAGTGATGCTAAACAATAGTTTAGCATTATGAAGACAAGCCGTAACACTCTTTGACCTCACATGTACCTCCTGCACTCCTCTGGCATTGCTGTGAGGAGCTTGCAAGTTTCCACTTCTATTTTAACTGCAGTTTATTGTGACAACTGAACCTGGACAAACTGTAGAAAGCCCTTAACTGTGGTTAGTAGAAAGAAACCAAATAGGAGAGCTGGCTTATTTACACTAAGCAAAGTACAGAATCAATATTATATAGGGCAAAAATGTTCTTCAAAATCTAGCTACCAACACTCTATTACTGTAGCTGCTGCATCACACACATAATACTCAAGAGTCATTATTTTATTATATTTTTTCTCTGGAAGGATTTTTATGCAATTTATGTAGGTTATGCTATACAAACTTTTATTTTATAGGTTTGTCTAATCTAAAATGTGGATTTTGGCAAAAGTCTTAACTGAACAAATGAGCTTTAACTGGCTTGAGTTTTTAAAAAAGTTAATCAAGAGGTATTTTACTTTAATAGTTTCAGAGCTTCTTTCCTCATATTTGCATTCACAACGTAAGCAATATGCCTCTACATCTGGTCCTGGAACTGGCATAGGCTCCACAACATGAAGACAATCACTGGGTAGAAAGGAAAAAGTGCTCAGAGTAAGTTTAGGTAAAATTATGCATTGCAAAAAACATCTTCTTCAGTGAGAACACATGCTGAATGTACCAAGAACTCACAATCTATTATTCATATTTTTGGAAGTTAGAAATAATTGACATTTAACCCAAATAATGATCTGCTTAAATATTGAATTTGGTGCAACAGAACTTAAGTCACTTAGGAAGAGGAAAACACATTAGAGTACAAATGCCAGCATGGGAGTATCTAAGAGGAGGCCCTGAATCTCTAAATCTCTGTCTGACTTGCTAGGCTCTACTCCAGGATCTTCATCACCATCATGAGCCCTCAGTGGATATCAGCTGTGGTGCATGGAAGTGGTAACACCAGCTGGAGTGACTGTTAAATGTTCAGAGAAGAGATCCTTGCCCTGGCAACAATCCATCTGGCTCCCAAAATCACACATACTGTATCTCTTTACTCTAGCATACTGAAAGGTATTCTGACGTTCAAAAAGAGCATGAAATTGCCTAGGAAGCAATTTGTAGATCTTAGAAAAAACTTATTTCCTTCTTTTGCAGGCAGAAACAACTGTCGAATTGAAGGCGGTGCAGAAGTGGAGTATTTTCAATAGGCAAGCGGTCAGAGAAAGTTAGGCGCGATTGCTACAATTGTCATCTGCTTTCCCTCCTACTTCACATTGTCAAGAGTTCTCCCACCATGTGAAATACCATGCACTCTTTTTATGAAACTACCATGCGTTCTTCCTGTACGATCTACTAAAAGCCTAATCCTATACAGACAAGACAGTATTGGTGTGGAAACCTTTCTTCTCTGGTTTCAAGCACAGAATGAGGCTTACACTGTGAGGAACTGCACTGTACCATCCCTTTATCTTCATTAGAAGAGGGTTTAACTGTATATGCCAGAATGCAGTTACTTTTCTCAGTGAAAGTGAACATGTCCATGAAAAACCAAATTTACAAGTCCTTTGTATATGGCTGCTTTCATATACCTTCTGGGCAACACTTACTTATCACAGCTATTTTATTAATTGTTCCACTCTGTTTGTATTGACTCCTGCATCGTTCAAATGACAAGGGCAAATGATCAAATTCATGATGGCCAACCTAAGGAGATTCAGTACATGGCAAAGGCATTAAATAAGTATGCTACTAGCCTCATAAAACCTTCCAAGCTAATGCCTATGACATCTAATCATTCTGGGTTGAGCCAGAAAGAAGATGAAACCATACTTCCTAAAGTTTGTAAATGAAACCAAACTTCATCCAGTTGGATTACTTTGGTATCATCTAAGGAACATATAGTAGCTATCGCCAAAGGGCATGTTATACATTGGTGTAGCTAGTCATGAAGAAAAGCTTCCAGTCACTACACTAATAGACGGGACTGGTGCCAGCAGTAACCAGCCTGACCTGATCAGGTCACCATTCACTAATCTCCTTGTGGGATGTTTTTCAGCACTATGGAGCAGCCTTGCTTTTGAAAGAAAGCAAAGCTTAGTTCCCATTTGCGGTGGCCACCCACCATTTTTCAAGTTATCCAAAACATAATGTCTGAATGTTACAATGAAATGTATTGATTTCATAGATCCACAGTCCAGACTGAATGGGAGCAGAGCTCATCTTCTGTTCAAAAGTGTTCTTGCCTCTCAACCATGTCTGGGACCATGGTGGAAGGCAGTGAGTGGTTTTGGTGTTGTTGCCACCCTCAGAGTGGTAGCAGTGGTTGTTGCTGTGGCCACCACAAGTAAGCCTGCGCCATGATTGGGTGGGGGTTATTCTGGATCTATTGTCTGCTCTATGCTGGCCCTGCTAACAGAAAAGCACCACAGTGTAGGTATTAGCATTCACTGAGAGGAAATACTGTTTTTCCCTCCAAGACTTGCCCTATATATTGAAAGGCACTATGAAAGCCACTGTTTCAAGTTCATATATACAAATTAGGCTAACCCACATGCCTTTGCTTGACTACTTTTGACAGCCAACTCAAGGTATGCCAAAATATTAGAACTGGAGTTTTGTCTGATTGCCTCAAATGCAAGTGCTTAAAAATAAATCATTTTTGAACTAAAGGCTTTTCTTTCATAAATGCTGTTGTATTTCAGTTCCATCATAAAAAAGAAACTATAGTTTATTACTTATGTTTACTAAATAGCCTGAAATTCAACAGCTCCTTATCTTTTGCCTTTACTGCACCTTTAGGCTCAGCATAAGAATTAATTTCCACATTACAAAATTCTGTATCAACAACAGTACCTTTGAAATGGCAATTAAATAAAGGGCAAACATTTTAGTTAAGAGTACAAGAACAAGACAAAAGTGCCATATACTTACCAGTCTTTCTGTGAAACATTCTTACTGAAAATTTGGCCAGCATGGTCTTTGTAAGGAGGACAGATGCATTTACATCGGACATCTTCAGAATTCTGAAAAATAAACACAAGCTTAGAACTAAGGGATGTGCCATCAAGAACAAAACATAAAAACAATCAACAGGAGAAACATGTTTAAAAAATAATACTTAAGAGTATAAATGACGTATAATGACAATAGTGCCTCTCTTTTTACAGAGTATTTATGATTTTTACCCTGTTGGAATTTATATATGTCTTCAAAGGCTTCAACCTACCTTCTAAAAAATGAATAACAGAAAGAAAACTTAACAAAAATTACACTTCTGATTAGATGTTTGGCTCTATAAATTGAACCATGCTTGATCAAGTTAATTTGACTAGAACTGTAAAAATGGGAACTAGATAGATTATCTCCTTTGGTAGTGTATTAATGCGAAGTCAACACACCTCAAGCTATGTACCTTGAAGCCTTTCAGCAGCTTTGAGAAACAAGGTAAATCTTGCTACACACTTTTTCCACTTTTAAACTCCAGCAATAAACCCAGGGATTCTGAAATCCCCCACTCCAACACAAAATATCTTCCATTTCCCACTGTTCCTCAAAGCCATCTAAGCAGGCAATCTTTTATACCAGTTTATACACCACAACTCATCATGAAACACCCAAACACAACCAGTTGTGCTTGATCTTTAAAAACAACTCCTACATTGGTCATGTGGTTCGGATGCGTATCATCTTCCAAAGCAACTACTCTATTCCCAACTTAAGAATGGAAAGCAAAATACTGGTTTAAAGACGCTCTTGAGGCAAATCTTTAAAATGCAGTCTGCAAGCGTACAATTGGAGAATAGCCTTTGCCAAAGGCGTCATGGACTTTGAACATGAACTCAGGAGGAAAGGGAGAAACGAGCTAAGAGTAGGGCACGTCAAATCCTCACCCAGAAAACTATGGCCTCCACAGTCACTTACGGACACATTGCTAAGACTGTGTTCATGGAAGACAATTTTACTAGGCTATGAGTGATTGCCAAAGAAGAAGAAAAGAAGACATCTACAGATGTCTAAATACACAAGATGACAACATGAACAAAGGATAGGAATGCAAGACAGCAGTCAGAATTAGAAGCATCATAAAAATCCATAGTAACTGCTGTTGGCCACAAACATGATGCTAAAGCTAAAGGTGGCCACTGAAACTCTCAGCAAGCCCAAGTCAACATCAAATACTATTCAGTTAAGTGGAATGTATTTCGAAGTTGAACATGTTTGTAATTATAAGCTTAAGCAAAATGCCTCCCTTTGCTCTTCACGACATCTGAAATGAGAAAACGACAAACATTTCCGGGTGGGGTAAATCGGATAAACACGTATGACATAGCAAAAACCTCCCTGTCCGAAAACCGATTCTTTCTGCTGTGCTTTGCAATCCTCCTACCTCGCCCTACCACTTTTTCTTTTCTTTTTTCTTTTTGAAGGAGAGCTTCTACATGCGTTCTGCTTAAGGGATATTTTAAGAGTGCTGCAGAAATATGTATTTTCAGAAATTAAAAGTCGTCGATAACGAGAAAGCAAGCATCAGCGACGGAGGTGAGATTGACAGCCCCGGCGTTGTGGGCGGTGGTGGTGGCGGGGAAGCGGGGGCGCCTTATTCCCTAAATGTATGGATATGTCAAGCCCTGGCCTTTTGAACATAAGCTTTTTTTTTTAACATAACCCTCCGGAAAGCGGGGCTTCCGCTGCCGCTCCCTCCTAGATGCAGAGATATTCCGGGGACTGGAGAGGAAGCGGGCAGACTCAGTGGAGGGAGAGGGAGCGCGAGCGCCACGGGAACGGACGGGGAGGGGTCGCGCGCGCGCCGCATACCTTTTCGCCGGCTACGTGCCCGGCGAGCGCGGCCAGAGCCAGGAGCGCGCACAGCGCCGCCCGCACTCCTCCCGGGGCCGCCATGCCCGACTCCCGCGCCGAGCCAACCCAGAGACCCGCCCCTTATCGCCGCCGAGGCGGGGCGCAAACTCCCAGCTCCGGAACCATCCCGACTTCCGCCTTCGACAGAGGCTCGGGCCCGTCCGCGCCTCGTCACGTGACGCCGCGGGGCCTTCCTTTTCGGGAAAGGGCCCTCCTCCCACCGCCCACTGCTCGAAGGGCGGTCTCGCGGCCTTACGGCGAAATCACGCGAGGGGAGAGAACCGGCGGTGTGGCCCTCTTCGTCTCTCACTCGATCTCCGCCGCCTGCTTTTTGCTAGTAGAGAAGGAGGAAGCTCCCCTCAGCCCCCGCGGCAAGGCCTCCGTGGGGTTTCCTGAAGGAGCAGCGCTTCTCCTCTGGGAAACTGGACGTCAAAATTGAGACTCCAGACCTGAAATATGCTTACTTGAAAGTTAGCTCGATCGAAACCAAGAGGATTTGCCTTGGCGGGGGGAAGTGTTTTAAGATGAGAGCGTGCATGTGAAATGCTTTCCGAAATGCTTTCCGAAATCGTACTTTTGGGGCGTAGTTTCCTCCCGCCGCGCTCCCCCAAATCCATTTTGCCACTTCTGTACCTCCCTCCATTCATTTTCCTGATGCTGCTGCCACGAGTCAGAATCGAGGCCACAGAGGTGGAGACATGAATTAATATTGCTTCATTGTCTGTTTCTGGTCTGGCTTTTGTTTCTTCAACAGCTGTTCGCCGGGTGGACGTTGGAGAGCAAAAGCGTTTCTTAACATGAAATGCGTTCATGGTAAAAGCTTATGAAGAGGCACGTCACATAATACTCCAACTTGATTGTGCCTGCAATTTTGTGAACGCTTACAGTAGGAGGATTTCCAAAGCAGCTCAAGCTATACTAGACTGTTGCAGCCCTTTTTAAGTTACTCATTTTGAGGGAAATCCTCATTGCATATGGCTGAACAACCTTTATTTGGTTGTTCCAATACTACAAAGTTCCTGCCATTTAGTAGCTCTGTAGAAGAAGGAATTTCAGCAGGTATGCCACATAACAATGTTGCATTTTCTAAACAGCTACTAAAGGTAGAGTTTTTTGCATCTGTCTGTCCACCCTAGTACACCCTCAGGGGCAGGCTTTGGTCTTTCAAGTGGTACCCTGTGTGAGCCCAAAATTTGGCACCCCAACCTCTTGCCTTCCTTTCTGCTCAATTCGCTATATCATAGTTGCGATACATTGCACTCTGTTCAATGCCCAGTGCAGAGGAACTGGTGGTTCTGCCTCTGAGACCCTAATGAATAGATATGGCACAAAACCCTGCCCCCACTATCTTGCAGTGTGTTCATATTACTGCCTTAAAGTGCAGCAAAGTTAATTTTTTTCTGTGTGTTTTCCCCACCCCAACCAGCTGTTCACATCAGCAGAGCTTCATAGTGTCAGATTAATTCCTGTTTGTGTTCTTGCTCAGGAGAGTGTATTTACGTCATGTGTGCTTGATGCATACTTGTAGCATTGCCTTCCAGCACAATCCTGAACATGTCTACTCAGAGTAAGTGTCATTGAGCATAAGGCTGTATACCACAACTTGGTACAGCAACATCTTTATCTCTCTTTGAATTTCTAGCATAATAATGTAATCTGTGTCATTTAATAGCTAGTTTTCAGTACTGGAACAATGAAGATTGCTTTATCTGGATGTCTCAGACCACTCTTGAGCTTAAAGTGCCTTTAAATCTTTGTGCTTGTCAAATAATCACTAAGCAGTATGTGATAAGTATATTATAGCCTGTAGATTTCTCTGAGTATGATTCATTACCTGCTAATAAATATGTGCCCAGATTAAAGGAGACAGAGGGAAGGTTGCACACCCCCCTGATTTTTAATCAATCTCATTATAGCCATTTCCTGCAACTGCAAATTAGTACTTTGATGCCAGTTTCACCAACCCACTCTCCCGATCTGTTCAACCACCTGCCCGCTTTTGGTCTTTACTGGGAAGAACATTGCCTTTGTCTAAATATTCATGCCAAGGAACTGAAAAAGAACAAGTATTTTTTTTCCCTTATGTATTTGCCATCTCAAAAGCAAGTGACATCTCTGCAGAAAATATAATTAAAAACAACCCTGCTTTCATGTGGATATTCTTAGTTTTGGTTAAATCCAGTGGAAACAGTGTTTTATTTTAGTAGGGAGGCAAGCCGTATTTATAACGTGTGTGAAAACAAATTAACCACACATGAAAAACTGCTACAGAAAATACATCTTTTTTCATGTAGTTTCACATCATTTGAATTTATTAATTTGCTGACCCTCAGTTCAGTTAGAGAGCAGCTAGCCAGTTTGCTACAATTCTTGCCACAAACTTTTTACCTCAGAGTCATGAATGGTTGTGATGGTCTGATAATGGCTCACCTCACTGGAGACCATGATACACCAAGAAGAGTGGGAAACCACAAAGTTTGTGAGGCATTTCCATGCTGATTCCATTTTGGTCAGGTGTTGTGTCCCTCATTGTGATGGGGGATTGTCTTAGTAAGACAGGCGATAGAACCCACTCCATTTCCACTCCCTTTCCAAACAAATGTATTGCAGCTGTGTTGTCCATATGGATTGCCTGAACAAATGGGACAACTCTTTATATATTGTAAATATGTATCTTCCTTAAGACCGACCCCCACCCTAGCATAGGGGTCCTTATATAGGCTTATACTAGCTCTGTCCAGTATTGTGCAGAGATACCATACATTTTTAAAGTGCTATAACCTATTTTACTTCCACATGTTTGTGAGTGGTTTGGACATTAATTAAACTTGGGAAATTGAGGTCTGTCACCTTTGTAGGGCAGGCTCACTGTATCAAAAGTCTAAGACTCCCATTTAGAATAGTAGACTCAATCTGAGTATATGAGTTGTATAGAAATTAGTTTACAATAAGGAACATTTCAGTTGCTGTGTAGCTAACTTCTTGACTTGTTAGTAAGCGAAGGTCTCATTTTTAATGGTGTCCAGAAGTTAGCATTGCAGTGTATAGTTTCAAATTATCTTGTTGCTGTTATCAACTTGTGTACATGATTCATGTACATAGTCTAATATTAGAGTTTCCTTGCCTTTGGCAAAAAAACCAAACCATGCTGAATTTCCAAGTGGAAGTGAAGCTATGTTTTCAGCAGACTAGAACATCAATTTCATTCTTCACTGCACAATATACTGTTTCTATCCACTGCTGCTTGCTTCTTCTTCATAAGTTATGTCACATTGGCTCTAAAGGTCGGAAGCCAAAGCTTTTCTCCTTGATATTTTGGAATCCTTTGCAAAAGTGCGTTCTTAAGTGATCCAAATGTTAGCTGCCCTTTGACCACAGAAGCTTCCTGCTCAACCATTTATTCATCAATGTACGACCTTGGTTATAGTTAATCACAGCCTTAGTTTGCTGCTCGTAAACTGGGATATTATAACCTACCTGCCAGTCTGCAGTACTAAAGCCCTGTTTAGGGAAGTTTTTAATGTTTGATGTATTACAGTATTTTAATCTTTTTTTGGAAGCTGCCTAGAGTGGCTGGGGAAGCCCAGCCAGATGGGCGAGGTATAAATAATAAAATTATTATTATTATTATTATTATTAACCAATCTGGAAGTAAGTCCAACTGAAGTCAATGGGACTTACTTCAGAGTTAACATGCTTGGAATTGGGAATGGGTAAGGACGCGGGTGGCACAGTGGTCTAAACCACAGAGCCTAGGGCTTGCCGATCAGAAGGCCGGCTGTTTGAATCCCCGCGACGGGGTGAGCTCCTGTTGTTCGCTCCCTGCTCCCGCCAACCTAGCAGTTTGAAAGCATGTCAAAGTGCAAGTAGATAAACAGGTACAGCTCCGGCGGGAAGGTAAACGGCATTTCCGTGCGCTGCTCTGCTTCCCCAGAAGTGGCTTTGTCATGCTGGCCACATGACGCAGAAGCTGTCTGCGGACAAACACTGGCTCCCTCGGCCAGTAAAGCAAGATGAGCACCGCAACCCTAGAGTCGTCCATAACTGGACTTAACGGTCAGGTGTCCCTTTACCTTTTAAGGACAGAAAACAGTTTGCACTCTTGAGCAGCTATAGAAATTAATAATGGAATCTTATTTATATTTATGCTTCTCTTCTTTTTAATTGCTTTTTCTCAGGCTGAAGAGGAAAATGAGCACCACTTGTCAGATTGTCAAATTTGGTTCTGCTATAGTTTGCTTTTGGGAAGTTGACCTGAAGAGGTCGCTAGATATACATCCAAGAAACAGGTAAAGAAACCAAAATCAAAGTATTTTTAGCATGTGTTAATTGTCTTATTAGTGCTGGGGTGTTCAAGTAATCAAGAATGGTCTTCAGCATGTAATTATTCCTGTACTTTTCTGCATTTTGTTTTCCTTTGACCTCACATTATACCATTTCTGTCTCCCCCCCCCAAAAAAAAACCACTCATATGAACATGCAACTAGGATAACAACATCAGAATACCATTTCATGTGTTTGAGTAAATGGGTTGTAGTTCACAACAACTTGAGCGATAATAGACGTGTTAGTCTTTAAGGTTGCTATTTTTGCTGCAAAAGGTATTCCTCTGGAAATTGTCAAAGTCAAACTGATTGTACGCTTTTGCACCCAGTATTGCATTAGGTCTTTGGGAGATTATTTTTTAAAAAAACAACAACAATGCAACATCAACAACTGTAATAGACTGTAATCAACTGGATGCTTTTTGAAGTTTAACCAGCATCAGAGGCATATGAGCAACAAGGCCCTATTTAACCTCCATGTTCCTGATGGAGCACCAAAAACTGACTGTCCCCAAACAGCTTTCTCTGTATTGATTTTATGTCATTAGGCTCACAAGGTTTTCCAGAGTATGATGACAGCATAGCAGATGCCCCACTTGCTCTGTGTTTCCATGACAACTGTTAGAAAAACAGCTCCCGTCCCCGCTACCAGTGTCTTTATTACATCTCACAACTGTACTCCAAGTGAGACTTTCATCTCCTGAAGGTGTTTCTTCT